AAACAAGCTAGCGGAGCATCATTCCCCATGGACCCGAGAGCTTCTTTAGAATCTGCGGCCATGGGGCCGAGCAGAAGACTAACTTGTTCAAATGAGTAGCTAAAAGCCTTGAGCCGCGGGTCCTGTTGAATGGTGGTGTCATCCAGTGCGGGTGCTAGACTACCCTTTTCGGCGGCCTTTTTATGAATTTTGGGCAGGCTGAGCAAATGTGTCTCGATCCAATCCTGGAAAGGCTGGCGATTCGCCACTGTTCTCTTTAATTCCCTGTCGTCGATGATTCTTCCGGCAGCTGTGTCAACAAGGAGCATTTTTCCAGGCTGTAATCGCCCTTTTTCGATAACGCGCTCCGGGTCAATGGCGATGGTGCCTACTTCCGAAGCACAGATGATACGGTCATCATCGGTGACATAGTACCTACAGGGACGAAGACCATTTCGGTCGAGATTCGCACCGCAATAGCGACCGTCCGAGAAGGTGAAGAGAGCAGGGCCATCCCACGGCTCCATCAAACAGGCAGCCCACTCATAGAAAGCAGCCTTTTTAGAATCCATCGCTGGATTGTCCTGCCATGCTTCGGGAACCATCAACATGACCGCCTCGGGCAGAGACAATACTCCGTTAATAGTGAGCAGTTCGAGCACGTTATCGAAAGCAGCAGAATCCGAACCGCCCTCTTCGACGATTGGATACAAATGTTCAAGCTCGTCGCCAAAAATGTCAGACCTCAAGACACCTTCTCTAGCTCTCATCCAGTTTTTATTCCCACGCAAGGTGTTAATCTCTCCATTGTGAGCGGCCCATCGCAACGGCTGCGCACGATCCCACGACGGAAACGTATTTGTCGAGAATCGGGAGTGGACAAGTGCAAAATGGCCTTCATAATCGACTGAAAGAAGATCATGATAATATTCATAAACCTGGATGGGCGCAAGCTGACCCTTATAAACAATGTTCTTGTTGCTCAAGGAGCAGATATAGAACCAGTTGGCCAAACCCAAAACATGAGTCGCCCGTTTCCGCAAGACATAAAGTTGTCTTTCGAACGTTCTTTCATCAAACAATTCCGCATGGCGGCGATCTGGGGTGCTCCCATCGCCATAAGCGGAATGAAGTACAACAAATGGTTGTATAATATATGGCTCTCTAGACAATGCTGCGGGGCCAAGAAGCGTCGAATCACGAGGAACTTCACGCCATCCCAAAACGCGAAGGTCCAGCGACCTAGCCAAGTCTTCAAATATGGCTTTCGACTCTTTAAGGGCTTCAGGATCTGGTTTAAAAAATAGGTTGCCCGCTGCATACTGGCCTAGAGGCGGGAGTTCTACCCCAACGTCCCGGGCAAAGTGTTTGATGAAGAATTTGTGAGGTATACTAGTCATAACACCAGCGCCGTCACCGTCTCGTGCATCTGACCCTACTGCCCCTCGATGGGTCATGTTGCAAAGAAGGTATCGTGCTAATCGACGCCAACGGGAGTCAGTCTGACGTATCAGGTCTAAGGTAATGAGCCCTCCTTACCATCGGTGATGATCTTGTGACTCGGCTTTCCCTTAATATGACTGAACCAATCGGTTAGCAACACCGCCCCAAATGCTTTGGACCCAATTTTACGCACGCTGTAAACCCTACACCACAGGCATCTTTCTCTAGCTCGGGGTCATAGAGACCTTGCCGTTGGGGCAAGGCCTCTGCCCAGCCATACCCCTTCTCCGACTTGTACTCCGAGTACACGTACGGCTGCTCCTCTTCGATAATCGAATCATGTGCAATTTCTGGGAGTCCCATTTCTTCCGTCGGCGACCGACAGAGAGCGCTAATGTTGCGATTCAATTAGGGAATGGAGCTAAAGGATATCACTTCAGATATGCCGCCCAGGGTGATTATAAAGGTTGAAAATTGTCTAAAAAAAAGGATCGGGGGTGTATCTCTATCTTGGGTTGCAGGGAAGCTGGGAAGGAAAAAGATAATGAAAGAAGACGGGGAGAAGGAGGGAGAGTTATGTGAGGAAGTGATTGATTATGCACTCCGGCCGAACCTCCTTCGACAACCCGGTATTGTGGGGGTCCAGTCCCGATGTCCACTCGTGGCAAGACGGCCCAGGGAACGCCAGGTGAACCAGTGACAGGTCTTTATTGTGCTACCTCCAGTAGCCGTGATAACGGGTGCACTCCGTATGAAGCGGCCAGCGGTGGACGGCGCTCGAAATTGCTACATAAAGAAGAGTCCATAGGCGAAACGGGACTCCAATTCCCGCAGATTCGTCTTCATGAAGACCTTTTCCATCGCATCTGTCAAGCAGCGCACCGGCGCCTACAAAGCATGTGAACAAGCAAGCTGTCGCGACGCCTTCCAAGGAACAAGCGGCGCGCAATCAGCTTTCTCCCTCGGTCCTTGCGCCGCGGGGGAGCAAAGAAGCTCAAAACCTTAAAAGCCTGATAAGCACCACTGACCAACCACACGTGTCCGATTACCCAGATCGCAGTGAGCGGTCCCACTCTTCGACAGGGAGCCGCTTACGGCGACGAAAATCTGGGAAACCTTAACTACTTTAGGCTTTAGAGCTAATTTCGACCGATGACCAGTTAAAACATTACGTTTTCATCGGCTTGGCTACGAACATATTTGTAAGTGACTACTCCTCCATCATCCATCGCACTTCACGAACATCGAGGTCCTAGCACCTGTTTCAATGTATGCCGCTGTATGGGGTGGTGTCCACGACACAGCTACTGACCATTGCACCAAACAACAATACATCAACAAACAAGGACGAAATTTTTCGCTAGGGAGGTCCACCGAGCGGTGGCAGAGAGTGTGCGATGTCGCCCTTTTTGTCTTTCTTCTTCTGATTGGTGAGTAAACAGCCGCGTGTACGGCATTATTTGGTACGGCCGCGGGCCCGGGCATATGTTTTCCTCTGCCGTGAGTAACGCTGGCATGGGCAGACTGCTGCCCTTCTTGGCAGAATGATCATTCCGGCTCCCCTGGGAAACATTACGAGCATTTTGTTCAAAGAATATTCACCTGTCCATTATTTTTTGAATCTTGTTCATGCATACTCTCGATGGCTTTCTTCTAGCTACGTATTCCAATGTTCAACAAATATCCTATTGCCGAACGGAGGGATGCAAGTCCTTTTTGGCACAGCACTATAAATAATTCGGAGGACCTATCTCGTTTTCGACTTTAGCATGATCCTTACGTACAGTTAGAGGCACCATGCCTTTGTTTACCTATCTGGCAATGCTCTGAGCTATGTTTCTTCAAAAGGAACAGAGGCTGAACACAGGTATAAAAAGCCGTATGCATCTTGAATGGTTCTATGTATATCATGTTCCTGATCACTGCATGGTCATTCGATTTTGCTAAAAACATCCCGTCTTGATTCTCTCCGGCAAGTTGGTAGAATGTCCTGCGGAAGCCGTCACCCATGACGGAAGTTAAAGCTGTTTATACCAGGCGGCCGGCTCCACAAAATAAGCATCCGACATCGCAGCTCGTCTCCAAATCACACACGCCCGATTGGACTCCAGACTTTCTCATAGTCACAGATTCAAGTCACGAGTTTGTCCCACGCATGAGCTTGAGCTTGTCATGTAAACTCGTGGATATCCTCCGCAGGGCTCATGAATTCGGTTTAGGCGGGTTCGTTCGTTTAAAGCGACAGAGGGAGAAGGTCTTGACTGTAAAAAGAGCCCCACGTTTTGATTTCCCGGCAGATTGATATCTCTTTTTGTGGGGAATGGTTTTTTGCGACGGAGGTCTAATCGATATGCAGTTTTTAGTATAGATAGGCGTGCTCTTTGCCTATCTCTACCGGCACTATTGCTCAGTCTCCAGTTACGATTATTGAGCAAAATAATAATAATAGTAAGGAGGGGGGAAGATGTAAAATGAAAAGGAAAAAGGGGAACAAAAGAAACAGCGCATGGAGAACCGTTGTGACCGACTACTGCTCTTCAACCGTATCCTTCGTGTCTTAGGTAGGACCTTCTTTGCCCCAACGAGACCAGTAACCCCCAGACCATGTTGATGAAGAGATCATCCCTTCGAGTTCACATGTGAGGAGATGAATTGTACTACATACATCCCCATGGGACTGCATACATCTACATACCGCGCATTGCTGGCCACGGCGTGCTCCATAATATCTCAGTAATTAATAATGCCACAGTTGAGAACAATGCACACCTGGGTTATTCCGCTCATAATTTCAACGCCAATCTTCTCGTCGTTAAATACTCCGTACCGAAACACTATTTCAAACCACTGATAAGAAGACATGCGCACCCTTGCCAGGGGCAGATCTGGGATTTTGTCCGAGGGACCATGAGTCCCGGTCCCACCCGGCGCATCTGCAATGCTCGGGAAACTTCGGAGACTGGACCGCACCACCCTAGTCCGTATTCGTCGAACAAATCCGGAATATCGACGATATCCACGAATATTTCCTTTTCTTTGGATCGCCGCTCCGGCTTTGCGAGATATTCCCCCTAGGCTGCGGAATATTGTGCCCCATTCTGTTTCAACTTCAGTCACCGTGCCTCGAAACGCTCGCAACCGTCGTTCAGCCTGCCAAGCCCGCTCACTCGACCCCTGTTTCTGTGTGCACCGGTTGTCCGGCACATTCACTGCGTGAAGTTGGCAGGCCAATTGAATGCCGCCTAAAGTCAAGCCTCCGTCTTGATATGATCTATCCCTCGCAAAATTTGATGATCCAGATAGCGCTTGGGAATCGCATAGCACACATTCGGAGTGGGGATACACTCCATTGAACCACTTTTTCAATCATAGATTTCTGAAGCTTCTAGTTGATCTACTTTTCACTGCAATACACTATATTGCGTTGTGATCGAGTACTGCTATTTCCGGGTTCAAAAGGTGCAATCCGCGAAGCCATTCAATTTCAAAGCAGGGGAATAGCGATGCAACTTCTCCTGCAAAGAGATATCTCGTGCAGTGCTTCTTGAGTTAACAAGGTGCATCCTACAGTTGACTAGTTATCTTCTACTATACTTAAGATTCTCCCTTGGTGAGACGACCGCACCGAAGAGCACAAGAGGTATGGACGGAATTTCTCCCCTCCAAAACCCGCTAGCGTTGCCAATAACGGTCTCGCTACGGTCATAAGAATCCGGCGGCAGACAAGACCTCCATTTCCCTTTACATTTAAACTGTTCACTATTAGCAGAGCAAACACCATATGGAAATGCCGGAACCTTACCTGAATAAACGGGACATAATTATTGTATCCCTAAAGTTTCATCAACTTCAAAGATGTCGGCGACTTGGGGAAATTCAACAAAATATCTTGCAGGTTTGTCCGGGTAGTTGATGTGGATCTGCATGATTCTCTGCGCGCTTTCATCATCAAGGCATACATCAAATGAAATCCTAGTTGTTGTATCAAAATGGATATATGCTGCCCGTGAAATGGTGGAGCGAAGGATCTCTCACCATGGTGTCCAACGGGTATCCACAACCGACTCAACAGTCCCTAGGTGGGACGGGCGGTTTGGTGAAATATAGCTCAGGCCCAGTTCGATTTCCTGGAACTATCAACCAGCACTTCGCTGGCTGGCCCAATTGTCAGTCGACATCAAACGTTAAAGAAAATAGGAAGTCCAGACATCGCGAATCAGAATCAGTATCCGGTTATTTGCATATCTAATCATATATTTCTTGACCATGCCCTTTCGTTGAACTTCTCAAGATCCAATTAGGCCCATCGGCGACTTCATCAAATGCAACATCTACTGTGCCAATGCCATCGCTCTCGATTGCAAGGGACTTGCTAATTTCGTCCGGGCGATAGTTTGCACTGTCTTTAATCTTACGACCAGTCGAGTTCGACAGATGTGCGTTCTCCCTCCCATCTTGATGAGATGGATTCTGACGAATTTGGTCCTGAGTTTCACTCTCGTCTCTCTGAAACCGGGTATGCATTTAGCCTTCGATGTCGCATTGCTCTCACTTTTCAATTGCAGCGCTATCTCGTCGACGAAAAATAAGGATTCGACATTATTCAAAGATTATATCTTTTAACTCGTTTGGTCTCTTTGTCGATTCTCTCGTAACTCGCTAGCAGCAAATGGTTTTGATGCTTCAAACCGATGGATGACATACTGATTTGCTTCAATACAGGGCCGTGCCACTTCTCCCCAGTGGGTGTAGTCGGAAGGGATGAAAACGCACCCCGTGCACTTGCCGCTAATATCGAGGGTGAAAGAGAAGTGGGTTCAAGGAGCCCTATCAGATGATACAACTGCGAAGCAGAGGGACCGCACATGAGAGCGACACCCCTTTCATGCAAATGCCATGCCCTACATCTATTAAAATGGGGCCACTTGGTGCTGAATGCAAACTCCAACCGTACGCCAGAACCCCATTAGGGACCCGCCTTGCTTCTTTCCCGCTTGTGAACCGTGTGCCTCGTCCAAATCGAGTGCGAAAATTTTGCGGAAACCGCTCGACGTCCCTGACACGTGTCGACATTTTTCGTGGCATATCGGGCATGAAAAGTCAGTCGACCGCTCCCGATTGCCCTTGTCCCGCCGGGTCATGTTGCTGACAGGGCCAGCTAAAGGGAATATTGATTATCTTTTACGGGCAGGATGGTGTAGATATACGTCTTTTATCCGTGCTGACTTGAATCAGGTAGAAGTGATTCAATAGTCTGGGTCCCTAGCTAACTTTCTTGCTACCAAAGGCACTTATATCTAACCAACAGCTGACTTCGCCTTTTTTTTTTTTAATGGCATCCCTTGTTCATTCGAAAAGCATGGCTGTCAATGTTATCAAACGGCTGTCAAAACGTTGGGGCTCGCCGTTTCGGTTTTTGGAACACTACTGCTTGTCTATTTCGGGTGCCGGCTCGATGTCTCTTTAGTTAACTAATCTCTGCGAGGTGGAAGTCGACTAGGTACCGTTCAAAGATTGGGACATCAAAAGTTCACAACCCCGACCGGACGAAATAAATCGACCCGCGTGTAAGGCTCGATGTCATTAACATTCCATTCATCTTGAGAATGTATAATAGGCGCTTGATGGATATTTTCGAGCTTTCGGAATCACTCATGCCCTACATGACGATATCAAGACGAAGAGTTTGTGACAGATCATGAGCACGTAGCACATCTGAAGGGTGCATCCCAACCATTTCAATAAATGCGAAACCCCTTAGCTTTTACACATACTATTGACAAAGGTGACAAATGATTGAAATTCAATTCAGCTTTCGGCTGTAGTTGCCGCAGAGCTACTACCTGTCCCATTGCTGCTTTAACGGAAGTACCAGCCTTACCTACAGAATTTATCTCATGGCTTGTCTGGTTGCAATAGAATAGTCTCTAGTTGTAGATGCTAAAAGCTGCTAGAAGTATCTCGGTGCTGTAGCCAGGCCGCCGGTTCTCCAGCAGACACAACTTGACTACGGCGACACGCCAACGTCCATTTACCACATGTATATTTTGCAGCCTCATTCTGTGCTAGTCCTTCACCCCTCTTCTGGAGCAATAAATAAAACCACTAATATCTAGAGCTCACGAGGCCATATGTGGGCTTGGCTCCGATTATAGGTTTTAATACTCTCAAAAACAGGTTGAAAATTAGATGAGTGACGGGAACTTGAAACGGTGGACCCATGGAGCTGAGCTTGCTCAATGTCAATTTAACGTCCATTTCTATCCAGCAAATACTATGTCCGAAGAGGCACCGGTATCGTACCTGGGGTGTGCGAAAATGCTGTTGACATCCGACCGTGGATGACGCTCCATGACGTAGCTGATGTTTATCCTTGGGCTAAGAGGTATATATTCCCCTGTTGCGAAGGGAAAAACTTCGATATTTACGGAGTACTTCCACAGGGATTAAAACTACGCCACTGTCAAAAACTAGGGGCTCATCTAATTAATCTGCGGATCAAAAAATAGGGCAGTCTTTCCATCCCAAGTCCGTCCAGCATGCCTCGCTTTTCTGAGGGCCAGAACGTTCGCTACAAACCTGTGGGAGGTACGGAGTATAGATATTAGCATTTCTCTCCCCTTTTTTGGCCACTAAAATTTAACTTAATTCCCCAGGCCCCCACTCTCTAACATCTGAGAGCATCGGCACGATCGTGTCTGTCACGACTCAGCCGACACGGCGAGCTGGCCGCAATATTGCTGCTAGCGAAGCAGATCCCAGATATCAGGCTAGCTATACATAGTTATCTACTCGCTATTCGCGATGCTAACGATGTATCGACAGATCAAAAACAAGAATACGGGCAAAACTGCTGCAGTATACGAGAGGAATATCTTGGGTTCTACTTAGATGGAAAGGGAGTATTCCGGTGTCAAGGTGCTTGCTAAAGCTATGTGATCGGTCCTCCTAGCAGATGAATTGGCATACAGAGTACAATGATAGGGCATCCTAACATATAATGTTCCTATGTCCTTTTTAAAAAGTTGTAGTTAAACAGATTTCAAGCTGAGGGAACTTCTTTAGCTTCAGTTCTTTAGGGCCATAAGAAAAGTATTCCATTGTAAACAATAGGAGTTTCACACTCTTGTGACCTATCATGAGCAGGCGATCCTCGTTCTCATTGTCTGTATCTTTGTCCGCAGCGTGGACGGCATCCTCGCTCTCATCATCTACATATTCGTCTTCGGGGCGGACGGCATTCTTGTTGACGGGTTGACTGACCGGGCGGCCGAGAACGGAGGGTTGTGTGGGAGTGGACTAGGTCTCGAGTACGGTTAGAGATTGTCAAGACATAGTAACTAATTAATAGTAAACAGTGATAACTAAATACCAGCATTGTCAAAATCAAGATCTTTAATGGATTTGTGCTTATGACCATTGTGGCAGAGCTCAATAAGCATGCATGAGCTCACATTGCCCTCCTGGTTTACTGTGGAGATGGTGAAGTGACTCAGTTTAGAATGACATTTGTCAGGCTGATTCTGCATTGTGTAAGTTCTCTGGTTGATCCTGACTGTTGACAACTGTGGACTCTGTGATACTGCTGTGGTGATTTTTATATAAGATTACTGTACGGAGTATGGATTTAAGAATGGGCACGCATTTTATAGCAGCCTGACTCTCAAGAATAATATAGTACTTTAGTTTTGCTTTTGTAGATTGTCTCTTCTCCTACATTGCTCCCAAGCCGTCTCCTATGCAGGCGCTCTCTCTCCTAGACTGCGGCATAGCAACAGTGAGCCAAACCTTCAACGAGGAGATCCAGTTGCCTAACTGAACTTAATTAATGCAGGATCAAGGACAACGACCACATCAGGAAGATCGATATGCGTTTATAACTCCACAAGGCTTCCCTGCCTGCGATCACAGACAACTTGCGTTCTTTGCAGTCTACGATGGACAGTGCGTGATTTGTTCCATACGAGTCTACCCGATACTGACCAAGGCCTTTTCCCAGCGGTGGGCCTGATGTCTCGGATCACGCAAGCAAACATCTTCATCTAAACCTTATTTCATCGCCCGCCTTCCAAGCTGGCGACTGTGAAAATGCTATCCGTGGTGCGATAGACGCGGAAGAGAATCAGCTATTCGAAGGATTCGCATCGGGTGGAAATGACGCTTCAACTAGTGGTTCAACGGTTGCCTTGACCCTAGTTGATTTGAATAAGGGAGAGGTGGTTATTGCGAATTTGGGAGATTCACATATTGTATTAGGAGAGCTGGAATGGACTGGAGGGAAAATCACGTACAAGACAGTAGGTGGAGGCTTGTATCAATGCTCATCATATTGTCCATTGTTTAATACAGGCTTGATAACACGTTATAACCCAGAAAAGGCTAACGACAGCGGATAATCCCGATGTGCCGGAAGAAAAATCTCGAGTCGAAGCTGCTGGTGGGACTATTCGTCGTCGTGCAGGACAAGCACGGATTGGTCCGTGTCCATTTCTCTCTGCATATTGCTTATGGTCTTTCTTTTTTCTTTTTTTTCTTTCCCTTTTTTTTGGTAGCCTAACGGACTTTATCTTCCTTTCTAGGCACTATAAATATGTCCCGCGCGCTCGGGGATCTACAATATAAAAAACCACTGAACGATGAAGATGCCACAGGAGACTTCATATCGAGCCAAACCCCACATATGTCTCCTCAAACCTAATCCCGACATTTTAAGTGTCCACATCATAGTTACGGATGATGTGCGGACTGTTGTTGATGAGCATACGCTGGTCGAATTTATTGGCCAGCAAATGGAAGAGGGGCATGATGCAGGGAGCATTTGCGAGAAATATTACACAAAAATGCGCATCAAGAAAACATGCAGATAATGCCACATGTATTGTGCTTTTTTTTGCTAAGGACAAGATTAGAATTGAGCATTGAGGTTAGAGCTGCTGTGGAATACCGCCTTGTGAGCCAAGGCAAAGCCAGTTGCAGTTTCCAGACAGTTCAGCACGATCGGCTACGTTTTTCAGGTGGGAGCTGACTAACCTTAGAATTGACTTAACTAACATTCTTTTTTCGAAGCTTTCTATTATTAAAATTTCCCTTGAGTAAGAAGCTCTAGCTTTTCAGTAAAATAATGAGCTAAGTATATTTCAACAAAGGCATACCTTGAAGAGAACAAACACAACGTACTGTGCCTGTGACACTTCCAATCTAAAGTTAAGGGTGGGTCGATGTAAGTCCAGCCGGCGGGTTAATAAGGTTTCTCCACAAAGCTTGTTTCATTGCCAAGACTACAGCTCCCCAAAGCCGTAGGCCAGGCCAGGCAAAATTACTTCAACTCTAAGAAAAACATCAGCATATATCTGGGAGTTGTGTGTGCCGTATATAAATGTAGGGTTGCAGGATGTAGAACTAAAGGTTGTAAGTTATAGCAAGAATCATCATTTCGAACACGAGGATACCCATGGCGTCCCTATGCGGGTATGGGTGCCTTACGGAATAGTAGATTTTGCGAAAATCAAAGGGTTTAAGGGGAAAGGATAAGAATTTCCGAGAGAAGCTAATCCGTAATATTATCGAAAGAACTGCTTATGAGGTCCAACTGTCTTCGTACATTTCCGGTCAGACGCAACCAGAAGGATTAGGGGTGAGAGAACTAGAGGTTGACTGAAAGAGATATGTGAGCCATGCCGTGGCCCTTAGCGACCCTGGACAAAACCTGTGTAATATGCAAGCCTATGTAAATACCCTTGACCGTTTTTTTCTCGAAGCCAGTTTCAGCTGTCACGAGCAGCAAAACCCCGCGGGATTTAGTATGACGTCATGGCTCTCTATGTCCGGTATGTTGATGCCAGGCAAAGTATCAGAACAATCCCACATTTCCATGGCAGTAAATCGCCCCCATACGTAATATCGTTGAGGGGAAGTAGATAAAGCTAGTGGCGCGTGAGCTGAACCCGAAGTGATCAAGGTCTTGAATGCATATGTGCAATTCCAGCCTAAGAAGATTCGCGCTCTTGAAAAAGAATCGCGATGTTTTCCGTCTGGGCCCTCCTACATAGTTTCGCAGACTGGGTTCTCGGGTTCTGCAAGCTCTGCCAGAACCGTGAAGTTGGTTGGCAGACGCTCGACCGGCGCTCAGGGCGGTACAAGCGAGAGCAGCAGCCTCTATGGAAGAAATTCAAACTGATCATACTGTTCAATCCACTTATGGATTGGATTGACAGCACATCGATAATGCGGTTGTGGATGCACGAGAAAACTATAAATGCTGGTAGGTCCTGAAGCGAATGAAAATGGAGCATTCCGGTTTTTGTTGCTTTCCTTCTAATCAGTTATTGGGACGTTACTAGGCAAGAAAGAAGGAACATTGGCATCTCGTTCCCAGATCAAATCCTTTGTCGACTTTTTCCATATAAACATGGATGACTTTGAACCATCCGATATATCCAAATACCAGACATTCGAACAATTTTTTGTTCGGAAGCACAAAGCCGGCGCTCGGCCGATCCACGAGGCATCGAATCCGTCAAAAGCGTGTGTTGTCGCTGACTCCCGAGTCGTTGTGTATCCAACAATGACCGCGACGCGGACGCAATGGATCAAGGGAAAGCACTTCACCATCGGGAACCTGATCGATAACGAAAAAGCTGCGGAACCGTGGATCGACGGCGCTGTTGCGAGCTTTCGACTAAGCCCGCAAGATTATCATCGATATCATTCGCCTGTCACAGGGACAGTCAAGTGGTACAAGAGGATTCCTGGAGATTTTTACCAAGTGGATCCCGTCTGCTTGCAGAGTGGAGTGGATATCCTCACGCGAAATGCACGATGTTGCGTATGCATCGATAGCAAGGAATTTGGTCAAGTACTGTTCGTTGCAATTGGGGCCACCGACGTTGGCGACGTAGAGTATGTGTCCCAAACTCGCGAATAGCGTAGCTGTGAAGGGAAAGCTTACCTCGGCGACATAGGATTCGACCTGAAATGCAAGAACCCGGTCATCTGGTGAGAAAAGGAGAAGAAGTCGGTCTCTTCCAATTTGGCGGATCCAGTATCATCGTGGCATTCGAGAAAGGAAGGATAGAATTTGATGATGACCTTGCTACCATGAGTAGGCGTCAGATCATGGTAGATGTTGAAGTTGGAATGAGTATGGGAAGTGTACCACCAAAGAGAGTATAGCTGTTCCCGGGGGACCTTTGATATCTTTGAAACTGCGTGGAATTTGAAGCATATATTAATTTGGTGTTAGGGGAGAGAAAATTTCGCTGGTTATTACACTGTGTTTCCCTTAGAGGAGTTGATACATGGATTATCATATCAGATTGCTGAGCGTCAACAGACTTATAGCATATTTAATCATTTTTTGTGAGCTTAACTCTCTTCACAGAGGTGCCTATTAATTATACCTAAGAAATGTCAGTGCTTGCCCTGCTAATAACTGCCAGCTGTCTGGAATACCAGCAGTACAGAACTACAATAAGTCAGTTGAGTAAAGTAATTGGCTCTGTTCACTTACATTAGAATTGCGGACTGATGAGTTTTGAATTTATATAATTCAATATCTTCACGAACCCGGCATTTACGCAACACTTCCCGCGGGTCGTCTATAGAATTAACGATTGTGAATCACTCTGCAACCGCAGAACCACAATGATCGAACTCTCTGATGACAGCCAGTTTTGGCAATGCGGATTCAACAAGAAATATTTGTAAAGTGGGAGCTAGAACTTAAGAAAGCTTCAAAGCCTTCATAATGTAACAGGAAAGAAAAGATCTTATCTTCCCAGAGATGGAAGAAGGGCTCGATTTATAAGAAGATGCGCAAAATATCACATTGTAATGTCCAGTTATAAATGGAAAAAGGTCCGATATGGCTCTCACTTCAATCACCTGTTTTCCACTACGTGGAATTCCTGTCTAGATGCCATTTCTCTTTTTCTCACTTCTAGTTTGCCGACACACAAGCTATGTCAAGGACCAAGTTTGACAGATGTTTCGAGAACAGGCATAACATATCGTTACCAGTCAGATACCGCAAAGCATTGCTGAAAATGCAAGACTTCTAATGGCTGTAAATATACTCTGCTGGGGACAGAGGGACATCATTTTAATCTGACAGGACCCTCAATGCAAACAACAAGGATCTAGAGATACGCAGCCTTGTTTGATCGCAAAGGATAAATGAGGCAGGAGGAGAATTAAAATATACAAAACATAGAGAGTATAGGGAACCAGAATTAAGCCCATACCCTCGAACTGAGAGCGAGACTGAAGGTTGTCAGAAAAATGTTGGTTCTTGGGTAGGAAGCCACAACATATACCTAAAGCCCTTCAACTAGGCCCCCGGTAGCATGAGCAGATAGCGTTTGCTAGAAAGGGCCCTACTGTATGTACGTGTGTACGGAGTACTCCTAAACACCCGGAGAGGGATCTCGGGTGCCTTCAATCCTAACTGACACTTGGTCTGATCGCTCTGGCTGGTTTTGGACATTGGCCCAACACGGAGAGATACGACGAGAATTGAAAATAAAAAAAGGGCACCGATAGTTGGCTACTTCACTCCCTGCCAGACTGGCGCCTTTTTTGATATTGGAAAAACAAGTTCTAGTTTTAGCACTGTTTCTCCCTAATAATAGATCTGCCTTTAGTGATTTAATAGACTGGTTGTTTCGTAGAAGAAGAGCACAAAAAGAAACTTTCAGGATGCGGGTAAAGGGTGTTTCGAAGGCCATCCACCCGCTGCCATTCAGCTTTGTTGATGTTAACAGAGACAGGTGGTGCACCTTGGCAAAATCGGCTCCAATGAGCAATTGTGGAAAGGTGCAGAGCAATAAATCTCTGCTGTCTGGAGATAAGACATCCTGTTTTATCTCGCCCTAACAGAGAGAAGTCGAGAAAGTCGCTCTCTACATTCCGTCTCATCCGTACAATGGTAGGTTTGGAATATTAGTCTGACAAATTGTTCGAGAATTTACGGAGTAGAGTGATCAGATCGCAAAAGAGATCTCGCCGCTCCTGTGGGGATCATTTTCGACGATCACTGATACGAGAGTGCGAGGCCACAAAGATGTCCATCTTGTGGCGACAACGCTGGCAGACATTCGAGCTACCATGCACTCTGCACAAGCCAATGCAATCAACCATTGCAACTTGCACTTAATTGGCGTCGTCAAAAGAAGAAAAACGGATGTCTTTACTCCGTAGACAGCAACCCTAAACGGTCGTCATTCGTTCAGGCGTCAAGGCACCACACGCCCAAATCACCTTCTGGGTCTCCAAGAGGTGCGAAACGCGATCGGCTTGCGCTAGTTAGTCAAGTGGTCCAAGTCCCAAGGGACCCGCTTTCACAACCCCAAACACCCACGTTTCCCGGGGCGCAAAGCCCACTTGGGCTTTCATCCTCGACTTCCAGCCGTGGCACCCCTGTAATTTCGGCTCGACTCGAGAGAGCCTCTAATGGACACACAACATGTCAAGCTCGCGCTCTTTTTGCAATGTCTCATTGCCAATCAGATTGGGGCTAATGGGGTTTTACAAATCCTGAAACTGTGTACTCGAGAACAAGGTTGTGGCCGTTAGCCATGAGAATCATGAGGTGCGTTTCACAAAAAAAAGCCTGGTTAGAATTCATGAACAAGGCTCTCGGAAAATAACGTCCCTTTTTGTCTCGGCTTTCAAATGAATCAGAACACCCAAGCCTTTTTAAATACGAGGCGGGTTCTGTCAATCTCGTCAGTCATACGGCGATATCCAATGTGACTGGATGGCGTCGCATGGTTGGCCTAATTCTAGTTACGAAGCCAAAGTGCCCAAGGCCCGAGATATCATTCCGGACTGGCTATTCTCGAATTGCAAGCTCCAAATTTGCTCGGCAGCTTACTCTTCGTCAGCTCTTCCTGAGCGAGCGTACCTGGGACAAGCCACCGGGATGCGGCATCAGTCCTTGGCCTCGCGGCCTGCCGCCTGAAGAGGAAAGCCTTTTCCTTTATTCCCCTTTCTTTTGGAAAATTCTCGCCAGTCTCTCGTTCTTCAAAACTGCTTGTCGAAATTCCTTGGGTCTTCGTTGCTGTTCTGGTGTATTTAAATTCGCTCGCTACACTTAACAATACCGAAAGGTTTCTTTTGCAAACATGCATTTCACAACTTCCCTCGCTCTTTTTGGCACTCTCGTCGCTGCCTCCCAGGCAGTCGAGCCCATCCGTGGCTCCTACGAGTCAAATGAGGTCCTGTCTGTACTGAAGCGCCAGACCGTCATCTGCAAGCCTGTTCCTGCGCCGTTTACTTGCGAACGTTCTTGCGGTCCCGGATTTGTCCAGTGTGTGTACCCATCCATGTGTTACAACCCTGGCAGGGGAGACTCCTGCTGCGCCAACGGAAGTAAGTAGTGCTTTGCTCCAAACGCTTTAGAATTCACATCCTAATTTTGCGAAACACATAGAGTACTGCAGGAAGGGCACATACTGCACAGATAGAGGCTGCTGTCTCGATGGCTTGAGCCTTGAGGAATGCGGCGCTACCCGTACCATCAGTGTCATTCCACCACCAGACACACAGCCCAGCACTGAAGCCCCATCTCCCACCGACGAGCCATCTGAAACCGAGCCTGCTCCCACTGAGACTGAAACCGAGGAGCCTGAGCCCACCGAGACCGAGGTCGAACCCACTCCGACTGAGGAACCAACGACCCCAACCATCATTCCAACTGGCACTGGAAACCCTGGCTACCCTGGCAACAATGCCACCTTCACTAGCCCATCTCCACCCCAGCAGACAGTGAACGCTGCGGCCCAGATCAAGGGTGCTGCTATGGCCCTTGGTCTCGGTGTTGTCGGCGTTGTTGTGGCCCTGATGTAAATCGGGAGGCCTATCATCGGATAACCTGGAGGAATCATCTTGGCGACAACAACTTGTTCATTCTTGTCGTTCATTCACGTATAATTAATCATTAATGGATCAGAGTTGTATGTAAGAATGGAGCTGTTCATAGGCTATCTTTAGACAATGCGGATATATTTATCGTTTTCGAATATAAACTTAGGAACGAGTTGATCAGTGAAGCCGTCTGCCAGTCATAACATTGAGGTCAATCAGCATGACAAGATTTTGCAGTTTTCTTCATTTTTCAAGCACTCTGAGGATCCTCTCGAGTTCCTTGTGTCTCTCAGTCTTTTCGACCGCGGGAGAAAGCCGTTTCTTCGAAACAGGTTTCAGTTGACTACACTTTGAGAAGGGTTAGTTCTCTGGTGTGTACTCCGCAGTTGGTTAAAGCTGTCCCTTGGCTCGTTGACGGGCAACCCTTGCCACGGGCAAATTGAAATGAACGGAGTTGGGAGAATTCGACAGCGCTATCTGAAACGCCATAGGCGCTCATCTGCAGGGAATAGGTTATTCCATAGATTACAGAGTAAAGTACACCTTGGAGAGCACAAGAGTGCTTCCAACCGCCGAATTGGTGTACGATAAAACCACGCCTTGGAAGCCGGCGGCGCCGTTCCAACGGTGGGCGGATGAAATATTTCTCCGGTTCAGACCGGCTTAGGTAAGGTACCAAATCATCGTTGCCATGGGAGACTGCGGCCAACCAACCACCCCACCAACAGGCCTTACATGCTGTGTTTTGAGGCCAGCGAAGAAAGAAGGGCTCTGGGGGACGGGGTAGGCGAGGAAGAGAGTTGTAGGTCGTGAATTGGTAGCTAGATCCCACCACCAAGTTCGGAGCAGCTCAAGCACAGCGCATGCGTTGTCAGGGCGGCCCGTCCAGGCAGCGCAGCTTTTCTGGCGCACAAAAATTGTTGGAACATCCCACCTTGATTACGTCATACCTGGAAAAATGAGAGCGATCGGAGAGCTTCCACCGACCGCCGCAAGCACTAGGATAAGAGCCAGAGAAAGGCGAATTTTACGCGGAAAAGTTTGCTGGAAGGTTGCCAAAGGTTGTAATTCGGCCTGTAGAAAGACCCCGATTGAGCTGGAAGGTTGGAGTTTTGGAAAGAAAGTTCTTGAGATTACCTGGTGTGTGTGGAATGTTGTGGATTGCGGTCGAACCTGGAGAGTTGCTAGAAGCTTCTGGCGCCAAAAATTTGACCGCCCACATATAAACATCTCTTCTTTGCTTCTTCCTCGCTCTTTCAACCCACAAACTTTTTCACCTTTCACAATCCCTCCTCACACCTCTCTCCACCTCTCTTCTGTGAACTCTTACATTTCTTTTCGCAGATAAACCTGCTTTTTCTAATATCCCCTTTGTACCATAGTCTGCTTTAACGATTGTACTGACGACCTTTCATAATGGCTCCCGCAATTGGTATGTCCTGCCTCATTCTTCCCCTCGGAGCTCAACCCCCACTCTGAAAAGACAGTGAGCAAGCTTTGCTGACTCGCAAATAGGTATTGATTTGGGTACCACCTACTCCTGCGTGGGTATCTTCAGAGATGATCGCATTGAAATCATTGCAAACGACCAGGGAAATCGCACCACCCCATCATTCGTTGCCTTCACAGACACCGAGCGCTTGATTGGTGACGCTGCAAAGAACCAAGTCGCCATGAACCCCGTAAACACAGTCTTCGATGCCAAGCGTCTCATCGGTCGTAAATTCAACGATGCTGAGGTCCAAGCCGACATGAAGCACTTCCCCTTCAAGATCGTCGATAAGGGCGGCAAGCCCATCATCCAAGTTGAATTTAAAGGCGAGACCAAACAGTTCACACCGGAGGAAATCTCCTCCATGGTCTTGACGAAAATGAGGGAGACGGCCGAGTCTTATCTTGGCGGCACAGTTAACAATGCTGTCGTAACCGTGCCAGCTTACTTCAACGACTCCCAGCGCCAGGCTACTAAGGATGCCGGTCTGATTGCTGGTCTCAACGTTCTCCGTATCATCAACGAGCCCACTGCCGCCGCTATTGCTTACGGCCTTGACAAGAAGGTCGATGGCGAGCGTAATGTTCTGATCTTCGATTTGGGTGGTGGTACTTTCGATGTTTCCCTCTTGACCATTGAGGAGGGTATCTTCGAAGTTAAGTCTACTGCCGGTGACACCCACTTGGGTGGTGAGGACTTTGATAACCGTCTCGTCAACCACTTCGTCAACGAGTTCAAGCGCAAGCACAAGAAGGATCTTTCCGTCAATGCTCGTGCTCTCCGTCGTCTCCGCACTGCTTGCGAGCGTGCCAAGCGCACTCTTTCTTCTGCCGCTCAGACTTCCATCGAAATTGACTCTCTCTTCGAGGGTATCGACTTCTACACCTCTATTACCCGTGCTCGTTTCGAAGAACTCTGCCAGGACCTCTTCCGCTCCACCATGGAGCCCGTCGAGCGTGTCCTCCGTGACGCTAAGATCGACAAATCCTCTGTCCACGAAATTGTCTTGGTCGGTGGCTCTACCCGTATTCCCAAGATCCAGAAGATGGTTTCCGACTTCTTCAATGGAAAGGAGCCCAACAAGTCCATCAACCCTGACGAGGCTGTCGCCTATGGTGCCGCTGTTCAAGCTGCTATCCTCTCTGGCGATACCTCTTCCAAGTCTACCAACGAAATTCTCCTTCTCGACGTTGCTCCTCTTTCCTTGGGTATCGAAACCGCTGGTGGTGTCATGACTCCTCTCATCAAGCGCAACACTACCATCCCAACCAAGAAGTCCGAGACCTTCTCCACCTTCTCCGACAACCAGCCTGGTGTCCTGATCCAGGTCTATGAAGGTGAACGTGCTCGTACCAAAGACAACAACTTGCTCGGTAAATTTGAACTTACTGGCATTCCTCCTGCCCCACGTGGTGTTCCTCAGATCGAGGTCACCTTCGATCTTGATGCCAACGGTATCATGAATGTTTCTGCTCTCGAGAAGGGTACTGGAAAGACCAACAAGATCGTCATTACCAATGACAAGGGTCGTCTCTCCAAGGAGGAAATCGAACGCATGTTGGCTGAGGCCGAGAAGTACAAGGCCGAAGACGAGGCTGAAGCCTCCCGCATCAGCGCCAAGAACGGTCTCGAATCCTATGCCTACTCCCTCCGCAACACCATGAGCGACTCCAAGGTCGATGAGAAGCTCGACGCTGCTGATAAGGAGAAGCTCAAGACTGAGATCGACAAAATCGTTGCCTGGCTCGATGACAACCAGACCGCCTCCAAGGAAGAATATGAAGACAAGCAGAAGGAACTTGAAGGGTATGTATCTCCTTTTGTTTCAAAGACATGATCAAACATATGCTAACTGGTGAACTAATAGTGTTGCCAACCCAATCATGATGAAGTTCTACGGATCCGGTGAGGGTGGAGCTCCAGGTGGATTCCCCGGTGCCGGTGCCGGTGGTCCTGGCGGATTCCCTGGTGCTGGTGGTCCCGGAGGTGATGACGGCCCAACCGTTGAGGAGGTCGACTAAATTTAACGCTTCGTCGCTTTCGATCACTTCTTTTTCGACCACTTTTTCATACCTGGCGCTTAAAATCATGACTTGTCGATTTTCTTTATTAGGGTGCAAGGTTTTTTAATGACACGTGTGTTCCCTTCTGTTTTCTTTACGGTCTTGAGGGGTCACGATGGGTTTGATATGTCCTATGGTCTTTTTTTATGACATTGCATAGATTTGAGTTGGGCGTCTGCCAATTCGAATTTTTTTTCTTTCCAATTATGCTCCGCCTTTTCCTTTGCCTCTTATGAATAAACAAAAACAGAAATCTTTATGGGGGTTGTAGGTAGGAAAAGTTTATCATAATAAACGGAGCTGATGCAAATTTCAAAAGAACTTTCTTCAACTGTAAAGCTGTAGCCAAGTTAATTGACAAAACGCGCTTTGGAACCCTTTTAATGGATAATGTCCTCTGTAGTCTGTAGTCGCATCTGTATCTGGAGCCCTTACACCAAAGCCTTAAGAGATCGCAAGAAGGCCCACCTTAATATGTTTGTCTCATGAATGCTGCGATTTTGAGTGCCCCTTGATTAGGCCCACACCACAGGCCTCGCGACAAGCATCGTGAGGTGCATCAACATCATACATACCCCATACTCCATGCACGCGATGTAATCTACAGGGTGATGGACAAAAAGGAACACTCCATTCCTTAGCTTAGATTAATCAATTTACTCTTCTCCAGCTGGCAACCTCCCATCCAAAAAGTTTGAAAGTTTCTGAACGGCCCGTGGAATCTCACGTGATGGATGAAAAATCGCGCTAAAGTTAAGCACGGATTTCCGTTCCTCATGGCAACGCGACGCCTGAGTGCAAAAACCAACTCTCACTTTGGCATAAAGCCACCACTCCTGTTTTCTGTGCATTTACCCACCTGGGCCATTGCTGTCGCATACCTTTTCACCATTCTTTAGTGTCATTTTTTTTTCTCAGTCTCCTTCAATCCCCCAAATATGAGCGCCAACCAGGATATCACCCTCACAGAGGGCGAAGGTTCTAGGCCAGCTGGTGACAAGGGCAAGGGCAAGGCTGTTGGGTCTGAGGATATACCTATGGAGCAGTATTCTGGGGACTCTGAGACAGAGGAGAGTGATGCTGCAGATGATGAGACTGTAAGTTGATTTGCTTGTTGGCCTTGTCTGCGGGTTAGTGGTACAGCGGTTAGTGGGGAATGAAATGGCTAACTTGTCTTTCTTTTTAGTTTCCTGAAGGTGAGAGATAGCCTGTGGCCTCCGATATGGGAACTTTTTGTTTGCTTCTGTGCCATGTAACACCGAAATTTGTGCGCATCAGTCTTGATATATTTGTTGCTCACACACATGGTTTAGATGACATTGAAGAGGAAGAGGAAGCGGGAGACGATAACCTCGAACGCATTTCGGAGGAAAACATCATCCCAGGCGGTCGTCGCACTCGCGGTAAAGTCATCAACTTCGCCGAAGCCGCAGAAAAGGTCGAAGCGGACGATGCGATGGACGATGATGACGACGAAGAATACAAGCAACGCGACGAGGACGACGAGATGCAAGGCTAAATCCCACTCTCAATTCTACGTACCCAAGCGCGGCCTTAGAGCTTAGGGAGATAGCCCTGTCCTCAGCCAGGGAGGACGCTCATTCTTTTTACTTCTGGCATTTAATCCCTTTTTGCCCCCTTTATTCTGTGGGCGTGGTGTGGTGTTCATGCGTCGTGCGGGCCTGGACCAGGGTTTAAACATTGGGTCAATTGGTTTCTGGTTATTCCATGGCTGGTTCGGTAAAAAAGAAACAAAAAGAGGGCGCTCTTGTAAAATGGCACACATGATTGTTCACGTTATGGATATGGATGTACCACAAAATAATGAAGATCAATGATACATACCAAGCAATTCGAATTTGAATATATCCTGATTTTCTCATCTGCCCAGATTTTGCACTTCGTGGGCAGCTTGTTCATACCCTTTACTTCAAAGAAGTGTTATGGCTTTTGCTGGCAGGCCTCGGCTTTGGATAGCTTTGGCTTCGCGCGCAGGCAAAGTATTCGTTTGCGCGATGAGACAGGATCTTGGAGCCAGGCAGTGCTCGCCGGTTGCCAATGAAAAGCCATCCTCTAAGCTCCCGCGTGGCCCTTCTGAAGGTGTCAAATGTCCGTGGCCCGTATTCGCGACCTCGTTTCAAGTTCCGGATAACTTTCAGGGCGATCGAGTGTTGATTACTCAACAGAAGCAATTTCTTGGCCTTGAAGACGGACAGATATCAGTAATCTACAAATGCTGTCATCTGTGGGGATGCTATTTGACGAGCTTGTTCTCCCATGTTTTGCCAAGTGTCTGCCTGAAGTGGCATCCCATTTTAACGTTCCGCAACCTCGCACGACTTCTTGTCTGGGGCAGTGTTCGCAATTTAGCCGTCTTGGATACGACAGGTGCAGATCGCATGTCCGGCGTGATAGCTTGTACGTGGTGTATAAAATGATGGGACGAACCCGGCTCGGCTTCTCCCAGATGAACTGATTCAAGTCATCTTGCCAGAATCTTTGGAAATATACCCGGCTGAAGTTTGGCTCTATCCTATCACGCAAAAATCCTCTATCTACATCCATAGATACACACATAGTTACTTTGCTCCATTCCACCGATATTACCGCCGAAAGAATGTCCTTCCAAAAAAAGATCTTCATCAACCTCCCTAGCAAAGACCTTGAAGCTTCCAAACGCTTCGCCTTCGGTCTCGGCCTCAAGAAGAAGTTTGAGGGCTCTGGAGAGATGCAAACCGTCGTCTTCGTCTACGCAGATAACATCTTAATTATGTACCACGCCCATCCGACTTGGGAGCGATGGTTATTCGAGGGTCGAAAGACCGCCGATGCGCATTCCACCACACAAGCGCTGTTGACCTTATCCGCAGAATCAGCGGAGGAGGTGGAGAGTATGGTTAGCAAGGCTGTGGATGCCGGAGGGAGAAGGGGACCCCAGATGGCGCCGGACAACGACCAGTATGGAATGTATTCAAGGAGTGTGGAGGACCCGGATGGCCATGTTTTCGAAATTGTATATGCGAGTAAGGGGTGTTGTATGGGGGCGTGAACTAAATAAAGGGATACCTTCAAGCCTTGTATGTACTGTACATACATATCAATTAAACGGCCGTTTGCTCCGTGCAGAGCGCAGCAATTGATCCCCAGCGGAGCGGAGTGGGCTTTTTCGCTCCGCGCCTCCACTTCCTGTCTCCACAGCGTTAATGTGAGGGTTCTACGCCATGCCATACCAGGACAGGTGTCTCTCAGTGGCAATGACTAAGCACAGACCCCATAATGGGAACAAGGCCAAATAATGGTTTGTTTCGACGGGTTGGGGGGAAAAAAAAAAGAATAAAAAATAAAAAAAAGCAGAAAAATGATAATCTTGCTGTCTGCCCTTTGATATTCTAAATGGCGTCAAGGTGTGGCTTTCCAGATTCAGAGTGCCGTTTCTGCACCAGAGACTGACGGACTAACCCTTCTCAGATTTCCTCATTCGGCGCTCCACCAGCGAGATCCTAGGTCGTCGTCGAGCTTGTTCGATTCCTACAGCGGAAGCAAAGAGAGAAATCGTCCCTCGAGTCGATCTCCCGGGTATACAGGAGGAGGATATGGATTTGCGGGGTCATCAAACGGAAGCGTAAATCCAGGATACCGAGCCGCAACGCCGAATAAAAAGTACGAGTTACACTAAAAATTTCTGGGTCTATGAACGAATCTTTGCAAGTCTGGTAGTGATACATGGCTGACGTTTGCTTATGGAATTTAGAGGCCAGTACTCAGATGCAGTCTTATCCTCCTTAGAGTCTCAGAATGATGCCGAGGTTGAGGGTATTACGGCCAAGGTGAAGATGCTGAAAGACGTATGTCTCCTTAACGACAATCTTACATACGTTTGAATGGATTTCCTAGTTCCTAGGATGAACGTCGTTGTCTAACTTGGAGCGGAATCTAGATTACCGTAGCCATTGGTGACGAGATCCGTGAATCCTCCGCCTTCGCAGATAAAATGAATGACACATTTGATAATACTCGAGTTCGACTACGCGGCACCATGAACCGAATGCTACGAATGGCAGAGCGTAGTGGCGTTGGATGGAAAGTCTGGCTTGGATTCTTTGTCGCCGTTTTCATGCTCTTCACATACGTCTGGCTGTTTTAAGCGCTCGCGAGTTGTTCCACATGTCCATTATTCCGCATTGACGACCTTGCTCGGTATCTAAATGACGGCCTACGTATTCCCCGTGATCGATAATTCATCGCTACTTACACATTTACAATGCAACACTATTATACCTACCTACTGTTTCAGGCACGTCCGCTCTCGATCGACTTTACGACTCTTGCTCCTTGTTACCTATTTTCCGGTGTTTGCTCCAGGATGGCAAAAACATTTACCATTAGCCGGCGCTGTCAGAGGGAAATGCACCAATAACACTTTGCACAAGCACACGATCTCTTTTTAGTTATGGGAAACCTTTTCTTTTCTCCTCTTGTATCTGTCCATTTCGAGGAAGCATCTGACACGAGACCTCCTGGTGAGCTCGAAGGAGGACGGCGTTTTCGTTGCCATTTCGCATATCACATGTATATTTATATAGCCCTTTTTAATACCCGTGGCCGCACGGCTTTGACTCCGGATGTCCTATATCAGAGGATGATTTATGTCTGCGCCAATATAGATATATTTCAATCCATGATGTAATCTCGAAATGCCTGTAACTATAATTATATTTCATGACACAGGAAAGCTACTACAGTGGGCATACCGGTCGACAAAGCGTCCCGGCTAAGATCCCTGTTTCGACGTAAATCTATCACATCATCAACTCTAGGGTAAAAAGCCTCAAGCGCCTTCGCTTCGCAAAAAAAAAATCAAAAAAGGAAGGGAGGGAGGGAGGAATATGTCGTCGTCTAGCTATAGGATCAATACCTCCCCCCCATTGTGCCCAGGGCAAACTTCATGGAACGTTGATAGACTCATCGGACAAAGTCGAACGTCGTCTCCGATTTCGAATCCTTGGAAGACGTAGATTTCGTTCAGACATTCCGCTGGATCGGAAGGCCGCCATGGAATCCTCTACATCGTCTCCGATTCCACCGCTCCATCGTTCGAGAAATAGTCGCTGTGCTTCTGTTTCCCGGTGACGGACGAGAGGCGGTGGGAGGGGAGGAGAATTCTCAGCAAGCGTGGATATACTCGACCGAGGGCGATGTGAGGCTTGATAGAAGTAACGATCAGTCATAGAATAGTGCAGGCCATCGGATTGGTCGTCCTCCTCGTCCTCCTCGGCATCGGTATCTGTATGCTCCCATTCCTGTTCAGGCACATCCTCATCCAAATCGCGCTCCATCATACTAACATCCTCTTCCTGAGGTGAGGCTGAAGGGATATCATCATCCAAATCAGGCTGTTCATCGAAGTCTTCATCCTCTTGGTCATCGTCATCGTCATCATGCCCTATCCCAAACCCTTCAGGAATATCATCATCTAAATCCCTCTCCATCAACACCTCCTCCTCGTCCTCACCCTCGACCAAATCATCCTCATCCAACCCATCCTCTCCATCCTCCACCAACCCACCACTAAACTCATCCTCCTCCTCATCCTCATCCGCCTCCGGGATCTCATCATCCAAATCCCTCTCCATCTCCTCCAGATCATCCCCTTCACCTCCTCCGATGCCACCATCAAGCCCCACCTCCCCCATAAACTCCATCTCGCCTTCCATCGCCGCATTCGCCGCTTCCTCTCTTTCAGCCTCCTCCTCGCGAATGCCCTGCATGGTCTTCGGATACCCCGCCGGCCGAATCCATGAGTACCCAAACGAGGCTATATTCTGCTTGCGGATTCGCAGCGCGCGTTCTTCGAGCATGAGGGCAGCGAGGGAGTCTGATGTCGGAGGAACATGTGATGCTCCTCTAGACTGGCCATTTCTGCGGATGTTTGTGGTTTGGTTTCCAGCGGGGGCAGTGTAGCTCGTGCGACGGGAATGGGGAGGTGTGAACCACAGCATGTGGGACTAGACGGAGGTTTGTCAGTTTGGTTCAGTTTGGTTTTGCAAGGAAGTCGCTGTTATATCTGCATGGGATTTGGCAGAGGAGAAAGGAAGTAATCTTCTAACACTCACATCTCGAGGTTCGATCAGAGGGAGAGATAGCATCGTAGCTAGCTTCTCACGCGTTTGATGTTCGGAATCGGAGTAAATTGATAGGTTCCAAAACCGAAAGTCAGGCTAGATTTAATGTAGGTATTTACCGGGAAATGGAAAATATAAGTCTTTGCAGGTTATCTGAGAATTCCACTTTAGATTTACTCCGTACTCCCCATACATAAACCTCCGAGCTCCGTACATCGACTTTGTTAACGAATTATGACCGCACAGCTGGCGGCCGTGTCTTTGGCTGGCACCAAGGCACCTTCCCTAATCAGGCCTAGTTCAGCGCAGAACTACCTTAGCGTAGTTCGGGCCACCAAGCGACAGGCACAGCTTGTGTCAAGAGGTTTTAGTTGATCAACTAACTACTCCGTACGGAGTACTCCGTACATACATAGCAAATGCTCACACCGTAGCTGACCTAACAGCTGAGGTATGACGTAGGGAAGCAGAGATCGAAATTGAGGTATCAACACAGGTGAACGGAGAGCACCCAGAGACATAATTTTGTCCATCTGCAGCAAAGGCCGGAGAGAAAGGAGCTATCCAATATTAGGCAAGCAACTGGGTTTGCATTTCTCCGGGTAGCCCCAAACAGACAGCCCCCAAACTTATGAACAAAATTTTTGGCCAATGGTGGACTACCCAGGAGAGCTATCGCGTGAATATAGTAAATAAGAGAATTCTACGGAGTACAGAGTTACAGAAAAACAAAATCCAGTATTTAGTAGAATAGAAAGGACATTCTTCGTATAAGGATGTTACGGGGTAGCTGAGTTGGCAGCTGTACGGAACACGGCAGACATGATGTATGAGATGTGAGATCTCACTACTCCGTAGTTAGGGTCGATCGCTTGGGTTCGTAACTTAATCACCGATGGATAGTAGGGGCATATGTAAGTAACATACTCTGTACATGTGCTGCGCTCCCCACAATTATTGCGATCAATATGAAAAATGCTACAGAGAAGTTGCCCCGAATTGATTGCTTTCCCGTGAAACCTTGCAGTTACTCGAATTAAGAATATTAACAAACTGTTCCCCCTGCAATCCAAGCTTGACATCCGAAACCTCTCCACAGTTAACCCAGAATAAAAGTTAAAAAAAAAAAAAAAGGAAATAAGCATCGTTGAGGCCCTCCGTGGTTCATTCAGCTAGCGGAATGTACAAACAGCTTATACTTCTGCTCACACCATTCCCAGAACTTTGTATGATAGCCTAATCCACCTTGTTCGACTGGTGTCATGGCCTTGATAATATCCTTCCGCGGACAATCGTTGTCGGAACGAATCCTTCCCCAAGGGATGATATAAGCACCGTTGTTCTCCAGAGTAATGTCGCGCGAGAACGCAGCATATAGCTCAGTGTACGCGCCAAATTTTGGGTCACGAAGCAGGCCATTCATGAGCAGCATATTGATAGCCGGAGTGCCACCGTACGCACCACTCTTCAGGAAACCCGGGTTTTGAATGACGCTAATAATGCCATCCTTGCCGTATCGCTGAGCCATTTCCCGACCTAACATCCAAGTCCCAGCTTTGGAAACGGCATAGTTGCGAACACGACCAGTTGTACCTTGATCCAGACGCTTAAAGTCAATACCGTACTTCGGTGTCCCACCCTCGGCCAAGAAGCTAGATGTCCATACCACGCGAACGGAGCCTGGGTACTCTAGGGCGGCAGCCACTGCAGCGCGAAGCTGGGGAAGAAGGAGTTCGGTGAACAATAGAGTCGCGATGCAGTGCATACCAACCATAGCTTCGAAGCCCTGTGCTGTTTTAGCCCCGACCTGCACGAGGTTGGCGCCAGTGCCTGCGTTGTTCCAGAGGATATCGAGCTTGGACTCCTGCTGCGCAAAGGTTGCTGCAGCTTCCTTGACGGAGTCTAGATCGTTGAGGTCCAGGTGGAGAAATTTGAGAGTGCTTGGTGTTTCGGGCTGCGGCGACGACTCGGTGATCGATTTGATGGCAGCTTCTGCTCGATCCTGGGTGGGTGTTAGCAAGACTGACTCTTGAGGTTTATCAACAACGCGTAGATTGCGGATGATCAATAGCGATATTGACCATCCCTTGCGCTCTTTGGGCTCTCACCTTTGATCTCGATGCCATGTATACCGTTGCTCCTGTGGCATAGAGTAGCTTGCATAGTTCGAACCCAATGCCCGCATTGCCGCCGGTCACGATGAAGACCCGGCCACTCCGAGAAGGGACATTTTTCTCAGTAAAGGCTGCGGGTGGGGGGAATGACTGAGAGTAAATGCTGCGTAACGTTGAGAGACACATGGTTTCTGGGTATAGAATCGAATAACGTGTGAGCACGGCAGCGGTGTCGTAAACTGATTCCCTCTATCTATCTATCTCTCACTCTCTCACGCACGCACACGCACTCTCTCTCCCGCGAGATTCGCAAGTTAGGCAACATGACTCCAACCGCGCTTTATATTTTATATGTGTGGGAAGGCGAAGCGGCCCACGTGATGCTGAGTCCGGGAAGCTCCTTCTCTGTTGCTGCTGATACTCAGACCGCGTGTTCGGTGCTGAATCAGGCAGGCAGCATAAATAGATAAACATCAGCCGCCGGCCGCCGGTTACGGTCATCCATATCGCATTTGGACCGCACAGGGGTCCTGCAAGGGAGGCTGGTGAGTTTGACAGCATGGCTATCCGTTTGAAGCATCCTAACGCATCCTGTGCAAGGTTCTAACAGGTTATCCTTCATAATCAATTGCCCGGAATCACTTGATTCTCCTCCGTTTAGAAACATGTAGATTCCAGTTCCTGTCCTCCTTCATCGAAACAGTTTCCCACTGCCATGAACTTCCAGGCCCCCAAAACTAGGTCCGGATCCCTGCTATAAATGCTTGTTTAACGGCTTGCGCCTTACCCGGTAGCCCTTTCTCCACTCCACTCCCAAGGCGGAGGCAAACAGATCCGTAGCCGAGAGCCAATAGCGGCAGTTTGATACCGGGTGAGCTTGGCCTACGGTATGCCAGAAAGGGTCTTTGCTAAATCAATGAAAAACGGCAGTGCGGAGTACTCCGTATGGAGTATACACAGTTGCTATCTCTGGAGTCCTGGAGTACTCTGGGGTATCAAATGCCGAAGCCCGGCCCATCTTTGACTGCTGTACCGTCGGCATTTTAAGAGCGGCCCCATGAGAAGCTCGGTATTATAAATAAAGCAAGTGCTGACAAGACTGTCAAAGACAGATATTCCTGAGTCAATAAGATCAGGGCCTCTGTGAAGTTTGGGACACGCGAGGAGTCAGCCTGTATTCTGTGGTTGAAAGGCACCCAGACGTTTGCGCTCCCGGATTGTTATTCCAATTCAGTTGCGTTTCGATTTCAGTGGAATCGTTGGCTGTCTTCCTTGCGGGGAGACTTTTGACGACAAGTCCTCAACCAGCAGGGATTACTACGCATCTTCGACAATAACTGTTGGCCCCTAGGACCGCTTTGCCGCCATGATGAACGACGGACCCAGGCAAGCAAAGGGCAGTCCCAGGACGGTCGTGGCGCAGCTAGGCCCGTCGGCTTTTCTGCCACGGTTCAAAAGCCGTCAGTCCCGTTTCTCGCGTCCTCATTGGTGCTTCGGAGCTTTGGCCACCAGCTGCCACATCCTTCCGATATCGAGTTCTATCGCGACAAGGGTGCGAAATAAAGCTACCTAATTCCAATGTAACAGGAGAAAATGTCTGATACTACGCTGCGCTTTCTCTCGAAACGAAAGAATATACGGAGTAGAGAAAGTTTCTTTTTGGAATGCCGTTGTCACTTTTGACATAACCCAAAAGAGGCAACGAGAGCTACACGATGGAGTACATCACACTCAAGTAAACAATGCCTCAACATTTTTCTTTGTCTCTTCTTCTCATCTACTGATGAGGCTTCCGCTTTCAGCGTTGCAATTTTCATTTTTATCCCTACCTAACACCTCAGGATTAGTCCGAAAGCAAGCCACGTCGACGACTCAGAAAATGTCCCCGTCGGGTATTCCATCTCTGTATGAGATACTCCAGCTGGGAATCCGCGCTACTGTACTTGTGGGGAGCCTCGCAGTCCTTGCGCTTATGATATTCGTCAGAGTGAAATTTGTCACAATTGATACATGGTCCATTGCCGCAGTATGTGTGCCTCAGACCTTTCCATGAATGCCACCCATCACATATGACTCAACAACTTCTCCTGACTCCCGTTCATGCGTTCATGCGGTGATAGGTATGCTGGTGCATCTGCGTAGATACAGCAGAAGTGTTCCGTTTACTGTCCACCGGACGTCGCACCAACGTTCCGTGGCTCTCCGTGACGGCGATGATCACTCTGGATCTTATATCCGTGATATTCCTTACTGGTGCTATTCTTGCGACGTTATTCAGTGACCTATCTCATTCCAGGGTAGAGCGAACTCGAGCACAAATAGGGTGGTGTTTGGTTGTGTTTTGGTGTCAGATTGCGTTAGCGTAAGCAAGCTCCTCAAAACGATTTCGGCTACAAACTTGAATTGTCGTCGCTGATTATAGGGTTAAAAGGGGGTATCACTTTATGCTTGTGATGCTGCACTGTTTTCATCGATGCAAATATGGAACAGATCTGAGTTGATGAGTACCTTTGTTAACCGGTTCGCTTGGCCTTTTTTTTTTTGGCTATCATCATCACCAACATCGCGTTTGTCTCTGTTTTAGATAGCAGATATTACCATACTAGGAGCTACTTGAGTTGGTTGTGAGTATCTCTAACATCAAAGAATGAAACTGCTTCTCCAAAATCAGAGCTTGTGAATAGCTGCTGGTTAATTTCGCGTTGCTATTTCCCCGGGTTGTTGGATTAAATATAGGCTGCAGACAGACACTTGAAGCAACAAATCAATTGGTTTGAATCCAGGGCTAGCACAAAGACCGGTCGTAAAGCAGGCGCACGGCCCGGTCGATCGCATTGGAAGCGTGACATTCCCCGCAACGTAGTTGGAACTGGTGGCCCATGCTATCAAAAAAAGGCACTATGGGAAAAGTAGCAAATCTAAATATATCAGAGTGAGAAACTGAGGAAACAGCTGATAAACATCATTGCAATACCTTCTTCAGGGACTATCAATCAACCAATCTGTTTGTGATAACGGGTTGTTTTGTTCAGCGGCATGCCATTTGGGCAATAGCATTCATAACACAAAACCGCGGGTCTTGGCAGAGAAATCCACCCTTGCAGCACATATGGGTAAATCGATTGAAGCACACAACACCATCGCAGAGCCAGGGTAGATGTACGGGGCATTTCCGAGGGCGCTTGGAGAGATCTCGTGCATGTTGTCTCTCAGTTGGATTTCCACTGGGTAAGTCTTCCGGCGGGATGGCCATGGTGATGTTGGTTGGGTCGAGTTCAATGACTTCGTTGATATCTCGAGATTCCTTTTCGTACTTCTCATTGGGATCTAGGGTGTTCGTGACACTGCCCGATGCAAGGGTGAAGTTCTCGAGTTTGGGTTGAGTAGTGGCTTGGGCGCAGACGAGGAAAGCCTGCAAGAAGAGCAGGGTAAAGCCGAAGAATTTCATATTTCGTTGTGGATTTGATGGTGGTTGAGATGCCGTAGATACCAAGCTTCTTCGAAAGAGAAATGGCTATTGGAGAACTTGGATTTCTACAAGTTGTGAGGAAGATCCTCAAAGCGTCAAGTTCTGCTGAAGTAGGAGTATATATAGGCATCACTGCCTCTAAGCGAGTCTCCCAGTAAGCCATTGATTGCTTGCATGTTTACAGTATTTATGGAATATGACAATCCTTGACGACATAACCGTCTTCACGGTGACGGTTTCGCTCCACGAAACCCTCAACTGTGAAATTCAGAGCAGTGAAGTGATGACAATTATTTTTTTAAAAAAAAGGATAACCCATTGTCCAGTCACTTCATTCATAACCAACGAAGGATGTGATTCAGGGGTATAATTTGACATAGAAACCCATAGTGCGTACTTCGTATAGCCCTATGTAAAATCTCGCAACGCCTTTTCTTCCGCTATTCACATCATGGTGAGACCCGGAAGACGGCACAGTACCGGATTTCTTGGACTCGGGAAGATAGAGAATGGGTATGTACGGTACTCCGCGTATCGATGTAAGCGACAGATGCCATTGGCCATTATCAGCGCGTGTGCTGTTGGTGACGACAAGGCCCAAGCAGCAAAGCATGCCTTGCCTCTTCACTGTTGCCAACAAAAAAAACCGAAGACAACGAAACACGCGGAGGCAGGGGCCGCGTATGGAGAATCCCTATGGGGCGGCCGGCGGGGGCCCCGAGTCCCGAGGGACCGTGTTGATGTCGAATTCTCCCGACGGCGAGAACAAGCATGGATGGCCTGCTGGGCGATCCCTTTTGCCCGCCCGGGACTCAGGCGCCAAGCAATCATGTGATTGAATGGAGAGCGCTGTCGGAATGCGCTATGTCCGTTTGGGATTAGTCCCGCAGCGTCGGCCGCGAAAAAAAAGATTGCGGTGCTTAAATTTTCTAAGCATTCGGGAGTCGGGCGCCGCAATTGCGAGAGGAATCCTTCGTTCTCTTCTAGTATTCTAGACAAAGCTCTCCCTGTTCTCTTTCTGCAGATTGTTCTCTCCCGCTCGCTTTCTTTTTTTTCTCACAACTTTCGCTTTTCTATCGAACACAAAGCTCCGCGATGGCTCCCGCTCTTGCTGCACCAGTTGCCGGTTCCGCGGCCAAGGATGTCAAGAGGGAATCAGCAACTGCGAGACTACTGGGATCCGGTAAGGACACAGCCTGCTCAGCGATCTAGGGCCTCTGCTAACATAGTTAGGCTCTGCCGGTATCGCTGAACTTCTCATTTTCCATCCAGTATGGGCCCGCTGAGATCGCCCTCGATATTGGCGGTTGCTAATGCATCACACAGGTCGATACAACCGCGAAGCGTTTGATGAGCAATCAGACAAAGGTGCGTGCAATTTCAAGCGGTTCGTTTTGCTGAGCTATTTTTACTAACCCTTTCCTCCACCAGATCTCGTCTGTCTCGGCCCTCAACAAAGTCGTCTTCAAAGATTATGCTTCTGCCTCCGTCCTCCGCAAATTCACATCCTTATTCCCTGGTCTAGGCTATGCCGCTGGTTACAAAGTAAGAACATGGATTTGCAGAATTCCTTTCCGGGCGGCTATTCATTCTAATTTTTCTTGCAGGTCTTGCAACGAATCTACAAGTACGGAGGACAGCCATTCGTCCGTGATCACCTTGCCAAGCACTATGGCACCGACTTTGATAATGCATTCGGTAAGGGAACTGGCAAGGCTATTATGCATGCGACGGCCGGAAGGTATGGCTATACTCTAAACAATCCTTCATACGTACCGAGCTGATCATTTTGGCTCTCGCAGTTTGATCGGAATCGGAGAAATCGTTCTCCTTCCTCTCGATGTTTTGAAGATTAAGAGACAGACAAATCCGGAGGCGTTCCGTGGCCGTGGCCTCTTCAAGATTATTTCCGACGAGGGAATGGGTCTATATCGCGGTGCCGGCTGGACTGCTGCCCGTAACGCTCCTGGTTCATTTGCGGTAAGTGTTATAATACTGGGTAAGTTGATGCCATTCTAACATATCTCTAGCTGTTTGGTGGTTCTGCCTTTGCAAAGGAGTATATCTATGGCCTTTCGGACTATAACCAGGCGTCTTGGCTTCAGAACTTCGTTGCCTCCGTGGCTGGTGCTAGCGCATCGTTGATCGTCTCTGCACCATTGGACGTCATCAAGACCCGCATTCAAAACCGAAACTTCGAGAACCCCGAGTCCGGATTCCGTATCGTTAGCAGCATGGTTCGCAACGAAGGCCTTACCAGCTTCTTCAAGGGGTTGACACCCAAGCTCTTGATGACTGGACCGAAGCTGGTGTTCAGCTTCTGGTTGGCGCAGACCTTGATACCCGCTTTTGGAGCAGTTGTATGATGAAAAATGTGTTTTGGTACATCGGCGTTCTCGTATATGTGTTTTGCCTTGTTTTAATGCGCCCTCATAGATTTTTAATGCTCGGGTTTCGCATATGTATTTATAGAAACTCCCTTCTTCGGGGTGCTCGGTTTGGCTTTTTTGGAGGAGTTCAGCGAAGAACCTTAAAGCGGGATTCAAAAATAGGGATGAGCTATTTGACTCTAGAGCGCATATATTAAATGAAGACCATTCTATAAAGTACACAGATACAATCCGTACTTGATATACATATACGCGATGCTACGGGCTGTAAGCTCAGCCGCTTGTCGCCGCTTGATCCTTGATCCACGTGACAAACTCTCTTTTAACATCAACTGCAAATGTAGAAGAGCTGCCATTCCTGTCATCGTCTTCTAACCGCTCCGCAATGGCACCCGCTGTGGCATATCCTTATTTAATCTCCAAGTATGCATTTTTGCCACCTTCTTAACTCCCAATTACCCCCTTTTTTGGAGCGAAAACCCGTGTTTGTCACGTTCCATAGCTGACTTTCCGCGCCCAGGTTCGGCGATCCTTTATTCGCCCTGTTCATTGGCACTTCAGCTGCCTATGTCCGAATTCGTCGTGAACACCGAGAGAAGCATCCTGATGCGCCCAGCGACATGCTCTCTATACTAAGTTTGGGCAAGGGGAGAGTGGTGAGGTGGTGGAATGGATGGCAGTAAGAACCATCTTCGTGAGCGACACTTGACACCCAGCGCCTTGAGGAGCGGTATTGGCATCGCTGTGCGAAACGAACGGTCAAGTGGTATGTGAATGAGCAATAACGGATTCGAGAATGTCCTCGGACCACCGCAGAGCTTAAGAGTTAAGGCTTGGGGAGGAGATTTTGTAGTTGTGGAAGACGTATCGATCCGAGGGCGTGGCGAAGAAGCGAAGAAATCGATTCACAGTATATGCGATTATATCGATTACATGTCTCCTGAACCGCTAGCTGCCTGCGCATTACCCGCCAGCAACAGGGAATACCCCGAGCTTCTCACGTTGCGCGGTCACGGAAACCAAAGGAGTTCTAGGGGCATTGCTTTGTGGATGTTGATTCACTTGATTCAATGCCTCACTCTACCTAGTGCAACGATTTGAGCGAGGATCACGGATTTCAGAGGCTACCAACGAGTCCAAAGTCAAAAACACAAGAGAATCATCACATGAATAATAACTACATTGTTAATTGCATGAGAAGTCCGAAGAGATGATGAGTGTGCTGTACAAATACCTAAAAGCATGAGTGAACGGGAAACACACTTCGGCGGCTTGCTCCTCGATTCCTCAGATCTCACTCAATCTGGTCCACCGGCGTCCAGCCAAGTTTCTCAAGCGATCACAGCCACGGTATTATTCTAGGATTTAATGGGTTTCTCCTCAACGGGGCTACATGTATCACCCTTGATTGTTGCCCAGTAGGCTCCATTACAGGAGGTGGTATTTCCTGAGGACGCGTCCCAGGAGGTCCCATTCTCGAACCAAATCCCATCTCGCGGCTAAATCCCGATTTCGGATACGGGAGCCGGAGTAAACGTATTGAACCTTTCGCGCTCAAATCGATTCTCCAGCCTAAACGATCAATGAGCATCTGACAAAGTCCCAAGGCCAATGCAAAATAGACACCGTGTCCGTCTGGCACTATGGAACCGCTGCTATCCACATCTTCAAATGATTGGTCTACTAGTACTAACGGATAGGCGTGGCACATTTCGTGGATTAATACCTCAAGAATATCGTCCCTCCTCTCACTCCCTGTCCCTGCCAAATCGGTGTCGAAGTGCGTGGCTGAGATCTCGATCACGACGGGATTGCCAGGATATGTTACGCCCCTGGCGTTGCGTTGCACTGCATCACCCGACCCAAGGTACACCCCTTGTTGGAATTTATCACCGAAGAATATCGTATCGAGATCTTGAAAAATGGCAAGAGCTATTATCCTCACTGGAAGTTTCTGGAATTGCGAATCGTAGTATAGCTTTCGGACGATTGTTTCCACAGCCTGCCTTCTCCGGAGTGATAAGAAACCGGCAAGACAGTTTTCCTGAAGCTTTGCCATTGCGTTGCGGAGGTCCATACGAATGGAGTTCGCAGGCATTCCGGCGAGGAGCTTTGCTACAAGCCGTCGATCTCGTACAGGGTATTTTTTGCAAACATAATTGATGCTTTTCAGTTGTTGGACTTCATCCGCTGTTGGGGGCGAGTCACTTGGGTGGCATATGACAGCGCAATATGGTAGCATCGCTGTCAGAGCTGTTTATTGGGAATTCAAGATCTTGTATTGGGACTTCCTTTTTCCCATGAACAGGGCACACTCCGACAGCTATATCAGCAGAGCAATAGCTATGTTTTCAATGTCTGAAAGCCAGCACACTTCCAAATTGCAGCCGGCAACGGGCCACAACAAGACAGGTCACTGCGAGCTACTCAGCAGAACATAGATATTGAAAACAAGTTGAAGTTTTCAGATGGAGTTGTCATCCATGAGAATCATTTGCAACTAAGCTTCCTATGCAGCAGCTGGCTTGCTGTGCAGTGAATATGCCCGTGGCGATGATGTTTATGGTTAGTTTACTGTTTCATGGTGGTATCTTGATACACATGCATGCATGTATGTATGTATGTATGTACGTACTACCATGTACCACAGCAGCAGCTTTTGGATTCACTCTTATGTCATATCGGCAATATTCCTCCTCTCTTTCGGAATCTATTATGTACACTCACAGGGGTAAATGAATGTTGTCCTACGTTGCTATGTATTGCCGGCTACCACGAAGCCCCCAACACGAGCAGTTTGCAAGTTTGAAGAAGTCATGAGGCCTTCCCCCCGGCTCTACGAAGATGATCGACAAAGTAATATAAGAGTTCAAGGATCGCTAAAAAAAAAAAAAAAAAAAAAAAAAGGATGTGATGGGTTGGCCCGCTATACGGCTCTAGGCAGAGGAGTCGAGCTCCACCAGCCCTTGATAATTAAAGGATACTTCATATCAATACATGTTAGCTGCAAAGGAGACGCCACGAAGAGACAGGAAAATCGTCACTATCAATATGTACGCTCAGGATTCAAAAGTTCCTCCACCTGGCTGCGGTTTGAGGCCTGACAGGGCGAGAAGAAGCATTTAAGGACTGTGTGCCTATATTGCACATAATTCATGTTGTGGTCATGTAATATGGTATTAAAGTCCTTAACGATGCTCGAACCGAAATTTGACGCCGAAAAAAAGAACTATACAAATATCCCAACGGTGCGCCTATGAAAGCGCAAATCGAACCGAGTAGTCGAGCCCCGGCATACCCTCTTGTGGCCAGCGGAATAGCCCAATCGATCGTATGAATCGGAATTTGTTTCCGACGGCCGAAAGAGCAAGGGAGGAGGAGCACGGCAAGCCGAGTGATTTGCGGTCTCCTGTCCTATCCTCAGTGGTCGTATACCTGCTGGGTGTTGACCAGGTCAGTTCGAGTTCTATCGACACACGGGAGATGGGCGTTTGAACGCATACCATACCCAAAGTGGCGCCTATCGTGCTTTGACGCTTTTGAATTCGTCGTCCAATTTCAAGTACTTCTCGGATCGCTTATATACGAAGCCCCCATTCAACTTCCCTTGCATGGCGTACCCTATCGCTCCTTCTTCGTCGCCGTGAGCTTGCAGCATCCTCCACGATTCTTCGTCCTCGACCTGCTCACGGAACGCGCACACTCCAAAGTCAATCATATAAACCGTGAAGTTACCCTGCGGGCGGTCATCCCGTACGACGAAGTTCCTCGGCTTCACATCCTCGTTAATGATGCCACAATCGCCAACGTCGTTCACGATGCGAAGGGCCTCGTCGCATATACTCTGCCACATCTTCCTCGGGGCTTTTAAAGACAGTTGACGCAGCTGGAAGCCCGGGATATGTTGTAACAGAAGCCCAGGAATGACCGGCTCGTCGCAACTCTTATTATCCTTCGTCGGGAGGCTGGTATTCGGCGAAAAGTCTGCCCTCATCCTGACATTCGCAAAAAGCCTCGGTATTATCTTCCCCTGCAGGCCTTCCAGTCGTCGATACGCCTTTGTTTCAGTGTCGTGGATCTCTTTTGCCAAATCATCGAGGTATTCCTCATCCAGAGAAATCCTAAAGGCCCTCTTCTCGTCTTCAGAGGGCTCGATGCCATCTCGTCGTCTGTTACTCCAACCTTGTCTACGCCCGCGCACGATATATTGTTGGTACACGGTCTCGATTTGAGGAGACCAGCGCAGGAATTTCTCCCCTTCGCGGAAACCACATGCAAACCGCCTATCGTAAAGCTTCAACACCATCGGCCTTTTTATTCGCAAAGAAGTGGGGCTTAATCTAATGACCGCGGGTATCGCCTGCACAACCAACACGCAAGAGAGCGTGAATGGTGTGAAAACTTCAAGAATAGTGGCTGTTATCGGTTTCTCATCTCCGGCGTGCAAGCGGAGCGTGTTGCCAATAAAGTAGGGACACCTGCCAAATTCCCGTCAGTTCACATAGCCTGATACATTTAAAACCATGTATTTAGGTCCACTTACTCTGATTTTGAATATTCAAATCTTATTGGGGCGCTTTTTTTTTAAGCATTCCGCCCCCTTGTTCCACCCCGACGGGGTTGCTTTCCCATTGTTTGCACCAGCTCTGCTTTTTCCAGGAGCTCGTAGGAGCAATTTCAGTCCTTAACGAGATGAAGTGATGAAAATGCGCCATTTTTAGAATTTTTGTTTTGAGTCAAACATGGTGATTCAGGTCTGAATGACTTCAGCTTGACCTCACTGGGAACACGATGAAGAAACTTCGATGTCATATAAGGATTGAAAGTTTATTCCAGTGTTTGTACAGCGAAGAAAGTCATTGGGATTACTGTCGACCAGCTGTCACAAGTCCCGTAAAAGAGGCTAGGAGCCCACCTTTACAGATGAAGGTCGCATCAACTGGGGAAATCTACATACATCGCATGTGAGTCGATAGGAAGAGGAGGTTTGGAACATAGTTCCATTTAGATATAAAAATAATCATAATGTGCAGACAACCATGTTCATTATCATACTAATCACAAACCTGACAAAATGAACCACTACCAGAAATGACTCAATCTTGCACCACCAAACATCTTGACCACAACTTTGGTCGGGTCCATTGAGTGATGATGCAATCAAAGCAAAGCAGACGTTAACTCACAGCAAAAACGCCGTTGCAAGCAAGCAGAACACCAAGCACCGCAGTCATTCCGATTTCTTATGTATTTTGTCCCAGGAAGAACGAGTCCAAAAAGGGTGGGAAGTATGCTGGGAGAAGGATAGGGGTGCCGAAGAAGACCAAATCCATTAACACTCTTGATATTAATACTTCAGAGCCATCGAATAAAAACCGGGATTCTTGGCGCTTCCCCGTACACACTAGGATTGCGAGCTAATTTGATTATTTCAAAATCCGGAAGCCCCGAACTTAGTTTCCGAACGTATTCTCGCCAGAGTATCTGTTAAGCCGTCAGTCACCGTACTATGCAGCAAATAGAGGTGTTAAGCCACATGGGAGCAGGCACAAAAAGACCTACGTAATATACAGGAATCCATCGTCGTCTTTGTGCTCCTCGTAGATGCTGCTCATCAGGGCAGCGGTGGGCGGCAACACCTCATCGACGAAGATGAAGATGGCTTTCTCGGGTGACAACTTGATGCGCTTGCGAATCACATATACGAACTGGCCCACCGTGAGATCTGCTGGGACGAGGTATTTCTTCTTATCGATGGTTGCAATGTCCGACTTTTCAACCTTCTCGCAGATTACCTATCGGAAAGAGCGAGTTAGCGGTGAAGGGGTAACGACGAAGGCCGGCAAATTCTGGGGACAACGAAGGGGTGAAAGGGGAGAAGGAGGAAGAAGATGGGCGCATACTGGAATGCGGTCTGCGTATTTCTGGCGGATGCGCTCAGCTTCGGCCTTGCGCTTTTCGAAGGGATGCTCGTCCTTGAACTTGGAGCGCATGGTGGATAACGGGCTGACGTAGTCGATTTAAATCGCGGATGTGAACGGGGATGGGCTGGATGGGTTCGAAAGTAGAGACGAGGGTGGCGATGATGGATGCAGAAACTTGGTTTGTGAGAAGCGTGCAAATGAGTTCGATTTATGGGAGACGATGAGAAGCAGTGCGGGTGAGATTGAGAGAGAGTCGATGGGATGGTCGCTCATATGGAAGGCTGCAGCCCCGCGAAGTCAATATGTAAGGGCGGTGGAGAGTGGTGCTAGGCCCGATCTGGTCTAGTGGCAGTGGCTGCTGACCTGGTAGTATGACTAATTCCAGCAACCAGCCAATCACAAGGAGCCACAGCATCCCACGTGATCCCCTGTCTCGAGTGACTCGAGCAGGAATGAGCCGCCAGAAGACACGCAGGAAGCGTTCAAAGAGTGCCACAGGGCTCGCGTTTGGAGGCCGTTCATCTCGCAGGGACAGGACGAGTCAGACCGACCATGGAAGCCTAGGCTGGCCCCACCGGCGGGTGGCTCGTCCTGAGCCTGGAATCTTATTTCATGCGCGGCCAAGCAGCGTCCGCACGTATTCCGTGACTCGAGACAATGACCTCATCATGCAAACGCCCCAAACAGGACAAACAGCGCAAACCTTTCTTGGCATGCCCAATTACGCTCGCTCCGTCGTTTCTCCGGGCATCTCGCGCCCTGATGGAGGACTTGTATGCTTGTCATTCGCTAAGCTACCTAAAGGGGAATCTCGGCTAATCTATGTGGGTCACGTGAGCGAGGTGCTAGTTGGATTACCTAACACGCCCGCCTCTATTCTTTTCTCCCGCCTCTACTCCGTACTGAGGTTGTGGTCGGTTCTACAACGGCGAGGTTGGGATACATGCCCTCTGGCCGACATCAACTTCGTTCATTGTAATTAAAGTCTCGCAGGCTTCTCTTCTACCTGTTGCCGCGCAGAAAAGTGGTGTGGAACAGCAGCAAGATCAGCCTGTCCTCCACGGTTCCCACAGCGAGTAGGAATCACGTGCTTGACTGGGCTCATGGGTCGTGCTTCCGGGATGTCGTGTTTATGGTCGAACGACAGAGCTCGAGCCAAAGGAATTGCCGGGAATTTAAAGCAGCCGTAACAGCTGCTTAGTATAGCCCCAGTTTCATGGCATTCATATCGCAAACTCTCGTGTATCAATTGCTGTTTTCTTCACATTCTCCATAGATGTAATTGTCCAATTTGTCCTGCAAAGTGTAATCGTTATGGCAATTCCCCGCATGTACTCCCGCTACTCAAGGGCATTTGGGCCTGGCTTTTGGAGATATCCCTGCCTTGCAGCTTCAAGGAGCCAGCGTCGTCAGATATTCTCATTCAATTTCAGGTCGTCAGAGAACGCGAGAGGATGGAGGCCGGTCGTGGCCTTCTCAATTGCAGCAGCAGCAATGGGTGCTTCGCTGCATGCTCTGGTATACGACCCATGCACATATCAGTTCAAGTTGTCAAACGTACATGATGCTAATTACAAATTTGAATAGACCTCAGAGCCCGTCAGGCTCGATGCGCCCTCGATTGCTGCTCTCGATGATAAAACAAAGCGCGGGGGCACCATAACCTCCTCATCGCCCATGCGTCTTCGCATGGAAAAGCTTATAAAGGACCACCAGAAGAAAATCGTAGATGAGCTGTCGCGCATAGACGGGAAGAACTTCATCGTTGACGAATGGAACCGACCCAATGGTGGTGGTGGTATCTCCTGCGTCCTTCAAGATGGCAACGTCTTTGAAAAAGCTGGCGTCAATGTCTCCGTCGTATACGGCCAATTACCACGCCCGGCCATTGAGAAGATGCGCGCGGACCATAAATCGTTCGTCGCTACGGACGTGGACTCGCTAGACTTTTTTGCTGCCGGGCTCTCTCTAGTCCTACACCCCAAAAATCCAATGGCTCCGACAGTCCACCTAAACTACCGCTACTTCGAAACTTCAGACCCCAAAGATCCCATCCACGGACCGAAGAACTGGTGGTTCGGCGGAGGCACAGACCTAACCCCATCATACATCTTCCCCGAAGACTGCAAGCACTTCCACCAAACAATCAAAGACGTCTGCGACAAACATGACCCCAGCTACTACCCCAAATTCAAAAAATGGTGCGACGACTACTTCTACATCCCGCACCGCCACGAAGCCCGCGGCATCGGCGGGATCTTCTTCGACGACCTTGACGCTGAATTTCTGGCCCACTCCACCTCCCACTCCTCGACAAACCCACAAGAGACCCTCTTCGCGTTCGTTTCTGACGCCCTCGCCTCATTCTTGCCGTCTTACGTTCCCATCGTCGAACGCAGGAAGGACATGCCGTTCACCCAAGCTGAGAAGGACTGGCAGCAGCTACGTCGCGGGCGCTACGTCGAGTTTAATCTTGTGTATGACCGCGGGACCAGCTTCGGGCTGCGTACCCCGAGCGCGAGGGTGGAAAGTATCTTGATGAGTCTTCCCAGAACGGCGGAGTGGGTGTACATGGATCCAATCTCTGGGACGAAGATGGGTGAGGAGAAGAAGGTTGTTGGGGAGGAAGTCGGCGGCGAGGAGAAGAAGAGGGAGAGAGAGCTGATGGATGTCTTGAAGTATCCCCGGGAATGGGTGTGATGCTCACATTTCGAGCTACGAGGCGTTCTGGGCTTCTGTGGTTGATTTCCTTTTTTTTTTTTTTTTTTTTTTTGGATAGTTCGAGTCTAGCCACTGGGGACGCGGCCCGTGGGAGTGTATGATACGAGGGATAGTTTTTATTGGTATAGACAGTGACCTATGTTGAGAGAACGGAGTTTCTCGTATTTGGATCAATGGACAACGGTGGAGGGCTGAAAAGTTGGGAGTTATAGAGCCCTTTCACGATGTTTTAAACATATAAAACAATAATACCAGAGTTCCTCAAACCAATGTCAACAGTGTTATAACTATCATGTAGAGTTCTTAGGTGTATGGTAAACCTACTCTACCATATCTTTTCAAAGGTATGACTTGTAGATCTATGGTGCATGCTGTTACATCCAATATGCGCTTAGGTCTTTCGATAGGGAAATTTACTGATACGTTGAGATACATAGGGTACCTTATCTTGCTGCGGCTCTTTCGCATTCATTATATGTAGGTAATTCGTCGGCAATTCTGACGGCATTTTCATTGACGGATAGCTCAGGAATGGTATGAACTTATCCAACACTGTGACAGACACAGACATAACATATTCACATGCGGATACTGTGTATGTAGAAATTTCATAGAAAGGCAATGTGTGAAATTAATACTCTGTATATGCCAAAGGTATCCTGTATGTATCTAGTATGGCTATGAAGCACTTGACAAAATAAAAAAGATGAAAGGGAAAACAAAAGGTGAAAACAAATTGCAAATAGACAACTAGGCAAATGACGCCTAGGGCCATGGACACAGGCGGCCAGAATCGTTGCCGCGGACGAGGGAAGCTCTTTTGGAGCCGCTCTTTTTTGTTACTCATAATATCCACCTGGAGATCTTCACATCACTTGCCCACAGCTCCCTTACCTCCAACACCGCCAACCATAGCTCTCTGCCGTACTAACCATGTCCTTCCAACCTCCGAGCCCATGCCACCTCCATTCGCGCCTCCGCGCTGATGGTACCGAGCCATACCACCCGCATTCTGGTTCTGCAATCGCGACTGAAAGTTGTACCAGGCGGAGGATATGAGAGCAATTTCTCGGGCCTGACGTTGGACGACTTGCATGAGCTCGGCCTATGGAGCGTTGAGTAAGCTTTGTTCTATCATCATAGGTCGTGGCTGAAAAGAATTGTCTAGCCAAAATAGAAAAAAGCTATAAAATTACGTACCTCTCGCTCTTTAGCAGCTCTGAACTCATCCAAATCTGCCGAAAAATCCTCATAATGCTCGATCCGCTCTTGCAACGATTTGATGAGTACATTTTGCTCTTTAATGTGCTGTGTTCGATTCAATTTTCTCCCCGGGGGGAGGCAGAAGTGATCTATTAGCACAGAATCTCTGATCGGATTGGACATAACGGTGTAAGGTGACCTCAACGGAAAACAGCTGCGTCAGGGTAGACATGGATTGAGGATAGACTGCGGTGAACACGACAATCGCGAGAATTGGCAAAGAGAAGGACCATTGCCAGAGCCTTATGGTGCTGCTCTTGACCTACTGATGGTCAACCTCTGCTTTGTACCAATCTCGGTCGAAACGTGAATTCGAAGGGGGATTTCGGGTTTATGTTTTGTGAAGAATTTGGGTAAGTGTAGAAGGATGTAATATATTGTTATATGTGCTAGGTCGGGATATACATGCAGGTGAGGGTTGTGATAACAGGGGCATATAGGGTACTCGACTTACCTCTACGCGCTTCGTAAGGTTCTCAGCATTTTTCTCTGTCGTGTCAGCGAATTCTTTCAGAAGCTCTAACGGCGATGACTCTGGCTTATCTGAAGTGCCGTTGATTCGGGATGTAAGCTCCTCGAGGAGTTTCTTCATTTCGTATAGCGTCACCTGGTCTTCGCCCCGGAGTTCCTCCTCTCTTTCGTCACGGGCAGCACGAAGGGCATTCCTCTCGCTGCAAACCTCTCTGACAATCGTGCGGCTGACGTCGAGTTTGCCCTCAAGCTCTCGAACCCTATTTTGAAGTGTGTCCCAATCCGCACGCATCTTCGCGATTTCCGAGGCATTCGACTCTTTAATTTCGTTGAGTATGTCCAACTTATCCTTATCAACAAGCCCCACTGCCGCAATAGTTAGAAATATGTCCTGAACTTTTGGACAGCTCTTCAGTAGGAGACATACAGTCAATTTTCGCATCTGAGAGCTCACGCTCAGTTGTTTCCGCGCGTGATTCTGTTTCGGTAAGCTTGGTGCGCAGTGTCGCATACTCCTCGTGCAATTTTCGATAAGTCTCGCTACAGAGATGATAAGCCTAAAACAAGTCAACCAATACAGTATTTATTGGTTGCCTAGAACTCACTTTTCAATATCGCTTTCAGGAGACTCAGAATTGCCTTTAACCTTCCTCAGTTCTTTCCGAAGTTCTTCCTTCTCAGTGTTGCTGCAACTGATTAGCATGAATGCTTGCTAGCCTTAGACGGAACAGTTAACGAACAGTTGAGCCTCCCGTTTTCCAGCTTCATCAAGATCACGTTGGAACGTTCCATGGCCTTTTGGTGTTGCGGTACCAGGGCTTTCCAAACCTTCAAGTTCCCTTATACGCTCTCGCAGTTCAGCGATAGTTGCCTCATCCCGGGAGTGCTGCTCGTCAGAACCTTGTAGCCTTTCGTTCAGGGCATGGTTATCAAACTCCAGCTGCTTCTTTAGATTCTGGATTTCATGGTGGTCTTGTTCGATTTGTGTTATGAGCTGCTTGTACTTGTGAAGCTCTTTGCTATGCTCAGATGAAAGCCGCTGGTTAGAGTCGCTTTCCATCAGCTGTTGCTTCAGGTCCTTCACCTGGATTTTCAGCGTCTGGTTCTCCTTTTCAAAGTCCTGACTGACTTGAAGTTTCTGTCGATACTTCTCGGCCGCATTTGCTTTTCTGGATAGCTGGTCCCTTTCGTTTTTGATCTCATCATAGTCATCTTGCAGCTTTTGATATCTTTCATTTTTCTGACGCATCGATTCCAGTGACATTCGCAAAGTATCAATTTCGTCCTGTGCTGCAATCAGCCTTGCCTCTTGTGATGCGATTATATCCTCTTGCTGTCGGTTTCGGCTTTCAAAACCGACTGCGTCGGGTCCTAGGTCGCCCTTCCCAGCTTTAAGGGTTGCCAGTCGGTCTTCTGTCGACGAAAGCTTTGTCTCCAGGGTATCATTCGTCTCTTGAAGTTTCGCTAACCGGTCATGTAAATCTTCCAAAGCCTTTTCCAGCTCCTTTTTTTCATGAGAGAGTTTATCGTTCTCCGCCAATAATTTTCCGACGCGTTCTTCGAATTGTAGTTCAGGATCCATAGCAATATCACGCCTAGCCCTATATTCGTCCTGTTCATAGTTGATCTGTTCAAGGCGATCTTCGGAGGGGCTTTGGGCTTCTTGTATTATGTCCTTCAATCCTTCCTGCGTTTGCGTGGAAAGTTCCTGCATTGTGGTGATGTAGGATTCGGCGTGAGGGGAACTAATAGCCGCCATCAACAACAACTTTAGAAGACGGTTGGTATCCTTGACGAAGGCGCTTTCAGCTATCGCTTTGAGGTCGGGAACGGTTGAGAGGCCCGCCGGAACTTCGCCGTCGTTCTGGTTTCGGATGTAGGTGATTAGCAGTTTGTGGATGTGCTTTAGATTTTGCCATTTTGGAACCCAGTGATCCGCGGGGGCATTTTCGGGGAGGTTCCCAAGGAAGTACTGAGGATCAATGTCCTGCAGGATCTCCCACAGGATTGACCCATCGCTCAGATCGTTGCTGGACCGGATCACAGTTCCGAGGGAGAAACTGTTGATCCATTCGAGCAAGGTACTAGTTTCGAGTTCGGAAGCCATGACTTTAGGAAGCCCATCGAAGCGGCCCGGATTCAATTAATTCGTCAAGAGCATGCCGGCGACGAGCTGCGTAAAGATATCGATGCGCATGAAAGTCGTGAAGAACCGTTTCAGTGAATATTATATGCCAGTTTCGGTAAGGCGCCGGCTACTGCTGACATGATCAGGGGTCAAACCTTCTCCGACAGCCGCATAATTCACGTGGATCATCTCAGTCAAATATTCCAGTCTGATTCTTGCTTTCAAAATTCAAGCAGTCCATCAACTTATTCATGAGCAGTCCAGCTGGAGGAACCTGTTGCTCAGTGTTGCCAAGGGATGTGTTCAGGGCCGTTTTGCTTGTGGCATTAATTTTTGGGGAGGTGAAACCCATAGTTACATAGTCACTCTCCGACACCCTCCATGTTGACCGTAACATCAGAAGCCACACGCGAATTGGGGATTGGGAGAGATTGGACGGCATGAGTGATAGGGTTAGCAAAAGGAACAACCGCCCAAAGCAGGAAATCTGCACTGCATTCTACCCCGGCACCCAGAGAGCCATATATCACAGAGCCTGGTAGCAATGCTCTCTTGCATGCTGTTCTTTTTTACATGCATCAACTTTCTGTGCAGAATACTCTGTATGCAGACATATTGTTGATGGCTATCTAGCTAGTGAGCCATGTGGCAAGGTATCCTGCTTGACCAAGATGCAGTTAATCATGGCTCGCGATCAAAATTTCCTGCTGCTTTTAAAGACTGCACTTTCGCTTGCCATTGCCATGACCCCAGCCTATACTGCAGCTGCCAATAGCTCGACTACATAGAATGGCTACAAAAATTCATATCTTGAAGGTCCTTCTTGCCCAGGAGAGCCCCAACAATGAACTCATATACATGTCGATTCGCTCCTTTTACGTTCTCCATTGATCCCGGGACTCGGCCGTCGTGATCAACTCGCGATGACTCGATAGTATACTGCCTAAAGGTGACGTGGCCAATAAATATTTCGGGCAGATGAAGTTCCGTGGCGATTAATAGGCCATGTCAAAGCCCAATAACCTATAAGTATTGGGGATGTACCCAATAGCAGAAACATGTGTAGTGTGAGCCATTTGGTAACGGCCTTTAAGCGACACCTTAGGGGCTCACAGAAATTGACCAGATTTATACAATCTCGAATCCTCATGCTATGATATCTAGTCAAAACATGTAATTATCTGATGTCAATGCAACGCCCACCGTATCTCCACCCACAACCAGCTACAGAAAATGACACCAGCACAGTTCATACCTAGGAAGAAGGCCTATGTCCCCTATTAGGGGTGATATTTCAGTTCTGCAGTGATATGTGCGTATGTAATATAGTGAATTGATGTCAGACCAAGATGCAGCAAAATACCAAAGCCCACTCTTGCTGCCTCCAGTTATCCTATGGTCTATAGAAGACATGATAGACCACCGTCGCAAAAGTAACTGCACCGTCATAAATAGGAGAAAAGAGTGCAATTGGGGCATTTTTGAAACATCGATGCCCAAATCCAAAATTTTGTTTAGCAAGTCATAAGCCCGGCATCACCACGTCGTGGATTCATTCCGGTTTTCGGCCATAGACGGCATAACTGCAAATCACGTAAAGAAGTAACTTAGAACTCACATACTTTGGAAAGGAAGCTCTTAAGGGGTATACTCACAAGTCAAACATGCCATGAACATTACGGTTACGCATGTCACTCCTGGCCTTAGCAGAAAGATCTTTTACTTGTTCCTCTGTCCAGCCCGAAAATCTCGTTAAAACAGCCATAGCACCCGCTTCGAACCCGCCGGAATCAAACTGGAGCAGAGTCCACGTGCCGATCTTTTTCTAGTGCGTAAGATATCTATCAGTATACTGGTTGAAGATCTTGGAGAGTAATGGTGAAGACCACTGTGTACATAGTATTTATCTTTCGGCCAGGTTCCAATCGGTACCAAGAATTTTTTGACAACAATATCCTCAAATCCGGCTTCGCGAAGCCACTGTTCAAGAAACGGGCCGACATTCACGGCATATCCTGTCTTAGTGAACGCATTGATAACTTCATCATAGTACTTTTCCAGAGCAGTGCCTTTCAAGGATCCATCTGTCGAGTAGGGCTTAGGGTTCCAATCCTGAAGTTCAACCCATCCTCCAGGCGCAAGGTGTCTTGAAGACGTGAAATGAAGTTAATAACCTGGTAAGAGAGCATATCCCAGGATCCAATGATTCTTCCCGAAGCGACTCACTTGTAACACTGCTTTATTAGCTTAAGATAGTCCTTAGTGGATCCGGCTAGCCACCTAGCGTGTATAAAGTCGAAGTAATTGGGTTGGTAGACCCATTCTTCTTCGAAGTCTTCAACAATGAAACGGACGTTCGGAGGGACACTAAAGCAAGTTTTAGCAATCCGTAGGTGAGATATAGAGATAGCGAAAAAGGTAAAACCAGTTAGAGAGAGGAATTTACAGGCTTGGCTGGGTAGGACTCAGGTCGTTTCCAATAACCTATATAAGACTCAGTTTGCGAACCTTCCGGTGACATTGGCCTCTGATGAAGATATAATATACACGCACCTCTGCAGACGGGTACTTTTCACCTATGGCAATGTAAAATCAGCCATCATAGCAGCACCAACGGTATTCTCTATTTGGATTTGCATACCGAAGTCGATAGCCCAAATTCCCGTCCCGGTCCCAAGATCAATCACTTTTTTCACGCCTGATGAAATCGGTGCCAGAAACAATTTGCCCTCCATGGCTGTTAGCAGCATGTGGTGAATCATATCCAGCCGTTCCGACTCTTGTTCATCATTTGGGAGGAGGTAATCTTTCGCCGGACTTATTTAGCATTGAGGACCACCATTAGCAAATATGCAGAAGCGACCTACTCCCATCGCGGTAGCCGTGATATCGTCTACCATTTTCCTGTCGGTAGTTAACGACAGAGGATGTGAGAGAGGCCGTGTAGTTCGAGAGCTCAGATCCATAAAGAGAGTCGTTCTCAGTAGCCTGTGGAAGGGAAGCAGCAAATAATCAACAGGATATCCGGACGAGTTATGCAGACATAAGCACCAGATGGAAATCATTACGGACCCTGGAGTCAACTTCCAAGATATCATTGCGATCATTGGCAGGTTGGCCAATTGCCTCAACTGGTTCAGCCATTTTGTACTCGGTGGGCGACATGATAGGTAACTCTGGACGTTTGTATATGCGGGGACCTGGATCCCTCCTGTTCTGGATTAACTAACTAGTGCCTAGCACCCACCGGTTTATTCTCCCCCATCTTTATGCCATCTTCACCCTGCATCTTCACCTATCCTTAGGCTGAACACATTTCCCGGAATTACTCGTACTATAACAGTACTGTACTGGTTTGGGAGCAGGTTGGGATGGGATGGAGAAACTATTTGATTGACCTGGTATGGTATCGGGCCCTAGCTTGACAGATTGGTATTAGGTCTAGTACCAAATTTACAAGCTTGGGATGGGATAAGGTGGTATCAAAGATTCTACTAGAAAATCTGTACTCCGTAGTACGTTTGGTATACCGTGTCTTCGGGGGTTGCCCCACAGGGTTTAGCGCCACCTAAATCGGGTAAAGCGCCATATCGCCGCTTCAACGACTATATAAACCACCTTCCCCCCCGCCGCTTGACCATCTTCTTCCTCCGTTCTTATTTTCCTCGCTTTTCTCACAAATTTCCCTGCAACCCTGTTCTTGGTCCCCCCACCCTCGGTTTCACATGGAATGGCTGTGCCGCAGCCAGCCCCGGCCATTGCTTCCACTTCCCACTGTCTGCCACCCTGCTGCTTTCTGAATTACGAGTTTTGCCTGGCATGGCTGGCTGATTTTCCTTCATCCGTCAATATTATTTTCCCATGACTTTGATTTATCGACCTCTATCCAGCGTTGGCAAATTCCAAAGGTGAATTTGTCGCTGAAATTTCTGATTGTTTTCTCTCTCAACGCATCAGGACCTGTCGTCCTTGGTTCTATGTGCAACTGAGGATCTGCAGCGACTGATGAATCCCCTGCCTACTCGCGGCACGCTGACAATAGTGACAGCCAATGGCGAAAATGCCTCATTGCAGCAGATGCTCTACCCTGTTGCACCTGAGACACCGGTATGCAATGTGTCCCGATCATGATGAGAACTACTAAGGGCGGTATGTTCCATCCTCGGCCGGTTGAGGGGGAACATGGTTTGGATGGCACAATCTCAGCAGCCTCGGTGCTGCTGTATTGTGATATCTCATGATCTCAATGTGGGGCCTGCAAGCCTCCAGCAAGCAGCTACGGCAGCGACGAAGATAGCTGCCTGTGTCGGCGTCCTCATTGGCTCCCTGGAATGGGCCTGGTCCTCCAAGCGATAGGGAGACGCTGCGTCGCGAAACCAACGGGCTCCTTCCTCCCTCTCTCCCTGACCTCGCCCCCGGATCCCAGAGCTCGCAAAACCGCGCCACACCGCACGCTGGCATGCTTCCAGCCTGTTGTGACGGTGCCCCATTGACGGCCCCTGTGATTCCGCTGAGACAGGAGCGAAATGAAGGGGGGACGCGACACCATTCAGGATATGTCATTTTGAGGGTGCCGTGCCGCAAAGGATGCACGGTCAATGGGGCTGAGTGAGGCCGGGTATTGCCCCGGCTGTTCCTGGTGTAGTCTGGACAGCGCAGGCTCAGCTGAGGCCTCGCGTACAAGAGCCGGAAGCGCGTTTCTTGCAGATCGCGATGGGCTGATGTGGTTCATCAAGATGGATCGCACTGCGCCGCGGAGATGGCATGCCATTTCTAGTCCAGACTGATCGAGCGGAGCCCTCTATCCAGGTGAGGAGCGGCTGAGATGGCGAGATTGAAGGATATGGCAGCAGTTTTCTTTGAAGCGATATTATGAATGGCAGGACGGCGGCACTCGCGATGAACGATTTTCCTACCGCTATTTCAGAAGCTTATAGGACTATTGCTGGGGATGGTAGGGAGATCTGGGACTTGCTTGATTAGTGAGCTAAGGGCTCAGATGAATTCCTTCAGGGGGGCTTTAACTAAAAGGTTGACCACAGCTTTATTAAAACATGAGCCCGGGCTACTAGAGAAGGTTTCAAATCCGACCTCGTACCTTGAGAGCTCTTCTGTAGCTTGACCGCTGCAGCGGGCAGGCATACCAAAATGAGCCCCGGCCACGAGCTTCCCCTGGCCACAAGCTTCCCCCAGGCACAAACCTAACCGGGCCATGAGCCTCCCCTGGTCTTGAGCTTCCCCAGGCCACGAGCTTCCCTAGGCAGTGCTTTGAATGCGAATTGAGTCCGGAAAGAAGAGTTGGGTGATCGCTCATTTGATGTTGAGGTTTTTCATTCTCTCATTTACTAAATCGGAGAGCCTGTGGAGGATGCTTTCCTCTTTCAACCAGTTGAGGAAATTTTTCTTGCGTTTATGTGGCCCTCATCCTCGCGTGACTGACAGAGAGTACTGGAATCATCATAGTCTTCCAGAGCCCGTACATAACGAGCCAGCTGCCGGGGTGAGATCTCGTAAGAATATCCTCGTAGGAGATTATCAGTAAAGCCAGAGATGACTTTAAATATGTCCACTGGGATATTGTCGTTGGTCAAGTATGGCTTAACTTCAAGCGTCTTTAGCGTCGTAATTGCTCGATCCATCATTGCCGGGATTAGAAAGTGCCCTCCAGCACATAAGCTGTCCTCTGAAGTCTTCACAACATGTATAAACCCCGGTGGAAATATGCTGGAGACGACTTAGTCAATGGTCCAGGGAGATCAGCAAAGGGGAGACTCACATGCTGTAACCTTCCCTCAGCCTTATAGCTGCCCAGGGATGGCCATATTCACGAGGATCATCAGCCATTTTCCATACACTGAGGTCAACCTCAGTCAATCCATTCTGAAACCAGATAATCTTTTCCCCACGAATGCATCGGATCCAGGTCGCTACAACGACATCAACGTGGTCCTTGCTGACAGCACCCTTTTCACTCATTAACAGCCAACGATCTAACCTCTTAGAGCCAGGGACCCAGGATGCCAAGTGGTCCTTGCGTGCCATTCCTGACTGGTGCGATCTCCACCGATTCCCATGCGCAAATTCAATTCTTGGGTTGGGGTCGGATTGAAGGCGCTCGAGAAAATCCAGGCTCTCAAGCAAAGGTGGACCTGGAAAATTGGAAAAAAGGCTATCCCTGACCTCAAGACAATTGATTGGTATTGCCCTTTGCTCCTGTGGAACTGCAAAGCGCTCTCTAACCTCTTTGCAAGTCTTCAGACCTGTGAGATCTTTCACTTCGTTGGCTGATAAATCCTGAACATCAATTGTCAAATCATCATCCCATAACAAAAGATCAAGCAGCTGTGAAAGGGTTAAATCCGATAGGTTTTGGGTTGAGTCGTTGAGATGGAGTTTCTGTTTCCCAAGAGGAGATTCAGCTGGGATTAGAACAGGGTGCTGCAGTCCCGCTCTAAGGGCCACATCAAGATCCCTCTCCTCCAATGCCAAGGTGTAATTGATCTCTCCTTGAGCCCAGGCATGGTTAGACAGTTCAGTTGTCGACTGCCCCGAAAGCATAGAAAGCCACTTGTCTGGCTTTGCAGGTCGAGTATGTTGCATTAACTTCTCAAGGAATTTAATGTGTTCGGCGAAAATGCAGTTAGATTCTTGAGAACGAAGACCTGGGAACTGAACTGGCAATGTGAGATGGGTCAACAAGGTGTTTGGCACGCTAACAGTATCGTCTCTTGAGAACGTTTCTTCATGGCCAGAATCAGAAGTAAGCCCTATCAGTGTTGTTAGCCTGATCCAAGATGAGAGATGTAAAAACTAGGCGATATACTTCTCTTCTGGCAGTTTCTGATATGCCGCTGAATATTACTCTTCCCTCTTTCCTGCCCACAGACTGGACAACGTATTTTCTCTGCTCTGAAGCCTTTTGTGCAAGCACTAAGATGCCGCGCGTAGTTCGAAGCAACCACCGTTTTTGAGCACCTGCCACATGGCTTTCTTTGTGACCCCATCTTGAACAGTTGCACGATAGGCGGCAATGCCACAAAAGATGGTGCCGAGCGATGGTGACGAGCGATGGCGATGAAGAGGATCTATTGCTAATATGACTAACTGGACTTGGGGCTAGAGACGAAATGTCAAACAGTGGAGTCGACAGCCTTGATCTCCCACCCTTAGTTGTTAACACCCTTCTGAGGATGATGGCAACGTTCTGATTTCTTTTCCTCCGTTCCTCCATGATGTTGGGGACTTTCTCCCGCTTAAGGTATTCAAGATACAGTCTTGAACATTCTTTCGAGACTCCTCCATCTCTCCTCCACGCTATATCTGCGTTGCGGCGTATATTGGCCGCATGGTCTTCATACCCATACCGGTCGTCTCGGTAGCAGTCCTCCACCTTTACTCGGACAAAGGGCATTTTCTCTGCCCAATTTAGCCGGCCTCAATCGCCATCTCCATCGCCATCTCCTCACCACTACCTTGTCAACCCCTTATCGCGCCACCTCACTTCATCCTATTGTCATCATACCTGGCATATGCTTAATATCCCTTTCCTCACACATCCCTGCAGTGAGGAGGTGTGAAGCATCCTTGTACTATTAAGAACTCATTGCTCAGCTTGAACTATTCCTGGGTTTCTCTGCTCGGCTTGTTCCTCATGTGCTCCTGAATTGCCCAAGGAGCTTGGTTTCCTTTAAGAAGTTCACAGCCTGGGCTGCTAGCTTCCTATTAGAAAGCCAAGGGGGACACCTTTGTGCTTGCTGTTAAGTGACACCCAAGTGGAGATATCACTCTATACATGAACAACACTGAGGCTGTGAAGAGGATGACAGACCATAAAGAGGAATGGCTGGGAGCTATGGGGGATAAAGCAGTGGTACGGACACCGTCCTATGGGGCTGTGGTGCATGGAGTGAGCACCAGAATGGAGGTCTCAAACATAACTGAGATGGAGGACATGATACACTGGAACAACCCTAGCCTGGAGAATGCAAAGATGTCATTTATCCTCTCTTTTATCGTTTCGGCTGTGGCCAGTCGGGCCTCGCTTGTAGGGTCATCGTTTTGGGTTTTAATCAGGACTTCGCGTAGGCCGCTTGTAGGTCGGGGCTGGGAGGGTCTCGGCACAATGGGACGAGAGAGCTAGGAGGAGAATGCTAGGACAAGAATGCTAGGACGAGAGAGCTAGGACAAGAATGCTAGGACGAGAGAGCTAGGAGGAGAATGGGACGAGAGAGCTAGGAGGAGAATGCTAGGACAAGAATAATAGGATTTCTGGCTTCCTGGCTCTTTCTAAGACCACCAAAAATGGCTCTTATTCATCTTTGATTTTCTGAGGTGACTGCTTCTTAAAAGGAAACAAACTGTCCAATTTTCCCGGAACTTGCGGGAGTGGTGGAGCACATCCAAGTCCTTTGTCAATGGATCATCTGGGAGTGACAGGTCCCATAGGGACCTGTTGAGAACATCGCTATCTACCCACCCCGCGAACCCTTTGTATTCAATTCAATCTCCTTCCCCAGGATGTCAGTAGCAGTTGTCCAAGGTTTATTAAAATACACCTCAGGGCTTCGATATGCGATGGAGGTAATAGTTCCCCGCGAGGGTCTCTCAACTGCCTTCTCCATTGGTAGACGGATCACTTGGATGAAGTGATAGAATAAAACCCATACTCATCCCCAGATCAGCTATTTTTGTTACCAAACTCTCACCAGATCCCGGTTTCTCATTTTCAAGGTTGGACCATTGGATCACTGACTGTGATCGCCGGTCTGCGCAGGCGTGCTCGCTTTGATCACCAAGACTGGCAGCCATTGGTCGCAATCACTGGGCAAGGGTGATTATTGCCTCCAGGTCACACCCTCCTCAATCACTCTGGGTTGCCGCCAGGCGACTACAGCAGCCCAGGCGGGTGCCGTGCCACACAGATAACTCTCAGGGCATATCCTAGGCACTAACTGCACCATCAAACCAACCACCCAACCTCAACGTCACGAGCCGACCCAGTTCCGTGGATCCACCCTCTCGTGCCCCAACTTCATCCATATCCTGGAGAATTTTGTCAATATATTCACCTGCCCCGGAGAGGTGAAGGATATGAGCAATGGCACGGTGAATAGCGAGAAGACGGGGCGATGGAGGTTCTATTGATCGGTCGGTGGTAAGGAAGAGTTCGCGTGTAACTGGGAGCTCTGGCACAACCTCCGCAGGCAGAAAGCTGTCAATTCGATAGGTATGGTCAAGGCCGGGCACAGGGTTAAAAAAAACCGAGAAGTTGCCAAACATAGCATGGAAATCAGGAGTAAGGCTCATGGCGTTCAATGGCCGGTCAATGTTGATGCCTTCAATGAAGTGTGAGACACCACAATCGAACATGTCAAGCACTAACAATGCAGCTTTTTTTGAGTCACTCTGCAAAGGCTAGCGCGTCAGAATGAGGTGTTATGCATCCTTGTAGAAGGTGGCTTACCAACTGTCCATCCGCGTCCGCTTGTGCCAGAGAATGTGGAATAATATGGGCTACTTCAAGAATTGCAAACGGTTGCCCTCTAAGCTGGTTGCCTTCGTCGTCTAGAGAATTGCCACCCTGTTGCTGGAAACGACTGATTGCTTCCTTACGGTCGAACTGGCGGGATATCATGCATCGATGGTGGTCACGGAGGAGGCAGAGGCCTCGAAGAACCGACACTCGGTCTGGTGTTGGAAGATACCCATGCGTTTCTCCTTGGGCTCGTTCGATTGCAGAAAGGTGGGCGGGGGAGGGCTGTGCTGTGCGCTGGCCAGAAGCTTTGACTAGAGAGAAGAGAGAAACGTCAACACGTGGTCACTCTGGCAATGTTATGATCACGGACGTGGTATGAAAAAATTGTCGAGCAAGAAATCCGCGAAGCTGGATAAACTATCACGCAGCTGGTTCTCTTTGCCATCCAAGTCGGGATCCTGCTCCGCAGCAATATCCAAGCTCATGCAGTCAAAGAATGCGCGTAAAAAGGTGTCCTGGGAAAGCTCAGAGCGGGAATATTCATATGTATAGCGGACAAGCAAAGGGCGGCGGTAAGAATCGTCGGATCCTTCAGTGCTGAAATGGTTAATGATGCTGTAGAATTGGTGCTTTGCACGAGCGCGTTCATCTGCTGCCAGGGGAATGGGGCCTGAGAAGTTGATAATCCCCTCAAGGGATGCTTGGTGGCGATGTCTGGCCATTGGTTGTATTTTTTTCTCCGTCACTAGTGAATAGGTTGGATGTAAAGTTGTTATATTGAGATAGAACGGAGTGATGCATATGAGGTCGGTTTTCTCCTTGTTGAACACGGTGCTTAGTTTCTCCGGTCCATATTAGGTTTAGTGTGCTAGAGTATATCACCACGTGATGCAACCTAAAAAGAAGACTCCTTTGCGAACAGTGCTTCGCAAGGTTCTCAGAGCATCAAAACGGCTCGAGAGGGGACAAGGCAGTAACTGGCCTACAAAGGTAGCTTACGCAGTGGGAAAAATAAGTCTTGGATTGGTTGATGTTCTAGCAGAGGTTTTCTCGAGCTCGAGAGATATATCTAAATCTGCGCTGCGCCAAGGCCTTTAGCGCGAAGCAGGCGACTGCCGGCTTGGCAGGACAAAAATACGAGGGCTGCTCTCAACCTACGAGCTCCCGATCGTGAGACGCGCCAAAACGCGATTGCGAGCTTCGACTCTTCAGCTTCAAAATCAAAAAAAAAAAAAAAAAAAGGTCAACGAAGACGTTTTATGTGACGGCGCTGATCACTACATCGATTGCTACATTGCTTCCAACACATTGCAATCGCTTATGTAACTCCTCACTGCACCCCAAATCAGCGATGAAGGGCGTCTCGCTGCTCTCAGTAGCAAGCGAGCTTGAGACCATTGGAAGAAATGTTGGGCCATGGAATTTTTGACCGCAGGCTATGACGCATGCATTTCTGAGTGAGGCTTGACAGGCAATATTCAGCTACAACGCAATGTTCCCATACCCAGGCTCGCCACCGTGCCCTGGCTCATGCCACCACAGTTTCGGAAGCTTCTCGCCATGATGGACGCTAATCCTAAAGAGGCTAGATCATTAGATAGGGGGAAGCACGTGAATTCTGTCTACAAGACGGAGAATCGGAGAGGACTCTCTTATGCTGTTTATAAGTATTGCTCTGTCTTGTGTTTACTGTCTTGTGATAAATGTTGTCATGAGTCAGCTGTCACAACTCTTGGCAAGAAATGAGACTAGATCAGTCCTGGGAATTTCTTCCCATCTCAAATACTGATATGAGACTATTGCGCTATCTCATTGAGTGCCCGGCCTGGGACACACGATACAAGCCATGCTTTGCAGAATTTTCCAGGCAACTGCAAGGCCATGAAAAATACGTGGCACTAAGGCGTTGCCATTTTTGGGGCGGCTGGGAGCCGCTATGGCCAAGATTGGGATTGACCACAATTTTCTCTAGCTAGTGCTCCTGAGGGAGACCACACATTCCCAGCTGATGCCATGCTTACGCCAATTCCGCAGGGCATAGGATACTACTGAGGCAGACCACGCATTTCCCAACTGATGCCATGCTTACTCCAATTCCGCAGGGCATAGGATACTACTGAGGCAGCATCCCAGCTGATGCCACAATGCCGATTCCGCAGGGCAAATGGTGCTTTCAAGGCAAGCCACTTGTTACCCAGATTAGGGCCTTTCCTCTTAGGGCAAGCATGCCATCAGGGCATCTCGGTCCATGAGGCATTTTTTGCCCTAGAACCCTAAATGCACTGGGGCAGGCCACAATTTCAGCACCAAAGGCGGCCTTCTATCAAGGCATTCCTGATCTTGAGGCATGAACATTCTCAGGGCGCCTTTTGGACTGTGGCAAGCCTCGCTTGAGCCACAGACTTCTTATTCCTCAAGGCAACCCTACGCCCAAGCACACGCAACCCCCCTGAGGCAACTTTTCGCCCCGGGGACACCGCCAAACCATCAATTTTCAATTGTCTCCCAAGGCAACTTGCCGCCCTAGGGCAACCACTTATGTAAGGGGGTAGAGCCGAAGTAGATTCGATTAACTAACTACGCCCAAATAACGATAAGGGCTCGATGAGGAGCGAAAGAAATCTAGCTACACAAGGCTGTCTATATACTACGAAGCATGCATGTCCCATAGTCTCCCGATGTCTGTGCCGGACGATATCGGTTGTTGGTCTCGGGCGATAGCCTCTTGAGGGAGTTGAAAGGGGGCCGGCAAGTGAATCGGTAAGAGGACAACGGTAGTACGATCGGGAAGACATCAGTAAGAGAGTCGGGAATAGAACATCGGCAAGAAGACCGGAAGGAAAGCCGGAACGAGAACGTCGACGATGTGACGGACACGTCTCCGATCTTCGGATTATGGTTCTTCCGGTGATTAGTCATCAGGTGGCCCGAGCTCTGAGGTCGGCGTCGGATATCTCGCACACTCGCGTTCCCTTCTTCCTTTGCTCCCTCAAGTTTAGTATTTTCGATTTATGAGTTACCTAGGTACAGAGTACATCAGAAATGATAAAAAAGTAACAATCTTAGGTAATGATGTTAAGCTAGTTAACTACAGAGTACTCCGTAGTTAACTACATAGTTATTAGCTATTCGGTGGGGCTGTGGTGGACACCTTACTGTACTCCGCAGCCAAGAATGATTTAGTGAACCCATCCCCATCGCCATCGCCATCTCCATCTCCATCTTGATCTTGCAAGCCATGTCGTCCCGCCCTTTCAACCCACTGCCTGCGTGCCCCATCCCAATTCAGTGGGATGTGCCAGGCCGTATTGCAGAGCTGCAAGCCATGATCAATGACCCTGTCACCAGTGAACCACAGAAGCTAAACCTCTAGGCTGCTATCGACCTGTATCATGCAAAAGAGCTTCCAGGGCGGTTTAAGTGGATCCAGGACGGCAAAGTTGTCCACCATAGGGATATCGATTTCCATACTGGGTTGAGGTATTTCTCTTCCCCTCAATTATCTGTCCACCCGTAGTTGTCATTGGATCAGCACTGTAAAGGTCCGGTGGGTTGGGATCCATCTTATTCTTATCTCCAGCTGAACTTGATTTCACTCCCGCCCTTGTTCATGGCTCAAACACCAATCAGCACAGCGCTCAGATCATGGGTTCAGATGTGGCCATTCCATCCAGCAGAAGAATGAAGATTCGAGCTGTCATTCTGTTTATTTATTTCTTAACAATTGCCTGTGCTCTTCTTTTCCCTTAAAATTGCGAGGCTGGGTGCAATCCATCATAAAAATTTGTTGTATGGGGTATTTTTTTGCCTGAGACTTATTTGGTTCCCTGGGAGAGTTGACAGCACAACCCCTGTCACCCCTGCAAAAACACACGGGTGAATATGCACTATAGGCTTCAGGCAAAGTGAATGCTAACATGCAAGAGTCCAAGGCAGCGAGTCTCCTAAATGGCATGGTTGGGGCAGTGAGAAACCTGAACAGACTTAGTCTCATTTTCCTATCTTGTCTATACACCTCTCCTTGTGCCTGCCCTGATGAAGCCCGGCTGGGATAAGTACATGGATAACTATCCCCCTACTTCATTTGAAAAGAACATGGCTCTGGGTTATTGAGGTGAGTGGTTAGAGAGGAGTCTCTCGGGAGACACGTGGCAAAGGATATACATTAAATACTCCATATACAACCCTTTTTTGACGTCTTCGCCATGAACGACTACATGGCAAGCAAACCCCCTCTATGATGAACTCAACCGGGGGGGACCGGGTATTCGATTAACGCTGCATCCGGAAGCTCCAACAGGAGCTGCCCGCCAGCAATGTTTTCCAGAGTGTTTCCACTCTAATAGATGCCGGGAACGATTCTCCATTTCACAACCTTTTTGTACTTGTCCCAGTCATCGCCATACTTCTCTGCACAGGCGGCATCGTCTCTCCGTTCACGATGAATGAGCATAGTGGCAAACCACACAGCGTAGAAATACGTATAAAGAGTGCCCCACCCTCGTGCGGCGCCCTGGATCACCTCCCGGCCATCGAGCATCTTAGTGACACCCACATCTGCAACGTGGCTATTGGCTGGAAAAATGAGGTAGCCCGCAAAAGCTGTCGGGAGACTAAAAGGCAATGACTGCGTCCAGTCCCCAAAGTAATTAATATGCCGTGCGACTCCCCACCATCCGGCAGTGAGTAGCCTTGTGCCTCTCTTTGTTTGTATGTACGACATGCCCGCGACGCTAGGGTGATTGGGGTTAGTGCGAAAGGTGTTTTTCTGGCCGTTGGCGGCGCGGAAGATATACAGGCCGATGGCGAACACAGTACTAACTGCGACAAGTCCCATCCACCCCAGTTGTACCGGGTAGACTGAGAGATAGCGACACTGGGTCGAGTACAAGAACGGCACCCAAACGATATCCCCGAAACTGAGCATAAATCCTAGTCCGTCCGTGGTGATGTCCATCATGCCCAGAATGCCTGTTTCCGCATACTGACCATCGAGTACGTAATAGCCCTGCACCGCCGTTATGATAAAGATGCTGTCGGTTACGTAGCCGTACGTACGGTATTGCTTAGCAACGAAGGCTAGGTTGAGCAACGCCCAACCGGTCAGACCGGGACGCATCTCGAACCAGGCCTTGAGATCAACTTCGCCAATGAAGGGGAGCGTGATTCGGGGATTTAGTTCACGTCCAATGTAAAAATCGTAGATCATATTTCCAGTGTGGCCTCCCCTGGCGAGTTCTCGCATCTCGCTGTTACCAGGTTTCACACCAAAACTACCAATGTAGACGTACACCGAAAGGACATAGGCGATGATGATATTAGCGCTCAGAATTTGCAAGTAGTTGTCGGTGATGAATGTCCAAACGACGAAGTTCGCACCATAGAGGTAGGTGCCGACCGCGCATGCGGCCAATTGGACAATGGTGGCATAGAAAGCTGTAAGACGCCGTTAGTCCTGGTAAACGGCGATATCGCTCTCGGGATAACCTACCATTGAAGCGGTATTTGAGCGGACGGCCAGACTCGCGCAATTTGGTCCCGTATACCTCCTGAGCCGGAAGCACCCGATACAGGACCAAGCTGAGCAGATAATAAGCTAGCGTCCACTTTGTAGCTTTCCAGCTCGCGAAACCCAAGATGCCATCCCGTGGCCACGGGATTTGCGACTTTAAGCTTTCCCAGGTAAGAGTGCGGATATCTAGAAGAGCTGGTGCTGGACAGCCGGTCACATCATTGCAGGTGAAATAGAGAAAATTCATCAGCACTGGAAGGCCAAGGACGATAGCAGTGGCCCCTGGACTAAGCAGCGAGTAACCCCTTGTTAGCAATGCCCTGGCAGTTGATGACTGAATTGAGGGACGACTTACGGGCCCCCGAATTCATACTTGGGTTTCTGTCTGGCCATGGTTGAGGACGATTGAAACGCGCCACAAGACGCTGAAATGGGCCGACGAGAAATTCCTGGCCCAACGCGAGTTTGAGAGCTCCCTTCCGAGATTCCAGAAATTTGAACGAAACATTTTAGCGTGTCAGAGCCGAGAAGGCTTCCCCTGAAATATCGTCTTGGCGCTTCTTGGTGCAGCTAACGAATTAGTGTTGCCTGAAGGCCTTCGTTCCCATCAACCAGAAAAGGGTCACCCTGACCAGCGCTTTGAAAGCTGGCAAACGATAAGACTTACCTTGGTCCGCCCATAAGCCCTGGAAGTTTGAAGTTGGCATACTCTGTACTTTAACCAAATCTAAGCTTCGGATCCCGACAACTTTTTCTCGTTAGTAAAATTGGCCTTTAGCCATCCACGTGCGAACCTTGAAGGCCTTGATGGAGCAAATGGATGAACTGGCATCCTTATTCCTCCAATGAACAGTGGGTTCTATCATATGGAGCTGGAAGCAATTCTGATATCTCTAATTGCCAGCGTACCAGTAACCGGCTTTGATCGCTTTGTTCCGGCAATGAGTATTAGTCCATAGTTGATTCACTATGTAAGTTTAAGTACTAAATTGAACTTCTTGTACGGAGTATATCGAAACAGGTTCCTTGTTTTTAAAGAGCGAAATAGGATCTCCCATATGTACGGAGTAGACCGCTCCACATGAGAAGACATTGCCAATAGAATTCATGACATTCAAAGTATGATTATAAGTAGATTCTGAAACGATCCTTCGAATCCACTTCCCCCTGAGTATCCCCATAAAGCGTTCACTTTGGCCAGGGATACACACAAAGAGCCACTAGCCCATAAAGAATCCATTCATCTCGGATCGGACGTAGAGGATTGTCCCCATCTCATCAAGACATCAATTCGTAGCCGGTTGGTTTATGGTGACAATCTGATCGTCCTCAATGACGGGGGGGTATTCTGTCCCAAGAGCACTAACAGCATCCATGGCAACCGACGGCGCTTCGGCCGCAAATCCTCTGCAGATAAGGACGGTGAGGATCACACTCATATGGTGAGCGATAAATGGGGTAATGCATACTTGATCAAATCTATACAGAGCCATAAGTTAGCAAAAGGTCGCTGATGAATTAACGGCGTGGTTGCAACTTACTGTATTCATGGGTAATTTTGCCACCCTGTTGACGAATGGAGGGGTTAGTTCTCGTGGTAGTACAACTGGGGGATTTGACTGCCTAGCATACGTTTGCCTTGATCGCATCCTTTGCCTGTTGAACCACCGAGTCAGGCGTTTCTGAAGGGAACGTGATGATGACGGACTTGTGTTGAGCGGAGGCGGCCATAGCAGCTGAGAAGAGAAAGCTAAAGATGAGAGTGAGTGTCACTTTCATGCTGTGGAACAGGTTAACTTGGAGATGTGTTGCGCTCAACGCGGGGTTGCGTGGAAGTTAAATGTGTTCAGATCAGGCACTCTAAAGGATCGAAAACTTGATGTGTTTTAATTTGTAATCACTCGAGAACTGCGTGAAAGGGTGAAGAGTAGGGGGGGGGGAACAATTAAGCGTTTGCCTGGCAGTCCTCTCTTCCTTTATATACTTCTTTGCTGATGACCTTGCAAGCAAGGATGCGGGAGGTTGCTAAACAAGTGGCACACTCGCCCATGGGACCATCGTCATCGCCAGATACGCCCATACGCCAGTCCCAGCGAAATGTAACATCGAGACGGCCTTCCGATCCCGAACCTGGAAAGCCACGTCATGTGATCCGGGAGCCACCCGCCACACTTGGCTCTGCTTAGTCAGACGTCGAACTCAGTACATACCGTGCTAACTAGTTAGTGGCGCAGTATGGCCTGGTTTTACATAAGAATCCGACGCCAAAACCTCTTCGCCTTCCACTGCCATCGTCAACCTCACACCACGACTCCTACCCCTACCCTCTGTTTTCTTTTCACCGCGCTTGTTCTCTTCTTAATGCCTAGATGAACGTCTTGCTTCCTTAGACGCCTGTTCTATTCGATTTTGCCTTTTTTTTTCCTGGTCTCCTTCGAAATCAGCCCGCCACCATCCAAACCACCTCGCACGTGTCGTCCTTTGCCAGTCTCAGAGTGAGATCAGACAATAATCCCACATCTCCCGGCCTAGACTAGTCAGCATACGCCGCTTGAAGGGAATACGTAGAACGGGGGAAGTGTTTTGATTTTTGGTTTTGCGATAGGCTGAGGAATACAAGGTGCTTTGGGAGTGAATTCGTGGGATATCGCACGGGTTCTGTTCTATGACCAGTCTCTGCGAATAATAGCTAGCAAAGAACAAAACTTTTTGCATACTGTTTTTTGTGTTTCTTCTTCTATTGCTCACTCAAATCAGAGATTTATCTCCGCAAGGAGGGAGAGAGACAGAAGACAGTCAAACAAAGAAACATATCATTGACTTATACTCCTGGCAACACAGGAAGCTACTTACTCCAGAATTTCACACTGCAAGAGAATAATCAGACCTCACCCTCTCTCCCTTGTCTTGTCATTTTCCTCCTTTTTTTTTTTTTTTTAACTCTTCAGCCTAATATCTCGACGGCGCTCGCCTCCGTCTGTCGCATTCCAATTTCCCGCAGTAAATCTACTGCCCGGTATGTCTGGACTCGCCTCGGATGAAGTCGCTGAGGACTACAAGAACTCCCTTGAAGACCTGACGACGAACGACAAATTCCAGATTAGCAATTTAACTGTCATTGCTAAGGAAAACACTGAACATGCGATGGCCATATCCAGGGTCCTGGAAAACCATATACGGACAGTAGGTCAAAATCTTCCTTTCCGTTGAACTCTATTTGTCGGGCTTTTTTCTCTTTGCGTTTCCATGGCTTTTGCCTATATGTCGTCAGATTTGTAGACGCTTATATTTTGCGGGATCGTTGTCTAATTTGTTTCTGTAGACCCCCCCTTCGCAAAAGCTACCGGCTCTTTATGTAGTTGACTCGGTCGTCAAGAACGTAGGGACTCCCTACACTTTATTCTTAGGACGCAACCTCTACCAGACTTTCATGAATGCGTATACCCTTGTCGATTCCCAGACTCGGAAAAAACTAGACGAGATGTTAAAGACGTGGAAGGAACCTGTTCCAGGGTCCTTGGACCCCAGGCCTGTGTTTCCTGTTGAAATCACCCGCACTATCGAGAACGCTCTGATTAAAGCAAGGACAGCGGCCCTTCAGCAACAACAGGCAAGACAGCAGCAGGAGATTCGCAGCCGTACCCGTGGGGTTGCTACTCCTCCTCCGGCATGGAAGCAAGCTGCCACCCTACCCCAAACTGCAGCTCAATATACGTCGTCTTCCGGTCAGCCACAGCATGCTAACGGTCAGATTCATGTAAGTGATCCCGCTGCTATTTCCGTTAATATCCTAATTCTTACACCCAATAGTCGGATCCATACCAAGCGAGATACGCACAAACTGCTCCCCCTCAGTATCCTCCAGCTGCACAGCAACAATACCCGTACAGCCAGTCGTATTCAGAGGGTGTTGATCTGGCTTCTTTGCATCGCGATATCGACAACTTGATCTTGAGCGCACGGAGCGACTTTGCTAACAAGCCTCTTGATACCGCTGTCCAACAGCGGCTTAAGGCGCTTTTAGATCTACAAAGCATTCTCCAGCAACAAAAGCTACCACAAGAGCAACTAAAACTTATTCGCGATCAGGTCTCCAAACTTTCAGCATCGGCCCCAGTAGCACCCATAGCCCCAGCTGCCTTACCCCTTCCGCCGATTACTACATCAGCTGTCCCAACACCGCCGCTCCTGGCGACTCATACTCCTCAACCAAATCTTCAGGCCCTATTACACCCAAGTACTCTAGCAGAGCTTATTAAAGCCACCGCAAATCCCCAAAGTCGTACTCCTCCACCACCTCAGGCTCAAGTATTTTCTCAACAAGCCCCTGTCAGTACATCTAGTACACCCACAACCGCAACTCCGGCGCTCAGTGAAAACCCCTTAATTGCCTCCCTTAGAGCACGCGGCCTTCTTCCACCGGCGCCCGGTGCTCCTGCATCCCAGCCAGCCCCCAGTCTTCCATTCATTCTTCCTGGTCAAAACGGATATACCCCAAGCACAACTCCACAATTACCGACTCCTACTCAAACAAATATCAAAATTAATGTGCAAATGAGCTCGGCATCTATCAAAGTGTAAGTTATTTTGTTGGTTCTTCTTTATCGTATAATTATTAACTCTTGCATATAGGCCCCGCCCAAATCTTATTTTCCGCCTCTATGAAGAAAAATCAAATCGTTGCGGAACGTGTGGGCGTCGTTTTGCGGCTAATGATGAAGGGAAGGAGAAGAAAGCTCGGCATTTGGACTGGCATTTCAAAACCAATCTACGCATGAACGAAGCATCCAAACGTGGCCAAAGTCGTAGTTGGTACGTGGATGAGAGAGTAGGTACCCCATGGACCTTTATTGCTCTCTTTTCTTTTTTTTTTTTTTTTTTTTTTTTTTGGGATAACTACTTACAAACCGTAGGACTGGATTAAATCCCGCGACTATGACGATGATGTCGATTTAACCGATGCCGCATTTACTTCGGCCGGTAAATCAACAGGCCAGGATGGAGCAACGAAACAGGCCCCCCAGCAACGATGGATTCATGCACCAAACGACGCAGCGCTGCGAAATACCCCGTGTCCAATTTGTCAGGAGCATTTTGAGTCAACGTGGTCGGAAGAAGCGCAGGATTGGATATGGAGGGATGCGACTAAAGTGGGTAGTCGTGTATATCATGCCAGTTGTTATTCAGAGCTCACAAAGGATGGAGCTGCTGCTCCTCCCGGCTCACTAACCCCAGTTGGGCGGACATCCACTCCCGATTCTGTTTTAGGGAAACGCAAGGCAGAGGTACGATGTTGCTGAGGTACTCTCTTGGATTTTGACGTCGTTCTTACTAACACTTTGACAGGACATTGACTCTCCTGGATCTAATGTTAGAATAAAAACGGAACCGGTTTCTTGACAAGTCAAGTTTACGTAGCTTATCACCTCAACGCTCAAGTGACCATGTCCGTCCAACCATCGACTCCTACAATTCGGCGTGGGGACCAAACACGACGAGCGATATGTTCACGGCGGAGGACCCTGTTATTTTTACTGCATCATGTACTATTTAGCCGAGAGCCTTAGACATTCAAATGGCATGCATTTGGTTACTTTGTATCACTTGTTGTTCGAGGTTATTCTAGCTTTTGGGCATTTGAGCTTATCTACTCCGTATTTGCGTGTCACGCGGCGTTGGTTTACTTATCCGATGTAACTCTGTTGTGGAAACCCCTCATCTCTATCACCAATGGGACATAGATACCAGTATATAATCAATTTGATTCGATTATTTATTTGACTTACGGGAAGTCTTCACTCTTTTTTAACCCAGGTCATTTGAAATTTCATATTCATAGCTCCATATTCATCATGGCGGAACCGTATAAGCTACGTTGGGGAATGATGGGTGAGGCGCGTCTTCATCCCTAGATTCCTTGCATCAAGTATCAGGCTGACGACATGTACAGCGACGGGTGGTATTGTCAAAAGTATGGCCCGATCTTCTTTGGACTTTACATTTCCCTCGAAACTCCCCAATCCCATATCCAGGCCCTCGATCTAACTGGATGACCGAACAGAATTCACGCGCGACCTCCTCATCGACCCCGCTCTCCGCAGCTCAGGAGACATTTCCCACACAGTTAGCGCCGTAGCATCATCTACGTCCAAAGCGCGCGCGGAGCAGTTCATCGCCGAACTCGGACTGCCTGCTCCCTGCGCTGCATATGGATCCTACGAAGAATTGGTCAAAGACCCGTGCGTCGATGTCGTCTACGTCGCAACTCCCCACTCCCATCATTTTCAGAATGCCATGCTTGCCCTGGAGCATGGGAAACATGTCCTTTGTGAGAAAGCGTTCACGGTGAATGCGGCGCAGGCGAAGATCTTGGTGGAAACGGCAAGGAAGAAAGAGCTGTTTCTGATGGAAGCGGTGTGGACAAGGTATTTCCCACTTTGTGTGGAGATTAGGGAGCTGGTGAAGAGAGGGGAGATTGGGGAGGTGCTGAGAGTGATAGCGGACACGAGCGCAGGGAGTGATTTAGAGAAGGATTGGAGTCTGGATCATAGGATGGTTAACATAAATCTTGCAGGTGGTGCGCTACTTGATCGTGAGTGTTGAGCATCTCTTCTTCTGCTCAGGCTTCCCTCTTTGAAGTCAGCGCTTTAGGCTAATGTGTGCTCTACAGTGGGTATCTACTCATTAACCTGGGCTTTCCAGATTCTTTACCATACACTCCCACCGTCAGACCGCGCTGCTCCTTCTGCGATATCCTCTCAAATCACCAAGTACCCCGCTACCGGAGCTGATGAATCCACGTCTATTTTACTTGAGTTCCCCCGGTCCACACCATTAGGGAAACTCAAAAGCCATGCCGTTGCCATGACGAGCATCCGCGTGTCCATTGACCCAGATGAAGAAGGCACTGCAGGCCCATCAGTCCGTATTCAAGGCACAAATGGTGAGATCCAAGTCTATGGCGATCCTTACCATCCCAAAAGATATAAGATTATACCACGAAAGATTGTAGGTCAGCTTGTGAAAGCTGTGAAACAGGTTGACGCTGTGTTCCCAGGGAATGGACGGGGAATGTACTGGGAAGCTGATGAAGTGGCTAGATGTCTGAGGGATGGAAAGCTGGAAAGCGAAACCATGCCTTTATCAGAGAGTTTGGTGATTATGGAGGTCATGGATGAGGTGCGGAGGCAGGGAGGGTTGGCGTACCCGGAAAAAATTGAGTCAACGCAGTATCCACTGCAACTTTGAGAGGTTGGAGCTGTGTTTGCATAGGTCTAGGGATGACAGCTGGCATCTTTACATGTATATATGTATGTACGCCTTTTCTTCGCCTCTTATGCCTTACCCTTCTCCCAGCCGGAAATTATGGTGGTTAAATATGTACCTGAATGACATTTTGCACTGTTTGGCTTTCAAATGTGTGTCGAAATAAATGCATATGTACGGAGTATGCCGTGTGTGCTCTAAGCTACCTAAAGGGGATTTTGTCTACGGAGCACCAGGGGCTCCAGATTGGAATGTGCCAGACGCACGTGACACGCGAGAGCTGGATTACCTAACACAGTACGCAAATGTTGGTCATGTGACCACAGTTTACCGCCCGTAACTTGCTGCGATCCATCCGTGCTCTCTCTTTTCTGCTCATGTTTGCTAGCAAACGTGCTTGGGAAGGGAAAGGATCAGTTCTAATGCAACCCTCGAGAATAAGCCTCTCACGGGGCGCGATTCTTATTCCTTTTTCACAGCAACATACAAAGAAATGACACCCCTATTACCCCAGCATCGCCATCAGTCATCCCTTGAGGGCATCATCAATTTTTCCGGCCCTAAACCCTTCGCAGTGGATGAACGGGCTGGGGCTCGGCGCAGATTTTATGATATTATTAACCATTTCGACACAACAGATAATGACAAAAGGGTTGGATACAGGCGCCCTCGACTTGTCCGCTATACCTATGAATACTCGCGCTCTGAGTTATCACAAGATACCTTTCTACGTGCCTTCTTCGAATTTATGAAGCTAGATGTCGCTGGGGAAGAAGATATTGACTTTCTTGATGAAGACCTGGAGAATCAACTGGGCAAGAACTTGATCACATTTGCAGACTTCCTGCTAGATAACTTCTTTCTACCACGTCTGGTCCCTATCCACTGCCCTGTCAGACATCTGCTAACCTTTTTACAGTCAAAGCTTCTGGCCGGTACACTCCACAGCCCTCCCCTGCACATCTTTCAGCCATCCAAAGAGCACAAGGAGGAATACATGAATTTACTGGGACACCTGACCGAATATCAGTCCTTCGAGGTTCTTGCCTTATCCGTGACCGCCATCGCTGTGTGATCTCGCGCAAATTTGATCAGCAGGAGGCAATAATTCGGTTGACAAAACATGGCAATAATGCCCAAGATGATGAAGGGAACCTGCTTCGGGGACAGTTATCCATGATTTTAAGAGTGGCCCATATACTCCCACATTCTCTAACACAAGCAAATGCAGATTGTCTATTAGTAAGCCACCTTGTCAAAGAGAATCTTTCCCTAGGCTAAAAGACATGCTTAGGATGATTCCAAAACAGCAGCACTCATGATTCTCAACATGTTTGATTGCAATGTTTCACATCTTATTGATGGTAACAATATTGACCGGCCATTTAATGCTATGAGTCTTACTCATGATCTCCACACCCATTTTGGCAATTTTGCTGTTTTCTTTGAAGCTGTTCCTGGCCAGGCGCATACCTACCAAGTCAATACTTTCCTTCCCCCCGGAATTTTACAAGATCTCCCTGTTACTCGCACATTTTATCTCACCAATGACCGATCAATAGAACCCCCTTCACCCCGGCTCCTTGCCATACACCATGCTATTGCTCATATCCTTCACCTCTCTGGGGCAGGGGAATATATTGATAACATTCTGCGGGATATGGAGGAGACAGGTGTACAAGAGGATGGGTCCACAGAACTCGGCCGTATAATGAAGTTGAGATTGGGTGGTTGGCTAGATGGCGCGGTTGGTGCATATGGTTAGCCCTTGTGCTTGTTGCCTGTGTGTCTGGTTCTTCCTTCAGAAGGCCTTGAAGAGATCTACAAGGACCAAGATCTAGACCTCTTCATCAAGCAGGATGTGGAAGTTGGATCCACCTGCCCGTTTTTTAGTGCGATCAGCAACTAGGGCCCCCTTTTACGGTATAATTACCAGATCTCTACGCCTTGGAGTCGCTGGGGGCGAGTGGCTTAAGAAGAGTACCAGTATTATAGGATATGAAGGCTACTTTTACATAGAATAACATCAGCATCCATGAATGGCGGGCATTGGACCAGATTCCCACTTCTTTCACAAGAGCAAATTGTAAATAAATTCTCAGTTTGGTGTTTTCTGAACAGTTTGGCCGAGTTCTCCTGGCCGCGACATGCTGCTGTCTACAATCCACGTTCGTCGTCAACAGCTTCAGTTGACAGAATGGGAGCGGCCTCCCCACTTTTCAGCCAGACAGCGGTCATTATCCTAAATGCTCAGAATGGGAGGAAGCAATCTGATCAATTGTAGCTTTGAATTACTATTTAACTTATTTTTACTTTTATGTGGCATGGTGACGAATAGCATCCCTACTATGGTCAAGCATCTGATGACAATTCGAGGGGCTGGATGCTTTCACTAAGTCTACCAGGGTGTCGTATCTACACGTTTGCTTGTATATGGTTTCATGGCCTATATTCAAATACTCTCAAGAATATCAGGATTAGACATTGAGCAAAGGCTTCCCTATCTTGTCACTTTCCACCAGGATCTGGCAGGCTTGCTTATTGTCAACTCCCATGTCTTTCTTGACCAGCATAACCAGCTCGGGCATCAAGGCCTCATACACATAGCCAGTGAGTGCACCATAGTTCAAGACAAGGAGCTCAGCCCCTGCAGTGGATTTGATATCATCTCCAAAATGAAGCATGATATGATGCTGCCGGCTGGGGCAGGAGTCAGTCAAGACACTCCCATCAAATCCTTAAGAGAAGGTTAAACCCACAGCATGAAATAAGATCAAACAGTCATCAACTTGTATCATATATATAAGAATGCAAGTTGATGAACTTGTTTATTATGATTAATTTCCTATCTCTACAGATATCTATTGAAGTCGAGAATCATGTAGTCCCTCGTCTAAGTAGGTGACTCAGATCGGCAAAAATCCTTTAAGCTCGGGGCCCGCCTGGGGCACCAGCATAAGATCCCGGCGCCCCTGACCTGAAAATAGGCAAGAGTGGCCAATTTACAGGCACCTTTTTTTAGCGCCGGGCGCCCCGGGCGCCCTAGGCAGCCAGCCTGTGGTACTCCTTATAAGCCTGCTATGGTCTAGTGTTTTTCCCTGGTACAAAGCATCAAAATCTTTTTGCTCCAAGTCCTAGCATATCAACCTAAAATCCCAGAACAATTTTGTGGGAAAGAGCAGTGAGTTTATTTTGCTTCAGGGTAACAATCTTACAGGATGTCAAATTTTCATTCTCTAATCAATATGCTATGTGTCCGATGCTGTTAATTTTTATTAACAGGTATGTAATAATTTAATACTTGTCTACACATATCTGCAAGTCTGGTCTGGATTCACAGTTGAAGCAGGATGACATGACTTACTCCTGGGCTGCTGGGCAAAGCCGCAAAAAAACAAAGAGCCTGATGTTCTCATTGCCCTCAAAGGCCATAACAAAAACTATCAAATTCTTTGCTTGCCTTCTTACGCATTCAGCTGTCATCCAGGCAAGCTGCAGCATATCACTTGAGTATACCCCATGGAACAATGCAAACTTGAAGATTTGAAAAGTTGGCCCCCGAATGGAAGCTTTAATGTTTGCATCCCCATCCTCATTTGTAGTCACTACTACACCTTGATTCAATCTCTGATATTGCATTGAGTTAGTGAACAATTTTGCCAGGCAAATGCGGACACAAAGATACAATGTGAAGCTAGCACTTATACCTAGCTGAAGGAGAATTTTCCTTCTGTGCCAGTGCCTGAGTTTCATGGAGTTGCCCTTTCAGCTGGCCAAATGGTATGGGAGATATGATTGCAACAATCCAATCAGGAGCTTGGCTAATAAAATAATAGTTTACAGCGGTTGGGAACTTACTGTGGCTTCATTGGTATTTCTACCACTTTCATCGTCGCGTTCTGAAGCTAACCACTGCAATTGCTTCTGAAACCATTGATCACGTTATAGAGCTTGCTTGTCTTCCTAGAACACTGCAGCAAGCACGCTCACTTCCCAAACGACCTTTAGAGAAGCATACCATCACACATATGGTCATGTCACAAGGCAGAATGCCCCATGCTACCAGTCCAGCGTGGCATCATATTGCCTAAGCTATTCCTCATCTGGTCCATCGGTTTGTACCTTGATGTCGTACTCAAGAGTACCGGCTACGACTCAGCCGTGCTTGAGACCATAACGTAGGCCTGGAAAGTGCTCTGCTAATTATTGGGACCCGTAATAAAAATTTGATTTTAACAAAAATCGGCGAATTCGGCTGGGAAAATAGACGATTTCAGAAACATCCGTAGGGACATCCGTATTATTTCAACCCCGCTATGGCGAACGTACGATTACGTGCAACCTTGTCGAATACAAAATTTGACGTCTAGATACCAGTTTCTTTTGATTCCTGAAATATAACTTTCATTTAATTCCAGGTTGCCTGAGATCCAAAGCCAATTCAGCCGCAAATTAGGGCCTCACTTGACAGGATAAATATTTTGGGGAGTCCGGCGGAAGAGGGCGCCAGTCCAAGGCAGGGTAGCTACCCTGAAGCCACTCGAGAAATACACTTAAGGTTAAGAGGAGGGCTTTGGGGGTACTCAGAGAATGAATACCCCCAAGACCGAAAGAAACGCCAAGCCTTACGTGGAAGGGAGCAGAAGATTCAATATTGCCCTTAGGGCCCTTCGTTGCAAGGTACGTACAAAGGGGGACAAAGGGACATAACGGTCTTCAGGAAATAGTGGAACGCGCAGGAAGGCCGACCGCAAGGTACTCTAAGGAAAAAGCATACGAAGAGAAGTTTCGATGTATGCTTATTTGAAGGAAGTTGAAAAGGGTAAAAGAAAAAGGGAAGAAAAGAGAACCGAATCAGATTTCGTCCTCCCTATATTCAAAAGAAAATTTGGGTCGCAAGGCAGGGGTTGAAGCAGCCGTGGTAGCCTCAGGAGCAGCTTGCTGGCGGCTCTCCGCTTCCGAGTTAGCTGCCTGGGGAGCAGAAGAGGTTGCCTTGACCTGCGGTAGGAATGCATTAGTTAGCTTACTTAGATCCCCATGTTTGAAGGAGCGGAGTTAAGGAGGTTTAGGGCGCCCAACGACTGGAAGCATAAGGATAAACGGGCGGTCTCACCTCTGGCAGAGTAAACTCGGCGATTTGGGCCTTGACGTCGGCCGGAAGGCTCTGCCGGCGCACTGGGGTCCCTTCTGGAGCTTGTGGAAGATTGATTGCTATAAATATCAAAGAAAAACAGTCTGTTAGCCAGGCCAAGGGGAAAAGCAGCCTAGAAGCACGTGATGCTTCATTGATAGGTGATTTACAAACAGTTCTCGAACATATCTCAAAAGACAATGGAAGGCTGTTAGAAGAGAACAAAGCACACAAGAACCACGTGAGCTGCCCGTGTTGGAACTACCTGTGATTGGGACGAATATAACCCTCTAACTTACATCTTAACCTCATTCTTTCAACATTCGCTGTGGTATAGTCTCTAGAGAAGGAAGATCCAGGTTAGTGGCCAAGATCTGTATCTTGGAGGAAGTAACTGTGCTGAGGACACTGCTAGAACTCACAAAACTGGACCACTGATCTGTCTGTTATGCCCCAACTGGGGCCTTTCTTTCTTGCCAAAGCAGCAAAGAATGCTGTTGAGGCACATTTTCTATGGAGATCTAGACTTTCAAGCTGAAGAAGAGCCTTTTGAATATAGTGCAAGAAGGAAAGGAGAAGCTTGATATAAGGAGGAAGGTTGTTGGCAAGTGAGAGAAGTTGACAGTAAGAGAAGAATTTATCTCAGAGCTCAGGGAAAAGATCATGTGTTCCTTTAAGGCCGAGCCTTCTAGCACATGGTTCTTAAAGGGATAGTGAGCAGTAAAAGGAGCGTCCAGTGAATAGAAAACCGGGGCTAATTCCTAGGGCACACGGGTAATCTTTCAGTCTTCCGACGAAATTGCGTATTACCTATACTGGATCTCGTCTGAACAATGCCTAGGGAACACCAGAAACAGAGAAGAAATGGCCAAACTGGACATTTCCAGAAGCCACTGATTGCCCGGCGTAGAAAACGGGTAATTGTATCCACAACTCACAGAACTTGGAGTCTATATGCATACAAGTTGCTTGCCTATCACACAACAAAAACATAGAAATAGAATGTTTCCACAAGAACAATCATGAAGACATATCTAATCCTCCAACAGAATCTGGTATCAGTCCCTGGAGATTGGGCACGGAATCAAAAAGACAAAGGTCATAAATCTGGGTTAACAACCCCACGTTGTCAAGGAATCCACTGGATCATTTCTTTTCAAAGACTTGCAAAAGACTCTTCCATACCTGGCCAGGCTCTTGGCTGGCATCGATTCCCTTCCAGATACCGGTAGACTTGTAATAGCCGACGACAGGGGCGGTTTGGGAATGGTATGTAACTAAGCGTTTCTTCAATGCCTCGACGTTGTCGTCTGAGCGCTGAATTAGGGGTTCGCCAGTGATGTCGTCAGTCATTGGGACCTTTGGAGGGTTGAATATTTTGTGGTAGGATCTGCCGGAAGCGGGGTGAATCAACCGCCCTGTTATCCTGGACACAAGGAGCTCATCGTCGATCCGGAGCTCGACAGCGTGCTGAAGCTTCTGGTGACGAGCGTTAAGCATCTCGTCTAACTTTTCAGCTTGTTTAACCGTGCGTGGGAAACCATCCAAAATGAAGCTATAAATTTATCGGGTTAGTAAAATTCTGTTAATCTCAATGTCTCGAGTTTTGGTCCGCCCTACCCGTTGCGACATTCCTGGTTTGTCTCAAGCTCGTGCTTGATCATGTTCACCATAATGTCATCACTGACAAGCCCTCCCTGATCCATGATCTTCTTGGCTTGTTTTCCCAACTCCGTCTGTTTCTGGACTTGGGATCGGAGCATATCACCAGTTGCCTATGGGATCATTGCATGATTGTTCGGTTAGGTATATCTCCAGCAATTAGGGTCAATTGGGTACTGGAACGAACGAGGTGGCATATGCAGTATTTCTCCTTGATCTTGGGTGCCTGTGTTCCCTTTCCTAAGTTGCCATTGAGTTAGTTGCGGTCCACGGCACAACGTCAGTGTTTCGAAGGAGCATTACCGGCACCAGGAGGACCCATCAACACCATTCGCATACCATCGGCGAGCGAATTGACCTTCGAGCTACCCTCTCCATGGACGAGCTTCTGCTCCAATTGAACAACACGAGCTTCAAGGTCGCGGATGATGCTCTTCAGGCTATCAACGGTTTCATCTTTGGTTGGTGCCATTACGTGAAAGCCACTGAGGGGGCCCTGGCAAACGGGGAAATTGGAAGAAAGGATGAGGGGTGAAGCGGAGCGAAATGGAGGGGAAGAGAGAGAAGGGAGTGGGGAGAGAGAATGGCTGGTGGTCTGGTCTGCGGAAGAAAAGACGTGAGGTTGGAAAATCTGTGGAAGGTTTCTTGGAGCCAAAGCTGCCGCAGGGCCGAGGTGGTTTCCAGAAAACCAAGTGGACACGGTTGACGGTGAGTGATGGCGGTGGATCTGCGCGCCTTTTTGCCGAGAGAGACGCGATGTCTTTGAGTCCCTGACACCATGCAACCAATTATGAAGGATCTGCTATTAAAAGCAGGGTTTGATACGATAAAGTAATCTCCTTCGAGCAGAAAGGGTTGGGGAAGTTGAAGAATGCGCCGGTTACAGCCATCCATGTTGTGAAGCCGGTCTACGGTGCTACGACAATACAAGGCCAAACCATACTAGAGAGCTCTTTTCTCTTCGAACATTCCCGAATATTGGCCCGCATTCCGTATCCTACGATGACATTGTCCCTCGCAAACTTTGCTTCTCCCGCACAAACGCGCGAACTCGTCAGGAGAATATTAGCGATCGAACCGCCAAGAGAAACCACATGATTTAGCTTGGATATGTCTTGGCGTCTGCTTAGTCAGTCGCTCCAGGCTGGAGCTAACTTAACTAGTTAGTTATCAAATCGGCCATGCATCATCAGCTCCAACCGGGCTACAACCTCCCTCAGCAGCCCAAGCAGACAGCAACTTCTTTGAATACCGACCATCGAATTATTTTCAGGAGCCGGTATTCATTTGATCCCCTTTCACCATGCCGGCCACCACCGCCGACACCCTCTCCTTAGTGACTCGTACCGTCTCTGTTGCTCCCCTTGTTCTTCTTTCAGTCGCAGATCATTACGGACGGACAGCGAAGGGCACCCGAAGACGAGTAGTTGGTGTTTTGCTAGGGCAGAATGATGGCAAAAATGTTCGGGTATCAAACAGTTTTGCGGGTACGCAGCGCTCTCCGAATGTTGAAGTAGAAGTTCCGTGATGTTCCCGGTGCTGACGTATTTGTTATATTTAGTGCCATTTGAAGAAGACGACAAAGATCCATCTGTTTGGTTCTTAGATCATAATTTCGTGGAGTCGATGAATGATATGTTTAAAAAGATTAATGCACGGGAAAAGCTTATTGGATGGTACCATTCTGGCCCCAAGTTGAGGGCATCTGACCTGGAGATCAATGAGCTGTTCAAACGATACACGCCGAATCCCTTACTAGTAATCATTGATGTACAGCCAAAGGAAGTTGGCGTGCCCACTGACGCATACTTTGCTGTGGAAGAAATCAAAGATGTGAGGAGGACCGTTGTTTTGTAGTCATCCAGCGGCTAATGTTTGTGCATTTGTGCGTGTCTAGGACGGAACAACCACATCGAAAACCTTCGTTCATACCCCATCAATAATTGAGGCGGAAGAAGCGGAAGAAATTGGTGTAGAGCACCTTCTTAGGGACATCCGTGACGTTGCAGTTGGCACCCTCTCAACCCGGATCACTTCTCAGCTTCAGTCATTACAAGGATTGCACTTAAGGTTACGCGACATTGGCCAATATCTACAAAAGGTCCTGGATCGTGAACTGCCTGTTAATCATGCTATCCTAGGCAATCTTCAGGATATATTCAACCTCCTCCCCAACCTTGCAGCGGCCAAACAACGCTCGTCAGGGAACGCATCAGAACAACCACAAATTGAGAATACAGAACTTGCGCGCGCCATGAACATGAAGACCAATGACCAACTTATGTCGATATATATCAGCAGTCTGATCCGCGCGATCACTGCTTTCCATGATTTGATCGAGAACAAAATCCAGAATCGGCAGCAACAAGAGGAGCAAGAGGCGAAATTAGAAGAAGGCAAGGATGAGAAGGCGGTGACAAATGGCAACACAGAGGAAAAGAAGAAGAATAATAGCGAGCCAAAAGATGAGTCCGACAGCTCGAAGAATAAAAAGAAGGGATGATAGGTAGTTCGTATACCTGTTCATACCCTTCTCTCCATCTATGATATTGAACCTTGCAGGTTAGCCTCTTTTTTTCCGTTGTAGACTAGATAGGACGTCCGTGTTACGGCGAACGATATTGGGAGCTCGTATCGGGGATATCAAATGGTTTCATTTATTGGACATATCCACAAAATTTTGTCCGCCAATAATGCAACCGGAGCGTATTAGTCCACGAGCGGATCAAATAGTGCAGTCTATCACCCCTACAACGGCGCTCGCCTCAGGCTTTCCATTCAAAGTTATGTTCTTTTCAACGCTCGGGACATTGCCCAGCCACAGCTCTTGGATAGAAAATCAATGTTTTCCGTATTTGATAACTCAAAACACCTCCCAGAGATGTATAGTTCGTACGCTACAGGTGAATACTGTAAGTTAACCCTGGCCTGTCGACGTCACAGAATACAAATCACCGCCCCATAATCTCACAAAGGGTTATATCTGTGGCGTAGAATTGGCCTTTTCGTAAGAATTTCATCCGGCATACAGGGCTGCCATTTCCGCTTCATTCACAGCAATTTGTTCGACTCCATGCGCAAATAGGTCCGGGCACTGGGATGCCAGAGCACAAGCAAGCAAATGCTTACATATCGCCGGGCTAGATGAGCATCGATCTCCGCTCCCACCGCCCGTTATTCCCCGTGCAAGTAAGCCGCCGAATCGCCAGTCCTGCGTGATATGACCGTCCGCTTCCTTGAGATCACTAGACTCCAGCTCTGGTGTATCCTGACTCGGAGACGAGAATGACGCCACTGCAAAAGCGGGACAAGTGCAATTCCATGAATGGAGGTGGATTTCGTAATACCTTTCCGGTAGGTCGATTCCTGAATGCTGCTGGCTAGCACCTGGTGGGGAGCGGGGTGCCTGACTTGAGCTTCTAGTTGGTTGTTTCTCTATTCTTGTCGACGAAGAGAGCACAAAGTACGTTCCGTGTGTGGTATCTTGTGCAGTAGAGGCGTTTGTGCGAAGGTATTTTCTGATGAGTTTCCGGTCTAGGAGATCCAAGGCTAAGAGGAATTCATTAGGGAAGAGGCAATGAAGTGTCAAAAGGATAGGCTTGACTTTTGCTAGTGTTTCGGGAGATAGGGACGAGAGTGGGTTGTGAACTGAGTCCGAATTATGAGGAGCACGTAGGACACCAGGGCTAGGAGATGTTGATACTGGCTCCAGAACAATGCTTGAAAGTTCACGGATGACTGATGTTAGGAAGACTGATGGAGTAGGGAGGGTATTAAACTGATATCCAGATTCCATGGTTCAAGGGTTTATGGTAGCTATGTCAACGACGACAAAGTGGCCGTCGGGGGTTCATGTTGGAGAAAGAGGTTAGTGCTAGGTTTCAAGATTGGGTATGTTTAGCCAGATTTCGCTATCCCTCGAAGACAATACGATTTAATCCAGCAAGGAACTATGAAATCTTTCGAGGTGTAGTTATATTCCCAAAAGTCAAACTTCTGATACCAACACCAAGCACGAAACACCTTGCCATGAACAATCAAAATCCATTGCCAACTGTTAGACTTAGAGCGCCTCTAGCCACTAAGGATTGATCCTTTTTGGCTCAGTTGGTTAGTTCAACACCAACACAGCGTCCAACCACAAACTCCCAAGAAAAGCTATTGATGACAACCAGCCTCTGCTGCAGATGTTTGAGTAGTGGCCTTTGGGGTTGTATCGCCGGATGCATCCTCCGCTGTCTGCGCGTTCCTGGTGGTTTGCTTCGATAACCTGTGTCTCTTTGTCACGCCTTGTGGCCTTTCCGGCGGAAGCGAACCTCTGCGAGGAGAAGAGACTTGCCTGCGGCTTCTTTTTAATATACCCCTTAATACTCCCGTCAAAACCATTTCGCCCATAGTTACCTTGACTGTGATCTCTGCCGGTTGGCCCTCCCACTTTGTCGCAACAGGCGCGGGCATGCCAGAACGAATTGGAGGCGAGTTTCCAACCTCGATATCTGAATCCTCTCCCGGGTTTGGGAACTCAAAACTCGCCTTTAAATCTACCTCAGATCTGTTGTCATTCTGACTTGCAGGATTTTGCACGTCTTGACCTGACGGTCGGTCCGTCTGCTCGATATGCTTTATCGTCGATTCGTCGATAGTCGCTAAAGTTTCGTGGAATAAACTGTCGTCAGTTGTCAACTTGGATACAGGGTCCGGACAGTTGAAAGGTTTTCGGATATAGACCAAAACATATGGCACACTTGAGGCAGAATGCCCCTCCGTGTTATCCCCGAGAGCGTCGCTCGCAGAAGACTCTCCGATATCCTCGTCGTTCACATATACCCATCTATCATCGGGGGTTCTCACATGTGCGTAGTAATGACCGCCGTGGACGTCATTTCCTTCATGGAAAATCGTGCTGTAGAGCTCATATTTCAAGAGCTCCTTATCCTTATCTCTCGCATACGGTTCAAGAGCGCCGGTCAAGTCAAATTTCTCATTGTATCGTATCTTATTTACTAGCTTGCCTCCCCCAGAGCGGTGACGGTTAACCCGAATGACGAGAATTTCAGGCGCATCCCTAATGACTGTACGACGGACTGCTGGCCCGGTATGTCTGCAATCAATGCAATGATAATCTGAAGTGTGTTCAGTAAAGGTCCGCTCAATGGCTTCATGGAGTGTTAATGAGCCGGTCTCGGGCGGAGAAGTGCGCAAAACGTAGTCGATGCTCTTTGGAGAATAAGAAACTATGCCACAGTTCTGGCATTTGGTCCGCACTTTATACACCGTTTGGAACATGTGTGTCAAAGGCTGGACATCCCTATAACAATTGGAAAGTATTCAGTCACCATAATCACATAGGAAGCTAAGGATCAACTTCGTACCGTTCTGGGATGTCAAATTCGGCCATCAAGTTATTTATAAGAGCTAAGAAAAACTCCTCGCAATCTTGCTGTGCGGTAGCATCCACAGCCCAGAACTTCCCTCGACAGCACTCCCAAAAGTCCCGGGCTAGACTGTTGAATTCGGCTTGACTTTTCTCTTTCCCGTACTCCCGATACTTCCTAGCCAGGTAGGCTAGGTGACACGCAACGCACCCATAAGTCGTATCCATTTCTTTACAAGGAGCCGAAATGTGAAGATAGAGCCATTGTACGAAAGCGGGCATATGCATCAGTACCACTAGTATACAATTCCGATAACAGGCGACGCCACTATCATTAGCAAAGCCCACCGGGTTAGGGCTCCTCCAGCAATCGAAGGGCCATTCGGTAAACATCGCAGTCAACTGATCTTGGTTAGTGAAACACATGGAAATGGTAACGTGCCACAGGCACACGGACTGCGGAGCTCTTACCCTTCCGCGCCGGACATGCTGCCACGGGCTCTGTGGGCTCTGTCGGCCCCGCTGATGGGTTGCCATAGCCTGCTCTAGTCAAATGAACAAAGTTTACTTATTTAAAGATGATTTTTTTGATTGCCTATGACTATGGGTAATCCCAGAAGCATAAGACTTGGAGTATGGAAATCAAAGGCAAGGAAAATTTTTCTGTAACCGAAAAGCAGCATGGAAGAATGAAGGTGGAAGTCCAGGAGCTCTTCAGCTTTAAATATCACAGCATCCAAAAGGCCACTACAATCTGTAATTCTCTTTTATTGAGCATCAGGCTCTCCATTAGATCTCTATCCATTCACTGGGAGGGCATCCATTGTTGATGGCTTGGTAAGGAAAGGGTATTTGCTCAAGTAGACAAAGTCCGATTTAAGGAGAAAATTAAGGACAAAGAAAAGAGGGCTTGCTGTAGCCCTGGAACAAGCTTCCGTTGTTCAAAAAGAAACCCCTCAGGAAAGGGACCCGGAGATGCAAGCTGTGTAGATTGTTGGCTTTCAACAGTAGATTTGACTTCATCCCAGCGAAATTGCATTGACAGATGTGAGGCAAAGCAGCCTTGTATCTGCTCTGAACAAGAAGCGAGCACTGGGTAATCTCAAGAGTCAAAGGCCATGTGAGATCATCCCATAAACTTGATATATTCACACATCATCAGCTCGATATCAAAGGCTTCATTCACCTGGAGGTGAGCTCTGCTCCCTCATAGCAAATGTCTCTGGCACCAAATTTGATTCAATAAAGAAGGCATTGTTGTTCACCAGCTTGGTCCTAGGTTCTTTCAGCCAGCTGTTCTCGCTGCCCATGGCCTGACGTCTGGGCTGTCAGAGTGATGGCAGGTCACATGATCGGCAGTTGCTGCGGGCTGCACAAAAGGGAAATGCTCGAGCAACATCGCTTCATGCTTGAGATGCTAAAAGGACATCAAGCAAGGTTTTGTCATAAGCACCTTGGGCAAACAATGGCAATATGATAGCAAGAATTAGTGAAATTGAACATTACTTTTCTGCTGCAGGTCAATGGAATTTAGTTTTGCCCAGCCGGGCCCAGTCGCTGTGGATCACAGGTTTGCGGGGAATTCTGCTGGTGAGGGATCAAGCTACGCAAACTTCAGGCTTTAGGGGGTTCCATGGCATCTCCTTGGGGTAAAATGGTTATCTCCAGCTTTCCACAATGGTTCGTGAGTTGGCTCGGCTAGTCTCAAGCCCTTCATGGTTCGTGAAGGCGATCGTATTCGATGAATGGAAACCCCACACGATTCTTAGATGGCACCGAGAAAGGCGTTCATTCAAAGTTAACGACTACTTACAGTGTCGATCTCAAAATTTTTGGAGCCAAAATCTATGCAGAATTCGTGCCCAATTCGAGCTCTGGTCTCTACAAATCTTTCGGGGGGATTTGAGCACACTGTTTCAATTATGGGAGTCTCTGGCGAAAGGGTATGTACTCTCTACTTTTCCAATATATTTTCAGAACTGCAGCACATTTTGTCGTGTTTGGGCTTATGCTTCGGATGATGTGATAAGCCCTCTCAGGCTTGGAAGCCTAGGTTCTGGACTCGCTCGAGGCCCTCCAATAGCGCGTCTTCACCGCCTCATGAGAATGCCTGACCAAGGGCCACATCATGGTGCATTGCATGGTCACTTCGACAGTGCAATCCAGACTTCCTATGCCGAAACGAACGATAGTGCTTCTATCCCGTTCCCATCCTCTTTGGCTCAATGGATCTGACCGCCTTTTTTTTTCGAGCTGTTTATGTGCTCGACTTTTATTCATTTCAGGACACAAAACGTATTCGTTCGTGGTCAAAAGGGCCGAAAAGCCACTCCCGGCATCTGCCGTGATGATATCCAGAAATTGACGGTGGAGCCTCGGATTTGCTGCGTTCTGCACTCCTCGGCGGCGTAACACTTCCTTGTTCTTCCGGTTTTGTTGCCAACAAACGGAACGAAAAGATTCTCTATCGAAGCCTCACTCTGGTAACTTGGCAAGGATCACCAGAAGTTGCAGTCGAATATGGAGTATCTCTGCTCATGAAATTCCCAGTGATTCAACTTCATCCTGCATATCAGGCTGAACCAGTTATCTTCAGCTGTCACACACCATGTTCGTGCAGCTGCGCTTCAAACCTTAACAAAGACTCTGACACGGGAGTACATTGGTTTCAGACGGGGGCTTCGGTCTACCTGGGGCGAAGTCAGAATTTCCAAGCATGGGTTTAGGTAACCAATAACTGCGATTACGCAGCAAATTAATGGCATGCAGTGAGTGTTCGGGAATTTGCAATGGTTGATCCTCATGCAATGTCAGGTAGGTAGCCGTTCGAATGCGCTGCGGGAAGTGCGACATCGCAAGATGGAAAATGAAGCAGGCACGGGTTATTTCCTGGCTAATACGGATAACTTGTCAGCCTGGCAATGTTGGGCAGCATATTGTTCCCTGTTTGCGACATCATACCCCCGGTGCCCAGCCAGCCTCTTGAAATTCCGAGATGAGGCGTAGGCTGCAGGTTCGGGCTAACGTGTAAGCTGGACCATTCGATTGATACGGTGGAATCAATCTGGATCTGCAAGGCTGTGTGAGGCGGGCTGTTCTGTGGCAACCACATTGGGCGTCGTGAATTTGTCATGGGGAGACTACTGGAGCGACATGATGGCATCATTACTGGCATCCAGCTTGCCAATCAAGCCAGTCGAACCGGACTGTCCGGATCTGTTGCTTTGCGGCATGTTTCAGGAAAGTTTGAAAGAGGACGACAGCGTCGAACCGACATATTCCATCGAATCCGTGACGTTAACGGACTACGTATGGATATACAAAACTAACAAGTACCGTGAAGTACTCAAACTTCTTGAAGTACTTTGAGAGCAACCGTGTACGGAGTACTTCTGGGGCGTTCCTTCTGCTGTCGACGAGGAATTTGTATTCCAGCTGCTGTTCGGTTGAAAGTGCCCATTCATGGATTAACCCGGCCTGGATGATGATATGATAGAAAAGGGGCGTTTTTACTCCGCACACTATCCAGCATGTCGTGTCAGGCCAAGTCAGCATTGACTCTGTACTTGGATTCCATCTGGATGCCAGTCTCGAAACATGTGAATTTGCCTTGGGATCGGCGAGGATACTTTCAAGCAGGTCCTCTCAGAGAGTCGTACAATTTTGCTTGACCCCATTTTGGGGAGAGCTTTGTTGTCATCTCACTGCCCAGTCTTCCATGCGCCTTTCTGATTTCGGGAATGCGAAAGATGAATTCCCCCCTTTTGCCCATCCGCTCGAATACGAGGCAGGGTAATGAGCGGGTATTGGATTACACTGCATAAGACTTGCGATGGTCGATGTGAAATTTGACGAGCGGAGACATACACAATATCGACTGGGCTCACAGAAATGGAGACAGTAGTCGCTCCTAATATCCCATCAGCGCATATGGGACCCTTGGTTTGACTGATGCTTGGCGGGCTGATAGTTGTTCTTGGACTCGGCGTATTCCCCAATGATCACCGTCCATGAATGGTGCACACACGGGGAAGCATGCAACCGGGCTCATAATACCTGCCAAAATGAATTACGTTTGCTGCGGCATCATGCTGTGAAAGGTTGCTCAAATTTCCTGTGTGATGTCTAGGGAAGATTGCAGTTTCACTCCCAGCTTGAAGGTCAGGGGAAGGAAATGGCCTCAGGCGTGTCTGGCTTCAACCTAACAGAGATGCAATTGGTGGGTCTCCTGGCCTTTGTTAAGATCCTTCGTCGAGATGGTTTAAGGTCGCAAGGGTGAGGCCCGTGAAAACGGATAACCGGAGATCGAGGTTGCCTGTATTGCTCTTATGGGTGTCACTGAATTTTGCTTCGTCCCTTAGGCCACTTGCGAGAATACCATATCTCGAAGCTGAGATAGCAATAGAGGTGCGAAACAACTGGGCAAGTCGAGTCGTTCTTAGGGTTCTAACCCTCTTTCAAGACGGAGCAAAGTCTTCCTTTGATGTACTATCTATGTTATTATTATAAACTTTGGATATGTCCACCAGAAGACTGTTATCTCATAACCATGGTCACATAGCCTTTACAATAGATGCTACCATTTTTCGAGGGAGTATGGAATAGGGAGGGGCCAAACAATGCATGCATCGTATTCCTTGACAAGTATTCCGTAGACAGAGAAGGAATGTCTACACACCGTATTTTCGCGAAGAAATTGGTAGATGAAACGACTATGGGTACGTAGCGAACTCTAAGCATCGTCATTCCTCTCACCGCTGGAACGAGATAGTACTCCCAACAGATCTAGCTGAAGAACTCTAGGATCAAGCGGTCAGCGATAGCACGATTGCCCGGAAGAAAAGAAAAAGAAGAAAAGCTACCAGATAAAATCCCTATACAAAAAGATATTCGACCGACGCAGGATTCGAACCTGCAATCTTCTCCAGGTTCCGGAGTGGATAGCCGGAAAGAGACGCCTTACCATTAGGCCAGCCGGCCTTTCGGGAGCTAAAATATTTCTCTTTACGATTATTAGAGGATAAATCCGAGACAAGCCAGAGAGGCGTTGTCCTCGGGTGGATGATGCCGATTAGCCGTCGCACTTATGAGAGTTAACCGCTGAACCTTGTTTGGCTCCATGCACCATCTCCCTGAAGTCGAAAGACGACTATCTATATGAGAGGTATCAACAATGCTTGATGATACACTACGAATGCACAGTGCCATTGTAGGTTCCGTACGGATACTCCATACATGTTATACACACCGCCAGCAGCGGAACGTTGGCTGTGACGCGCGCTTGATGAATGTGAGACGCGAGGCCCAAGTCCTCGCGCTTCGAACGCCCATTTAAGTAAAATACCGATGTAGGGAGTATTAGCCCTTCAACACCTTGTTCTTCTGCTTGAGGAGAAGTGGCAATCCTGTGTATTCCATCACGGCGTAGGCAAGACAACGAGCGGCTATGCTGCCGCATCATTCACGCCCCCCCCCCCCCGGCGGGCGAAGCTAGAGAGGCGAGATTCAGCAAAGTTTTGACGTTGTGGTTGATCAACGGCTCCCACCCAAAAATTTACAAAAAGATTTTCTTGATTAGATCTCATGACGCGCAAGCAGATTTGACGGGGACAATAAGAGTTTGGGATATGCTATTTGGCACACCGCGCACATCTGTCATTTCTGCGGCAAAATTTTGATTAAGCAGTGCTTCTCTTGAGTATGACACCGCAGTGTATTTCTGAAATCTAAAGTTTCCGAGTCTGACTCGAAGACTGGAGGCAGGACTGAAATAATTCCAACGAGCTACGGTTGATGGTAAGTACTTGATGCTGCAGCTTTGATCTGAGAGCGCTCAACGCTCTCCTGATTTCATTAACATGATTCGACGCCCCGTATAACCAGATGTCATCAGGCATAAATAAGGACGATCCCAAATGCGCGCGGATAATAACATCAAATCTGGCTCACGCGGTTAAATGCTGCAAAGATAGGCGCCGAAATACAGGTTTATTAAGGAGCCACAGATTAATGCTCAACCGGGGTCAAATAATCCCTTCTCTTCTAGCCTGTCCTGCTCCGTCAGCAACACGTAATAATAAAATGCCTCCCGGCTCATGACACTCGTAAATCAAAGCTTTGCACTCTTGGGATGCGAAAGGGTGAAAGTGACGCCATGAAGAGGCTGGTCGTCTGAGGCTCCCCCTGAATCACGTGGTCATTTGCTGAATCAGCCCATCGTGATCTCCGGTCTGAAGCGATCGAAATCCTTCGTTTCATCGACGGGAAGCGAATCACCCCAGGCTTTGACCCAATGACGAGCCCGTTGCCCTCTGATACGTGAGCTTGCCCATGAACACCTCCGTGTTGGTGCCCAAACACGGCACCTCTCCCGTACCAGACTAGACAACTGATGGTGTGGTGCTTGTGAGGCATCAGAAACCCAATCGTGGGGGTTTTGCCCGGTTTCAGCCCTGGGGTGGTTGAACTGAGGCTAATGCGAGTCATCCTACTCAAAGCCTTCGGTGTGACTGCCGTTGGCTGAGGGGATATCACCGGAATCACACGAACTCCTGCTGAGGAATTTTCGCTTTGCTTTTTGCGTGCTTTGACTCCTCACTTTAATTGGGCGAGTTCGCATTCCTTTTTGTGAATTATTGCCCCAAGAGCCTCCCAAAGTTTAAAGGAGGCAGTGGCCCAAGAGGAGTTCAGTTTACTTCGCTTCAGCGACTCAAATGTGAAACAAATTTGAATTCTGACTCATTTAGATGGCTCGGAACTAACGGAGATGATATGGTCTTGCACAGGACAAGTTCGGGAAAATAGGCGCAATGTATTTTCTCCCTCCTGATATTCATCTGTCGCTAAATCCCGAAAGCTACCGGAGCCTAAAGTACATGCATACGGGAGTCATTGTGGGAATTAACTGTTTCCGGTGAAAGAAGCCATGCAGTCGCGACATTTCTCGTCGAGCTGCGCAAGTGCCCCTACCCGGGATTTCCAATGAGGTGATTTTGGTCGAATGACGTGGCTGGTGCGGTGAGAGTTCGGCCCAGCGAAGAAAATGCTCCGGGCTTTCGGTACATGGATGTACGTTTTTCGCGTTCTCCGTACGGAGCGCCTCCTTTTCGATTCCAAGCCGGAAAGCGAACAAGGTCCGATCGAATAGAATCGTCCGTGCCACGTTCACAATGTGTAAACTGATAATTCGATAGTTAACTAACTAGCTAGTTAGTTATAGTTACCCCATGAAAAGCTTAGGTAACTAATGTGTCGAGCCAAGGATCCTCACCCCATGCCGAAGCGAACTCCAGTATGAGGAGCAGTTCTTGGAGGGCATGACGGGTGGCAGATCACACTGGAGGTATTTATTTTTGGACAAAGTATCTCTTGCATCTAGGATCCACGCATAGATATCCCTGGGGAAATGACTTTGCGCTAATTTCAAAACAGTTACCCCAGAAATAGCAGCACACAACAGGAGAATAATATTGTGTATTCATGCATTACTTTGATCTTGCTTGATACCCCGCCTGACTTCTCAGTAAATCTAATTGATTCCCTATACAGGTGCGGGACGACACTCAGACAGCGGTGGCTTGCTTCACTGCTTTAACTTGCATACATTTAAGTCAGCATCGCAATACGGAGTAGACGGACCGTGATCAGATGATGACATGTCTCCTTTTGCTGCTTCTTAAAGCTTGTTTCTGACATAAAACCATGTATGGGCGCGGGCTTGTGCAGGATACCGGCATTGACAGGGAAAGTCACCTGAGAAATACGGTACCATTGGAGTACTTCCTAAATGCCGAAGGTACTTGACCGGTACATTCACATCTACGTTGGGGAGATACCTTCGCAGCAGCGTCGTCCACTAAAAGTCCAGCTCCGTCCGCAGTTGGGACTGGATGTCTTTACGAGCCTTTTCCGGAGTAGATGAACCGGCAATGTGGTTCATCTCAGCTCTGGCAAATGTCACATGGACAAGTCGAAGGCAAAAAGATGCTGTGGACAAGCTGGAGTTTAGGGACTGGTAACTGGAGTCCCGATAATATGGTTCATGCATGCACGTTTGCATTTCATCTCTGCCGCCACGGGCTGTACCAGCTTACACAGAATCTTAGTTGTGTCGCGGTGCTTAACGGGGTTGGTTCCGCACTGAGGTTTGATTACGCCGGACATTCCGGGCAGCCTGCAGACGCCGAGAAGATAACAATCTACGGAGTACGTAGTTAGTCGGGTTTCCCGTCCGACGGAGAGCGCATAAGCTGTCATTTCTTTTCCAAACGTCAAGAGGTAACTGGGGCCTCATGTTTGCTTCAATCAAACACCGCTCGCGACCCAACGGAACAGGCCAATCATCGGCGCCGATATACTCACCCTTTCTACCCCTGCTGCATAAAACCATCACAATCCAGCCTGCAGTAATTATTATGTCATGTTCCTTTTGCGTAACCTACCCGACCTAATTATGGTGCGCTTGGAGCTCAAAATCCAGAGTATTAACTATTATGTCCCACCTTTAGGGTGATTCCTGGGCTTCAGCTTAAGGCCATGCGCAATTCGCAAGAGAGCTGCCACTGTCCATCCCCTGTGAGGTCTCTCAAATTTGATTTTTCCCCTTTTTAGGTAAGCTTTTAATAATTCTTACCTTAATGACTGGTTTGTTCTGAAACTCTGCACATCGGTCAACAGCTTGTTCCCTTACACTACTTTTGTGCAACTCATTAACCGCAGGACACAAGACACAGCAAGTCGACCTGTACAGAGGATGTAAGGCAGCAGGCATCTCTCCTGCCATGAAATGATATTGCGCGACCCTCTTTTTTAATTTTATTACAAGGCCGCTCCTCGGCGAATTGCATATCCAAGAGCACACGATTCTTTTGTTTCGTCACATAAACCATAGTCTGTGCACTAAAATCAAAAATGGGAGCCCGAAGAATCGATGATTTGCTCCGGCTGTGCTCCGTACCCCTGGACGTTGAATATGATTGATAGGATATTCCACTATTAGAGTTGACCCAGGAAGGCAAACCGGCCCAGGGCGACCCGGCCCCCGACCCGAGTTGCCGTCCGTTGGATCCTCAATCTCGAGATTCGATCATATCAGAGAACGGTAAACGCATGTCAACAGCCTCTCAAAAAAGAATTTCCCGAATAATGAGTTGACCGCCAATTCTGACTTGGTCGACGCACTATGAAACTCTTTCTTTCTTTCCAGTATCATTCGCGGCAGTTCTTTGTCCCCCTTCATTGACAAGGAAAATAATCACTTGTCAGAGTCAGGCACTTCTTCTCGTGCTCTGCATCCAGACATGCTTCATAACCTTACCTGGAGTTTCCTTTCTCCTCACCGCAAATCTGAATGTCCCTCAAATCATGTCGTCAACGTGCATATCTAGCGTCAAAAAATCCCAAGGAAAAAGAAGCCTGACAATGCATGAATTGTTCTTGGAATGAGATTTCCCCCCTCCAAAAAAAAAAAAAAAAAAAAAAAAAAAAGGTGTGACGGATCGCAAAATGATTCAGAAAAAGAATTTGTCATTTGCTCATTTCCGGGGTACTTGTTATAATGCAGAGAGAAAAAGGTAGATAGATAGGCTTTCCAAGTCATTGATGTCGCCAGGATGTATTTTGCATAAGGGGGTTGAATGGTGTTGAGTCTGGAGAATCAGAGATGTGTCTGGGGATTTATTATGTTCCTAGGTTTATGCTGGGATTGGGTCCAAGTGTTCCCTGATCAGAGAAGCTTGGGTACTAACCGTGCAATGACCCAGTTAGACAGGTACAAAGTATGAGGTTACGTTATTTAACGAGTTCGTTGTCGAAAATTCTTGTAAGTGTCGGTGTGGCTTTTTCCTTTTTTGTTTTTTTTTCCCTTTCAATCAATGCTCGCATGAAGAGAGGAAACGCCTCCAAGTTTCATTCCTGACACATGTCCCGGGTTTTCCACACCGCAGGAGGATGCCAATTCTTCATTTTTTACTTGTTCGTAAGTGGATTAGGGAACGCACCCAGAGAAAGGATCTCCAGCCATAGTTAACTAGTTTCTCTGTGGAGTTCGACAACATTCAAAGAAGGTCATAGGTGGTGTTAAGGTAAAGCCCCAAAAGGGTATAACTAACTGCATCAATCCTAGCTTCGAACAGCGTAGTCGATCAGTTGCCTCGTTGATTACCAGGTTCAGATTGACAGATTCACGTTAGCGCTTCCCATAACTCTTTCGTCCAAGGTGAGATTTCTAGTAGAGTTGACTTCAACTTATAGTTATCCTCGCTGAAGGTCGACTATGCACAGCCATTTTCATAAAGATCATGTCCGATTACCTGTGGCTGTCTATATCGGCGCATGCGATCTCAACCTGTTTCGATACCCAACGATGCCGATACGATCCCTGACTGAGACGACTGAGGCGTCTGGTGTTCGATAACTGTCAGCAACGCACAAGCTCACCCGAAAGCATTGGCTTCCCGTCCATCGGAACTCCTAAACCTAACCTACTCTAGTTAAGCTTATGCTGTGGGTTTCGACGCTCGTGACTCGTAACTTTAGGTGGCATCAGCGAAGAAATTTGGGGAATGTCGGTCTGACGTGACCAAACTGATCGAGTATCGCAGGATGGGGCATGTTCATGCGAGCCTGGAAAACCTCTTTTTTCTTTTCTTTTCTTTTCTTTTCTTTTTATTATTATCATTTTTTTTATTATTATTATGTAGATGTGCATGAAGGGGATGACCGCTTTCGCAGATGGAATGTTTCGCTGCTCCTTGCTCTTTGCAAATGCTTGGATCGGAGAGAGCAAAATGCTATTATGCCTGCCCGCCTCGAAATCCTTGGAAGACCGTATATTGAGCCTCCCAGAAGAAAGTAAAAGCGCCTCCTTCGGAGGCCCTATCCGCGTATCCACATGCTTTGCTTTTTATAGTAACTTGCGCAGCGTTTTGTGTGGGTGGTGGATTTATGCCTGCCTCCAGTTCGTAGTCTGTTCTACTTGTTGGCCACCCATAGGGCTCGTTCCAACGCCTCGAAAATGCGCCTATTTAAGTACCATTTCTGCACCAGCCTGTAAGCATAAAACGGGGGATCATATGTGTTCGTCCCTCTGTCGGTATCTGCTCCTGCCTGCGTACTGCATTGACGCCCCGTCTGATCTCGCCCCAGTTTTGATTACGTCCTTGCCGAGCTCAGGCACAAAGTCCAAGGGATGCGTGTTTCAAGATACACTTTTCCTCAATCCTGATAGAAGCCCTTTCGACGTATTTGCAACAGTGCCGAGAAAACGAATTATTGCGCGTAGTTACGCACTCTCGGCCTGGCACAAAAAGGGACGGGAGCAAGAAGTAAAGCCCAAAACATAAGAATCGAAAAAAAAGGCAAGAAGACACTGGAGCCACAAATAAAATAAACCTCGCGGACGAAAATATAACGGTTTTTTGGTCAGTTTTTGAAAGCTCGGTAACGTCCTAATCGCGAAACAGGCACGTCGAGTGGTCCGCACTTTTCCCGTCCATTTTCTTTTTCGCCGGCTATTGCTTGTCGGCCTTGACTTAGCAGAGCCTGATAATAGCTTGCTGTATACATCAGTTTATTTATGAGGGTTTTTGCTTGAATTCGACGAAAGGAAACGCGAAGCTCCGCTTGATTGTTCCAGTTTCTCCAACCCCACTCTTCACCCATTCACTCCTTATTAAAATACAATATTGTCTGTGCGTGTCATACCTCGTGGCATACCTGCTGCTGAATTTCTCCGTAGGGGGTCGAAATCTCAATTTCCTTTGCTGGGTTTCTAACCTTTGCTCTTCTTTGATTCCCTTGCTTGTTATTTCAGGTGACACAGCCTCCAAGTCACAACTGGAAGCAGGATACGGCGTGTATCAAGATTTGTTTGGTCGAGGGAAAGGTGCCGTTCGCTCAAATAGTCGATCTTATTCGATCAGGAATTTCAAGGCCATCGATTGGTTGTCAGAGAAAAGGAGGCAAATAACAGCTGCAACAACAGGGTGCAGACACTTTGACCGACTATTTGTACCATCTAATTTTCCCTTCCTGTCGCTGCGTTGCCGGGTTTGGTTGACGGTCTAAGTCTTGTCAACCCACTTTGAAGGCCCTGATCGACGGTGCTACAACGCTCGTGAGACGGTCAAATCTGATTTTGCTTCGATTATTTTTCCAGATCTCTCGTTCCTCTCCGCAATCATTGAAAGTGGCACTTGATTGTCCCACAACGCAGACAGCACACGGTGACAAACCGGACGAGAGTCGTCTTCTCCGGCAAATCGAAGATCCCGTCAAACCGCTTCTGGAAAGCCGACTCAGCTTTAGGATTCTGCGAATAATCGGTGAGAGGAGGTTTTAGGCTGCAATAAAGTCAAATACTTTACCTGTGCCCAAGGCTCTCCGAGGGACCACGCGCAACCGCTTCATCTAAAGAGCGTCGAGACCATAGTCATCCCTGGAAAGTGGTGAGAGCAGCCCACGGAACGCCGGCTGACGACGCATTGCCTTATGGTCCTGCGCATCATTCCACGTTTTACCGCAGACACATTGGATATCTCACTGCTTTTGGGGTCTCATGATGAGGAAAAAGAGGCGACGAGCACAACCACGACGGCTGGGGGAGCAACCGCATCACCCAGGCCACCCGACTCAGAGTTAGGTACTCTCCCAAGACCATCGGTTTCGACGGCTTCGCCAGAAATTCCAGGAGCCCTGCTAGCGTCGCGACCCGGGTCTTCCGCTAAGAGACCATTACAGGATGCATCACCTCGAGGACGTCCTGCCAAGAAGCAATCAAAGTGGTCGCCTGAAGAGAACGCATTAATACTCGAGCTTCGGGGAGGAGGAATGAAATGGGACGATATCAGTAAAAGAATTCCAGGAAGAAGCCCCATAAGTTGTCGGCTACATTATCAAAATTATCTTGAAAGGCGGTGCGAATGGGATGAAGACAGAAAGAACAGGCTAGCAAGACTTTATGAAAGGTAAGTGCCAAACCAGCAATCAGGGCCGGGGTCTTCGATTATTATGGCTAACATCCAAATGCAGATTCAAGGAGGAAATGTGGTCAAGGATAGCCGAAGAAATGGCTATACCTTGGAGAGCAGCAGAGGCCATGCACTGGCAACTTGGTGAAGCCGAGATGGCACAGCGAGCAGGAGTAACACCATTCTCATTTTCCGCCCCCCCAACGCAGTCTTCGCCGAGAGCGCGTCGAAACACCCTCTCGAGACGAGACCGCTTAAGCACAAGCCAACTCCCATCGTTGGCGGAGCTCACTGCTGGAATCCCTGCATACACCTCACAAATGGTGGGTGAGCCTCATCCAGCGATGGCTTCTTCACTATTCCACCCCGAGCCAGGTCCGACGCAGATTCGAAGGGGATCAAGGCCCCGAGCACACAGACGATAAGACGATGGAAGCGGAAGGGTCTATTTACTTAGCATGTATGCATAGCGCGGGTTGGGGTCGCGGGAATCGGTATGGTAGATTCGCAAGGTCTGGGAACAGCATATTATGTAAACCTAATTTTGGTGTTTTTGTCTTTCTTGCTCTTTTCCCGAGTTCGGATTTAAATTAATTTTGCATTTCAGTTCATGGTCGATATAATCCTTGCTCAATGGAGAAATTGAATCCTAGCATAACCTTTTGCTCATCGAGGGAGTGGCGTCGCAATGGCCCACCAGTTATCCTTCTCGTAGCCGTGGTTCAGAACACGGCCACCAGCTGCGCATATGTCGTCTTCTAGCTCATTTGATCGGTAAAGATGGTAGTAGCGGAGAAACGTCTGAGTCGATTCAGCAGATTTGTCAGATCCTTTTCCCCTTCTCACCCAAGGAACCATGACGTCCTGTTCATCACCTGCATCCCAACCTCGCCGGCTGTTCTTTTGCTCGAGAGCCCAAACATATATGAGGGCCTTACCACCTTCAAAGCTGTCCTGAGGGGGTTTTAATGTATCAAGAATGGCCTCAACAGCCTTGACTCTGCGCTCACGGGTCGATAGATGGTGCACCACCGCAATTGAAATTGCAAAATCAAAGCATCCGTTCGGGTGGGGAAGACTTAAATTATCAGCTATTACAGTGGAATGCGGCTGATGCTTGCTCGCAATTTTTATTAAAGCCTCGGATCTGTTTGCACATTGTTAATTTAGACACAACTGAAATTGAAGATTCCTATCCGCCTACCTATCTGAAGCTATTATAAAGATATTTGGGTTCACCGGCAGGTATTTACCATTACCGCAGCCAATATCAAGCCCAACGGAGCCGGGGGCCAATTCGGTCAGAAATCGCTCTACAATTGGCCAAGCCTAGAGAGTGAAGAGTCAGCCTAGAGGATCGAGCTCAACAAGTAAAAAGATGAATTTAACCTACCTTGTACCTCGTTGATGAAAAATGATGTGCAATTTCTTGGTAGACCCGATGAACATGTTCCTCCTCGTACATCTCCTCCTGCCCGTCAGTTGCCATGTTTGGCTTTGAGAGATCACCAAAGTTCTCTAGAAATCCTTGGTTTTAAAAAGTAGACAGGATCAATATACTGGGATCGACGGGGCAATGGCTGTCCCGAAGCGATCCACAAGCCCTTTCACCCTCTGTGCTCCGACGAACTGTGCAATGAGCTGCGCCGTCTAAAGCTGTTCGATGAATTAAGGTTTGGCTGCGGCGCCTGATTCTGTGGGGCAATCACGTGGTTGCGTGACTTGATTATGTAAGTGTATTACCCGCGCTTATGGCTTTGTTGCATAGTTACTGATGAAATCGTAGGTGTGCCAGAAAGCTGGGCCAGCCTCGAATCGTTGAATATCAATTAAAATCCTTGCAGGGTACGGAGTACACAGTACCAAGTACCAAGTACAGGGTGCTCTATGCTGCATGGCACGCGGCTAGTGGCTGTGCTGCCGCCGCAGGCGCAGGTTGTTGGTCATTCTTATCGATAAGACGATGCACAGACTAGCGCTTAATTCTGTGATTATATCAAAACCCCGCCGCGCGTCTTCCTTCAACTGGCCGTCGGAGAGCGTTTGATATTCTCGGAATTCGATTGTTTCCCGATACTGTTTTAGACAAAGTGCCTGCACATATTTCCACGTCACTGCCCTGTTAATTAAGTTTATGCTGGCTCATTATTCAGGAGCCAATATTGAACACAATATCCCCATATATTTGTACACGAAACGTCAAACGTCTGTGCTTCAAGATTAAGGAGCCACAATGGCTTTCCAGGCTACGCCAGCAGATGTTTCTGTCATTGTCACCGTTGCGGCTGATGCCTGTTCTGGAGACAACTGTGCTTCATTCGCGACTGAGCGTCGAATAACTCCAACATGGACAGTTTCGCTATTGAAAGCGAAACTGGAAACTATGTGCGGAATTCCACCTGGGAGTCAAAGATTGCGCTTAAAAGCTCCCGGACGTGAAGTCAGGTGGATGGATAACAACTCCCAGCTTGTTGGTGATTGGGGCCTCGCCAAAGGTTGCGAGATTGAGGTTAGTTGCTGCTTTATATACCAGGGTTTCCTTGCTTGGTCCGTTTTTCTGTGACTCTCTCTCATTCCCTTGTTTACCCGCAACGTGACCCCAAGTGATTCGAATACTTTCTATGGAAAATGCTGACAAGTATTTAGATCCATGACCTACGGCCACCAGCGGCCAGGCCAAACTATACGGATGTCTCATCAGTGGAAAAGTACACCCTCCCAACGTCTACCTACGAGTCACTTCCAAATACCGTTCTTTCCTGGAAGAAGGCGCAAAAGCTTGGCCGCTTCGATCCTAAGGCTTTAACTCCCGAAGAAGTCGCAAGAAACCAAGCGAACAAAGACGAAAGTGACATCAGAGAACGAGGTGAGCTCCTCTACGGATAGAATATCATACACGTAGGATCCCTTCTTATATGTCAAAAGGCATTGAACTCTCAAGACGTGCAATCGTACTTCCTTCTAGTCCACCACATATCAGGAGGGGCACTATCCGCTTCGTTGGTCCTGTCCCAACGATACCCTCTGGAGGCGCACAAGTGTCGTTAAACCCCGGGGACCCGGCGCCTCTGTGGGTTGGTATCGAATTCGATGAGCCCCTGGGTAAAAATAACGGTAGCGTCGGGGGTAAGAGCTATTTCACTTGTCCAGAGAAATGTGGAGTTTTTGTAAAACCTGAGAAAGTTGAAGTGGGGGACTTTCCGCCACTGGGTTTGGATCTAGATGCAGACATGGAGGAGATCTAACATCTCATTTTGATTCCTCTTTGGTTTCTTCTAGTGTCGTAGATCTTCTGTGTGATTGGATCGTTGTCAAAATTGGAGATGCTTTGTCTCTGCCTCTCTTCCCTTCGTACATGACAAGATGGAAAACCGAGCGTAAAGACTTGTGATAGGGTTATAGACATGATTTCAAGCCCTTCTTTGAGAGGTCCGATACCAGTTGAATTTTGGATCCACAAAGTACTCCAGGCATACGACGCTTGGGTTAAGTTGGATGTGCAATGCTGTCCTTCAGGTTATCCAGTTAACCTCCTTACTTTCATCCCTCTCTGCTGAATCCTGTCTTGAAACTATGCATAAACTGATCCAAACTGGAATAGGAGCGTATGAGCAAGTAAGGGGTACAGCATCAGATGAGGGTATGGATTTTCCACATGGATAGAGGACCATGTAGCATTACTATAGACAAGAATAGGAGATGCCACTTATTAATTTGAACATGCCTCATGAGAAATTTATTAGTCCCTGTGTAGGAAACCATGCCAAAAATCAGACAACTGCTGCTCTATACAGATTGAGGATGATTTCGTCTCCCTAGTTCCAGGATTAAGTTGTCTGATATCTTTCGCCGGGTGTACCGCCCCTATCTCTCGCTAAGGGTTCTGTTTCGGTCTCCCTCTCCTTTTCTTCCCCTTTTTCTCTTTCTTTTCCTTCGCAACTGCCTGGATGTGCTCCTGCTCTTCCTGCGGTTGCTGGCCCTCTGCTTGCTCCGGTGATTGACCCTCTTCCTGTGGCTGCTGGGTCGGATCTGGGAGAGGCGGAGCTGGTGCACCCGTGTCGATATTTCCATCCGCATCAAGTGGTATGCAGCCCTGTGTGAAAAATATAGCCGCAGGTTTGTCATATTCATTTGCAAAACTATAATTATTCCCTGATGTCCAAGCTCAGTAAACGCACATGGCTTGGTTGAGGCAACATAATATTTGTGGGAAGACTCACCTCTTGGGACCTGGAAAACACACCCTTTCCCAGCGCTGAACACGAGTCCTGATACATCAACTCGTATTCTGCCACGATATACAAAAAACACCATATGCATTCTTTTCGAGTTTTTCTGCTTTTTGACTGCGCCTGGGGGCATCTCCACAAACCCTGAGCCCAGGAATGGTGTACTGAGGATTTTCGCAAAGCGGAATGTGGAACCTTTAACTTCGTGGGTTTGAATGGCTGAAGGGGCATAGGCGACGTCTGTTTACTATTAGTCCATATAACTCCTATATTTGTGTGAACCGGAATTGTCATACCCATCAATTCCTCCTGCAGTGTTCCAGCCTGCAGTTCAGGATCCCACGTCTTTACCGGTCCGTAGAAAACCCCCTCGTCAGTCTCCCAAGGCTCGACATCTTCGTCTTCCTCATCAGAGAGCTCGTCGCGCTTTTTCTTCGCTTTGGCCTTCTTACTTGATCTCTTGGCCTTGGTATATATTGGTTCTGGCTCATCGATTCTGACAATTTCCTTAATAGTGGATAGAGGGAACCTTTCGCCGAGTTCGGCTTCGCCTGTACCGTACACACATTTCTCATTGCGCCAGTATGCCAAAGGACGTACTGATACGCGACCGGATCGCGTACGACGGACATTGTCGTCTGATGGAGCTTCTCTCCTGAGAATATGCAGGCTTCGCTGCTTGTTGTGAGGCCCATCTCTCTTCGTAATATTTTCGATGACTTGGTTTAGATCCCTTTCTTGGTCTGCGGACATTTTCAAAGTTGAAGCTCCTGTGGCTGCCGTTGTCTTTGTTCGTTTGGCTGACCTTGGGTTTTGACCCTCTGCATTGGCCTCATTTGCTTCTTCCCGGACGGCCTTTGGTGGTCTTCCCCTTTTGCGCTTAGGAGGGGGCACTTTGTCCACGCTCTTCGCGCTAGTTTCAGGTTCAACAGGCGTACTCTTCCGTTTTCTTCCTCTGCGCGCTGCCTTTGCTACCACAGATGGAGAGGGCTCCTCTTCCGGATCATCTTGTTCGGTTCCATTTTCGATATTATTGGTGTCTTCATTTTCCACAGTTTCGGTAGGGCCACCTTGGCCACTCTCATGATAATCACCATACGGCTCCACAAAACCAGAGTCTTCCTCAGCTTCCTCAACCAAGTAATTTCCATCGTCCGAGAAATCTGCAGTTTCGCCACTCACTTCAATATCAACGTCCTCTTCACTCTCCCTGGCTGCGGGCGATTCGAGCTCCGGCGGTATAGAGGTAGCCCTGATTTGCTTGAGCGGCGATTTACCAAGGCGGGTTTGTGCCCTCGATAGATCAAGAGCTCTCATGGTGACCGGCCGCGAAGATGGACTGGATATCTGGTCGCTTTGCGGGATTGGAGAGGAGCGTATTCCTGGTGTCCTCCGAGGCGATCCGCTGAGATGGGTTTTGATGGGCGATCGAGAACGCGGGGGAAGGACGTACGAATTACGCCCAGGTCGCCGGGCGGAGAGCATATCTGCAGGCTCGGGCATACTGCTGCCTAGGATCGCGTTGTATAAGCACTTTTACGGCGAAATAAGAACAGGATATTGCAGCAGCGAGCAAGGTAAACATACTGCCTGCCGTTTCCATATCTTCAGAGTTTAATACGGTGTCGTTTGCGATGCCATTATGGTTTGCTCGCATAGGCGACTTCTCCGGCGAAGAAAACATCCCATCGATCTCCTCCATTCCATGCTCGTCAAGCTTCCCCTTTTCCAGTGTAACGCCTGTTCGTCTAATCAAGAATATCAGCATGCGAAGCTTATCCTCAATTGAAAGGACAGTAGCCCAGTCGGATGACGAAGTGTAGAAGGCTATATTACCTTCCTGCGACCCCTACATTCCCAAAATCCATCTCACGGGCCTTTGTAGGAGCTCGTCGTGCTGCCATTGTGTCGTTCGGTATGCGAGTACGTGTATAGAGGAGCTAGAGATTGGGGGGGAGCGCCAGGCGTATCAACGCCCTGGGAGAACCAGCGGGAAGCACAATTGTAATGCTTTATCCCGATTTGAGTTGTCAAATGGGATACTGGACACTTGAAGATCGTTTTTGTGGATGAGTTCGTTCATAGATTCCCCGTTTCGACAATAATAAACTCGCCAGCCACCTTTCCAGCGACGCGAGCTGACCGCACTAAACCCAATTCGACACCCCAATCGCCGGGCGCGCCGCACGCATGTCACGCGCAGCCGAGGACATTCGTCAATCATCACTGAGGTCGGAGTGGACAATTTGAGATGAAATATCTTTGCTAGCGACTGATACAATCCTAAATACAATGGGTGATTCCGAAGACGAGCAGAACAATGTCTCTCATGACGCTCCATCCTCCAGTATCTACCACCCACCCTCAATACACCGCTCCTCACTCCTTTCCGGCCAGTCATACGCGCATTACTCTTCATGTCCAGCTGCCATAACACCCTGTGCAGCGGGCAATTCCACCTTGTCTCATCCAGACCATTCAATTCCACCCACGCCATGCGTCCTCGGTGTCGATGAAGCTGGGCGAGGCCCTGTTCTTGGCCCGATGGTCTATAGCGCCTTTTACCTCCCTATGCCTCTACATCATTCGCTTCTAGCTGAAGAACACCAATTCAACGATAGTAAAGTTCTCACGCCGGGGATACGGTCAAATCTCATGCGTCTCCTTTGCACGCCGGATCACCCTCTACACGAGTCTTGTGGATGGGCCATAAAACTGCTGTCCGCGCGAGATATTTCTTCTGGTATGCAACGCCCTGGAGCTGCAGTGTACAATCTCAATGCACAGGCGATGGACGCCACTGTGGAAATTATCCGTGGGGTTGTTGAAGAGCGTGGAGTGGACGTTAAAGAGGTATATATCGATACGATTGGTAACCCCCAGACCTATCAAAAGAAATTAGAAAGGATATTTCCATCCTTGAAGATTACCGTCGCGAAGAAAGCAGACGCATTGTTTCCGTGTGTTAGCGCAGCGAGTGTCTGCGCAAAGGTTACTAGGGATGCTGCGCTGGAGATTTGCTATGAGGAGCTACAAAGGCAGAGGGCAGGAATGGTTGAGATGGAGCATATGAACAATGGTTGGGGGAGTGGATATCCATCCGATTCCAAATGCGTGACGTGGCTGAAGAAAGAGATGCATCCTTTGTTTGGATGGGGAAATGAATGCCGCTTCAGCTGGGGAACAGCAAAGGACTTGTTGGAAGTGAAAGCTGGTCTTAAGGTAGACTGGCCTGCGGTTGAGGACGACGACACCAAGATGACACAATTCTTCATTACTGCCTCAACGGAAAACGCGGAAGCGCAAGACGAGTTGCGAGATTGGTACGGGAGGAGACCAAAGGAGATTTTTTGACCTCGACAGAATTGAAACCCATTATCTATTGCGCAGTAGATAATTAGAACCTCATAACAAAATGATACCCACGATAGAAGCTTTAACTAGTCCAGACCACACAAGTAGCTCTCCACTGCCGCAGGGTATCGACACCTAGAAAAAGAAGTAAAGAGGAACCTTGAAAGGATAACCCATCCCCAACCGTGCTAAATGCATATAAAGCCAAGCCAGAAGCAGAGCGAAGAACAAATGAAATAGCCAATTTTCAAAGAGTGGCAGTCGAAAAGTAGTAGTTGTCCCACAAATATTCATAATCATCGATAACGCTGCCCACCAAGTCAAGCAGCGGCTTGCCCTTCATGCGCTGGGTCATGCCTTGCAGCCAGGGTCTATTGTTCGGGTTAGAATCTTCTAAGTAGAAGGCGGTTAAATTTCAAGCGACTTACTTGGTGATGCTCTCATAGAAAGCTCCTCTCATTATCCACCAACCCATACTCCATCCTCTTTTCTTTAGCTCATCCCTTTCTAGGCCGGTCAAGCCCCGTAAGCCTCCAGCTACCCTGGCGCGGAAATCTTTCTTTGCCATCTGTCTACATCCGTATTCTATTCCAAATCCAATTAGGCAAGGTGTCCAGCTCTTCTTTCCGCTCCATCTCTGCAAGGCCAGGGCATAGATCAGCGGGCGGAGTATATACATAACTTCCGCGAGCTGACCCATCCCAGCAACGCGATGTAGCAAAGTTTTTGGTGGCTTGACATCATCTGCTGTGAGAACCTTGGAGATAAGATAGTTCGAAACATCGCTCGCATCCGGTAAACTAGGCAATGAAAACCCCGTTCTCGGCATTGTCCAGCTCGTCTCGGATGATTCTTCACTCTTCGGGGTGTCCATTCCGTTCCAATCACCCCCTTCGTCCTCATCCTCTGCCGGCCGTGGATCGACTTCCCGCTCCGGCAGAGGTGGACTAACCAGCGGTCGCGAATTTGTTAACCGAAGCAGAATCAATCGGCAGAACGCCTTGAGTCCTTCAATAAGGACGACCACGCGCCACCGGATTTTCTCGCCACGACGCCGCGCAATCATTTCCCATAGCAATTCCGTGTATTTAATCATTTGTAGAACAAGCGCAACTCGGCGATATAGGGCTGAGCTGGATGTCCAATATTTAGTGTACCGTGCGTGAGGAGTGGGAGGGGATCTGGGTACGGTGAGAGGTAGGCGAGAAATGACACGGGCGACGAGGGAGTCATGGTATAACGACAGAAGCTGAACTCCAGAATGGACTACATAGATTATTAGCAGCTTGTTGCATGCCAGGCCAAAAGCGCACAACTCACTTGATTCTGAAGCCAGTTCAGATTCTCGAAATCGCCCTGTAGAGATGAGACTGGTCAGTCACACAACCCTGCGCTTACCGGGCAAGATCATCGACGGATGCCACGAACCAGGAATAATATACGTCAGAGATCGCAACGCCGATTCGACTTGGCTAACAGAGCTGGAATTCTTCGTCACAAACTCCTCGTACTTTCCCATGAGCTTTGTCGGTTGTGATAACGCCGCGGATAATCGGGTCTGCGGTCGCGTCAAGGACTCCATCTTTGGCAACATATCGATAACGGTCAACGTCAATCGTCGGCCATCGCAAGTTAGTTATCGAGTTTAAGAGCCATTAGCAAAGTCAGATGAATCAAGCCCTTCCCTTTCAACTGACTTGAAGTAGTTGCTTCAGGACGTTTCGTCGCCATGGACGAGCCCCACGTGATTTCCAGCCCTCCGACCTCGGTTGAAGCCTAAGGGGAGAGACCCAAGCTTTTAAACTTCCTGTCAGATGACTCGCGATCGGAGAGCTACAGAGAGTCGGGGGCTGAAATCGCAAGAACTCTTGAATGGCGAATTTCAATCAGCAAAACCGCGAGAACCATGACTTCTTGAGAGTAACGACAAAGACTGTGACACCTTTTATGAATATTGACACGCAGTACAAACCCAATGGGAGCATGACATTCCCCCAGCTGGCGGGCCAACGCATCCATCCATCCTGTTTTCCTTTTCGCCGCACCGACATGTCCAGCCAACACGCTTAAGATCTTCAAGGAAGCAGGCGTCTTCCCCGCAGGGATTGGAGTCGGAGACTGTTTCAGTGGTTCTTCTCTGAGTACACGACGGCCAGTTGCCTTGGTTGTAAATCGCGTGCTTGCAGTACTGAGGTGCCGACCTTTTTTGTGCCCGCAGAGAGATTAATGAAGAATGGCTGTCCCTACTGCTCTTTTCTTGCTCTGGACAAGTCTTTCAGATTATTCCCACAGACATATTCTATCAGAAGAAGCCTCTCATCTCCGGTCCTATCCTTCCCATCTCCAGTTTATTGTCATAAATAACTCTCGGTCTTCTAAGCTCTCTGCTCATCGAAACTCCTGTCGAAGAACCGACGATTAAAGGAAGTCCTAGATTATTTCACAAAAAGGTGTTGCATTAAGACTCCATAGACTGGTCACTATTCTGAATGAGTCTTAGAAGAATGGCTTGCGGCGAGATTATACCACCCACAAACGCCTGCGAGTTTCGCACCGGATACCGAACTGGTGGAACGCGTTACACATACAAGCTTTCAGACTGTGGCGACAGAACGTGGAAGTAGTCCAGCAGCTATGTGCCACCCCAGCAGTGAAGGGATAAGGACATTGTAGTGGGCTAATATTGCTGTGACGGGTATGAGTTAAGAACAAAGCTTGACAATGCATTTTGAGAGATAATGAAGTTACAGAAAGTACTGTTAATATTTTTGTCGCCTTAATTCAACATTCATGGCCATGTCTCCCCTTCTCTTCCCCTCCCATCAGGATTTCTTGTATCTTTGAGAGCCCAAAGAAGTCGTTCTGCTGGGTTGTGTAGACAGTGCCCTCCATTGCCCAACCAACTGTTCCTGCCTTGAGACCTAATTGAGCCCCTTCTCTCTGGCATGAGTCAAAGTCTATAATTACAGGAATGTCCCTCTTATCCATCATGACATTTGATGGATTAAGATCATTATGTATGAGCCCCAAAGTATGCATATGTTTAATGCCACTCTCAATCCCTTGTAGGCAAAGGACCCTGTCAAAGGGAGTTGCCTCCCATAGTCTCTGTGACAAGTTCATCAGATATTTGACAAAACACAGCCCCATTATCCTATCATTCTTGGTAACACAACCAAGATACTGAGCAATGTTGGGGTGTGGGTTTCTTTGAAGAACTTTGCACACTTCCACCTCAGCCAATAGCTGACAGCCCAGCTCCAGGGAAGCAGGAGTGTCACTGTAATATAGAAGACTCAGCTGCTTGATGTAGGAATTCAGAGGTAAAGGGTTGGGAGCGGGAGTATAACAAGAATCCATTGGCGGCCAGATGTTTTTTGTGAGAATTTTGTTGATCTTTAGCTGACTGATATCAACCGCAGAGGGTGAAGAGACACACCAGTTGACCCTGGCATAGAAATACTCGCCATCTCCTCGCAAGATCAGCTTTGTATGGTCGAAGATAAGATCGCCGTCTTGTTCCACGAATGCTTCGCTTTGCTCGCATATCTCCATAGTACACATCTCTAACTCCGAGTCCGAATTAATTAGACAGTAACATAATATAGATATGGCTGTGTTACTAGATGCTGGATAGTGGTATTGTTTCAATTGTTCTGGGCAGTGGCAGCAATTCAGAGATATATATCGCTGCTGGAATAGGGCAGGATTTTGGGAACTCCGAAAACTGAGAAGCCTGGGGAATAAACACAAGTGTACCCAGACCTGTGATTGTCTGTTAGAGCGGTTCATTACTACGTATGGGAGATATACTCCGTACAATATTTAAAAGATGGCTTTATCTACAGATTTATATATGGAATAACTACAGTCTATCCAAAATGGCCAGTTTATTTTTCGCTTCAAAATGCATCCACGGACAATCAGTGCTTGCTAGAGAAGTCATTCATCAGCAAATTTCCAAATGCCGTCCCTTCTCAAGGCCTCCTTATATCTCACGTGGACTCGCTCTCGTTCCATCTCTCCAGCCTTTTCTCGATCGTCAAGCGCCTCTTGTGAGGTAGGCATATCGGTACGCCAAAAACCAGGAGGCGATGCTGCTCGTCCATGTGTATATCTGTGTCTCCCAAATCGATTGGAAAGCTCCCAGGCTTTTGCTTCAACCAACAGTTCGTATAATTTATCGCTTGAAATGTTCCGGAGTTTATCCTTCTTATCCACATGGAATTCTTCCAGGAGATCACGATGCTTCGGGCTCAATGTGTTAAAGGTGACATCCCTTGGGATTTCGCCTCGCGCCAGCGCCTGAAATGCTGGCCCGCAGCATGATTGTGTTACACATCCTGGAAGGCATCGTTTAACGCTTCTATTCCTGATTACCTCGTCATATGCGTAATTCAAGCCATAGTTCTTGTCGGGATTCAATTTAAAGTCTTCCAATCTTAGTCGATGTAGTGGGCGACAGCGAAGAGCCTCCTCCTCTGGGCGGGCTTCGCTTTCAGATACATTATTGCGGTGGGTATTGAGGTGTCGAGTTGAAGTCCTCGCAGCCGGCCGGGAGAGGGAGGGTGAAGCCCTTATGATAGTTCGGGGTGTTGTGAGCAGAATAGGTCTCGGTGGAGGTGTCTCGAGGAGATCTAACACCCGCTGGGCAGCAGAGGAACGAGTCGTAGAATCCACAAAACGATCTCCATCTCCATGGTGTTCATGGTCCCCAATCTCTTCTTCTCCGTCCTCCGCAACAGAAGGGATCGCAGCTGTCCCACGGGACGAAAACTTCCTTCTCTTACTTTTTGACATTATTTCTTGCCGCGGAAGGGGCAGAGAATTGATATCCATCTCCTCTAGCGCATGCCGTCGCTTCAAGCCAGACACTGGAGGCGTCGTTTCAGACCAGCGTTGGTGATTTGCTGTCTGAATACACGAAGCTTGGTCCTCCTCAACTGAACTGCTTGGGAAATTGTCCGCTCTTCCATCTAAATCTTGTGTCTCATCGGAATCAAGATTGTGGGGGTTGCTCGTTTCGGTTTCATGGGGTTGGTCAGAGGAAGGTTCACTTTTTATTGTTAAGGGCCGGGTGAAGCTTCCAGTCTGCACCATGCTTAAAGTTCTCGGTTTCCACGCAATTTCGTCTGTACGTTTATTCCTCACTGGTCTCGTAGATACTAGTTCTGGGACGCCCGAAGAACTGTGTACAAGCTGAGGTGGCTCAGTTGGGTCATATCCAGGCTCTTGAGATTGTGTTGGGGCAAGTTCTAGGTCATGTGGAGGAGGTGAGCTGGTAATGATTGGGTCCGAATTGGTATTCAGAATTGGGGGCAGCGTTGCAGTCTTGGGTGCGGTTGGTTCGGGTCTTCCAGCTTTTCCCACATTGGGTTCCCGACGAGTACTTTGGCTCGAGACGGCTCGCTGAAAGACAACCTCCTCCCCATCCACATTGACCTGAAAAGAGCCCTGTTTGAAGCCGCGAACCCAGGCTGTGGCTTTCCTCTGGGTTATTTCTAACCTCTCCCTAACCGCGCAAAACGCACGAGATATTGTAGAGAATTCCCTGTACAAATCGCGATAAGAGCTGGCTAGGGACAAGTAAGACCTTGAAGACACTTGTTCGGCGGTAGGATTTTCAGGAATGAGTTTCTTCGGGTCTAGCGCTTCCAGGGCCTTTGAAATGGTATCGTCGCTGAGGCTGGCATTATTTGCATTTTGCAAACTTTTAATTTCTTCCCGGAGTTTAGCGTTCTCTCTGTCAAGAGATTCAATTCGTGCCTCCAGGTCAATCTTGACAGCATTTGCTTCTTCGACTTTGGCCTCCAACCCCTGAAGTTTGTCTTCTTTGAGTTTAATGTGCCGCTTGCAATCATACGCGAAGTCATCCACCAAATCGTACAGATTCGAGTAGGAGGCCATTTAATCCATTCGCATTTCTGACCACGGATTGGACAAGGGAACGCCAATGATGCCTTTAACTAACAAAACGGCATTTCAATTCCCCAAAACATTCCTTACTTTAGCCTTTGGGTCACGTTGTCAGATATTCTTCAGGCAAAACAAAGCATCGCGTCGAGGCTGGGCAGTCGCGTTATATGGCACGTGATGATAAGCACAAGCCATACATAGCAGAAATGGGGAGGATTTGTAAACCATTAATTAAGATATGAAAGAGAATCATGGCGCCCCACTTAGTTACCCAATTATTAGTTATTATTGGATCACTAGGTGAAGTAGCTTTTAGTAGCACAATGGAGCCTACCCATCCGCATCATTTTAACTTCACCAGATGTTTACACCGCAACTCTGGTGGGTAAAAAGGTGTGCCAGTTGAAGGATTCAAACCCCGCATCCTAGAGTGCACCTGCAGCTTATTTACCAGTAAGCCACCTGGCGCAGCACCAGTAAGGGTTACTGCAGAATTTCTTTGTGATAAAGTATGTAGGAATTAGAAAGAAAATTGCTGTTCAATTGGGGAATCAGACATAGTAGCAAACTTGTTGAATGTTAGAGCAGCTGCAAAATGTGCCAACTGTGCCACAGACCAACTGTAATATCTCAATCACCTAGACCTGTAATTGGCTCTAAGGGATGTAAGATCAGCAATGATCCACATCCTCCTGGGTGATCAGCCTATTTCAAAGAAATCAATCACTTAGTGGCATTGAATTTGAGAATGTAGGGGGATATGGATACAGATCTGAATAGCAACTTGGGCAGTTGAATGCGCTCTGAGTCAACTATATAATAGACACTAAACCCCCCCATCTAACCGATAGATAGCAAACCCCTCTAAAATTCAAGCATTCACTCTTGTTCATCCTCAGTTCACTCTGAATCATGGAAATCCAATAGCCAAAATGTTGGACATGCAGCGCACACCAGCACTGAAAAAGACATCTTGTATCTTGCCATGGCCTGAATCACGCAGCACTCCAAAGTCTCAAGGTGCATCATTCCAATTGAATACAAGTACTCAAACCGAAGAGCTCTCCTTTGATTGGTTGATACATACACCCATCGCACCCGATTTCGCATCTCCTGCTCTACCACTCGAATCCGCCTTTCAACCTCTGTATGATCGGAGGAGAACTCTTCGGTTCGGGTACTTGTATTCAATTGGAACGATGCACCTTGAGACTTTGGGGTGCTGTGTGATTCAGGCCATGGCAAGGTGCGAGATGTCTTTTTCAGCGCTGGCGTGCCCTGTGTGTCCGACATTTTGGCTATTGGATTTCCATGATTCAGAGTGAACTGAGGATGAACAAGAGTGAATGCTTGAATTTTAGAGTGGTTTGCTATCTATTATATAGTTGACTCAGAGCGCATTCAACTGCCCAAGTTTCTATTCGGATCTGTATCCATATCCCCCTACATTCTAATGGAGCCAGTGCTTAGTTATCGACGAACTAGTGATTACATCATCAGGAAGCGCAACCCACACGGCCAAATTGCCCTGGTCTCCCTGGGAGTATACGGCCATGGATCTCCTGAACAGTGGCTAAATCGAATGAAATCCGAACCTATAATGAGTGGCGTACCGATCTAGTTTAAGGGTTCTACAGGTAACATTATGCCAAAACGCCCACACGACGAGTCAGCTCGCGAACTGCCACAGAAGCGAGCCCGCCCGACACTCGCTCCGGATCGACTATCGGCGCTGAGCGATGAGCTCGCTCTCCACGTCTTGAGCTTCCTTCCTATCCGCTCTTTAATAACTTGTCAAAGGTTTGGCTAGCCCTGAAACGAAGCAGATATTGTTGGTGGAAATTAATTTGGTCTTTTGCCTAGAGTATCCCGTCGGTTCTATATCTTGGCCAGCGATTCAGAAATATGGAAGCGAAAGTATTACTCGCGCTGGATACTACCTCGTGCTCGACGAGTTAGGCAGCTTACACAGCTAGATGCAGCAACCGAGCCTATTGGCTATTCCTCCAAGGTGGTAAAATGGCTGGAACATGGACGCTCCTGGAGGGAAGGCCGGGAAATCGATTGGATGAAGGAATACCGCCTCCAACATAACTGGTCAAAAGGGAGCTGCCGGGTCAGAGAGCTGGAAGTGGCACAACCACCTATTCCACCGGTTCTAGTGAATCTACATGATGGAGTTGTGTTTACCGTGGACGCGAGGAATGGACTTCGGGCGTGGTCGATGGAGGATACCGAGGTGATGCTAGCGAGTCAATCTTTCGACGTTTTTCCATCCGTAGCACCCACAGCTGTGGCGATTTCCTCCAATGAGTCTTCATCAAAAGATCAAACCGTCGCGGTTGGCTTCGAAGATAGCTCATTCGAAATATACACGTTAGACTACGATACCAAACGGTTCAAACGTCGCCTGTCAAAATCCAAACATGAAGATGGCGAAATCACTGCTCTTGCTTCATGTCCAGGCTATCTACTTGTGCTTTTTCAGAATAAAAAGCTCTCTTTGTACCGGCTGGCTTCGGATTACTCTCTCCGCCTTATCGACTCGCTGCATGCGAGCAATATTCGAGCCCCACTTACGTTGTCCGTACGAATCGTCGGGTCTGGTGTTATTGCATCCATCGCATACAGCTTTCCTAGAATCGGATGCGGTTGGTGTATCGGTTTACAGGAGGTTCGCTGGGACGAAGACGGCCAAAATCTGGGTTCCCACCTTGCTACACCGCTGGATTCCCAAGCATTGAGTTCTCCAATAGGTCTTGGAGTCACGATGAGGCGATCTGAAAATCCAGTGTCAGCGCTTCAGCGACAGCAGTCTTCCTTTCCGTACCCATCCTACACGCAGCCTCCCACGGCATTGTCTTACTCCCATCCTTATCTACTGACTGCGCACTCTGACAACACTCTTACTACGTACCTGGTTGTGTCAACTGCAGAGAAATTGACGATCAGCCCTCCTCGTCGTTTATGGGGGCATACATCATCGATTTCCGGGGTTCAGGTTGGTGGACGCGGTAAAGCAGTGTCGGTGAGCTCTCGGGGAGACGATATTCGTGTCTGGGAGTTAGAAGGAATGGTCTCGTCGCCTCTGATAGCAAAGGCACCACGATTACGCGAGCGGAGCATACAGCTGAGTCCCGAGAGGATGAAGTCGCAGTCAGCTCCGATAGGGTCGAAAAATGCGCCTAATGTCTTGTTGGAGTTTGGGACCAGCCCGCGGCTTACTCAAAAGGATACCTCGAGCGAATTGACTAAGATGACAGGCCTAGTAGGCTTTGATGATGAACAAGTTGTGGTGCTCCGAGAGCAGGATCTTGGAACACAGCTTCTTGACTGCTATGATTTCAGGTAGCATTGTGATTACGGTTGCACCTGATTGATAAATAAATAGATCCAAATACTGGAATTGTCTTCTTTCAGATGACCCTTATCTCGTGGCTTGACGCAATTCGATAAAATCAGTAAAGTTGTAATCTTCTTTCTCCAAAGGTACTCAATGTGCATCTCCCTATATATATTCGAGGTGCCGTGAACACTCCGTAAATTCGCCCATTCTTTATAGCTTTGGTCTGTAAAAAAATCTTTTCTAGGACGAAGGTAACTATTCTGTTATGACACAGGAAGCTTCAACAATTTTGTGAACCGTCCGTGATGTATCTGCCCATGCCCTCTGATTGGATTCCGACAGCTGCCATTGCCCGCAGACAGGGATTCGAGTCCAGATATCCAATATACCACTGCTGAGGCCAGATTTCTAGGCTCAATGTGCCTCTTAAGGTTAGTACCAGGCACCGTTTCGTCGTTTGAGAAGGCGAATGAAATGGATCATTTGTCCCTACACACTCTCAGCCCTAAGACGAATTTCATGAATACAGCAGCCAGGTTTATCTCTCTCGCGAGAGCCTCGCAATGTGGAACGAAGAGGTACACACAGCCCAGGAAACGCGACAACAATGGACGATGCACTGATGAAGGAACACGCCACTGTCCCCATTTCAAGGACAGGGCTCTGTCTCACGAATTCAGTCTCCCTTGCCGCATGCTCGCCCGGACACGTTAAATTTAAGATCCATCGCCTCAGATCTAGCCAATGGCTGCCGGCGTAACAGCACCTCTACAGGGGTTGGACAGCAGAAAAGCAAATATTCCAAGGCCTGGAGCTGCAGCATGACCCCCCCCCCCGAACCTGCTTTCGCGTCGTTATTTTCGCCATTTCGCCCGCTGTATGATTCTAGATCTAGGCAAATAGCCAGAAAAGGCGGAGGGGGTCCAGGATTGGGATTCGCACGACTTCAATGCCTAGGCCTGATACAGTCATGGCGGGAGGCGAAAAAGAAGCACACGGCGGAGGAGATGCATCATGAAAGCACAGGGAAAATGCAGGGCTAAAGCATACCAAAGGCAAAGAAGAAGGAAAAGGAAAGCAATTCTACTGAAAAATGCATTGTCAATGATACTGTCCACACTAAAGGGAAGACGGCGCAGAAAATGCCACCTTAAAGCTCACTAACCAGGTGACCTGTCTTCTGTGGGTTCCCTTTTTTGACTGTTTTGACTTTTTTCCGCCCCGTCAACTCTCTCTCCCTCTCTCTTCTCTCTCTTTTTTCTCCTCCTCAACACTTGTGATTCTGCTTCACAAACAGACTTTTCTCTGTTCACCGCCCGATTTGCCTCTTTACAAAATCCTCTTCATCCGCCTACCTCTACGGTTTGCACGTTTCGTCTCATCTGTAGGTCAGACCTGGTTTAGCCCTTGACACCTCTCCGCCCTCATTCCCTTCAATTTTTTTTTTTTTCCCCATCTCCCGCCCTCATCGACACCGTTTACTTCATGTTTTCCGTGTTGCGTAGTCGCCTTGCTTTTTACTGCCGTTCCAGACCCTCTGATCGACCGGTTAGGCTTGCTAGTACCGCTTCTACTGCCTTTCGCCCATATACTCGAAGAAAAATGGAATATCAGGCTGGTTGCTTCACTTGTGAGTCTCTCTGTTACTTGCGTGCTTTATGGGTTTGCTGTGCTGGAGTCGCAATGCCTCGGCGCAAGTCTCGCTTTCAAGACATAATCCCCATATTATTCTCTCTTTTTTTTTTTTTTACTTTATATTATTCCGTTTTATTGTATTTTCTGTGTCTTTTCTGAACCTTCTATGATATCCATAGCCAAGCGCTTGCGCGAGCTTTTTTTTTTTTTTTTTTTTTTTTTTTTTTTGGTTTTTAAAGCAGTCTGCGGCATTCAGCTATTTCCTATTCCACTTCATTGTGATGCGCTTTGCCTTAACTATTAAGCTCAATGCTAACATTACTGTCAGGTGGCGATTCGGCCCACCAGGTTAATATGATGCGTGCTCCGTTTGTGGTGGGATAACATTAATTTTTCCCTCTTAGGCCCGCGACTGCCCCAAGAAAGGTTCTGTTATCTGGTATGATACTTCCCCCCGGGATCCCAAATCGAGACTTAGGCTCGACTGGACTAACATTTTCTCTAGCTACAACTGCGGTGGTATGTCAGGATATCGCGTCACCGTTGACAGCTGAAAGTATGAAGTTCCCTAACAAGCTTTTTTTTCACATTTTAGGAGAAGGACACGTCAGTGAGTAAATATTGGAGGATGGCCCGGAGGTGAAGACATGTCGACAAATTCCCATGACTGACCGTGTTGAACCCGTTAACCCTTAGGCCGCGATTGCAATGAGCCCGCAAAGGAAAAGTCCTGCTACCGCTGCGGCTTGACAGGTCACATTTCGCGTGACTGCCCTCAGGCAGGCGAATCCGGAGGCGCCAGAGGTCAAGAATGCTACAAGTGTGGCCAGGTCGGACACATTTCTCGTGAATGCCCCCAGGGAGGCGAGTCCGGAGAGGCCAGAGGCCAAGAATGCTACAAATGTGGCCAAGTCGGTCATATTTCCCGTAACTGCGGCCAGTACTCTGGATACAATGGTGGTGGCTACAACGCTGGCTCGTACCGCTACGGTAACCGTCCTCTGACTTGCTACTCTTGCGGAGGGTATGGCCACAGGGCTCGCGACTGTACCCAAGGACAGAAGTGCTACAATTGTGCGGAATCCTTCCTACCTTCTTTTGGATATTCAGAAAAAGTTAACTGACAGAGCGTTCGTCATAGGTGGTGAGACTGGCCATGTCTCTCGCGACTGCACCACCGAGGGCAAAGGCGAACGTGTCTGCTACAAATGCAAGCAGCCCGGTCACGTCCAAGCCGCCTGCCCCAACTAGACCGGCGACATTTCGGTTCGAAATCTAGCATAGGAGCACGTAACAAATTGAATCTTGGTCATGACACGACTCACCCGTCCCCTTAACACATACTTTTTTCGGACTTACAAGCAACGACCATAAAAAGCGTGCGTCATGACCCCTCACTCTATCCAACAGATCGCGGAAACGTTGTATCTTCCTTTTGCGACAAAAAAAAAACGTCTATGAAGTCTCTCGCGTGCGCTCCTCCTCGCCGTTCAAATATAACTTCTGTGACTCAAGCATCCTCGGGAATAGGTATGGGAGAGTGCTTTTTGATTGCAGGCACACAGGCTACTGAGAAGAGGAAAAAAAAAACCAAAGGTTTCATGGGGAATAAAAAGTGATTGTGCAAACGGTGTTGTTCTTCAAATGGGAAATTCAGTTGGGAGACTTGGGGATCAGTTGTTTGAGAATTCTACGGAATCAAATGATACCAGAGTCTCGGATTCCTCTTTTCCAAATGTCTGCTTGCATAGTTATGCATTGCTGCTAGTTTTCTGAGGTAGTTAAATATCCTATGTCAAGCATAAGTCTTTTCACAAGGGCTTAGTTGTTTTGATAGGGAGCTCTATTTTTCTGAACTATCGTAGCCAGTCATCGTCAACTACTCCTAACCACTTCATCTGTTATTCAATGGAGCTATGGCACATGACTCTTGCAGCGTACTAGGGAGTAGCAACAAATTCCCCATGCTAGTATGGTTAGACGATTCAATTGATGTCTAATCGATTTCTACATATAGAGGACAGGATCCCTACAGGGAATAGGATATAAAAAAGCCAGGAAAGACTAATGGAGTTTCAAAAGAAGAAAACTTTGATAATGAATCTCCCATATGTAATAGAGGGATCTCAGTATCATAGGTTTTGCTCTTTTTAGCAAAAGTTTCACCACTGCCGTCGGCCCTGCCCTGTTCGCTGTCCAAAATTCTGGTTCGCAACCCTGAGAGCTTCTCCCAGATCCATATCCCCCACGACTTTGACCCTCATCCCCTCACCCTCGCCACCTGTCTCAACATAAACTTCTTTCGGTCCCTGAAACACATATCTCGCTCCCCTTGGTGGTCTATACCTCGGCATGCTGCAGGCCTCTTCATACGTTGGGATGCCCCGACTGCGTTGAACGGCTTCTTCCTCTTCGTCGCGCGCTTGATCGGCAGAATCGTTGATTGCGGCTTGGAGGGCAGCATCAAAGGCCGGATCAGCATCTGCGGGGAAGAAGGGCCCGGTGGGGAAGGCATCTATGCGGGAGCGGGCAAGTATTTCGGAGAGGGAGTACATGGCCGGACTATGAGCAGGTTGAGGAATTATGGGAGGGTTGGAGAAACCAGGCTGGTGGTGGGAGTGACGACGGGTGGTGTATGGGGCTGCGATACTGGAAATGCGGCGCGCTAGAGATTCGCATGCACTGTTGGCGCGGGAAGGGGTGCTTGCTCTTGATGTGCTTGCTTGGGGAAGATGTGACGGTACGGTATCCTGGAGCCGTGGTTGGCGCGCTCGTCTACCACTCAGGCTGTTATCCTCCTGGTGGGTTGTGGCGGATCTTGACCGTGCTGGGCCGCTATTTCCATGAGTTGCACGTCTTCGGTCAGTTTGAGGGACAGTTGATGATGCTGTGCTTTGGCGTCTTGATCGTTGGTTACCACACCCTGGTTGAATTCCGGTAGCGGATCTGGCTCTCGTTGAACCAGTGTTTCCACGGACTACGTCTTCGTTGTTTCGTAGACTCCTGGAGTTCGCCTGAGCGGCACTGTCACCTACACGCTGACCTGGACCACTGCCGAATTCTCTATCCATCTGCAGTAATCTTTGTCTCTCTGCTTGAAGCCTCCTTGCCCTCGCGCGCTCCTCTGCCTGACTCCTTTCTATTGCCATCATCAATTGATCATCCTCTTCCCGAGCAGCCTGTCTGGCCCTCTCCGCATCAGCCCGGGATACTCTGAGAGCTCTTTCATTAAGGTCGCGATGGAATCTTCGCGATTCTTCAAGCTGCCGTTCATGCTGCTCGTTAAGGTGGTAGTTCTCTTCGAGAGCCCGACGCAGGTACTCATCGTCATCCATGGACATAAAAAACTGTAAGCTCTAGTTAGTTTGATCGCTAAGGCAAGAGGGATGAACCATATTCAAGCTGCTGTTGAAAATGTCAAGAGCAAACTGTGTGAGAAGTCATGACACAACGAAATGTCTACCAAGAACACAAGGACCTGTTAGTTATAGCGGGCGCATTAGGCAAATAATGCAAATGCCCTGGGCAAGAGGTGTATTCAATAACAAGCGTTAGATTCATCAGTCACCGGGACAGGTATAAAGAGTTCTATCACTGCAACAAATCAGCTGTTATGTAGCTCTATGTTCTGCTCTCAAGAAGAAAACATAAATATTTAAGCCAGGTATGTCTTCAAGAGCTGCAGCTGCACATGGTCATTCTCTTGAATTGGGGAACATCTCCACACAACCTCTCCTCTTCCTCTCTGTTCCAATTCCATTCCTCTTGAAATGGATGAAGCGCCATGTGCATGACACGACCGAGGATATCTCTATCTCCCTGATGCTGAACACGCTGTATCACTTCATCCAAGACCCACGATCGTGGAAGGAACTGAAAAGAGATATCAGCACTGAACTGTTTTATGCAATGTAGTCTTGCAAGTTCTCACCTTCGGGTTCACCGCCTTCATAGAAGTTTGGCGTTCGACATCCGAATCACTTCCCCAATCCTCGATGACCCTATCCCTCCAAGCAGATAACCATTTTGCAAGCCGCTCTCTGGCAGATTCCTCTGTGTTTCCAATGCCACCAACGCCCTCCTGATGGAAGAACACGCTAGCAACTTCTTTCCTTTTCTCCTCGCTCTCGATGTCACTTAGAGAGAATCCAGACAGCTTTCTGAAAAAGTGGTTGAAGTCTAACTCTAGGGCCTCGAGGGTATCAAGTAGATCAGAAAATAACTTTTCAAAGTCCGAGTCTTTCTGGGTCTTTAAGCCTAATCTGGCGGTCATCAGGCGTTTGTATTCGTTCAAAAACACCGTTCGATATTCCTTAGATGCGTTATCAATAATGGTCTCGGCTCGTTTAATGAGTATCGGGGCAAAATCTTCAGTGATTCCTTTAGAGACGAAAGTTTCGTCATCGACCTTGTCGCCTGCACCTATTAGTTCTCCAAACGATTCTCCTAGTCGAACCAAATTCCACCAAATAATCGAGGGTTGATTCCTATACGAATATCGTAGCAGTTCATCATCGTGGTTCGGGGTATAATTTGGGTCGAAATTATCCATAAAGGCAAACGGGCCATAATCAAGCGACAGTCCGAATATTGAAGTATTGTCTGTATTCAGCACTCCATTCATGAAACCATATGCTTGCCATGCTGCAACTGTTTTCGCATTACGTCGTACAATCTCACGGTAGAGCCTAGAAAACCTGTTTTGCTCTGCGCCTTGTTCTCCTTGCATTTCATCTTTTGGCACACCTCTAGGTGGATTATCCACATCAACAGGAGGAGGGCCGTCATCCGAAAATTTCAAGGCTGCAGGGAGGGACTCCCACCCAGAGAAAACGTCCTCGGCGATGTAATTAGCGAGCTTGCGCGTGAGATCTCGATCTCCGCGCGCACGAAGGAGATCAAACGTTCCAATACGAAGCCAAGATTCAGCAAACCGAGTCACAATGGCTCCAGGCTCAATCTTTTCTCTTCTTACTGCAACATCAGGTAACAGGGTGAGGGCGAGTGCACGAGTTGTAGGTATTCCAAGAGCATTCAAAGCTAAAATCCAGAATCAGACCCACACCTTTGGGACAGAGCTGGCACTCTACAAACCTTCTGAGATTACGTATTCTCGAATGCTAGAGCGAAGGACTGCTTTTCCATCGGCAAATCGCGAGTACGGGGTCCTTCCAGCCCCCTTAAGTTGAATCTCATACCTTGTACCCGTAGTCGGATTTACAGTTTCAAATAAACTGATGGCCCGCTACAAGGTTGTTAGGAGTCGACTTTTCATAGCGAATTCTGGTGGGTTTGGGGGGGGGGGGGGACCTACACCATCGCCTAACTGTCCTGCCCAAGCTCCGCTGCGGATACCCGTCAGTAATTTCGGCAAATCGTCAAGCTCCCATGAGATCCAACGTACAATTGCCAACCTCAAAAGACCCATGAGCATTAGTCCTCAGTTTTGCAAAGATATAGCCGGAAGAACCAACCTCCGTAACATTGCGCCCATGGGTATATTCCTCCATGCTCCTCACTCCAAAATATCTTATTCCCAGCCGTCATATCTTTAAAGGCCTTTGTCTTCTCCTCACCGTCTTTCAACCCGATATCACGCATTGCCCGAGGACTCACATCCAAAAGCTCCAGGTCGTCTTGCGGTTCTGGTCTAACAAAGGTATATAACGCCCCTTTGACCATACGAGGTCCCAATTCCTCTCGGGGAGCATTATTTGAAGATTCCGGTGTTTGAAATGCGGGGTCCGGGGGAAGCTTTGTAGTGAAATTGTTGGTTTTGGGGATGTCCTCTAAGGATAAGCCACTGGTATTCGCTGTCTGTGGACCGTTAGATAGATGGGATGCCATTCGTGCAAGGCGGGATTGAAGGATCGTCGGCACGCAGCGATAAAAAGTGTTTCTCAAGAGCATTGACGAGCGTGACGGGAAGGTACACAGGTGCTGAGAAGGCTGATGCCCGTTTACTTGCTAAGTTGAGCAAAAGAGGGACTGAATCAAAATTTATACAGATCATATACTCCGTCCTCAGTCAAACCTATAGCGAGAGACAGACTACATGTGAGACGTGGAGGTTTCCTGCGATGCGGTTTTGGATACTTTGGATGCAGCCGGATTTCATCTTATCTAATCAAGATCTGACGCCGGATGACATCACTTCTTGGCATCTGGGCTTTCGGCCAGGAGAAACGTCGGCAAAGGGGAGAGAAACCTTGGGCGTGGGATGCAGTTACGGCGTAACCCCAGTTCCTTGAAAACTAAAGAGCCAGCAAGGTACTCCGTAGATCTATGGGCCTTTCGTGATTCCGCGATCAGCATGGAGGACTATGTTACATTTGAAAGCTGTAAATGCCGCCCTTGATCGCGCAGACTGGAATTAGTTACCCACCTTTGCGTACGCCCTTCGCTGCCACTATCCAACGTCCTCCGTATATCGCACATTAAAACGGCCACTGCGAAATGGACCTCGTATTGTATTTTTCTCCTTCTTAAACTGGTGCCTTTGAACTCAGTTAGGACGTTCAAAGATAGGCTTTTGCCATCATGGTCCCGTTGAGATTACCCGGTTAACCCCCCCACATATTTTCGGCCCATAAGAACCCCGGCGTCCCGCAATTTTGACCCATCCTCTCCAATTGCTCTCTTGGACCCCGTTTCCCCTTCCTACCTCTGCAGCAAGATTCAGAAGATATTCAAATCGGTCGCGCACGATGGTTGCAAGTATCCCGTCCGTGAAGCTCAATGACGGAACCACGATTCCAATTGTAAGTATGTTCCTTTGTGTGTAATCTGCTTAAACTGCAGATGCAACTCCTGGTTTGTGCACGATGCTGATAATTATTAATCGAAGCTCGGCTACGGAAGTGGCACAAAATGGTTCAAACGAGGAGAAAGCACCGGCCTAGACCGAAATCTCGTCGATGCGACCAAGAATGCCATCAAGCTGGGATATCACCATCTTGACGGGGCGGAGGTTTACGGGACAGAAGAAGAACTTGGAATTGCGATCAAAGAAAGTAGCGTTCCGAGAGACCAGCTCTATGTGACGACGAAAGTGATCACCAACATCTCTGATATCCCGAAGGCGATTGACGAGAGTTTGAGGAAATTGCAGCTGGATTATGTTGACCTGTATGTGCTCCCCCCTCCCCCCCCGGGGCATTTTACCAGTGTATCGCGGGCAACGAACTCACGAGCATGACCTAGATACCTTATTCATTCCCCCTTCTTCGCAAAATCTGACGAAGATTTGCAAAAAGCATGGGCCGAAATGGAAAAGGTCAAGGAATCCGGTAAAGCACGATCAATTGGTGTATCAAACTGGCTCCAAAACCACCTCGAAGCCGTCCTAAAGACAGCCAAGATTGTGCCGTCCGTTAACCAAATCGAATATCACCCCTATCTCCAGCACAGTGGTCTACTCGATTTCCACCAATCCAAGGGCATCACCACCACTGTGTATGCACCCTTAACTCCTGCAACGAGAGCAAAGGGTGGTCCGGTGGATAGCATTCTGGATAGTCTAGCCAAGAAATACAACACCACTGAGGGTAACGTCTTGCTTCGGTGGGCTATCGACCAGGGCGCAGTTCCCATAACCACCAGTTCGAAAGAATCGCGCCTGGCCGAGTACCTTGAAACGTTGAAGTTTAAGCTGACTCCGGAAGAAGTTGAAGAAATCAAGAAGCTGGGCGAACAAAAGCATTTTAGAGCTTTCTGGACAGATAAATTTGCTGCTGACGATCGATCATAGATAGCGATGTGAAGGTTCGTTGAAAACGGTAAAATGCGAAGTCTTGCAATATACGTAAAACACGCGTGTTGTAGCTAGTCGTAGCATCCAAACTAGATGGAATAAATGCCGAAACTCTTCTGAAATAGGCATTTAATATTCTTCATATTCTCTCTCAACGAGTGGATATATCCACCAGCTATGTTGTTATGGCCCTTCTTACTTCCTCTTTGATTCATAGTCGCTCGTAATAGATTTGTTAGCTCCAAACCATGAAAACTAACTTCGGATCCCCGAGTAGGGTTAAGCCTAAATTTTGGGGGCATGCCCTGTAGTATCTCGACGCGATCCAGCAAGTGTTTGATGGCCTGGATGATGAATTCAGCTCGCATGCCGCCGTGTTCGAGAGGCAGTCCGAGTTGCGGGCCTGGGAGCACCTGGAGGCGTGAAATTGATGGCTCTGACGTCTGGTAGGATTCCAAATGAGACTGAGCAAAGATGACATTGTATATCTGGATGATCTGGATGTAATATGCTGAAATAATGAGGATGGTAGCAGTGTCTAACTTTGGCTCCGAGGTATTAAGTTCCATCAGCCGTCTTGTCGTTGAGCTAGGAGCCGGGAGAAGAAGTGGCGAGGACGGATGGTCCCATTGTAGAAGTAGGTTGTGAATGAATAGATCTGGGCCCAGATGTGGTCGATAGGTTACTGAAGGCAAAGCACTGTTGGAAAAGTCTGAAGGCACAGAAGTGCCCGTGTCCAAGCTAACGTTTTTGGAAAGTGCAGAAGCCTGTAGGATACCTAAAATCTTTGACGTTCTCTGCAGCACTTCTCCAAGCTGGCTCTTATTTTCTGGGCCCGGCTTCTGTAAACCGTCTCCACATCCAACGTGCTAAAGGGAACTCCTCAGGGAACCGAGCTTGACCGGTGCAGCTGCCCGGATAAGCATAAATTAGGCTTACACAAACGCTGAACGAGATGAACTATTCGAATGACCTTGGTTGGCTCTTGTGCTGGTTATTCAAGAGACCCGCTTCCCAGGCCGGTGCCACCCTCGCGCAACATGTCGTTCTGGCTGTCAGTACGTCCACAGTTCCAGGGCTGGATAAGAACCTCCGGCACGTGGAAGCCAATTAGAGTACTCCCAGACGAAGGAGGTATATCCGGCACATTGGCATTACGCAGCATGGAGTCACCGAAACTACTATCTGCATCTGGGATTTCCAAGAGCGTACCTGGCTCAAATCCAGGTATGTCAGGATCGTTCGTTTGAAACCAGGACAATGATTTATCCAAGGGCTCCTGGGAATGTCCTGTAGCTATCTCTCCATGAGCTCTCTCTGCTGGTGGTACAGCAGTAAGATCAGGACCCGAATGCACATATTGCTGTTGTCTAGAAGTGCGAAATACGATGTTGCCGCTGCCACTCTGATCCCTTTTACGTACTCTTTCAGTTGTTTGGGTGGATGGTGTTCCCGTCCTAGACCGAGCAGGGCGACCTAATGGCAGGGCTGTGCTTGTAACACACTGTGCGCCTGCGCGCAAACACCGTGGGCACGAATCGCCAGCCTGGGCTTCTCGAGGACAACGGAGTTTATGTTTTCGACATCGATCGCACGCGTATCGCTTTGGCAAATGTGGTATGCCCTTTCGATGACCTGACATGATAGAGCTCGGAAGGGTGGTTCAGCTTGGAACCCAACCTGGATCAATCACCGAATCGACCAGCGAAAGCAGTCTTGCACGTCAACTAAAACATGTTGTACATAGTACAACTGACAAGAAACAATCTAGCTAAGCCATGGATATTGACGCACAACCTCGACTATATAAATTTCATTTGTTAAAAGTAAGGTCTGATGACGGCAAGCCGAAGCAGCATTCTCGTCGCTCCTTGATGCACACAAACAGCTGCGGCTAAGCTGCAATCGGATCAACTCTTCGCCGAGATTACTTACCATATCGGAATTTTGTAGGCCCGAAAAACCATGGAACCCTGATGAACCCACTGTAAACAGCGCCTGAAAGGTTCCCGCAGCAGGAATGACATGTTTACTGTTCCTGAATAGGAAACAGTTCTCATTTTTAAAGGTTCCCCTGCCTGAGAAACATTCCTGATTGCTGTAGAATGATTTCAGAATGGCAGGAATATTCTCAGAATTGCTGAGAACATCAGTAGGAACCCAGTTGGAACACTGTTGGGAATTAACTACTACAATCCTAGTTCCAGGTACCATCCATTTCTAGTCCTTGATCAAATATGTACAAAGCAGGCAAATCTCAGAGAAATGAAACATCCCAGATGCATAGTAGAAAGATTCTGGAATCATGATCACTGAAAATCAGATTGCTGCTGGCATCCAATGTCTTACTAATCAGTATGGTGTAAAGACTCAGCTTTTTAATTGCAGGAAGTCCAATAATGGTGTAGTTGCCACCCTCTAGATCTACCTGCACAATTAGTAGATCTAAAACCCAATCTCTCATCATTTTCAATACTGGAATCATCAAAAAGAATACTCTTTCATTTGTATGCAATTCATGAATGAAAATGCTGGTAATTTGCCTGATGGCAGAGCTGGTTCCATGTGTATACTCAATCAAATCATTAATCATTAGTTTGATTTGCTGGTCTTCAAGTGAGAAAGTAATATTCTTATAGAACTGTATTACAGTTGAGCCTGGTTCCACTACAGACAGCTTATCTCAATCTTTCTTATATGCATTTTGGAGTTTCTGCAAAAATGGGTGAAGATTCAGTAATATGAATAGCCATGCATTCAGAATATCTAGCACTGGCACCATTTTTCCTGCAGATTATTGTGCCCAGAGATTCAGAGAATACTCACCAGTAATATCTTTATCTTCAGCATTCAGTACCTCAAATTCATCTTCATGCAGATCAGTATTCAGTTGAAGTAAGTTTGTGAAAAGAGTCAGGCAGTACTTATAGAGATTAGAGATGTACTGGATCAAGAATAACTCACTATTGGCAAATGCTTCTTCAAGTAGTAGAAGCAGTGTATATCTGAAGCTCTCTTGCATTAACAGAACCTTTTTAACATCTTACTTGTTTGTTCTCTGGACCAGCTTCTTGTATTTCTGATGCTTGTTCTCTTCAATGAGAATATTGCAATTGTTCAGAATTGCATATTCATTTGCTTGTGCTGAATAATGTATGCTGACATGCATATTTGGGTAATTTTTAAAGCTCTGAATTATCTTTATCTTCTTCTTTGAATCAAAATTTTCTGCAATTAGAATGCCTGTCTTTTTGGCATATGAATCAAGTGCTGGGAGCTCAATTGGAACAGAAGATGGCCTTGTACTGATTATAGAAGCTGCTCTAGATCCTGCTTGAGTGCCTGCTGGATAGGTAGTCTTAACAGCTGATGCAGCAGCATCAATTAAACTTTGTAGATCCTGTCAGACTGTTATGATAATCTCTTGCAATCCTGCAGAGGCAAATTGAGCTGGTGATTGGAATATTAGAACAGAATTGCTGCATGCAATTCCAGCATAAACTCAAACAATCAAATTCTTTGTTAATCTTTCAGAGTAATCTTTAAATGTTACAGGCATTATTCATTGTACTGCTGGATTTATCCATTTCTGAATCATGTAGCATTAGAGAAGAAGCAGAATTATAATAGATGCTTGTGCATGCTCCTGTAATTAATAGGATTCCAAATGAGTAAGCAGAGATTGAAGACAGGCCCATCTTCAACAGAATGAAAATCTCTGAAGCAATTTACAGTATTCTTTTTGACCATGGGGTATAAGAATTACTGAAATCAATAAATAGTGTGCCAGTTTTGATATTCCCAAAAATTCACTGTAACATGGGTCAGAAGAAAAGAAGATCACCAGATTAAGAGATGGGCATATTTTGAGTAATGCTGTCTGCTCTTCAGCCATTTCATATTTCTTGCAGAGGCTTTGCTTTAAAGCTTGAGTTTCTGTAGAGTTGATTTTTTCTCTCTACTGCAGAATCCAAAAATGATAGCATCCTTCAGCAATAGTATCAAAATTCATGTCATGTTACTGATTCTCTGAAATCATGCAGCTCTGACAAGAACATGTTGCTGTAGGCTCTTTTATTCCAGCATTGGCATTCTGTTGTGGCATATCCTCAAGAAAATAGAGACAAGAGGAAATAACTCTAGTGACTTTCTTGCTAGAAATATTCACATTAATGCTCTTGTCAAGCAATGCTAGACTGGGCTCCAAGGCTTCAATCACATTGGGAAAATTGGTTCCATGTGGCCTGAAAGTAATTGTATAAATATTGTTATGCTTGGCTCTTTTGGTAGCTTTCATGTCAGCAGGTATCATGTAGACACCTATAAGACTTCAGTACATGTTCCAGTATAGGCTGAATCCATCAATGAAAAGTTGGTAGGGAAGAGATATAATCTTTTTGCTGTTGAAAAATGTTTGCTTCAATATCTCTCTACTATATGCTGCTATTTCTAGCTCATCATGTAGTGGAGTGCTCATATTAAGCAGTCAAGCTTTCAGTGTTCCTGATTTCAAAGTTAGCACTTGCTGCATGAAATATTGGGCATTCAGAAGCTCATATCCTGAATTCTTCATATTGAATTCATAGTTCAGATATACATCAACTTGAGAAAGAATATTGCCTGCCAAAACAAATGTTTCTTGACTTTCAAGAGCAAGAACTTTATTTGGGTGGTGCTGTAGATTCAAATGGGATAATTTTCCACCATAAAATGTCAGCATGAATCAGTATACTGGTTGAATTCAGAGAGTGATTGCATTTTCAGCAATTGGATTTGATCTTTTATTCTGACCAACAAATTAGACTCTCTCCAAATGGTCATAATTCATTAGGTCTTTATTGCAGGGGCAGTCAGTATTGCAGCATTAGTAGAGAACAAAGTTGGAGAGAAATATAGACTTGCCATTGCAGTAATATACAAATTTGCCTGAGAAGTATTTAATGGAGCTTCTCCAGCTTCAAGATTGCCATAACTCTCTTGAGTTATCAACCAATTCAGCCATTTCTATATGCAGTTTCTTCCAGAAAATCAGTGATTTCACAAGTGTGGATATCAATGCAATGGGGTTCTGAAAATACATGTTTGTGCACAATGCTGCTTGAGCAAGTCTTTTGTCCACATCTGATAATGTTGGCATTTTCTTTGAAATGACAGACAGCAGTTTTTGGCAGATAGATAGTATTGGGAATTGTGACTGGCATCTCTTCTTTAATATTGACAGTCCAGTAGGCATAAGTTTTAATGGCTTGATATCTGTCAGGTTCTGGAGGATTTCCCTCAGTGATTGGTATTGCTGTTAGAATATGCCTGTATGCTCACACTATAACACAAGAGACATTAGAAATTGATCTATTTAATCATATACTTTGGCCTGTAAGTGTGGAATAGCTTCTGATGATTCATTCTCAAGAATTGGCATTGTTACTTGAGTATCTATTGTCCCTGGATCTTTGTCAATTTCTGAATCTTCTTTAACTGGAATTTTGTTTTCTAGGCATGACAATTCTGCATCAGCTGCAGCATCTTTCAATATTTCATGTAATTGATTGTTATTGTTAGTATATGCTGGGCCAGTATTGCCATTGCCAGTATCTAATATAGACTATGCAATATTAGCCTCAGCATTTAACAATCCTGATAAACAATTTTTTGCACTATAAGACCAAATTTGTTATCATCAGAAATTAATATCAAATTCTTCAGCTGCCCTGACTGTAGTGATATCAGGTGGGCACTGCTTTCATGTTCAATTGACTGATGAATACTCTCTCCACTTGCTTGACCCTGGATCTGTTGTTCACTGGTAATTGAAGTATTATTGCTTGGATTTGGATCTCAGAGTGTGATTTTCTTGACTTTTTGGAGATTTGAATGTGACATTTCAACAACAAGACTATTATTAATTGTATAAAGTTGTAAAAGAAATGTGTGGAATGCTCTTGAAGTAAAGTGTCTTTGATTACTCTTTTGAGAAGTGAAGATTATCTGTTACCTGTCAACAGAAAATGTGGGGGAAATTGCTGATAGAATATGAAGTCAGGAATAATCACTTTCATGCTGGGGTCAGGAAGCTTGCAATTGATATAGATTATAGTATATTCAAAATTCTACAAGGGTTTTAGAGTTAAATTCTCCAACATGGATGGTGAAGCTTTCTTTTTTGATGAATTCAATGTGAGCAACTTTGATGACATTGCCACCACAGGAATCAATGCAGACATACAGAGGATGAATATACAAGATTAGAATTCTGAAAAAGGCAAAGAGAATGAGAAAAGGGGCAAGAAGTGCAAGTGAAGAGTTCAGCATTCTGATACAGGAGAATATGAGAGAGAGAATTGGTCAAAAGAGAAGGCCCTGAAACAGTAAGTAAGGTGAATGTATCTTATAACATTCAGCAAGGAAAAACTTCCTGAAATTATAGAGGAAGTATATAAAATAAACAATGAAGACTTATATGTCTTCAGTTCAGCAAGAGTATCTGTTCTGGAGTTTTTAAAGGGCTGGAAATGTAAAACATTGAGAAAGATGAGTGTTAGTATGCCACTCCATAATATTGAGAGATCTTTTACTGACTGCTAGCAGAAGCATGTCAAGAATGTAAAGAAGATTGACCACAAGAACAATTCTAATATTAGCATGTACTGTTGCCAGAATTCCAACAAACTCTTTGCATATTTTGCAAAGCACTTTGATTCTGAAAAATTCTTTAAGATTTTCTTCTGGGCAGAGCCAATTGTTAATTATGAGAAATCAAAGCAATTAGAGCAATGGTATATCAAGCATATGTCAGAATTGAAGACAAATATAAGATAATGAGCATTACTGACCTTGATTTAGAGATATACACCAATTTGGTGGTGCAGGTCAAACTGCATGATAATCTCATGGAGAAATCAGGCTGTAAGAAGGAAGCCATTGGGGCATGATGAGAAATTCTTGAATTTTAGGACTATATGGGACAACATCTGCAATATAAGAATGTCAACAAAGAGAACTTTGCAGAAAAGAGAAAGGAGACCAAGAAGAAGACAAGAGCTTCAGCTTCTGGAGCTGATAAGTCAGTAATTCTTACAAAGATTTGATTTTCAGGTGAGGCTTCACTGAAAGAGTGAACTGCAAAATGCTGAATTGGTGATATCAAGCTCTCTTGAGGCATCTGCACATTGATTAGCATGTATATATATATGATATAGAATCCAAATCTGAGCAGCACTGAAGCTGCAATAATCCTCACAATAATTCAACAGGCAAAGCAGCTGTATAGTAAAAATCAACTTTTCAAGAATTCCTGCCAAAAATCCACTGGGGGATTGCTTGTCAGGGTTGTGTAGATAATATAAAAATCAACACATCTAGTAGAGCACATGTCAATAAAGCTCTATCTAATCAGGACAGCTCTCACATATATAAACAACCCCTTTCACAACTTCTTCTCTTTCTCTTCTCTCTCTCTCTCTCTCTCTCTCTTTTCAAGCCTTTCTAATCTTTGTTTCCCCACCCCCTCTTTCTCTCTTCCATTGGTATTTCTTTTTGAATTCATTAATATACTTCAATTTGCAGAAGTAGGTGATCTGAGATATATGAGATTAGCAAAAGCTGATACATTTTGCAGAAAAACACATTAAAATAGTGAACATGTGTGGAACCCTGAAAGAGAACAAGCCAGACCATAAACCAAAAGATAAAGCTTCAGATGGGCCATCAGTCTTCTGTCAACAATATGTTACAGCATATATGACCCTGAAAAATCTTGAAAAGCCCTGTAATAATGTCCAGGACTCTAGCAATACTTGCTCAAACTGCTTATGAGACAAGAAGCATTGCTGTAACTTTCCTGAGACAATAATTAATCAGATTCTTGAGTTGCAAAGTGCATACTTCAAATGAGTGAATACAACAAACACTGTCATCAAAAACACTCATGAAGTGAGTGTTATTACTTTTGCTCAAGCTATTAACAAAAAGTTGAAAACTGTTCTTGTAAATATGCTGAAAGAGACTTCTTCCATTAATGATAAGTCAGATGCATTAAATGGTGAAGTTGTTAAAGCTCTTCAAGAGATTTCTGTAATCTTGAAAGAAATTCAGGAAATTCAAGAGACAAACTTTATTGCAGTCTCCAATATAAAGAATGCTCTTAATGTAAGTTCACTTCACTTCTCATCTTTAAGGTGAAGATTCTAACTTTCAAAAGAATATGCCACAACTTATTAATTCAGGTCTTTGTGCAGCTCTTGCTGCTTGCTCAGCTCTGCCTGTAAATAACTCTCTTTCTTCTCATGCTGTAAGATATTCTCTTAGAATTGAATTAGAAAAGAGATCTAATAAGAGTAAATTAGTTAAAATGTTTCTTTGACAGTGCTTCTGATTCTGAAGCAAAAAGGATCTGCTTAAGCTTCTTGCTATCATAAACTGTTTTCAAAACCCTGACTCTGATCAGGAGTCTTCAATTTTCTCTGTTTTCAACCAGTATGTGTGCAAATAACATTTCCTGAAATATACTGACTGTTTACTCCAACAGAGCAACAAAGTATGACACTAAAGAGTGTGTCTTCTTCTCATAATGTGACTCTGACATAAACTGTCATTTCTGCAAAGCCAAGTACACCAGTGGTCAAAAATCCTGATGCCAACAAGAAGAATGCTGAAAAGAATGATGCTGACAACAAGAATATCAACAAGAATGATGCTGACAAGAATGCCAACAACAAGAATGCCAATGAGAAGGGTGCTGAAAATGAGAATGCTAAAAAAGCTGATGCAAATGTTACTTTCAATGTTAGCAGCAAAGATTTCCAAAACTGGTTTTTCAGTCAGGGTGATCTATAAAGCAGCAGGAATTGTGTCACTACAGTAGTTACCTAGTTTTCAAAATTAAGAAAAGATTCTTTCAATTTGAAACAAAACCCCTGATCTCATGGTTCAAATTTCAGTTATGTTCTAGAACTGAGCTCATTTCCTGAAAGGAAGCATTCTCAGAAAGGTAATAGGAATCCTACAGTGCTCCAACAGTTCTCTATTTGGATTATGGTTCTCGCACAATTCCTAATTAGGTTACTGTGAGATCTCAGAAATGTAAGGGTTTTTCGGACCAACGAAATCCTGATATGGTATTAACAAGTTAGTTCCAAATAGGTTGGATTGTGCCGACGACTGCCGATGAACACCTTTTCTCTCCCGGGCTGCACAACGTCGAAATGCTCGACCAATGGGTTGTGATGATTCCTCGGCTCTTGACGCATGATGACTTTGGGTCTCTATATCTATAGAATGGCCTTCGCGTTCTTCACTAGAGGCCAAAGCACATTGTTCGGAACCATCCGAACAAGGGGATTTTACATATGATGCTCCCGAAAAAGGGGCTCAATGAAGCGACAAGCATATGTTCAAGAGTTCGGGCTATATCGAAGCGACATCCGCTATAGGGATGGCGGGAGAATCTGTTTGGAAATGAATAGGAGTTTGGCATATATTGTCATCATGCTGTTCCAAAGCAACGTTCCGTCTCGAAGATATAATCTTTGGGAAATGAGTTGTTGACTGACAGCTTCATCCATTGCCCAGACAACAAGTTTTGCTTTCATTTTGCATTTTCTATATTTCGAGCATAAATCTCTTTCATTTCATGGCTCAATCAGAAAAAAGGACACGGCTGTGGTGCCACAACATGAGGGCGCAAAGGAGCTTGACTCGAAAGTGCCGGTGACGAAGAAGGGGCTTCAGTTTTGGGCAATTATATGTTCACTTTGTGTGACCAGCTTGCTTGGAGCTCTGGAAATCACAGAGATTGCTACATCCTTCCCCACAATCGTGCGAGCTTTGGATATCGGCGATGGCTATGTCTGGGTTACAAATGCATTATTTTCTGACAATGTACGGAGTATGCATGTCACTTGTATGATCCTTTTCTCGATTTAGGCACCAAAGTGGCTGGTTTTTCAGAAGGGGACGCATGTTGTGGTTAGCAACTATTATATTTCATCAGCGCCGCTGTGCAGCCGCTTTTCGGACAATTTGTCGAATCTTTTCGGAAGGGGATGGGTGACGATATTCATAATTTCAATATCTGTAGCATAGAGATGCTCATAACAGGACGGGCGGTTCAGCGGATTGCGATTAGCGGGTTCAACATGATTGTCGATGTTATAGTAGCCGATCTCGTCCCATTGCGGGAGCGTAGCAATTATATTGCCATTGTCTTGATGGTGTACGCGATTGGAACGTCAATAGGCCTATTTATAGGCGGAATAATCGTAGACAAAACGTCCTGGAGATGGTTCTTTGACATCAATCTTTGCTTTTCTTCTTGAAATCTAAATATCAGCTTGACAGGGACGTCACTAAACGATTGAAGGGCATCCATTACGCCAGTAATATTATGATCATAGATTCCACATCCGTTGTACTCTACGCCTCAACGTATGGCGGCTCGCGATATCCCTGGTCATCGTAGCGCATAGTCATCCCGCTCATGATGCGTCTTTGTGGTATGGTTCTCTTTATGGCCTAGGAGAGCTCGAGGTTTTGCAGGGAACTTGTGACACCTCCCCGGCTTTTCACACACCGCATGTCATTGGTCGTATATATCAGCAAGTTCTCCCTGACTGACCTCCTGTACTGGGTGTTTTTTTGTTTTTCCTTCCTGTCTATCTCCAGGCCGTCCTTGGTTCATCATCAGCCCGCACAAGTGTTCAGTTACTGCATGTCACGTTGGCCTCCGTCGCCGGGGCCGTCATTATTCTTTCATAAGTTGGCAAATATGGATCCTTTCACTTCGCTGGATTCGCGATCCTGGCACTGGGTCTTGGTCTATTTGCTCACTTTAATAGAACGTCCTCCGCGGCCGAGTGGATCATCTTCCAAATGATAGCAGCCTTGATTCCGGGGGATGGTGCTCAACACCTTGCTCCCTACATCCCAAGCACCGCTGGCCGAGAGCGATCATCAGTTTCTAGAAACCGTCGTATCGCATCTTTGATACGGATATCCGGCAACTTCTGTCGAACGCTCATTCATAGCGAGCTTCCGGGAGCCTCTGAGCGGCGACGTCACCGGTGTTTTCTTGGATGCGTTGAAATTTGTTTTGGGAGGTATCGGTTGCCTTCGCGGGAGTAGCCTTCCTTTTGGTTTTCATGGAGAGAGAGAGAGGTCCGTCCTGGAAAGGGGCTTGATACTGAGTGTGGCATTGAGATGAAACCAGAAGCGAGGAAAAACGGATGTTTTGAGGCATGATAGCAGGAAAAAAGAAAGATCTCGAATGCGCCATTACGTTTTTAGACTTTGGCAGAGGTGCATTAGATCCCGGCTCCTCATCAACGGCTTCAATTCTCCAATAGCATATTTTGTCTAATGTATGCAATAGATATCTCCCGAGCAAGAATAGTTTCTCAGGATGTTCGGTACCCCGTACCTATGTACATAACATACATGCGAATTCCTTTCTTTCGTACTCCGTACTCCGTATTCACATTTCCTCTCGGGTGATGACAGCTACATACGTCAACGCCCAGAAAAAGGAAGCGGAGGGTGGGTGAAGAAAAAAGCAATGATCGCCAATCGGATGATCGCATTGGCCACGATCTGCTGGTTAATTCCGTCCGTGACTCTGTGGTCAGCCCAGGAGCTAAGATGGAATCGGCAGCGATGGCACCCCACGCCAGGCAAGCTTGCTTGGAGAGGCGTTTGTATGCAGTAGCTGCGAAGCCCAGGACGTGCTCCATTAATCAGTTTATCGGACTATAGCTAGTAGATGAACCCCGGGGGAGGCCTGAGTACTGTTAACTGTTGGCTGGCAGGCTGTTCTTTTCGGTGGCTTCTGCCGTCCTTCTGCGCGGCTGTAGGCGCCGGAACTGTGGGCGCAACCCCACCGAGACCCCCCAGCCAGCCCGCTAACTCGCCGGGCTGCCCTGGGCCCCAAACTCCCCGAAACTCAGTTCTCGTCACTGCCAAACCGTCCTCCTCGTCGTCGTCGCCCGCCTGCCCACCCCCAACACTCCAACTTGTTCTTCCGTCGCCAGTTGATCCTGGGTGGCCGTCTCCCATCTCCCTGCCACTCAATCGCTGCCCTCGCTCGCCTAACCAACACCCCCAACTCCTATGGCCGTGCCTATGCGAGCTGGCCACGCTTTCGCCGATCGTGGGCACAGACTCAGCCAGCCAATGAGATTCCGTGGTTCTCGTCGCTGAGCGGAACCAGAACCTTTGGCTGCTGGACGGGCCGCCTCGCCGCCGTCACGTCACGCCTGGCTGCGACATCGGGGAACGAGAAGCTGCTCCTGGAGGAGAGTAACGAAAAATCGCCTTTTTTTTTCTTTTCTCTCTCTGCTTCTCTATCCGTCCCCGCGCGTCTGCGTTGAGGCTGTCCCACTGTGTTGAAAGTCATCTGGCGTTCCCTTTAGCTGCTTGTGGAACCTTGCCGGGCAGCGCATTCACCCGCCCTGTTATTGAAAGTCAACAACACCCCCATTTTGTTTTGGCCTGTTCAGCCGGCCCGACTGAGCAGCTTGCGGAGCTTCATGAATCCCATTTATCCTAATTCACTATTGACGCACTTCTCTCTATTGTCACAGGCACCGAGCTCTTGAATGAGCCCCAGGCGCATTCACATCAATTCTGCTCTTTCGTTTCCCTTCCCCCCGACTGTCCTTCCCATGGCCTGAACATTCGAGCTCGAATGCCTTTATCTGAGCTCTGCGCTTGCTCTTCACTTTCAAACTCTCAACCCCCCGGTTTCGCCGTTCTTCCCAGCTTTGCCTGTGACTCCCTTCCTTATCGACTTCCGCTGATCTCTGCGGCCGATCAGAGCTCTTCCTCCCTGTCTCTCCACCTCTATAATGCCACTCGACCACGATACTTCCCTCCCCGCCTCCAATAAGACCATCTCCAAGTCTGCACCAAGCAAGAAGAGGTCGCATTCAGAGTACCTTCTCGATATTAACTCCCGGTTCAAGCGTCTCACGGAAGACGTCTTCCCTCACCACCCATACCTCCTCACCGTGCCGACGGAGAAACCGTTCCGGCTGGGTTCCCGAACAGTGACAAACTGGGCTGTTGGCAAGGGCTGCTTGTTTGCGCCAGAGGAGGAGCAGCTCCAGTACATGACGTTTCTGTCTCGTCAGGCCGAAGACACTCTCCTGGTCGCCGTGGGGGGATGGTCCGATGGGAATGGAAATATCATCGAGGAGGATGAACCTAGAATACATGCAGTGAAGATGAGAAACAATCCGTCACAGAACAGTCAGCAGAAAAAGAAAATAAGTTTCAAGGACTACAAGAAAGCGTTGGAGACATCCGTTCCGCCAACTCCCGCGTTGGGATCTAGCAACAAGACCGAACCCTCACCTCTCAAGCAGGACGTTCCGTCGAACAGAAGGGGCCAATGCCCTAAAGCTTCTACTTCTACGAAGGAGGATGTTGCTCCCAAGAGAAGGCCGGAATCACCGTCTTCAAAGCCTGTTGATGAATCTTCACCGCCCCATCGCAAGAAGCCACGATCCGAAAAGGACAGTGAAGAGGATTCAGACAAACCCCTTATACAATTAAAGAAACCGCCAGCCGTTCCTGAGTTACTTTCACCTACTCTTCCTCCGGACACCACTGGCCCGAGTATACCTCCTCTGCTCTCTCCAACGCTCCCTCCTGAACTTGAAGAAGAAATATCGCTTTCAGAGGAGAGCAAAAAGGCACCACCATCCGCGGCTAGGAAAAGTCTTCCCAAGCCTACGGGTAGCCACTCTGATGCGACCAAATCCAAGTCCATAGAACGTAACCGGCCCCGCGAAGACTCATTTTCCAGTACCAAGGGAGATACCAAGCTTAAAACGCCAAATACTTCATTCGCTGCGAAACCTGGAGTGAAAAGCTCCCCAATTCCTGCTCCGCTGACAAATCGTCCCATTAAGAAAGTTACTGTTACCGCACAAGGCAGTGTTGTGCCATCGTCCTCCGCTGGCAGGTCGGCGCCTGCAACTCCAGCAAAGCCGAGACTCGTTGTTAGACTTAAGTACGGGCGCCAAAACAGAAAGCGAATCGAAGCGCTGTTGAAAATAACCAGGCGCAAAGCTCCAGCTGAGAAACGCCCGGCAAAACCTCAGGAGGATGTACTAGATCAAAAAGAAATTAAGCCACCCTCGACTTTAAAAGCTCCTGAAAAACAGCGAGAATCGTCCCTGGGAAGTAAACGTCCTCCACCAATAGATGACATTCCTTCCGAAGGCCCAGCGCGTAAGAAGCCAAAAGCGACCGCGCCGACATCTTCCGAGCCAAAAGGTACACCCAACTCTAAAACTTCCGGCCAGCAGCCCAAGGCCCAATTTCCAACTCCCAAAAAGGAAGTGAAACCCGGTACCAAAGGAACTTCTATGCGACGTACAGAATCTACAGATAGCGAAGCAAAACCGTCAATAGCTAAAGCAGCTGGTGCACTTGATGAGAGGCCAACCAGCAAAGCTTCACCGGCATTATCCACAGACAACCAGTCCACAAAGTCGCATGACGCGGAATGGCGTGCGTGGCGCGATGAATGGCAGAAATACAAGGACCTAGGTCGGGAACTTAAACATGCATCTGACCCGCTCGCAGATCAAGGAAGGTCAGGTGGTTCTCAAAGCAGAGATGCAAAACTCAGTGCCGCGACTGCTATTGAAGCTGTTCTTTGTTTCTCCCTTGCATTCATCGCGGACGATAAATCCAAATCCCTTAGTCGCCAAACCCGCCAGTCATCGAACTGGCACTCACTTATTCCCTACTGGCAGGCCGTTGCCCACCGCACGGCCGCATATCCCCACCTACATGGACTTTGTTTACTTCTAGGTGCTATAATCTATGAAGCTGTCCATACTCTTGACCTCGACCGCCTCGCTTCCATTGCGCTTCCGGGTGAACCTTCCAATAGCCACAATTCCAACCAGAAAAATAAGGCGGTCGCTCCCACCCCCGGCAGTGATGATGCGGACATTTCATCTCAACCTTCGACGCTAGCCCAGGACTCCAAGGTTATCCGGGAACTAATCGATCTCCGCAACCGTCTTCCTCAGTCCCACCGCGAGTCAAATCGCCTCTGGCTCGAAGGCTGTCGTCTACTCCCCGACGTTATACTTGCGCGTGAGTATCCTATGACGTGGCAACGACGGAGCCGGAACTTTGCCGAAAGAGGTAGAGAGGTGTTGAAGGTTGGGAAGTACAGTGGTGATTTTTTCCTGCCGATGCCAAGAAGTGGTGGTATGGCGCCGGGGACAGGGACGACAGGTGTGATTGAAGGCATCCGATTTGCCACGGTGTTTATGCGGGAGTGGTGTGAGAAAGAAGACGTTAGGTGGATTAATAAATTGAAGCTTTAGAAGTGGGAGGAGGAAAAGGAGGGATCTCTGCTGCTAAGATGGGTCTCTCTTCTTTGCATCTCTTTTTGAATCTAATATGGCTAAGTAGGTGCTTGGACCTAGGGAGGCATCTGTTTTTGTTTTCGTTGCAGTTGGACAGGCTTAAACTACATACCCCATCTGTCGTCATTTGCTTTTGTGATTGATTTTTATTTGCTTATAGCTACATGTTAGATATTTGCCAGTGTGCCTGGAAGGGAGCATATGTAGGTGTGTACGATTTATACGACTTGCTTTCCCTTTTTTTCTACCCTTATTTCTGCTACTGATACCTCCCGCGTCACGCACTTATATGTGGTTCATTAGGTCTTGACTTTGCCATCACTTGCCTGTCTTTGCATCTGTTGTCTTGTTTTGTTTTCATCTCCGCTCTTAAAACGATACCATGAACCCGGGGGAGGGGTTGGTTTGTTTTTTTCTCGTCCGGCCTACACAGGAGTGCATATGGTGTGAATGGGATGTGTGGTTTGACTTTTATGTAGAGGTAGAGAGAAAAAGATGCGGCAGTTAACTTAGGTGCTAGTTAATCAGAGGATCTATGAAGTGATTATACTCTATAGTTAACTTGTTACCTATGTATACGGAGCACATAGTATCAATTACTATCAATAGAGAAATGGTCCAAATGCCAACTCAGCTGAAGTATAAATAGGTATTGATAATGAGATAGCCTGTCCTAGTACTCCGTACCTGGGGTTGCTCAACCTCCTCTGGGGGGGGGAAAAAAAAAAGATGCACGCCAAGGGGTCAGTCTCCACACCGAGACCCCGCCCCATAGTTAACTAGGGGGAAAAGACCCGTCCCCAGAGCTCCCTAGCTCGCTAGCCAACCCCAATTAGGCCCGAGATATGGGCTTTTAGCAACATAGGTGCACGGCTCTGAAATTGCCCAGCGAACCCATAGACAAAGAGCATCATATACAAACGCACATCCTTGCAAGGAAACTGCGGAAATCCGGTTTAACTAACCAATGGCAAAGTCGATTGTATTAACCTGAGCCTATTAATCGTGCAAAATTGGATAATCAAAAGGGGGCCTAGCTACATGTCTCCGAGCTGTGTCATTACTTTCTCAAGCCGTCTTTTTTACCCCCCTGCCCATCCTCGATCTCTTACCTTGATCAAGGATTTTTGCTGTATGAGTAGGCACGTGCATAGAAGAAAAGGGCTTAACCCAGGTTGAAAAAGAAGAATATTGCTCCTGTGCCCTCGAAGAAACGAAAGATACTTTTTTTTTCCTCAAGAACAGAAAGAAAGGTAGTATCGAAAACCGCAGTACGCCTCTTCTATGTATCTCCTCAAAAAGAGGGGAGAAGGGGAGGGGAAAAAGGAAAAGAAAAGAAAAGGCTGTCCCCAAATATAAGTGAAGATTGGACCCCCTATCGCCATGATTTTTAGAGTCAACAGCGGCCTTCTCCAAGCCATCTACACCTCCTCTCTGTGGCGTTCCCTTCCTCCTCCGAACAGCCACCCAGCTTCCCGGCAATACTTAACCTCCCTGCGTGTCGTCCCTACCTCTGTCGCCCAGCAAACCACCGCTGCATCCAAAACGCACGCCAATACCCCTTCCATCGCTGCTAACACTCCCCATCCAAGCGCCCCGGCGAGCATGCCCACAACGTACGCGTATAAGCTGCCACGGACGGTGCTGCTCCCATCAGATACTTGCAGCTTTCGAGCACTTGAGACCCAGCCTGCAAAGCCCAGTGCAAGCGACATTATAAAGCGCGTGGCATGGAGGAGGAGTTTGGCAAGGCGATACGGGACTAGTGTGGGTGCTTCGTGTCTGGAGTTGCTGGAGAACGAATGGGGATGGATGGTCGTTGCCGCGGATGAAGGTGCAAGGAAGGTGAGCTGGCTAAGAGTTCTAGCCGATGGAGTTAAGGGTTGAGTGAAAATAGAAGCGTAGGTCAATGTTAACGGGTTTGTCAAAGCCGCAATTGGCGTGGGGATGATCGAGTAGGCTGCCAGGGATAACAAGGACGACAGTCGTCGTGGCAGGATGATTAAAGGGAGACGGATGAGAAGGGAGAGGAATGTGGAGAGGCAAATGGTCCCAAACATTGTCGTCAAGGAAAACGAGAGCGCTGCAGGCACTATTTGGCGAGGGGTTATCGATGGAACCGCGAGGCGATGGAAATACCATTGGCTGACAGTGGCAGCGGTCACAGATCGTTGAATTCCGGCAATGATCCCGAGAGACCAGAGGTAGATCAGAATGAAGTATGCGCCTAACCACCAACTCTCAGGGTTGATTATAAATATAGACTTTGTCTTGCTCAAGTGGCCTCCAAGGAATACCCGAGTGAACATCAGAATCCATGCCCATGTCCACGCAGCAATGAGTGCCAGAGTCGCAAGGCCCACGATAAGCAACGGGGAGTTGGCGCTAAGGATCCGGCACGAAAATTCCAAGATGCTGATTGCCTTTCCAGTGGAATGGCGACCTTTGACCGCGGAATACACCCACGCCGTTGCCATGATCGCCGGAACCGATGATCCCCACCGCATCACTTTATCTTGCACGCTTGCACCATGCCACGAGCCTTTGAAACTAGAGACGAATGAATAGAGAGCAAATGAATATAATATGACCGGAACAGCAATTAACATTGCGTAAACCAACGGTCGAACGTATGATTTGAGAAGCGCAAGCCACAGCAGCGACACGAATATAGAAACGAGCGTATATGTCCCGAGAAGATAGAAAGATGCGTGAAGGGTCGAATATATCGTATCACCAAGTCTGGGCTTTCCTGACGGCTCTGACGTATGAAGATATACCATCAACGACGACGCAAAAAGGCCGGCTAGAGATAGTAAAAACAAATGTCCCCAAAAAGCATCATGCATGGGAGGTTCTGCGTCGTACGCCACCGACCGTGGTGCCTCCGACTGCCCGGGGCTAGGGGGTTGAGGATGATCTAATAGAGTCTGCTTGTCTGTTTCGCGGGGTATGAATGACGAGTTGGCCTGAAAACTATCGTTTGCGAAGGGCGACCGTCGGAACTGCTGGACAGCCGGAGGATTGTCATCGTGAAATTCGGAGTGTAATCCATTGTCTAGGTTAACCATATCGTTTGGCACCGAATCTTCCAGGCGCACGTCAACCATTTTTCCTTTTCCTTTACTGCTCGCAGATCGCGCGTCGTCGTCTTCCTCCTTCTGCTCATGCAATGTTTCCACTCCTGTCCTCCGGGAAGGCTCGCCACTGGCATTGCCTCCACGCCAGGAGCTTCTGATTCCCCTCCCTTGGCCAAAGCCATCTGCATGCTCGGTGCTATCGTTCCCTTCCTCCCCCCCTTCTAGCTCCGATGATTCCTCCATCTGGATGGCACCAAAGTTCCTCCGAGATCGCTGGAGAGCGAAGTAATCCGCTATCTCCCGTTCATGCTCTTGTTCATCATCCTCCTCCCGGAACTGATCGGTGGTGCTGTAGAAGAGTGGAGCTTGCGTGGAACCCCGACCGAAGGGAAGCTGTAGATGTGAGGAGCCGGCTTGGTTGTATGGGTTTCCCAGCCCACGGTTGAGGTAGGATCTCGAGGCTGGGAACCTTGAGGACGACTGGTTTGGCCGTCTCTGGCGGTCACGCGTGTTCTGAGCGCTATCGGGAGCGAAGCCAATCCTCGACTGGGACTGTGCAAGAAACCGTGACGCATCTAGACAAGAGGCTGGTTAACTCTTATATACAGGATGCCAAGTGGCCACAGGGTTGAAAGAGCTTACATTCTGAAAACATGGCGGTTCGAAGTCATTCACAAAAGTTTGAGGAAGAAGGTGAGGGTTCGGAGAGGAGCGGTCAATATTAGACTCTAGTTGAGAAACACCGGCTTACCCTCAGGCAGAGGTGAAAGAAAGGCTCAAATGGAAGAAAGGATTAAAGACAACACAGCCAAAGCCGAATTATGGGTTGGGAACGACAGGCAACAAAAAGGGCATTTCATGAGGTCGTAATTATATATATAGCGTGGTGGAGGGTAAGCTGGTGATGCTGGTGATGCAATAACTATAAGAGCCCAAGGAGAACGTAGGATGCAATGCGTAGGAGGATAAGGTGTCTGCCGGGACTTTCAAAAAGCGCCGTAGAATGTTCCTTTGGAGTTCTCCTGGCCTCCCAGACTCGAAGGAGGATCGTAGAGGCGGGAGAGCGAGAGAGAGCGAGAGAGCGAAGTGATGAGTGGGCGAAACGAGGTTGGATCGCGATTGACTGGCTGGCTGGCTGCTGATCAACCGCCCGAGTGAAGCAATTGACGGTGTGACAACGTCCATACAGTACCGTTACACTAGCGCCAGGTTTATCTTTGCGGTGAGGGTAACGCGCTAGGCGATGTTGGGACTGGTTCCGTGCAACGCAGTCATGTGCTCGTATGACCCATGACCGCTTTCGATACCGGCCGTTACAAGTGTGATATCATCATGTTATCGCAGCCAAAAAAACAGAACGCCAGCCGGAGAGCGTTCCCAGAGGCCAGGAGGCCGGTCAGGAGGAGCGCAGCGGCAGAGGGACCCTTCGGCGCGAGGACATCTGCCTGGAGGAGAGCGGGCGAGTCACACAGGCAGCAACAGCGGTGGCATTCACTAGCAGAAGCAGCAGCAGAGCGGGCCGCTGGTTGGGCCCATCCCTGCATTGTTACCCGGACTGAGTTCCGGCTGTGGCGGCAGGCGGCAAGGCCTAGAAGACTGGGCGGGCTTAACTGGAATTGGGTATCACAACACGCCTCCACAGCACCCCGGAAGAGCTATCAGAACCCGCCAAGTCAGGCACCCTTCACCACCCCCGAAAAGTCCCTCACCAACCCCCAACTGCTGAGCTCACGTCGCCATCCTCGTTCGCCAAAGCTTGCCTGCGTCAACTGGCTCCAACGGCCAGCAACACAGGAATTGGGCCAACCTTTCGTTCCTCCCCGCTTCCCTCTGGGATCTCAGCCTTTCGTCTTCCTGTGTCTGTGCATCCGTAGCCATCATTGCCAGGAAGATTCCAAAGCAGACTGGCCGTTCGTCTGTGGATTACCCGGCCAACATTCTCACACACCCAAACAGCCTTCATGTCGCACCAGCCGCCATGGGACTACATCGCAAAGCTCGTCTGCATCGGTGACTCTGGTACCGGCAAATCCAGCGTACGCACGTCCCTCAATGCCCGCATCCATAGCACCGCTTCTAACTCCCTAGATATAGCTGACAATCCGCCTCTGCGAAGGCCGCTTCACCACCACCCACGACGTCACCATCGGCGTCGAATTTGGTTCTCGCATCGTCCCCGTCGGCCCTCCAGCTAGCGACGAGCTCGACGACGATGAGGCTTCCCAATCCCAATTCCAACCGTCGCACATCCCCACTACCTCATTCCCCGAGACCCAAACCCCCAGCGCATCTAAACATTCCTCTCGGCCCTCTTCCTCCCCCAGCAACGCCAACCCGGACCCCTCTCCCCAGCACCTCTCCTCCGGCCTCCCACCACCTCCGCAGAAACCCAAATCCCAGGCCGCACCACCCGTCCAGAAACGCATGAAGCTCTCCCTCTGGGACACCGCTGGCCAAGAGACCTACAAATCAATCACGCGCTCCTACTTCCGCGGCGCTTCGGGCGCCCTCCTCGTCTTCGATATCACCCGCCCGCCCACCTTTTCCTCCCTCTCAGCATGGCTCCAGGACCTCCAGCAGATCGCCGAGGAAGGCATCGTCGTCGTGCTCGTCGGCAACAAGAGCGATCTTGTCAAGGACGCCGACCGTGAGCGCGGAGAAGGATACATCACCCGCGCCCAGGCTGAAGCCTGGTGCAGAGCTAACGGCGTGGTGCGATATGTGGAAACGAGCGCCAAGTCCGGTGAGAACGTAGAGCGGGCGTTTTTGGAGGTCGCAGAGCGGATATATAGGAATATCGAGGCTGGGAGATATGATCTGAATGACCGCCGCAGTGGGGTGAAAGGGTACGGGAGCACGAGCGGGTCGAGAACTGGTGGTGGGAAATTGCAGAGGACGGTGACGCTGGGGGTAAACGACGCGATGGGGAGAGGTGGGACTGGATGGGCGGGAGGGTGTTGTTAAGAGACCAAAAATATTTATCTCGATCGAATACCCGTTATCGCGAGCTGACTGCTTTCTTTTGTCTTTGTTTCTATTTCGGTTCTGACTATTGTTATGGGGGACTGATGATATCCTCCACGAGCTGTCCTCTTTCTTTTTTTTTTTTTCTCTTTTCAGGCATTTCTTTTCGAGGCCAGCGCGAAGCATGTCGGACTCATTGCATTTGTCTTTTTGGGTGGCAGACTTTTTCTTTTACCAGTTTTATGATTCATGGGAGCCAGAACGTGGAATATAGTCATATATGTACTCCGCCCACTGTATATAATATTTAGTCGCACAAGCCCAAGGATATACCACCTCTGACCCCCTCGTTAATAATCTTTAAAACTTAGAAAGCGATATCAGTCTTATCCATGAGATAAGTATCCGGACTACTATCCCGATCATGCTGTTCAATATGGGGGAGAGTGCCATGAAAGACAACCGCGCTGAAACAGTAGCCAGCCCATAGACACACAGAACTCCTGTAAAATAAGATACATGGAAGTCAATTTGAATAGCGCAAGTTAGATTATACAAGACGGATTTCCATCCTTTCGAAAAATATCCATTCCTTTTTTTCCTCTTCCAATGTCATCTTTCTTGTTCTTTTTCCAGAGAACTGGCAGTAAATTGAGAAAAGAGAAAAGTCCCTCCATCCAAAATTAAAACCAAGGGAAATCTTCCAACCCGAGTCGTGTATTCCTGGAGTGGTATCTATTCATCAACATTAATTTTCCCAATCCGACAAACGTCCATGCATCTCTAAGGCACACAGAAGCTACAGCAGTAGCAGCTTAAGACGATGTCGGGTTAGCAATGCGCCAAGTGCTGAGCCAGTTGAGATACTGCCACTGCTCGTTTGATCCCTGCATTCCAAAGACAATGTCCTTGAATACAACAAAGAGGGAGATGACAGCGGCATATAGGACAAAGTAAACCGCCCATTCAACCGGCTTGCTGAGCTTTTGGGTGAACCAGTTGACGCAGAATCCCATTGTCAGAATCGCAAAGTAGAGTGCCGGATAGTAATGGTGCACATAGGTGACGCGGGCCATGATGATGAATGGAAGGTAGTGGAGAACCCATCCAAGGAGAGGATAGATACCAGAGTAATGGATGTGGTCTATATCTGCCTGACTCAGCTCGGTGTAACCGCGTTGCCAGCGGACGAGGTACCAGGCAACCACTAAGCCGAAGACAGCTAAGCTGGCTGTGCTGCCCCAATACACAAAAGGGTTGCCGAGGAGGAAGTATTTGACGGTGTCATTGTCCCACGAACACATGCGGAGCCCGACATTGAGAACAGGCCACTGCCACCACTTGGAAGCCAGATCATCCTGTTTATCTGGGTCGGGAACAAGAGCATTATTCGAAGTCATCATGGCAACGTTCAGATGGATGAAGTCTTTCAAGAATGGCGACTTGTAGGCACCAGGATCACCTTTCTGCACTAAAAAGGAGTCAGCAATGTAATTACTCGCTGGGATAGGGAAAAGTGGTAACATACGTCTCTCGTTGACGTGAGATTCAACATTCCAATGCGTGTGAACATCATAGGGCTTATTCTCCTTCACGCAGGTGGTTTCAATCTGCTTGAAACCCCACTGAGGCAAATTAACATTGCCAGCACGTAAATAGCATCCTAGGCTAGGGTGGCGGAGGCGGAAAGCCGTAGTGAGGGTTCGGATCTTGGATCGATCTTTAGAAGCAACATCATTAACGACTTCCACTACCCAGTGGTCTTTGTCATCGCCAACAGTTGTGTTTCCATAACAAGAAACTTCCCAGTTGGACTTGGTGATTGGAGCGGGGATAGCATGAGAGTGTAAATTACGGCCCGTTTGGGCATGGATAAGGCGAATAATGTCACCGTCCCCGATAAATCTGAGTTCGCCCTCGGGATCATAATCGGGCTGAGTGCGGTTTGGATAAACGAACCAATCGTTATTCGAGTCCTTGTGGTGATAGCATGTAACTTGTTGTTGCGAAGAGCCCGAGGGATAGGTTTGAACGTGGGAATGAAGTAAACCACCACCATATCCCATGTTCTTTATGGTAACCTTGGATCCAATGGCAATCTCCAATGGGCTGTCCTTCCCGACAGTGGTTCCTCTCAGGTTCGCCTGGAAAAGTGAGCTCATCTGAGCATCGCCGGGGCCGGAGTTTTCGAGGACGAGGAAATGAATGTAGAAAGAGAACATGTATACGGCCAACGGCACAAGGATAAGTGCAATGATACGAGCCACAAGGTGTTGGGCAAGGACGGTCTATTCGATAGTTAGTAAAACGCCGAAACAAAATCACAGGATAAGCTGGAAATAGCCCACCTTTGGCATTTTCAAGTCGCCGAACTTATTCCATAGATCCTCGATAGTGTAAAGTCCAACCAACGCAGTACAAAACAAGCCAACCATCTTCACGCTGCAGACACATCCGATGCTGATACCAGTCAAGAACAACCACATGAACCATTCGCATGAGAAGCTTTGGTTCTGAAATCGGTGGAATCGAGCCCAGCAAAAAACTGTCGTGAAGGTGAAGCACAAAAGCATCGAATCCAGGAGAATAAATCGAGAAATCGTTGCGTAGGAGTTTTCGAAGAGGACCATCAACGTAACAAGCCAGACGGTTGCCCGACGGAAATTGAGCTCTCGGGCGGTAAAGTAAGCTAATGGCACGCATACCACACCAAAAAACGCATTGAATATTCGCATGAAGGTATAATTGAGTTCCTCAGGGTACTTTTCGCCAGACTTGAATTCGAAAGATCCGTTATACCCGGCCAAATATCCAGAGAGACCAACAAGCATTTTACCCAGCGGAGGATGCACGTCGAAATAAAACTCCCGTTTGATATAGTGAGAACCGAACTTGCCAAAGCTTCGACAGCCATTAGCCTCTGATGGATCCGCAGTGATGACCGTATGCCATATTCCAATAGCAACTTACTGAGCCTCGTCCCATGTCACAATGTTCGACAGGCCAATGCGCCACATGCGAGTGAAGAATGCCAAAGCGGTAAATATTACTGGTGCAATAAGAAATTCCCACTCATCGAGGACGTCTAGGAAGGACGATTTCTACCAATTCCAACCAGTTAGCTAAAGGGGGGCCCATGCTTTTCAAACTTAGAGAATATCATGGCAAACTTGCCGTGAAGCTGGATATATGATTTGTAAAGCAATTCCTTCATACCTTTGCAAAAGCTTTCTTGCCATCCACCACAATCTCGGGTACACCAGACCCGCCATTGGCCTTCTCCGAACCGGGAACATTTCTCCTTCGAACGTCTGCGCTGGAAGACGCACCTGTAGCGAACGCAGTCTCATTGCTCGCCATGGTGCAAGGATGGAGAGAGTAAAAAAGAGTGGACACGCAGAAATCAAGAAATTAAACCAGAGTTGAGAAGATTAAAGGGTGAAACCAAGATTAGAGTCGTAGCATAAGCGGGAGTCGAATCGAAACGAGCGAACAATGAACCCACGCGGCTCATGAAAGATCTGGAATTACAAACGGGTAAATTCCAAACAAAGCAAGTTCCTCCGACCGAACCCTAATCGTCAAGGGGGAAGAGGAGGAGCTTTGCTGGAAAGAAGACAAGTCGGCGGAAGACTGCCTAAAAGCAGTGTTGGTTCATGTGAAGGGCAAGAGTTGGAAACGAAAAATAGGGGGCGACCGGTTGGGGCCAGATTGCCTCTCAGCGGGCCAAATTACAAAGAATGATAAGCGAAAGAATTCAAGGGGGTAAGAAGAGAGGAGAAAAAGCAGGTACTAATAAGAAAAGAAAAGGCCGGAGAATTAGAAGAAGCTCTGTTGAGAAGAGGTGAACGGCTGACGGGGTGGTGAAGCCTCGCTGGGATCAAGTTGCGTGGTCTCAGCGTGTCGCGGCCGACGCAGGCTTCCACGTGATTCTACCCGAAACCGCTGCGCAACGGCGAAGCCGACAGACGACGAACTCGCGGGGGATTGGATGGAACTGAGGTGCTGCGATTCACTACTTTTAGAGATGCAGAGTATCGGCGACATGTAAAGTTTTAATAGATTCGGCTTTTCATTCAAAAACTAACGCTGGATATCAAACAAGCTCCAGCCAGCTTCAGCCAGCTCCAAACACCTATTCTACAGCGCTTCGATGACGGATCCACGGGTCGGGGGCAACCTAAAGTGAACTCTCTCAGAAGCATGACAAGGCAATAGTAATCAGCAAAGAAATAATATAGCCTGCTCAAGTCTCAGTCCTGTCCAGCTCTAGTCCCAAACCAACTGTAAATGGCCAACAATAAAGCAAACATCTGGCTGATATCCCCCCAAAAGAAATCATTAATATAAATCAGTTGTAAGTTTAAATCTATGCGGATTCACCATGTCTAGGCAATTGTATCGCCATTCCACCCCACCAAAACCCACTAGGACCTGGGAGAGAATTGTCAAGAGTAAAGAAAGAGAAAAGAAAAAGAAAGTGGCAATGAAGAGAACAATAAACAAGCAAAGTAGAAGAAATGAATTGCAAAGAGATGAATAATCTCGAAATTAGGAAATCCTTTGCTGCCAGGTGGATTGGCACGCTGTCTCAAAGACACCGATCTGAAACGCCAAAATAGCAGTCTAGTATTATACCATCTCTCATATCAGACCTCGTCCCAGAAAGCAAGAGGACAAAAGCGAAATGTTAAAAGTCTCTGAATCCCACGTGAGCGAACCACAACACAGCTCATCGAGAGAGGAATCGGAATTCTTTTTCATAGAACCTACATCCGCTTGCGGTGTAGATCTCCGGCCTCCATATGTATGTGCCGGGAACACGCATTCAACATCAAGGCGAGAAAGCTCAGCCTTCTTCATCCTGACCAACTCTCCGATACTCGCCTTGATCGTCGTTGTCTTTCTTTCCTTGCCTTCCACGTCTGACCATATTGGATATCCATCCTCCAATTCCTTCCCTACTACCCGTTTCTTCCACGGATCTTCCAGTTTTAGCACTAGGGGTGGGGGGTTCAATGTTAAGGCCAGGGATGTCGTATTCGGGGGGAAGACGGCCATCTGGACCACGTCGGATATCAAGAGACGGCACAGGAGATCCAGGTCCCATCAGAGCATTGCGCTCAGCTGGAGTAACAGGGGTTGGCATTGCTGTAGTGGCATCTCCAAACAGGACATCCATATCTTCCAGACGGACACCACTTGTCTCCGGGTAAAGGAAATAGACTGGCAGGTCGAACGTTAGACGCACAAACAGAAAAAGGTCAGGTGATGGGAGCTATCTAACTTACCAACAACAAAACTGGTAGCGCAAAAGAAGGCGTGCATCAAATAAAGTCGCCACTGGATCACCTCTTGCAAAACAGGCGTGAGCTCCCCGACGAGCCAGTTGAATGCCCAGTTAGCTGCCGTACTCAAACTTGCACCTTTAGCACGAATACTTAGTGGTAGGATCTCTGGAGGATAAAGCCATGGAATGGGTCCCCAGGAAGCTCCAAAGGCGGCGTTATATATCATAACAAAAACAACGGTCAAGGTTGGCGTCGCTGGGATATCAAGGTAGATCCAGTAGGCAATGAGACTGAGCGAAATGATCATTGCGACGGCACCAGATAATAATATCGGGCGCCTTCCCCAGCGATCTACCAAGTACCACGGGGGGATGGTCGAGCCTAGATAAGAAATTGCGTTTATGCCAGTCATCAAGATGGCATTTCGACCGACCCAGCCGGCAGATTCGAATACAAGCGGCGCATAGTACGAAATAACGTTGATACCGTTTAGCTGTGCGAAAGCCTGAGCCGACATCGCAATGAAAACACGCTTATAATAACGACGGAACATATCCGCATAGCTCCGCTCGCCTTCTTGACGCTGAATCAAAACATCCATTTTGATGTCGCGATATTCCTGGCGAGCTTTGTCGTTGTGGATATCACCTCCTCCATACAGGTTGGCAATCACAACCATTCCTTCTTCATCATGATCATTGTCTAAGAGCCATCTAAGAAAAAGTTAGCCATCAAAAGTTACTTCAGGATGGAAGGGAGGGTTTGGAATAAGTACCGAGGCGATTCACAAATAATAAGACTACCAACTCCGAGAAGAGTTCCCATCACGCATTGAAGGAATAACGGAATCCGCCAAGAATAGTGGCTATTGATAAAACTGCAAAAGTAATCTACCCAAACGCTAGCAGCATAGCCGCAGATATTTCCCGTGAATTCGATGCAGGCGAGCTGTCCACGGTTGTGAGGAGGTGAGATCTCGGATTGGTAAACGGGAACAATAGTGGACAGTGCTCCAACCCCAAGACCAGCCACGATACGGCCGACCAACATCATTGGGATTCCTGTAGCAAAGGTCTGAAAAGCACCACCGATGAAAAAGACAATAGACCCGTAAAGAATAGTTTTCCTTCGGCCTATGATGTCACCGACTTTTCCAACACAAAGCGACGAAATGAAAGCTCCGACTTCTAGGATAGCGACCATAGTCCCAATCTCCGCCCGCGTCGGTTGGTTAAAGTAGTCCTTGAAGAATGGGCCTCTAATCGGGTTGTTAATACAGTGAACACACGCCAGGATCAAGAGGAGCGGAGAGCAAGGAGATCAACATACGTGATAATGCCCGACATAACGCCTTGGTCATAGCCGAATAAGAAAACACCTAATGATACAAAAACACTTGTGAAATATCTACACTATAATATTAGTTCAACTACCAGAATGAAGCCAGTACAACTTAGACAATAAGGAGGGAGCATACAAGAGAGGCTTGCCCACCAGCCCATGCATTTGGGCTGTCCGCCTGTTTCCCGGCGACATGATGGAAGCTAGAATCGTTTCGACTCGGGATGGTTTCCGGGGGGGAGGTTCCGGGACGCGAATAGCCTCCTTAGAAATTCCGCTGTCGCCAAGGACGTCCCGCTCCTCCTCTTGCTCCGAGTAGTGAACTCTTCTAGACCGAGAACGTTTCGAACGCGCGCCAGTTCGACTGAATGCTTGTTGATCGAGGGATTTTCGAAGCTGGATATGTAGGGGATCTTCTTCGCTGGCGAGTTGCTCCGCTAGATCACCAGTATCGGACCAGACTGAAAAGGTTGATTCTGAAGGGGTGGAAGGTGGTGGTGGAGAGGACGAAGGAGACCTCCGGGCGCCCTGTTTCTCGCGAGAGTCGTCGAGTAGCGAGGATGAGAATTCAGAGGAGGGCCGGGAATTAGGGGTGAAGGACCGGAGGGGGATTGAAGCGGAGGAGTCTGGTGGGTTTGAGGAAGAAATGGTGGCGGTCGTGCCGGGCTGACCGAGGCAGCCCTATCGTGATCAGAAATTCGGAACTGAAGTCGGGGAGGGCAAAAAAGGGGATAGAGGCTGTATCACAGGTGACCAGGTGGTGGAGTCTCCCGGAGGTGCATGGGTGAGTTTGCCCGTGGAAGCACAGATGAGGAGAAGAGACGAGGTAGCATCCCACGGGGAGTGGACGAGGTGATCGGTTGACTCTGCAAAGCCGTCGGGATAGGCTGCCAAAGGTGCTTGGTCGTGCAGTCGCTGAAGGGTGAGGTGGACGTTGTTTGGACCAGTCGTGGTCATGTGCTGGGGTTTAGTGCAGGACCAAATTATTTCCGTCTGAACAAGCCGGGGGTTCACTCCACAGCGCTGCCGCGGAAAGGAGGGCTAAGCTGAAATGAACTGCGACGATATGACGTTGATCTTCAGCTTAGTGAATCTTGTCCCCCATGGGTCCGGAGAAGGGGAAAGCTGACAAGGGCGTTTTTATTATGTATTTGTTTACTCCCAACCGCCGCCTTCTGTCGCTGCATCTACGTCGCCCCCCAGCGGCTCTCTATTTATACACCATGTCCCCCTATATTTCCGCGACCGCCCAATATCTTCCCCCCGTTTTCGACCATCTACAGAAACTTCCACGCTTGCTAATTGCAGCACAAAGCCGAGCCCGATTCGAAGAAATTTTGAATTTTGCATTTGGGTTCGTTAGGTAAGCCGTGCCGCCCACTCGCAGCGTCCAATGAACGCCGCCGCCTGCGCCCCGTCGGGGTGATGTGGAGTCCTGCGGTCGCCCTGCGATGACTTGATCAGCAGATGGCACGCGGATGACGGCTCGAATCCGTGCGAGGCGAAATCGCAGACTGCCTGTGTGTTCACTTTCATCAAATGTATATGATATTGTGGCGTTACCGCTGCCATGCTCTTTGTCCATGAGAGATATCTAGCAAAACTGCAACAACGGGTATGCACAAAGATTGCACCACGCAAAAAGCAACCTGAGAAAAACCAATATGCACATCTAAACGTGGCTTCGAAAATGTCGAAACGCTCTAACAACGGTGTCACATCCATCCAACATTTAAACGCCCCTGCGATCGAGATCAAAGAGAAACTACCTTTCGGGCCGTTGTGAGCAGAATGCCAGGAAATCGGGCCTCGCCGGCCCGCCTACGCCAGAAGAATGTCATATCCATCCTTTTTGATGTGAACGGCTTCCGTGGGGAGCCCATACTTGCGACGCACCAGCTCGAAGATCACGAGGCCGGCGCTAGTGCTGGGCACCTGACGAATTGTATTCCACAAGAACCCACGATACAGCCAAACCCTCCAGCTTCCGACCCGCTGTGCTTTCCGTTGACAGCGCTCAAAGGTCTCTCGATACGCATCGAAGCGATCTCTCATCCAGGCGCGTCTCGACTGGTTCTGGCTCAGTTTGTCATCGAGGTGTTCCAACCGTCTGTAATACACATTGTGAATTAGCCCAAGGGGGTGTAACACAACCTGCTGCCCGATCGAGGCCGTTGCGCCGGCGAGCATCAGAAAGCACGGTTCCAGCGCGTAGTGCGGCTTGATGACTGGATTCTCGCTCGAAGAGTTTGCAAGTGTTGACAGCCTTTCCACCGCAGGGGGTTGGAGAGAGCCATAGTAACGTGTCACAAAGGAGTAATATCCCTGGGACTTGATTGTTTCAAACAAACAGAAGAACAGAGCCGAGCCGCAACTGTCTTTCAGAAAAGATAGCGTCCACCCGGAGAATATCCCTCGCATTCCGAGTTCGCTAAGTTTATTCTTCCAATAGTGCCACGCACTCCGGTGCTGACCATTGAGCATTTCGTCCGATCTGAAGCGCGCCTGGATAGCATCCAACGGCGCAGCGACGACCGACTGGACTGTGCCCGCCGCAAACCCAGCTAGAAATGTGTCGACGGGGGACGGCGGTGGGTAAATGCGTCTATTAGCCATCAAGGCGGGCCCATGTAGGTTGTTGAGGATCTGAAGGTAGGATGTATACAGGACTGCTCCAACACTATGACAAAGTCGTCCGTTAGCACCTATTATGCTCGTTGGGCTATAAGGACCATAGATATGGGGATACGAGTACCTAACGTTTGCGATCAGAGGCGGCAGGACCTGATATGGAATAAAAGTCCAGCCGTACGTGCGGACCGCGTGAGCTAATAAGCCTGGAGTAGTAGTTTTCCAGGACCAACTGCCGCCTTGAGCAAGTCGAGGGTTGATGGCCCTGGCAAGCACCTACGGCGCTCAGCGCATGTCACAATCCCAATGATAGAAAAGCAGCATACCATATAACTGCAAGCAAATATCTATTAGCTATATACCCCCAGAACTCTGCTATACTAAATACATACTCCACGCGGGTGCGAAAGAAGGCTTTAACGGGTGCCCGAAAGTAAAATGCTACGGCCTGCGCACTAAGCGCTCGAACGCCGGCGGCGGAAGCTCCGGTGGCGGCATTTGTTCGTGGGTTTCGACGGCCACTTCCCTCGGAATCAGCGTCGGAGGATAGGTCGGTTTCGAAAGAGAGCTGAGAAGGGTCATCGGTAGGAAAGGACATAACTTTGCGCCCAAACGAAAGACGAGTGCTCCATCAGCAGTGAACGGCGGAGAAGCGGAAATCCATGGAACTGTGAAACGAGTTGGGCATTTGATACAAAAAAGAGTGCATAATACAGAAGAACACCGGTGAATATTAGATCATGAACACAGCTCTCCCGTGATGCCGTCAAAGATATCCCGCTGGCTTGTCGTCGGGAGAGATTTCTTCTCTGGTGCCTGCCGCCCGCCAAAGTCGGTTCTGCCGGAGAAGTCAAACAAGACAAACGACATGCTTATGTCATTAATCAATTTATTATATAATCTGACGTGTCGCGCTAGGCCGCATGCGGCTAGAGTCGAGCAACGCGTTGAGAGCTTTCCGTCCATCAGGGCGAGAGCGCATCGCCTGGGAGAGCTGCAATTTCTTCTCCAATCTTCATTCAGCATTGCACCTGGCATCCACCTCCGTTGAATCCACAATTGTTCTGTTTAGTTAGCATTAAATCATCGTTTTCTTTGTGGCCCGTCTCCATTTGCACTTTCCAATATCTTAATATCCCTCCCCCCGGGACTGCGCCCGGGCTCAACCCCCGATATGGGAAGCGATACCAAAATCGACAAGGCTGCATTTTCCAACCGCCTATCAACCCTCTATTCAGCATGGAGGGCAGACAAGCGATCCGCCAACCCACTGTTCGGCGGTGCCACTTCCATTGTCATTCTGACCGGCAAAACTGAGGATACAAATTCGTTCCAAAAGAGTAATGCGATGCATGTAAGTAGCACTGGAGTCACATTGATGAAAGCCCCGTCTGACGGTATTCAGTTTTGGCTTTTAGGTTATGAGTTCCCTTCGACGCTTTGTGTATTCACCACAGAGGCGATGTATGTTGTGACTACGGCTGCGAAAGGTGTGGAAGAGCCCTGATTGTGTTCGGCAAAATGAAGCGAATCTAACATCTCAAAGCAAAATTCCTGGAGCCTCTTAAGGGTGGAAAAATCCCTGTGGAGCTTTTGATATGCTCAAAGGATCCTGAGACGAAAATCAAGGCATTTGAAAAATGCCTAGATGTAATTAAAAGCTCCGGGGTAAGTCAATTATCTGACCCAGAACACTCTTTTGAAACCAAGTTGCTAATATCCGTGTAGGACAAAGTTGGCACTCTATCTAAAGACACATCGTCTGGTCCCTTTGCCGATGAATGGAAGCGCACGTTTTCCGAAACGCTTAAAACTATCGAGGAGGTGGATATCGCACCAGCGCTTTCGAGCGTCTGTTTCTCTATTAAATCGCAGGAAGAACTGGTGGGTGACGGTTTTGCTCTAATAGTATGTTGGAATTCAACTAAATCCTAAATTCTAGATCCTAATGCGGAACGCTTCACGCGCTTGCAGCGGACTTATGTCGAAGTATTTTGTGGAAGAGATGTCCCAGCTTTTAGATGAAGAGAAGAAAATGAGCCACCAAGCATTCGCTGCAAAGGTGGAGGCAAAAATTGACGACTCGAAATTCTTCACTAAGCTCGCAAAACTACCGGCCGGATTTGATCCTGACCAGATTGACTGGGCGTATGGACCGATCATTCAGAGCGGCGGAAAGTATGACCTGAAGTTTTCTGCCACAAGTGACTCCAATAACCTACAGGCTGGTATTATCATTGCTACCTTTGGCATTCGGTACCAGACATATGCTTCCGCAATCGGACGTACTTTTCTTGTCGATCCGACGAAGTCCCAAGAAAGCAGCTACGGTTTCTTACTCAGTGTCTATGACACCGTTATGAAAGATATTCGTGACGGAGCGATAGTGAAGGATATTTATAACAAAGCTCTTGGGATGGTCAGGGCAAAAAAACCTGATTTGGAAAAGCACTTTGTTAAAAACATTGGTGCCGGCATTGGTATCGAACTACGAGACGGTAACATGGTGCTAAATGGCAAGAATACCAAAACTTTGAGGAGCGGAATGACCCTGCGTGTTTCAATTGGTTTTACCGATGTTGCAGATCCCGGTGCAAAAGAACAAAAAGACCGGCTCTATTCCATGGTTATCACTGATACAGTACGTGTCGGTGAGAGCGGACCTCACATCTTCACAAAAGATGCCGGGATTGACTTAGACTCGGTGTCTTTTTACTTCGGCGATGAGGAAGAGGAGGAGGAAAGACCGAAGAAATCCAAAAATGAGCCTTACAAATCAAGCGCAATTGCAAGCAAAAACATAACCAAAACCAAACTGCGAGCAGAACGACCTACACAAGTCAGTGAAGGTGCAGAAGCAAGGAGACGGGAACATCAAAAGGAACTGGCTGCGAAAAAGACCAAAGAAGGCCTTGAACGGTTCGCAGGCACCACTGGTGACCAGAATGGAGTCACGCAGAAAAACTTCAAGCGCTTTGAATCCTACAAACGAGACAGTCAATTGCCTACTAGAGTAAAGGATTTGGCTATCTACGTTGACCCTAAAGCATCCTCAATTATTGTCCCTATCATGGGTCGGCCCGTCCCTTTTCACATAAATACTATTAAAAACGCCAGCAAAAGCGATGAAGGTGAATATGCCTATCTACGCATTAACTTCTTGTCTCCTGGCCAAGGAGTTGGCCGGAAGGATGACCAACCCTTCGAGGATCCATCAGCCCACTTTCTGAGAAACTTGACCTTGAGGTCCAAAGATAAGGATCGACTAGGCCGAGTTGCGCAAGATATCACTGAGCTTAGAAAAAATGCTTTACGAAGAGAGCAGGTGAAGAAGGAGATGGAGGATGTCGTTGAGCAAGATAAGCTCGTTGAAATCCGAAGTATGTCTAATGTATGTCTTTATGATGAGATTAGTATGCTAACATATTTTAGACCGCCGCCCCATCAAATTGCCAGATGTCTATCTTCGACCAGCTCTGGATGGCAAGAGGGTTCCAGGAGAGGTTGAGATACACCAAAACGGTCTCCGCTATCTCTCACCCTTGCGAAGCGAGCATGTCGATGTCCTCTTTAGCAATGTGAAACATTTGTTCTTCCAACCGTGTGCACACGAAATGATCGTGCTTATCCATGTTCATCTCAAGACCCCAATCATGATTGGCAAACGCAAGACCAGAGAGGTACAATTCTACCGTGAAGCCACGGAGATGCAATTCGACGAAACCGGCAACCGTCGAAGAAAGCATCGATATGGTGACGAAGAAGAATTTGAGGCTGAACAGGAAGAAAGAAGACGCAGGGCTGCCTTAGACCGAGAGTTCAAGGCTTTTGCTGAAAAAATTTCCGATGCTGGCAAAGACGAAGGTGTTGATGTCGATATTCCTTTCAGAGAAATCGGGTTCACCGGAGTACCCAATAGATCAAATGTTTTGATACAGCCAACAACTGATGCTGTTGTTCAGCTAACTGAACCTCCTTTCCTGGTTGTAACCCTGAACGAAATTGAGGTGGCACACTTGGAGCGCGTTCAGGTAAGTTATCCTCACTATAAGGACATAATTTTGCTTCACGCAGTTTCTAATTCCAATTACAGTTCGGCTTGAAAAATTTCGATCTTGTGTTTGTATTCAAGGACTTCCATCGACCTCCCGTTCATATCAATACCATCCCTGTTGAAAATCTTGAAGGTGTCAAGGATTGGCTTGACTCTGTCGACATTGCTTTCACTGAAGGACCTCTCAATCTTAACTGGAGCGCTATCATGAAAACCGTCACCAGTGATCCACATGGGTTCTTCCGTGACGGTGGCTGGTCCTTCTTGGCCACGGAGTCTGACTCTGAGGAGGAGGAGGAAGACGAGGAATCCGCTTTCGAGATGGACGAGTCAGAACTTGATGAATCCGAAGAAAGCTCTGAAGAGGAGAGTGAGTTTGATGATGACGCTAGTGCTTCGGCTAGCGAGGGTATCAGCGGAGAAGATGACGAAGAAGGCGAGGATTGGGATGAGTTAGAGACAAAGGCGAAGAAAAAAGACGCTGAAAGCAGATTGGACGATAGGGAATCCGGAAAGAAGCGAAAACGCTGAGTTTGCTACAGCCTCCTTCGCCTCTAGCATGTTCATTCGCTTCTAGTATTTTAACCTGTGCGCTGAGAGACTCGATTTTCTCTCTCCCCCCCCGGATACTTCTTTGTATTCATCCGTCCCCTTTCCCCGGTCTAATGTTCATATCAAATGTATTTTATCCTGGAATCTGCGTTATTTCCTTTTCGTCATCCTTCGGAATATTCCCCGTCAAGGGTGGCCTTATGCCTTCATTTCTCCTCCTTGCACTGCTTTTGTCATCGGTTTAGGAGGAAAGGAAACAGGGAAAAAAGAAAGGGAATTTGGACTATGTACGTACGGGATAGTTAGCTCATGCGCCGAAATCTCGATATCGAGGTTACATATCCCCGAGATCGAGCCCTTTTACCCCGTAGTACCATGCATCTTGAGATCATTTCTTTTTTCACGAGATCTTGTTTGTTGATGCTGGGTGCTGGCTGGGCGTGAATACGGGGAAGACCCGCCATCGGTCCCCCGAGAGCTCATCTTAATTCTCAAATCGTCTCGAGCTGATTATAGTTCATATCAGCTCGTCGCTTTTCCACGGGCTAATACAAACAACGAAGAGTACAAAAAGTACCCCAGCACAGCCGCCCGCTTTTCAACTCCTCAGCATTCCCCTTCCCTCCCTCGCCAGAAAGGCGCCACGGAGCATGGTAGAGTCCATGATAGAGCGACGGCAGGGACCTGTCAAAGATCCTAGTCATGCACGGCCTATACGAGCTTCCAAGGATCCTGTGAAACAACTATCACCCTTGCTGGTAGCATGCTGTACTTGACTTGATGCCATTTTCCCCGGACGAGGAGAAATTTAGGAAGGTCGAGCCTCCGTGAGGGAGATTCACCGAGATTAGTCGCCTCCTCTTCGCTGGGGCTCAGCTACCCATGGAAAGAGTGGACGATGACACGGTGGTGGAATCCGCTCAGAAACCCTCGAAGAGGTCTATTGCTCCGTTGTCATATTGAGAGTTTGGGACATAAGCCACCAGAATCGGAAACGCTGGGGGCCACCCACAAGGGACCCGGCTGAGGATTATCAAGATCTGGTCTGGAGGGGAGGGATACATTCAAGGCCAGGAGTTTCCATTGCTGTTCTTTTTCCCTGCTTTTCTTCCTTGGCTTTGGGAAAATTTCTACGCGGAGAAACAGGCAAGTCGCCCTTATCTATTGTGAGCAGAGATAGGCTTGCATTCATAGAAACCTTGGGCATATGTGTACTTGGGTGAACATACGAATTATGCTTGGAGATATTGCCGGTGGATTGCATGCCATGTGTTTGTTGATAGTTTACTCCGCAGTTATGATTAGGAACATTTTTGACTGCACCAGGGACGTTTTCTGAACAATGCGTTTTAAGTCATTTCTCCCGAGAAACGGGACCGAGAAAGCCCGGGTGATCTCCAGGTACTAGTAAGTTAAGGCACACTAGTTTCCCATGCTCCTTTTTATTGTAGGGTGGTTATTTCGGGAGTCGTACTCCGTATTGGCTTTTGAGAAATTCAAGGCGCCGAAAGTGGAAACTAAGGTAATAATAGCCCTATTAGAGGGGCTCAAATAGAAATGTAGCGGAAGACATGCAAAGCCAAATGAAGCCAAACCCTCCAAGGATAAAAAGACATAGAAGCAAACGAAGGCTAATTGCCCATGAGACCAATATCTTCTGTAAACGCCGACTCAACCCACCCTAGAACCTGCCTTGAGTACCCAAACGTATATAACCATGAAGGGGAAATCAAACAAAAGTGTACAAGCAGCTCTTCAAAATCAAAGCGGAAAGGTAGCTGTAATAACCATTTAACGTTCATCATCATTTAGCCACCAAAACCAGCATCGCGCCCGGTAGTCATGGCCGTAGGCGACTGCTCGTTATTCCAGGTGAGGTACCTATGATCACCAAGTTTTCTAAAGTAATGAGATTAGTATGATATGCATTTGAGAATATGCAATTCAAGGGAGAAGCTGAGTGTACCTTGGCTTAATCAAGTGGGCCAAAGTGAAAAGTGCGCCTAGAACGATGCACAAACCGCCCACGACGACATATGCGATTCCCATAAACGGGTTTTTTCCACCCATCACAGTGGTGGTAGTAAGGACAATCGATTTCTTTCCGTCATATTTCAGGACAGGAAAATCTGTGTTGAAAATTAATACATGTCCTCACAAGCCGTAAAACAGGCGACAAAAATTAGCTTCGGCTCAAAAACGTACAATAATTGATGTCAATTCGATAAAGACCAGCAGTCATGGTCTTGTTATCAGCTCGCCTTGCAAGCTTACTAAAAGTCGGCAGGCCTGCCGTTCTCATCCATACTTGAAATTCCTCCCACTCCCGGAGATTGGGTGGGGGGTAGTCTTCCGTATAATCATCGGGATACATTTCTTTCCAGTTCGGAGGTGGAACGACCTGGTCGTAGCTGTATTCTGTAGGCCCATACAACTCCCGGTCTGAAGCCCAGGATATTCCTTGGTTGGTCATCTCAAATGTCTCGTTGGGGCTAGTTCCAACCTTGACCGGGCTGGAAAAAGTGTCGTTAAAAAGCGAATTCGCGATCAGACCGCAGGGATAGTATGCTTTCCCGTCCGGATTCAATCGAAGCGGGTCACATGCACTGCTGCCGATAGTGCCGTTCGAGAGAGCCTTCCCTTTAAGTTGTTCCAAGTCAAGTGACTTCACGTAACGGCGATGGTTTTGATAGAATTTATCCAAGCGATAGTAGAAATACACAGGAGGGCCGATATCATTGGGAATCTCGAATATCAAAGAGCAAACAGTGGTATCGTTTTTGACCACGCCGGAGTGAAGCTGTACTGCCTGGTTCTCCGTTCGATACCATTGAAGTTGGGATATTGGCTTCTGAGATCTAAACGAAGCTCGAACGTTCTCTTCCGGGATCGAACGGGCATTGCCGCTTCCCAGTGGAGCGTCGGTTTCACACTTTGAATAATCGATTACAATTTCCTCAACCTGTTCAAGCCATTGGGAGTAAGTGATATTAAATTAACCTTTTGCATTCTCGCCGAGATATTAACAGGCGAGCCCATACCTGTGAACTAGCCCATATCAAGAGCCCTCCAATAGGCGCAAATATGATTCCCACGGCAAAGAATAGCGGAAGGACAGTTTTCGGTGTAAGAATCGGTCTAGGTGAAGGGTGCGAATGGTCAGAAACAGCTTTTCTCCCGCAGGCGTACAATGGCAATCGATAGCATTTAACTGCGGTGTCACTCACTGCCATGCCTTCAATCTTTGTTGTCGAAACGCAGTATCTATATTACCAAAGAACCAAGTCAGCCATAGAGTCTTCTAAAAACCAAAACATGAACGCCTTCCCGTCGATCGACGGATGGATCGGAGTTCGAAGCAAATAGCGAGAAGAGTCAAAGGTGTAACTGGGGGAAAGGCACGCACTTGCAGGTCTCCTGCTCTTGGGTTTCTTGTCCTCCCTGGAGTTGTGAGGATCCTGCTCCTCGACGGAGTCGGCGCGAGTCACGGTTTGCGACATTCCGCCGCCCCTTTCGACCAGTTCAAATCAGTTATCGACGATGAATCGAAACGAGGGCGTGGAAACGAGAGAAGCGACGAACTAGCAAGTCAGCCCGCAGGCTCTCTCTGCAGCAATATATGGAACGGGGTAAACGTCGATTCGGCGGATGGCTTGGTCTATTCAACGTTAAAATCGAGCTGAACTTTCCAGCGCCGTCCGTCTGCCTCTTCAGCTTACGTAGTTCGATACCGCCCGCACCAGGCAAACCAAACGTGGCTTAGCTGTTAGGTAATCCAACTAGCACCTCGCTCACGTGACCCACATAGATTAGCCAGATTCCCCTTTAGGTAGCTTAGCGAATGACAAGCATACAAGTCCTCCATCAGGTTATAGCCCTTTGCGCTGAAGAGCAAGTGTATAAGGTTGATTTACAGCTCAATTGGTTATTGTGAGGATCGTACGTGTGGATCAGCGTGACAATGAATCTCTAGGAGGAATATACATGGAAAAGAGTACGCGAGGTAAAAGGTCTGTATTCTGGCAACTATGTACGACTTGTAAACAAGATTGCCACTGGCTCCCAGCAAGGGGTTCGCACAGTGACGGCCTTTTATGTGTGCTCGCGAGCACGTGACTTAGTGCCTCGCGAGGACACATGCAACTCCCAGCAGCTCGCGAGCTGAGGCCTCTGGCCTTCACGGGTGCTGTTCGTCCGTGTAAGGGGTTCGCGGCGAATCCTTACAGTTATTGAAGCTTACAATCAACACCCTGAACAGTTATCCTTGTGGATAACAAGGTTTTACAAGCACTAAAGAGAGCATACATCAAGATAGACACCTCCTATACATGCAAACCCCTGTAGCTTTCTAGCACCAAGCTGGAGAGCAAGTTGAACCCTGTAGCTTTCTGGCACACAACCAGAGAGTGAGCAAAACACCTGCTAAACACATCTAGCAAGCAAATCAAGCACCTGGCAACACCAAAGCCATGGTGAACTGTACAGATGAACCAGAGCACCAAACTCCCAACCAGAAAGCTCCAATAAACCTCTCTACATCTTAAATCAAGCTTAGGCAGTCAAGTAGGCTCAGAGGCAGCCCACCAAACAACAAGCAGGAGTCTAGAGAGAAGAGTGAACTCCAAATGTTGCACAGAATGATACTGAATCAACAGAAGATGATGTAAAGATAACAGAAGTTAATGCAAAGGCAACAGAAGACAGTACAACAGCTGGCATAGCAAGTGAATCTTCTATCAGGCCAAGCAAGCACCACAAATGTACCTGCAACAATGCAGGAGAATCTAGAGCACAAAGCTCAACAAGAAGAAGAAGAGGACCAAGAAATAGATTCTAATAAGAAACTAGAAGAATATGTCAGCAATCTTATAGACATAAATACACAAATCAGCAGAGCAATCACCCAATTCACAAAGATCACAAAGACAGTGAAGAAGTCTATAACCCTGGCTGGAGCCAGCAACTACCTAGCATGGAGTAAAGCCATTCTAAAGATAGCTCACCAAGTAGATGTTGAGAGAATTATCCTGAAAAGGCAAGAGACTTCACTACAGCCAGAGCACTTGAAGATTTCACAATACTGGAACATTCAGAACAATTGGCTACACAGCCTAATCAACAGCACAATATCTGCACAAGCCAGAGAACACTTTGAGAAATCAGATAGTCTTAGTGCTTATAAACTCTGGAAAGCTGTAAGAACAGCCTTCCAAGAGAGACCTGAGATACAGCAGAAAAGCCTACTTACAGAGTTAGTGAGAATGACACTACAGTCCACTGGCTCAGAAAGAAATTATATAGAGAGATTTCTAGCAATCTGTAAGAAATTTGAGAGATTAGGGTTCAAACAACTGGACCACACTCTACATGATATCTTGAAGATGAACATTATATCCCAATAAAGAGAGTTCATACAGAATCAATTTGATATGGCATGCCAGAGCAGAACAAATCTACCAGAGAAGAATTTAGAAGGCCTACTGAAGAATATTCTTCACCAAATTCTCAAGAAAGATCTGAAGAAAGGTGGATCTACAAAGCCAAATACAAATGCAACAAGCTTGGATCCCCAAAAATCTTATAAGAATACAAACTCCAAATCCAATCCAGAGAAGAGCTTACTGCAGAACTGGAACTGCTATATTTGTGGCAAATCTGGCCATTTGACTAAATTTTGCAAATCTAACAAGAATTTAAAGCCTAACAAGCCTAAAGAAGACTCTAAAGGCAAAGACAAGAAAACAGCTACAGTTACAACAGACAAGATCCATTCAGTTCATAAAGCAGCCTTCTCTATAAAAGAAGCATGTGAATCTACAGACAAATGAATTCTTGACTCTGGAGCTGGATCCCACACAATCTCACATACAGATCTAGTTCAAATGGATCCAAAGAGCCATGCAACACAACTGCTTATGGCAAACAGTTTGAAATCAGTTACCAGAGGATTTGGCACAGCCAGTATTCAAACTGACAATGGAGAATTGAGCATTGGGAGGGTTAGAATTGTGCCTGACCTCCAGATTAACCTCATAAGCTTTAGGAAGCTTATATGAGACAGCTTTACAGTGGAACAGCTTTATGTCAACAGAGAACACATCTTCCTACTAGAATCAGCAGATAAAATACAGAGCTTTGAAGTCATGCTTAACAAGAATGACATTCTAGTCCTACAAATGCCTAGAATACACAATTTACTGGTATACATGTTTCCAGTACCTACAAAACTTCTAGAGCCCTGCTATGTAACAGCAACTCTAGAGAATAAAGATAGAGATGACATACTTTTGGCACCAAATCACCTGGCAAAGACACCAGAAATCAAGAAGAATACAATGGCCAATTAGCACAAACACTAAGAGCATCTCAACACCCACAATATAGCTATTCTAGCTAGAGATCTGAGAATGGCAATGCAAATAAAGAGAGTAAAGAAGCTAGAGTTCTGTAAAATCTGTACTAAAGCTAAGCAAGCTTGCAACCCATTCAAATCTAGAACACACTCTACAAAGCCTGGAGCTAAAATTTTTATTGATATTGCAGGTGGCAGCCATATTCTATCTACAGACTCCAATTCTCCAAGCTACAGCAGAGCAAAGTATTTCCTACTTATAACAGACAATGCCACACAATACAGGTGAATCTATCTCCTGAAGAAGCAGATAGAAGCTCCAGAAACTCTAAAGAACTGGATCAACATGATTAAAGTGTCTACCAAACAAAAAATCAGCACTATACTGTTCAATGGAGCTCCTGAATTGACAAGCCAACAACTGGCTGAATTCTACAGGAGCAAGAGTATACAACAGAAGATTACATGCTTATATACATCTCAATAAGATGGAACAAGTGAACAAGAAATACAACTTCTTTGCAAGCAAACAAGAAGCATACTTATAGACTCAGAACTACTCAATAAGTTATGGGGTGAAGCTCTTGTCACAGTCTCCATAATGGTGAATCTATCACCTACCTCAGTGCCTCTATACAGATGCAAGAACATGAAGCTGTTGACACTCTTTGAAGCCTGAATGGGTCACCAACCCCATTGCAGATGGGTCCATAGATGGGGATGTGACACCTATATGAAGATTTTGAATGAATTCTTGAAGCTCCAATCTAGATTCAAGAAGATCAAATTTGTAGAATATCATGGCATACACACCTACAGGCTTTGGGACCCAGAAACAAACAGTATAATGATCTCATGAGATGTTATATTTAACAAGAAATTGGATCAAATCCCTACAAATTCACTAATTAAAGCTGAATATGTTGAACTCCCAGAGAAGTACAATTACATAGATCCATTGAACAGCTGGCAACACAAGTTACTAGCTTACCTTGCAAAGAAGAAGCCAGAAATCATGAAGAAGCTTACAGACAGCAAATTAGAGACTTTAGAGCCCATATACCTGGGCAAAGAGCAAGAAATTCTCTTGAATACAACAGAAGAAGAAGAGATGAATGGAGCTGAGCTTCCAGTACTCAGCATGTGTACAGACATATCAAAATCCATCATCAAAGTCAAACACTCTGAAGAGTAGCTTTATTAAAAGAAGACTCTAGATGTTAAAGTCTCCAAACTACAAGAGAAAGACATCTGAATTCTAGTCAAGAAGAAATCTGAAATGCAGATCCTCTCTGGCAAATGGGTATTCAATAGAAAGCTCAATAACACAGATGGTACAGTACAATTCAAAGCCTGTTAAGTTGTATACAGATTCAAACAGCAAGAAGGTGTTCATTACAAGAAGATCTATACAGCAGTTGTCAGTGGACCTACAACAAGAGCCTTCTTTACTATCTTAACAGCCAAGAACTGAAAGGTCAGAGTCTTTGACTTTGTGACAGTCTTTCTAAATGAAACTCTTCCAGAGGACAAACATGTATACATTCAACTACCCACTGGATTCAAGCACAGGCAGGGTAACCTAGTAGAGCTCTTATGCCAGAGACTCTACAGATTGAAGCAAGCTACTAGACTTTGGTATCAAGCAGCTACTGACTATCTGAAATCTCTAGAATTTCAGATCTCTCCATACAACACAGGCCTACTCTACCACAAGAGGAAGCAAATCTACCTAACCCTACACATTGACAACTGTCATATAATGGGACCCAATGAAGCTGAAACAGAACAGCTCATTGAGAAGCTTCAGAAACACTTCAAAATCAAGAAGATTACAGAACAGAACCATTATCTAGACATGTGGGTTCAAAAGCAGCCAAATGAAGACCTTTTTGTGAACCAGGAACAGTATATCAAGAATCTACTGACTAAATATGAAATAGAAGACTGCAAACCTTCCAAAACACCAATAAAGAAAGAAATAAGCATCAAATTCACACCAGATCAGACTCTCAAAAATGAAGTTGACAAGCAGGCTACACCTACAAATTACAGAAAAGGCCTGGACTCTCTACAGTTTCTAGTTACATGTACAAGGCTGGATATTGCATTCACAGTCAATTATCTGGTGAGATTCAACAGCAGGCCCAATAGGGAGAGCTGGGCAGCATTCAAGCAGATTCTACACTATCTCAAGGGCACAAAATCAAAAGAAATAGTCTTCAAAAGAGATATGGATTCTGAAGGCTTGAAACCAGCAGCCAGTTCAGATTCTGACTGGGCTGGAGCTGACCCTGCATACAAATCCACCAGCAGCTATATTATTATCATGAATGGAGCTCCAATATTGTGGAGATCACAGCACCAGACATCTGTCTTGAAATCTACAACTGAAGCAGAGTATTTGGCAGCTAGCAAAGCCACTTGTGAACTGGTTTGGATCAACAACCTGTTGATAGATGCTGGGGTAATTAGTGAAGGCTCAGCAAGGCTAAGAAGCTCAAAATTAAGTGTTGACAACAAGAGAGCCATTGACTTAGCCAAAGCTGAAGCTATAACATGAAGAGCACACTATATTGAGATTTGGCATTATATGCTAAGAGACTGGGTGCAAAAGAACAAAATCTCAATCAAGCATATTGAAAGTGATGCAAATAAAGCTGACAGACTCACAAAGGCTCTCACAATGGATCCCTACACTCAATTTGTGAGCACAATAGGGGTGATGGGTTAATACAGGAAAATATGGAGATTTATTAGTGAAGCTGGTGAAAATACCATATTGTGGTGAATAGAGCTAAGCCTAAAGAAGGAATAAATCTGGATTTTGTAATTAATTTTTATTGTGGATTTGAGAGATTAGGAAGCTTTGGATCTTTGTGGCTCTCACTCACTGCTGGAGCTTGTTGCATGGGGGGGTGTTAGGTAATCCAACTAGCACCTCGCTCACGTGACCCACATAGATTAGCCAGATTCCCTTTTAGGTAGCTTAGCGAATGACAAGCATACAAGTCCTCCATCATTAGCACCCATAACCACCGGCAGAATGTTATTCCGTACGTGCTTATATAATCAAACTTAGTCGTGGAGCATCACGTGCATTCTGTATAGATGCCAAGAACATTCCGCGCCTGATTGGTTCGGTTAGCGTGGCGTTTGGCGGAAAGCAAGTTTGGCGGCGTTGCGACTGTCTCCGAGGAGGACTGGACGACCGCCGACTCGACATTGAAGTCAAGCTGGGATGGAACAACACGAGATGTGATCATTTTGATATGTCTCATGCATTCTCAGTCTTGTCCTTTTCGTTCTATCCTACGCTTCTCCCGTGTTGTGTTTTACAGTCCCGCGCACGGCACAGCAGCCTACCTAAGATGCCTGCTTGATCTCTTAGCCTGCAACCCTTCACCCCAATTAAAAGATGCAGAATTTACCGTCTGCATTACTCCCTCCTAAACTTTAGTACAAGTTACCTTCTGCAACCTTGGGGTTCCATTCCGTCTGCAAATGGCCCGGAATGCTTGTTTAAACTATTTTGAATGCGTTCGTGGGAATCAACGCTCTGGGCGGATAACCCCGAGTATTGGGGCCTTGTCCCCGAAACTCCTTCTGGCCATGAAACCCCGACGTTCTGTACGTTGAGATACGCTAAACCGCATGTTTTCAAGGGATAGGGGACCTCCTGCGATGCCCTTATTCTTTTTTTAGTTTATTTGTTTATTTTTGATTTACCCTATTAGCTAGGAGTTTGGGTGTGGGTGCACATCCCTGAGCAGCGTGGTGCTCATCCCAATCCCAATCTCCCCGTTATATCCTCCAGACTTGTTCGGCTCGACTTGTCAGCGTATCGCGGGGAGTATCCCGGCGAGACTTACCGCACATGACAGATTCCCCGCAGGGTCTAGGATCATGCGCGAAGAACCCATCCCAGCTGATATCTTCGTCGACGGATGTGGTTATAGCAAACCGGCAGGATATACTCGCCCAACACAGGCAAAGGGGTGGGTGGGAGGCCCTAAGTCAGAACCAAGAGAAATCAATGTGAGATAACTCGAAACGGCCTGGCCTGTTCAATTACCCAAGCTGGCCAAGAGGAAAGGCGCAATCAATGAGACCATTAGTCAGATGCTCGTGGGCGAATCAAACTCTGTCTCGCCCAAACCTTGTTCGTAATAAGAGTGATGTCGGATGCGCTGTCGATCGTCACCTACACTTTACTTTCAGGCGGGACGGTTTGGAAGCGAGGGATCAAGGCTCTCCATTGGTGGAGAACTAATTCTCTTGCCACTATCAATGAGGAATTGGAGGGCCCAAATTGACGGGAAACATTGGACGGTCTGTGCCCATTCGCTCCTCATGGAGTTCGCAACCCATCCCAGTTCCCCACGACAGATTTAAAGCTTAAACGCATTCCATGCAGAAGAGCGACCATGGCATGATCAGCGCTTTCCCTGTCGATCACCGGTGAGCTTGACCTGCCGGGCCACTCCCCATCCAAGTGACGAAGTGGCGTGTGTCACAGTATATGCGGAAATGGAAGACGACTCATGGGAATACCTAGGTGGCAACTCCTCCGAGGAAGTAATCGCTGTTCCCTGCAGAGCGGCCAGCCTTGCGTAAAGATCCGGAGAACCTACGTCCAAACTTACGGTCTCAACACCTGCCATTTCAATCTCGCTGCTTTTATGTCGACCGTCCAACAGCCTCAAGATTCCAACGTTACCCCCGGGTTGAGCATATTAGGACCCTGATCCCGGTAGTTCTAGAAAGTTGAACCCAAACAGCTGCCTAATCGACCAATTAATAAGGGTTCAGGATTATGTCAGATAAATACTGTCTTTGAATTGCCTGCTCAACCCTTGCCACCTTCAACCGATGAAGAGCACCCAGTGAAGTCGACCGCCCAGCCACGGGCATCCGGGGTATATCTTCTCAGGACGGTATATGCGGCTTGACCTCACGGGTTAAATGAATAGTGTCGTATTCCAAGCAAGCCCTCATGAAATCCCTTTCCAATAGCAGCTGGGTTATGGTTTACAGGGTGGCATTCACCCGATCTTCTCACGAGCCCCGACGAAGCCTTTTCGTCGTAGTTCCAATTGCATGTGCAGCCTAGCCGGTTGGAGTTATCCGATATCTCCAAGCAAATAATGGTGTGCGCTGCCAACGAACAGATATGGAGCAGCCATCGCAATACCGCCCCGACCCTGGTAGTCCGTCGATACCCTTGTGTCTGGGGTGATGGTTGCATGGAATACAGTTTGTTTTCTGGGGGAATCCTAAATATTTCCTATATCCTCCTTTCCTTGACAACATATATAAATCGTGAAGGATTTCCCTGCTTGAGTCTCGATCCTTTCCACCACAGTCACCTGTGAAATCATTCTTAGGGCATCAAATTATTTCATTTCACCACGATATATCGCTCTTGTTCGGCTCCTCCGACTCCCATCGCTGTCCAATGAAGCCCACTCTTCTTCTCCTCGGCCTTGCTGCCGAAGCCCTCGCAGTTGTTCTTCCAGAAGGTGGCGACCATGAAGTCACTCGAACTTTTGAACTCCCACCTTTCACTGATGGGCATCCATGGCCAACCAAACGACCAACCAACACACACTCGCATCCTCACCCAACTCGGACCAATAGGCCTACTCGCACACGCACTGGTAGGCCATGGCCCACACGCGGTGTAGACGAACGTGATGTCGTTGAGGATATCGTTGAACGTGACGATCTCTCCGGAGACGCGCCCGATCCCGACAAGGTGCACATTGTCAGCGTTAACTATGGCGGTACCGGATGTCCACAAGGAAGTGCTCGCACCGTCATCTCGGATGATCGTGAAACCATCACCGTCATTTTCGACAAATACGTCGCTGCCATCGGCCCCAATGTTTCACTCGATGAAAGCCGCAAGAACTGCCAGCTCAACCTTAAACTCCAGTACCCTGGTGGCTACCAGTACTCCGTGCTAGGCGTTGACTACCGCGGATATGCCCGTTTGGATCGTGGTATTGACGGTCTCCAGAAGAGCAACTATTACTACTCTGGCGAGACCAACGATGTATGCAATTTCTTTTCTCCGTCGTTGACCACTTTACACCCTCTTTAGGAAAGGCTAACAGCACCCCAGTTCGCTTTAAGCACCCATTTCACCGGCCCAACTGAGGGTGACTACGTCCTTCATGATGACAGCGACCAAGGCTCTCGCAACTGGTCTCCTTGTGGCAGTACCCGAGCTCTTAACATCAACTCCCAGGTCCGCCTCACCAGCCGCGACAAGAACGCATCGGGTGTTCTCACCAATGACTCGATCGATGCCGATTTCCGACAGATCTTCCACATCAAATGGCGAAAGTGCTAGATGGGGCGATCGAAATCATCTCCTGAAGATTATAGTTCTCCCGCACATCAATCCCTCGGTATATTCGTGGCCGTTTAATGGAAAACCCCGCGAGCAGGCCTATTGCTGGAGCTCTGCACTCCTCCTGTGAAATCAGGTGTCGGGAGCTCTTTCATCAGGAACGACCCTTAGTTAAAGATTACCTGTCATTCCTGGATGCACATAGTTGATTGATATTAACCAGTCTACTCTCCCTCTTCCTCTACTTTGGAAGACAGGAGAGGGAGGAGGCCAGCAGATGCTTAACACTTGTTCACTCCTGCTTTCTCCGCTTTTGTTGTATATATTTCCTCCCCCCCCCCAATGATATAAATTTTTACGAAATAAGGTCGATACTCTTCTCTACGAGTTAATGCTGTCGATAAAATAAAGCTTGTCGATCACCCGCTGGCCTGGGAGGGATGTACGCAGATCTTCGACAGCAATGAGGTTGGGCCTTGTAAAGGATCATCTGCCCCTTTCCAATCGACGAAAGGCAGGGTATCTTGAGCCCTGCTGTACGCATCGGGCGTCTATACCATATTCTACCATGATTTGCGAAGATCGAACGATTTTGGTTGCACGGGAGGCTGATAGGCCTACTCTGTACTCCGTACATTTCCGAGTCACGTACATCGTACCCCGCCAGAAAATACATTTGTATATTTATCGGCCCTCCATTTTGATATATGCAAAAACCGTTCGATACGCTTGCACGGCTTGTGTCACTGGACGCCTAGTTTTGTGGAGAGTTATTTATTGCCATCACTTTTTCTTTTCTCTCTCTGCTTCGTCGATTTGGTACGATGAAACTCTACTGGCTTAACAGCGGAAAAGTCAATGAGTCGGTCTCCACGCGGCGAACTAGTAAAAAGAGGTCCGAGAAGTCAATTATTCATATTTATATCCATGGCAGATTTATTTAGTCCTTACTTTCAATTCAGGGGAACAAAGGAAGTTCTTGATCCAGTCTTTCTCGCCACGATGACGGCGATGGAGGGTCCGAATTGTCGAATCAGCGTGCTCCAATTGAGTGAGGGGCAGAAACAGGAAAACTTGAATGCAGCGAGGCCGCAGGGTGGACCGGTATCCTGATTTCCCGCAGCCCCTGAGTCGGTCGCGAAAGGTCTGGTTTATGGGACGAGTTAGAGGCGCGGCGTGGCGGAGAGACGTGGGGATATCTAATCAATCGGCCACGATCAATCTGAGGTAGCGGGATGTACCTGCGAAGTACCTTGGTCTCGGTTAACACTGTGATGGACTCTTTATCGAGCATCAATCCCCCAATTCATCCACAAAACAAAGCAGTGAGTTGCGTTGGAGACTGAAGGCAGCCGGCAAAGCAACGTTATAAATTTTGCAAGTGACATTCCTAGTTTCTGCCCACAACATCCCCCCTCCGCATCCCAATGTGTCGGCTTGCACTCCTGCTGAGCATTGCTCGGAAGCAGCATGGTACATCATTAAGTCAGAAAGAGGCTTGCAGAGGATCATAGCACAGACCAACTCACTAGCTTCATTGTTTAAAATCGGGGAGCATCTTTGCTAAACATTTACTTGCATAGCTAGGGCAAAATAATGCTCCATGGACACTTCTGTTGCAACTCCATCACCGACTTTCCCAGTTGCCGGCTGATAATTATCTTCATAACAGGGCACTTGAGTTCTGGCCATCACAGGCTATGCAATCCAAGTGAAGTTAGAGTGCTAGAGTTGCTCTACAAACGATGGTGAAAACTAGGGGAACGTCCACAGATCGTTCCTTCTGCACATATGTTGGTGATGCTTCACAATATCTTCGCACGTTGACGCAGCAGGAGTTCTGTGGCTCCCAGAAGCAGCCATTTTCCCATTTGCAATGCGAAAAGAGTGGTCATAAGGCATAAAAGAGTAACTATATATTATTTTAATCTGTTCCAGTTACCAGTTTGAAACATATCTCTTTCTTTCTTTCTTGCTTTCTTTCTGTATTCTCTCCCCCTTGTCTTGAAAGAAAGTATCATTCGATAATATCAGCATGGAGGCTTCGATGCCGAGGTGGTGTTTATCTACCTAGGAAAGCTATATAAGGATGCCCATTCCCATAGTGCTAACTTCAAATCCATCATAAGAGACGTGCTCACGAGGCTCAAGACTAGGAGTCGTGTCATGGATGTTGGGTGCGGTACAGGGAGACCTGTGGTAGAGATGCTTGCTGCGCCTAGGCATTCTGTTTACGAAATTGATATCGCAGAGAAGATGGTGAAGATAGCGTGCTTCCAGGTACCAGGACCTTTGAAAGACAAGACAAGAAATACAACCCACCACACAGGTTCAATGCGATCCTAATGATCCGTTTTCTCTCTAACCAGATCCCCCAGGGAAACGCATCCCGTGGTGGATCAGTCGTCTAAACGGTTGCAGGACAATGGCATCCTAGTTCTTGGTACAACCCCCAGGACAACTTGGATAGAGATCAAGTGAGACTACTCGATGAGAAGACCTGGGGTTGTGACACATGAGACAATAAGGCGTGAATGGCCAAGCTTGCAAACGAGACGTTCCTATCCAAGCAAGGGTGAAAGGTCCTTTCCTCCGCGCTGGGCAAATGACTGAGGCGGAAAATCTCTTCACATTTGTTCCCGACGACCATGATTACAAGAGGCCGGAGGATCATTATCTGGCTATAGTGAGGAAAAAGGTGAATTGCTGCCCACTTCTTGGGTCATATCCACTTTCAACATCATACACATCAAATATACGCGGCATAACTCTTCTTAGAGAAAATTTGGGAGAAGACTGGTCTTTGAGGAGGGAAATGGAATTACAAACACCTTGCGGGACAGTCTCAAATCCTTGATATAGATGGTAGACTGAGAAATGTGCGTAAATCGTAATACATCTTCTTGCCTGGACAATCGCTCTGGATATCACTGATGCGCAACGTCCATTTATGTTCCCAAAAGATTCTGTCGATATCAAAGCAAAGACTGTAGAGGCCGCCCTTCAACCTTTGGGAGGCCTACCATTTAGTGCTAGCAGTTTCGATACTGGCTCTGCAATGTTGACCCTTGATGGTGTCAAGGAACCCAAAACTTTTCTGTGAGAAGTTGCGCGGTTTGTGGTTATATCTAGCCCAATTTCTTGCATTTTCATTATTAAATCGGCCCTGAAAAGCGAGATTAAATGCTGGTGGGCTCCATGTGCGCACCGAGAAGTGTCCATACCAAAGGACACCATGAATGATATCTCCTTCATAGAGCGGCTAGCGTTTTTCTCCAACTGGGATTTGGCCACATATCCATGCAATGAATCATTACTCATCTGCAGTTCAGCGGTGACGCGCACCCACAGGAGTGTGCTCAAGCAGCAGAAGTGTTAGCGGGCGTCTAGTAGCAGAATGATCCCAATTGTTCGCAGATGAAGGAAATGTTGATCCCCCAGCCGGAATTGCTCTTCCAAGACCATCCCAATGATATCCAGAGTAAACTTGTGATGTTAGTTGCAAGACCTTTCGAACTAGCATATTCATTTGACCGTGGAATGCGCTATCTCTTGGGTTGTGTCCAGTTGGCTTCTCTGTCTCCATTGATATGTTCCCATCCCCATATTGCCACCAGAATTTTTTTCAAAGTTGCAGTTGAGCTTCGGGCATCAATCAGGTCCGAAGCCGTTTATGAATTTAAAGCACTGTTACTTATCCAAGCGAGTTAAAACAAAAGGTCACCTTTCATAGTTGATTCGATCGGATAACTATCGGCGCTTCAGAGTCTAGCGTTAACTCGTAGCTAATCTCAAGCCTGTGACTCAGGGCCAGCTCCACATCCTCCACCAACTGTCAGCAGGGCATTTCAATATCCGTTTGTCGAATTGGTTGGTCGGTGCCTATAAGCTTGTCGGGATTCGGATGCAATTTCTATCCATACATTTCTTACGGAGTACACCCAAAGATTAGTACAATTCATATCATAATAATCATTGTGATGATACATCGTCATAAGCTGCTGTTTCCTGATGGCAGCTCTCTTGCTCCGCCCCAACCTCGTCATCAGGACCCAAATATATGAGCCCTTGAATAACAATCAAACCTCATTTCTGCATTGGCAGCGACCAGAACCCTTTCACACAGAATTGGTCCAATCTAATCGATAACATATTCCGTAGAGTGTAGGAAGAGGGAAGAACTCAAAGCCTAGCTTTTCCTGACTGGTAAGCCCGAATACTCCCTCATAGCCTTGGCTGATACATTAATGGGGGTCATATAAGTATTGTGGCTACCAAGGAGCAGGTAGGCATCTCTAAGATTTATTTATGATATAAATAGCCACTTAATATAATCTCTTTTGGCGGCTTCCTTGTACCCTTCAGCGGGGGCACAAGTGACAAAGAAGTGACAGCGATGAGAGTGAGGAAATGCATGGTTAGAGAAAAATAAGGAGTCTCAAGCAGTATATATAGGCCGTCATTTAGCTTTGATTCTTGTTTGAGATAAATAGCTGTGCAGAGCCAATATTTCTTGCTTTTGCAGATGGCGCTATCATTTTATAAGGGGGAGGAATTGCTTGACTACATTTCTAGCAACACACATCCTAGCAAGATGTCTAATTGTTGCATTAAAAAAACAATATATATGGGTATCAGAGAATAGAATATCTATAACATTATTAGCACTCTCCTTTTTTGAGTGATAGGAGTCCCGCTGGGACGACAATAGACATGAACGCCCCCTCTCTACCGCTGGCAGTGTGGTGAACCGGTTGTCATAATAACCTGGTAGTAGGCACCAAGAAGATCTCACTGCATTGAAACCCTCTTTGCCACAGTGCAATTTGGCAATGAAATCAACACTGCAAAAGTGGATATCTGGAGAGGTGTTCATATGATAAATATTCGGGTCTTAAATCCCAGGCAATGTTAACGAAGGATGCTAAATGACGCAAACGGAAATAAGACCGAGAAATTGACTTAACCTCGACGAAAATAAGCCAAGTACTCTCTCTATATGGAGTACACACATATGTGCTCTGCCTGTGAGGCTGAGAGAAGGGGACAGACTGCTTCGCCTTTCGGCCACCCTCCACGAGACTTGTCACACGATTGATCTCGTCGGTTAAATTTAGCAGAGTTTTGCCGTCAAACCCAAACCTCCAAAGTCAAAAGAGGGCGACAAAGGGGTAACAAGCAAGCCACGCTGCAAATAACCAAATACTCCGAAAGTCCGTCCGTTCCTGAGGCTTTTTGGAACTTCCCCGCAAACGGATCGGAGGGCTTCCAAATACGGAGTACGGACATACTTAACTACTACGTCCTACATCCCATGCTTGTGGGTGTGTTGGTGTGGTGTGTATGCATGCTGCCGCCTGCATCCGCACGGGGCATAGCCAAAAAAGCTGTCCCGATGACCAGTGTTTTTCGCTCAAGGCTGAACTAAGCTAACCAGCTGAATGGATAGCCAATTTGCAAGAATTTAACTGGACTTTTCTCCGCACTCTGATGCCCTCAAGGCTGAGAGTTTCATTGAGCCGCAGACGGGAAGACGAATTGTCGACGGACTGGGCGCAAAAAGAGGCAACGCAAAAATCCAATCAGGCTGCATTGGTTATCTCCAATTGCCGCTCCGTACGGAGAACTTACGGGAGTTTATTCCACCACAACCGGAGAGGACGCAGGATGCAGTGCATTGCTTTCGTCATGAGACACACTTTGTACACCCATACAGACATGGATGAATACGGAGAGAAGTGCTTCTAGTTTATTGATATCGGGTTTCAATTGATAGTATTCGTCAATAATAATGGTAATTTAGCAATCTCATATCGGTCCAATTGTGAGACAATTTGAATCTTGGACTGTAAATAGGGTTAAGAAAAAGTTATCGGTGTATGGGGTATCGTTATCACGCAGAGGGGGGCAAAAGCAACTTAAAAAAAAAAAAAAAAAAATTCCAGAAGGCAAACAAAATCAGCAACCCAATAAATAAGCGACGGTGTATGTGGGATATAACCGGTAAATACGCGGCCTGTGTATGAAAGCAAACGAATGCAGAGGTCAAGTGAAAATTCAATGCGTAGAGATCAATGCCTGAAAAAAGCAAAACATGCAAAACCCATGTGTTCCTCAAGGCAAACATTCCAGCATTATGTAGTTAGTTATACGCCAGACGAAGACTGCGCCCAATCCGTATCCATTTAAAAAGAAAAGAAAAGAAAAGAAAAGAAAAGAAAAGAAAAGAAAAGAAAAACGCAACAGGCAACAAGATAAAACGAGAAGACGAATTGGCCAACCAGTCTCTTGGATAGTTCATAAGCAATTGCAAACACAAAACCGCCAAGTACCCCATACCCTGCACGGAAAGACAAGAGAGTTAACCGCCCATCATTCCATTCCGTTAAATGCAATTTGAGTCAAGTTTGAACTGAATGCATGAAGCAATCCCAATGCAAAACAACACCATAGAGCCTGATAAGCAAGAAACAAATGAGAGGATAAGCCCATAAAACTGGGTCTAAAATCAAATAAAAACCACCAATAACCATATTGACCACCATTTGAAATGCACTGGAGTAAGGGGAACAGGAATAGGAGTGGCCGTAACATAATAATGGAAGAAATACGAACAGTTATCAACAGCCATTATCACCGTCGTCGAGGCGAAATCCAGCCCAGCAGACTCCACTGCCTCACAACGGGAAATCGGAAAAAAAAAAAAAAAAAAAAAAAAAAAAAAAGGGTAAAAATGCGTTAAGGCCCAGGTCATCAGGTGTCGAAGGCCGAGAAGGAAATTTCTGACAAATTGTCGTATCGTCCGTCGTCGAACATCAATGTATTGCGGAAGAAGGGAAGTCATCATGATCATGAAGGTGCGTCCATAATGCTCTATCATGGGACAGACACGCTTCATTGGGTATTATTCAGGTTACCAGAACCATTTATTTATGTGGTTGGGCTCGTCGCTCGTACTCCGCTTAATTTTCGAGGTGATGTATGAAATGCTCCCGTTTGAACCATCCAACCCGTTCAAAGGCCGTCCAAAGCTTGCTTGCTTTGTTGACGTCGATCTTGCAAGCTTGTTGAGCGTCGGTCTTTCGAAATTCCTTGTTCTCGCTAAACTTGTTGAGAAGAGCCTGGAAGATGCGGCGCTTGCTACAGAGATAGGTGGCACACGACAAGCGAAGGGTAGCAGCGAGATTGATTTCTGCTGGATCGAGTGCGTCCCTATTGGGATCATTGCTGAGATCAAGCATCTGGCCTTTCCAGTCTGCCTTGAGCCCCTTGGTACCGTGGAGGGTCGAGATCGGAGGGCAGTAGTCTGGAAGAGAATTGTAATCTGTATCGTCGCGGTTGGTGCCGATCACACGAGGCTTGGGAGGATTGCGAGTAGGAGTCGCGTCAAACGAGTCGACGACTTTTGTCTTGGGACTGGACCGCTTAGGTCTCTGTGACTTTTGCACGCGAGGAGCGCTGGCATTACCACGCCTAGAGGGGGCGGGGGCGATCTTCTTCAACTTCGACTTCGTCTGCTTCCCCGGGTGCACCAGGGTCCATTGGTAGTCAAAAATCTTCCGCTCCTGTATGGCGTAGGCACGGGGATTGCGGTTGTAATTGGAGATCACACGGGAGACACATGACAAGGCGAGCATGTATTCATCGCGAGTTGGCTGCTGGAACTTGCCCTTGGCCGTCGATTTCTTGCTAGCAATGTGCTTATCCACCAAGGCCTCAGCGTCAGGCACCGACTCAGGGCCAAAGAGCGGCTCATGCTCAAGGAGGGAGGATCTTCTGTCGGACGGGAAGAGGACGGGGTCTCTGGATGGGCCTGCAATGGCGTTGGAAGTCGTATGGCCATTGTCACCGTCAACGGTGTGCCTTCTCTTACTTCCGTTGTATGGAGTGACGGGTGGCGACGGCAGGTCCATGTCGGACTGGGGTTGGGCTCGTTCAGGAGCGATGGGAGGGAGCTTGTCGGATGGGGAGAAGGGCAATTGCGAGTAGAGGTCGGAGTTGAAGCTGTCGAAGGGTTTTGGCTCTGGAGGAGACACCAAACTAGAGACAGGCGGTAGCCGGTTCATATCGCGGCGACGAGATGATTCCAATATAAGAGAAGTAATCGAATTGCGAGGCGAATTGGGCAAAAAAGCGGCGGAATCGATCAAAGGTTTGTATTATGGGATTGGTTGATTGGTTTGCGGGGGTGTCAAAGGGAAGTATGTAAGAAGGAGAATGAATGGAAGGAAGAAAGTAGTAGTAGTAGAAGAAGAAGAAGAAGAAGTAGAAGAAGAAGAAGAAGCAGTAGAAGAGAAGAAAGAAATAAAAAAGAAACCGGAAAATCAGCCAGCGCCTCCTCAGCAGCGGATAAGAAAACAGTCAGGGTCAGATGGCAGACTTTGATGACCAAGACAGGTGGAAGTCAATGGAACGCCCTGGCCTTGGCGGCTTCCGGTGGAGGAGGGAGGGCGCGTGGCGGATTTGTCAGGCGGAGGCTGCGTGGCGATAAGCCGCCGCTCGGACTTTCGGCGTTAAGAACGATGGTGCGTGGCTTAGGTAACGAAAAGGTTTAACGTTATCACCTCCCACTGCCTTGTAGCTGGAAGTCACTGTCTCTAGCAGGGCCGGTAAGGTCAGCGCGAAGATAATACTCAACGGAGTGATGGGAAGATAAGAAAAGGAAGAAGGAGAAAGAGTGGGGAAGAGGGGGTCTGGGGGGGGAGGTTTTGCTGGGTATTTGAAGGCAACAAGAGTATGAATAAGAACGTGAGTCAAATGATACGATCATGCCTAAATGATGTGTCTTCTGCGTCAATGTGAGGGGGGCAGCGCAAAAAGGGGACCGTAGCTCCGGTCTGGTTGCGTGTACCCTGGAAAGAGTATGCCTTTTTCATCCTCTGGTAATGACGATGATGATATATAATAGATGCAAAAGAAGCAGAATACTCACCCAGAGAGTAAATGGACGTAATTATGCGGTGTCTCTGAACGATGCTTCGATGATGCGTTCTTCCATCCAAACCGCGGGTCAATTTGGAGGTGAAAGTCTGATGAGGACCGGGCGGACTGACGGCCGTTTGACGGGTGCGACTCCAAGGGATTCTTATCAGTCAGTCAATCTGGTGGGTGGATTTCAGGCAGAACAAATATAACTAATCAGCCGGTGGATTCTATTCTAAACTATGTAAATTACCCGGCCCAGATGATGACAATTGGGAGATGTTGGGATGGAAACCTCGCAAGGCCGGCCGAAAGACGGGGTGCGGGGAGGGACAGTGTTAAATACAGTTTTCTTATTCTGCCTGCGGGAGGCCAGTCTACGGCGGATGGTGATCTAATTGAAACCAATTTACCCTTTTTTGGAGCGCGGCGTCAATGGGGGATTAACGCTGAACCTGCGGACGCGCTGCCGGAGATGAAGGAATTGGGCCCTTTCTTGGTTGCGTTGAACATGGGCTGGTTCGCGTGTTGGTTCGTTAGGCAGTGAATCAGCGACCGGTGAGGTCAGGCATAAGAATAGAACAGCCGGGGGAAAAGCCACAACAGGCGTGTATGTTGATTCGGCGGGATCACGCGAACGGCCCCATCTTCCATCCCAGGGAATACATAATTAATAGTTAATGACGATGGCACTGCAACACGGGAGCTGTGTCAAGTCTGTGTGCGCACAGTCCTGAGCCGGTGAGATCGGCCAGCTGGTCAAGACGCCTGTCGCCTGCGCCCAGGCACTCTTCGACACTGATTTGTCGCTCTCAAATGGCCACCGTCGGGTGAGACTCGCTCTGGCACAGCGCAAAAGGACAGGTCAACGGGGCACCAATGGAACGGCGCAGAGCAGCCCGGCTCCCACGGTTGAGGAGCGAATCAGACGGCACAATTAAAGTGTCGGGACACGCCGTTCCTTACCCGGATTTAGCCAATTGACCGCTCTGCACCGTCGTCACCCCCTCATCACCATCGTCATCGACTGCGGCTGATGCCCTGGGTCAGCTGCCTTGTCTGATGTTTTTTGATCAATTGACCGATTGCTGCCCTCCATTGATCGAGCGTCGACAACGGGTTTTCCAGGCTGGAGGGCTCTTTGTCCTCGGTGAAAGAAGTTCTTTTCTCCCTCCTAGCCGTTCAAGCCCGACTAAGAAACAAGCGTTGATGAGGTCGCGGGGATGCCATGTCACCGTCCCCGCTGTATCCACGGCTTTGACTAGGCAGATTGTGGAGACGGACCAGACAAGTGTCCGAAACACTTCTGCACAGCTTCAGCAAAGCTAAAATAAAAAAGATGCGCCAACCTACGGGGGCCCTTGTCTCATCAAACGGCCAATTTTTCAATACAAGGCTGCTGCCCAACAGATGATGAATTGGCTAATCAGAAGGCAGCAAACACGATAGCATCACCGTCAAACACTGACTCATCAAACGAAATCCCACTTTCATCATTGCTTCTCCGTGATGGGACCTTTGCTTCATTTCACCAGCATTGCCCTGTTGAATCACTTCATCCACACAGGCCCATGAACCATTCTGCAGACTTGCTACCGGTGGCCACCCTTCTGCCCATGAAACTTGAAGATGCTATACTCTCGTGCGTCGAGGGAAATTTTGCTCTATGGGCCAGGCAGCTTCGTGCCCTACACCATGGTATTTGCTATTACACACTTCAAATCCAACCATTGATCAGGCACTCCATGGATCATTCATTCTTGGGGTACTTTCCCGAAAGTACCTGGAAGCACATGGATGGTCTCGCTTACAGACGTACGTACAGACATACCACCGGTTTTGGAAGGCTTCTGAACGTTTCTTCAAAAGCATTTCGCATCCTTCGAATGATGCCTTGTGGGTTCCGCGAGACTCCGCCAATTGCATACTTCTGCGCCTGCGAACAACCATATTACTTTGTGGATGCCTGAAGGAAATGCAACGGTACCTTATCTTTGTTGCATTAGATGTGTTTTTGATGGACTACTCGCAAGAGGGAGCGAATCTTCACAACATTAATGACAGCTTTTAAGTCCTTTTAAGCTGTGCTTATGTCGCTTCACTTCTCTCGAATACAAGCATGGAAACCTGTATTCGTGACTTTCCAATTCAAAAATACTTGGCAACTTAACTTCTTGAAAACGATCGCATCGTTACCAAGGATCACCAGGGATGCCTGCAGCTTTCTATGACGTCGCTGAGGATGATATGAACTCTCTTGGTCTAGACTTTCGCTCCCTCCAGCTCTGAACCTGGTCGACAAGCGCCCGAGCTATCAGTTCGGCCTGGCAGAGACATCAGTAGAAACTTGACAGCAAGGAACGTTTGACTCGAGCACGGCTCTACTCCTAGCATCTATTGGTCCAGGCATCAACCGAACATGGATCTTTTGGCTATGACTCATCTCAGGGAGGATCTCCGGGTGTTGCTTTTGCGGCGCTCAAAGGAATTTAGTGGCTCGAATTAAATAGGAAACTACAGGAAGGCACGGCGGCTATTTCACGAAATTTTAGGTTCTAACGTCGATATCAGGCAACAAAATTGGCACTAAACTGCCAGAGGTTAACCGCGTAACCATGAGTGGTAGAGTGTACCTGGATACCTAAGAGAGGTGTGGTTGCGAGCGACGATTGTAGATGATGTCAAGAACTTTACTGTTCTGATGCCTTGTATATCCATTTATGCCTATATATGAATATGTATACTCCGTATCATTATCTGGAAATGATGTTGATTAAAGTTAAGTTTATATCTGGATCCGCGGCTAGAATTGAGGCGCTGAGCATGGGCTCTTTGGCGTTTGATAGCGGCGTAACATGCATGAGGTATCGACGTCTGAAGACGATCGGTAAATATGTGAAGTCGGGTATCGCTATGGGCTTTTCTTTGTTCATCATATAGCAGGGGCTCGCATGGAAATACTAAAGATATGGACCTCTGTTGCCCCCAAAAAAAAAAAAAAAAAGGGGGCGTCTTCGTACGATTGAAGGACCTGGTATCAGAATTCTCGGGGCGCTCACATTGTCCCATAGCATCCAAGTTGAGAGTTAACTCGCTTGAGCTTTGAAACGGTGAGAATGTATCGTCATTGGAACTGACAGTACGGAGTACACTTCGTCTGGGAGCTCGGTCAGGGAAGATGGGAGGGAGTAGTACCCCGGCGAGGCCAGGGATTCTATGGTTGCACTTCAATATCAGACGGAGATGGCTTTCCAGGAACCCAGATTTGGAAATCCCTTCGTCCAGTAAGAAACTCCAATTGATGATTTGATCGCCTTTTCTGCCGCCTTTGTTTTGTCGACAGGGGCCGGCCGACTGCTGCACCCTCCGATCCTCTTTCATGTCCCGATTGGCGAGCGTCTCAAGGCGTGGCGGACAACTCTTGTGATCAGAAACTGGACCGCCAAGTAATGGCCCGACAGGTCGTTTTTGGAACTATTATTGGCCGATTCGGGCATAGAACTTATGGGCGACAAAATCGATGATGGACGGGATGCCCTTCTGTCCACCGCTCTTAGCCAATGTTTGACCATACTTCATCGCCTTGCCTGCTGAGCCGGCGGCAAGGAAACCAATTCCTGGTAAGCAATTAGATTGTCTCTTTCTCATTGCGTTGATTCTGAGAAAAAGAATATCTGTGCTCCGCACGAAATGCCTGGTCACATGTAATCAGCGGATGCATGTAGACATGGAGTACCGTATACTCTCATGCCTTCTTGCGGGCTGCGGTCGCCTGGGGGGCACCCTTGATCTGCGGCAAGGCTTCTCAGCTGGAGGGGCTCTTTTTTTTCCGTATTGCACAGCATAACTCGTCCATGCAACCAACCCAACGCAAGGATAGTTCCGTGTCGACCTGCTGGGCGAGATTCATTGTGTGTCTGGAGCACCATTCTCTTCCAAAATGGTCCGTCTCAACAATCCTTTCCCATAAATGCATTATCCACGGCAAGCCCATTGCTAGCAGCAACGTCCGCATGATCTTCTCGCTAACCCGATTCAACACAGTCATGAGTGCCGGATCACAACTTGATTCCATTCCCAGTCCAGTGGCTTGGATGTGCAGTCCTCCAATGGGAGCGACCAGTCTTCCCTGCCCCTCCATTAGGGAGAGACCCGACTTGCGGCCCCTCACTGGCGCAACTCACGGACCACCACCACATCCTCCACCCCTGCGCGATCCAAATTGGGCTATTTCCCCCGTCTGGAGCCTAAAAGTCGTGTGAGTCAGGCGCATGACATGATACAATCGCATCCACTCTCTGGTGTAACGGGAGGCCATCACAACTGTGGGGGTGGTTTCACCGGTCGCATTCTCGGGACGCCGAAGACTTTGGGGCAGGTACTCCGTTGTTACGGAGGAGATGGTCAACTACGAAGCAAACTAACCACTCTGCATCCTCCGTACGGAGGACATCCATCATTATCTCCATACCGATTTTTGATTTTTCATCAATTGGCTGAGAAATCCACCGCTGAATAAGACTCATCTGACTCACACCTCCCAACGCGGTGTTTACGGACACAACACGGGCGCGAGCTTGTTTACCGCCATCTTACCCCCAGCAACGGAGAGATGGTTGTTCCGCGACTGGTAACGGGGCTCTCGTCACATGCAAATCCCTCATGATACGTGGGATTAAGGTTTTTTGGCTCTTCCCCAAGCTCAAGGGGAGGGGAGAGGGGGGCATGACGTGAGAAAATGCAGTGCTCCGGTGAAGACGGAGGTGACAGGTGACAGCGAGAGAGAGGGGAAGAGCCTGTGTGAAATGACAAGGGAGTTAACGATCCTGCTTCTTTCGAAGGATGCGACCGCCACACAATTGGTGCCAATTTAATCAAACAGCCGAGCTTCACGCCATTGAGATGGTCTAACTACCCGCTGGGCTCACTGCCGGTGCTGATTGGCTCCCCGCACTGTAGAGGCGGTTGTCATGCGTGCATCTCATGGGATGCAATTGACTTTTTTTTTTCTTCCTTTTGGAGGGGAACAGTTGATGCATATCTCGACACTTCTGGAGTGGGATGTGCTCCAAGAGATGAAGAGCGTGTGCATTGGCTCTGCTGTTGAAGGATGAAACCGCTTGCAGAATGTCAATTGACAAAACCACTTCTTTGACATGCGGATAAAAAGTCACTTCGGTGTCCAAAGTTACTTCACCGTCTACTCTCGGGGAAGGTTCAACAAAGCTCGGAAACACAAGGCCATTTCAAAGCTGTGAGGTCTATCTGATATACACAATATTGACACATCTACACACATTGGGTATTCTTCTCATATCATACACTCTGAAAACTCCCATTGGCGTCTCGCAACGCTTTCCTTTCAATCAAAACCCAATTGCGTCCTTGACTCTTTTCATTGTCTTATCCGCATTACTAGCTGCCTTCCTCGCCCCTTCCTCCGCCACTTTATCAAGGTATTTTCTTCCCACCGCATTCGTCATGAGCTCCGCGTACCGCTCTCGAATCGGCGCAAGATGGTCAGCCACTTTCTTCGCGACATGCTCCTTCAATATCCTCAGACTCGAGCTCTCATGTTCCTTCGCTAATTCCGTCGGCGACAAATTGCAGTTTGTGTCGAAATTGCTGAGGATATCTAGGAGGTTGGAGACACCAGGTCTCCTCTTCGGATCGTAGGTGACGCCCGGTTCGGAGTCGGTAAGTGCCACTTTTATCTTCTTGTGGATTGTCTCTGGTTCGTCGGTGAGGAGGATTCGGGAGTTAGGGTCGGCGTGGGATTTGGACATCTTTTGGTCTGGGGATTTCAGGGACATTATGCGTTTTGCGGGTGCTATTGTTGGTATGTCCAAACACATTAGTTTACGAATCTGATGTGGGATTGAGTGGCGGGGTTTGGCGGGTAACTTACACACGAGAGTATTTGGGGGAGTGAGAACGGGTCCGTATATGTGATTGAAGCTGTTGGCGACTTCGCGCGAAAACTCGAGGTGCTGCTTTTGATCTTCTCCGACAGGAACGTGGGTTGCCCTAATTCGCGATACAATTAGCATGGCTCTGATGCGAGAGCCATTGTCGAATGACCATACGAATGGACCAATATATCCGCTGCCTGCAGAACCGGATACGAGAACAGGCCCAATCTCAGCTTCGCCCGGGCGCTGGAGTCTTCTAATGTCGAGTTCTCCGGTAATTGTAGTTTACTCTACATCTAACGTTAGCGAGCCACTCAATCAATTGATAAGAAGATGCCAAACATACCTTCCACTGCGTCATCCTCGATAGATATCCCATTGAAGAAACTGTGCTAAGAATCCACATCAACTCCGCATGCGCTGGCACCTACACCACTCCCACCCGCGTGTCCGGCAGGCAAGTCAGTCAGCCCTCACAATGCCATAACGAGAACAAGAGTGTCCCATATTGCTATGCCACAAAATAAACGCACAGCGCTCTGAAAAAATATCATAGCCCTCTCCGGCTTCAATCCCACCGCCAGCAGAATCGCAAACGACTGCCTTCTCCATTCCCGCAACACCTCTGGATCCTGCGGCATCGTCAACGCATGTAAATCCACAATCGAATAGATCAACTCCTCTCCCGGGGTTGCGTCATCCTGGAGCTTCACCCATTCTCGTAAAGCGCCTAGATAGTTGCCCAGGTGTGGAATGCCGGTGGGTTGGATACCGGAGAAGATGATGCGTCGGGGGTCGGTGGGCGCAATAGTGGTGGTGCTCATCTGGCTTCGTTGGTGCCATTGGTGCCGCGTTCTGGTATAATTAGCAGCGCGAATTATCGAACTCTTCGTTAACCCGGTGCGGGCTCGAAGATAGTGCGCAGGTATTGACATTTTGAGCTTTCTGCTCGGCCAAAGCTCCCGCGTTGGCCGCCGAGTGAAATCCAAAAAATATATATCACGTGATTTATGATATGACCCGCCAATATTTTTTCGGGGAAACCGAATTACGGAGTTGGCAAAGGGGTTAGTATGAGGAGTACGTAAATAGCGGTCTTCGAATTCTATATAGATCGATTGAAAAGAAGGTGACGTAGATATACATCGAATTCAGACTCCCGAATTTCCCGGCTAAACAGTACAAATAACCCAAAAAACCAAGGATTTGATAATAATACAACTCCAGTGCAGAGAGAACCCGTTTTTTAGCCCTTTCGAACCTCTGATAGAGGTGCATGATTCCGAGTAAATTTTTCTCTCTCGATTATATCTGCCACGGACTCGGGGGATTTTGCGTTCTTTTTGGTGCCAAATTGGCCGAGTTCAGCTTCAAGAGCCTTAAGTACCTCATCGCCAGCTTGATCCATGGACTTGCCAACACCTGTATCCAAGAAAATGCAATTAGTTAGCGTCTCTTAGTCTCGATTTACAAACAAATGTGTGGAAAAGAAGCCGCCAGCAATCCATACCTAGGCTAGCATGCTCCCACACATTGGCCTTCATGCCCACGCCGTGGAATGCATGTTTCCTCAGAAATGCCAACCACGCCTGCACTGATTCCGAATTTCCATCTTTGATCTGTATTAATCTTCTCATAGTAATTCTCTCAAAGTTCTCCGGGGTCTTTCTATGGATGAACGGACTTCGGTATAATGTCCATCTTTCGATGAGTCGTGGGAGCGGAACAGGGCCTGATGCGGGAAGATTGAGATAGTAGGCAGCTCGGAGAGCAAAGTCTGCGAAGAATTCCACGTGGCGGGCACTATAGGAGCGTAGCTGGAGATCGCAGACCGGAAGGCCGTATTCGGCCTTGCGTTTAAGAGGTTTGAGGTAGACCGCTTGGACGCTTCGCGGTAATCTGAACTTGGAGTTGATCGATTCTAGTCGGTCCATCCTGTACGAAATATTCTGTCAATTTAAAGGTACGAACGGGATATGATGTGCAGTGCAATTCTGGCTAACCATTCTTTTGCTTCGGGATCTTCATCTGGGGCCTCTGCGTAGCTATCGTGGCTGGAGGTTAGCAGGTTATTCACCTCGGAAGACGAAACGTAACTCACGATAACTGCTGGGGTGTCAGTTCGGATGCATCCATCTCCGTCACATTTGAAGGTCGGTCTTCTTCTAATCTGAGCGATGTGGTTGTGAGCGGCCTGGCTGGGCTCGATAACTGTGATCGAAGTGGTCAGAATTGTGCCATTGAGCATATGGAAAGGCGCTAAGTACCTTCAGCCGTTTGCTGCATCGCAACGCCGACCTAAAATAAGAAAATGAAAACATTATGACTGCACGGTTTTGCGCGCGTGTCCGCAATGCTTTTTCACATTACCACTTCTCACGGCGTTTCGACCATTCATTTTTTTGGCTGTCGCTGAGAGATCAAATTACGTAATCATATCTTAAATTCTCCAGCCAATGCAAATGCGCCTTGGTGGTTCCGCTCCCAAATTCAAAATCGCGGATTGCATCACGGAGTACGTACGGAGTACGTACGGAGTAGAGGAATCTGATTGCGTCGTGGGTTCCGAAGACTTAAAATACATTCAGTCGCTAGGATATTAACAGCTAAAAAGCTGCTTTCCTAACAAATCTCCTTTTCACTGAACAATCTACACGAATATAACTGCAGGGTGCAGAAAACGAGACATCGCTACCCCGCCAGGAACCACCCTTTCATTTTCAACTGGATATATTCAACTCATCCCACGCCAATTGCACCCTCGCCCACCCCCTGAGAATGGCGGAATCGTCGATGTTTAAGCAAGCCCAGGCGGCACTTAACTACCTAAGACCCCATCTCCCAGAGGCCTTGCGAACTCCTCGAGTAGCCGTAATATGTGGTTCTGGCCTAGGGGGTCTTGCAGATACCATTGATAGCAAGACTAAGGTTGAATTTGATTATCGGGACATTCCGAATTTCCCTGCTTCCACTGGTAAACTAAATATCTTCGCTTATACGCGTGTTTTCATAGATACATATTGGCTCTAACGTTCTGTGAATCAGTACCGGGTCACTTAGGAAAGCTTGTATTTGGATACTTGGGCGCGGAAACGCCAGCTGTTTTGATGGTGGGAAGAGCACAGTAAGTGATAATTTCCGATTTGCAAATAACTGGAGGGATGAGTTTTGCATGGAGATCGAAGCTGATACCGCAGCCAGTTTCTATGAGGGACACTCCATCGACAAGGTCACGTTTCCGGTGCGGCTTTTCAAATTACTGGGCGTGGAGATCATGATAGGTACGGGAAATGAGCATTTGCTTGGAAAACATAAGATTCACAGCCCAACTAAGCAACTATGTACAGTGACAAATGCAAGCGGAGGATTAAACTCCGAGTATGCAGTCGGCGACGTCGTTCTGATCAACGACGTATGTTATTGCGGTTCCACAAACAGAGAGTAAAGCTAATCATGATTGATAGCACATCTTCCTCGCCGGTTTAGCCGGCCTACATCCATTGCGAGGACCCAACGAGGATGAGTTTGGTGTCCGGTTCCCAGCACTTTCAGACGCATACGACCTCGAGCTCAGACGAACAGCGCACCGCGCATGGACCAAAGTCATCCGGGTAGAAAGCAAGCGAAGAATTCATGAAGGCGTGTACGCCTTCTGTGCAGGGCCAAGGTAAGAACATTGCAGGACCGAAGGAGAATGAAACTAATAGCCCGACAGTTTTGAAACTAGGGCGGAGTGTAGATTCTTAAGACAACTTGGCGCAGACCTGGTCGGAATGTCGACCGTGCCAGAAATCATTGTGGCACGACATTGCGGACTTCGAGTGCTTGCTTTGAGCCTCGTTACCAACAATGCAGTCTTGACTCCCGTGCCACGTGGCGATGACCGTCTCCTCCAAGAGACGGAAAGGGCCCAACTCAATAGAATTGTTGAAGAGGGTAAAGCCAATCATGAAGAGGTTTTGAAGGCGGGTAGCCAAGCAGCAGCGGACGTACAGGTACGTCAAAGCTTATTTCTCATGTTCCGTGCAGACGCTAATGAGATCCATAGAAACTGGTCAGACAGGTAGTCCTAGATATGTTTCCACAAACCATTAACTAGGCCTTTCACTGGTGGCCTGGTTATCCCATAAAATCGATATCTATCCATAGACACGGACCAGCGGTCTCCATCTTTACGTGTTGACTTTGACATGATAACATTTCTGGAGAAAAGTTCAGCGGTATTTTCGACTTCGTTTCCTCTTAGCTTGTAATGCTTTGTAGTGAGCCTTTTTACCGCTAGTCTTTGACTCCTGAATTTCGTCATATTTGCGTTTGAAGCGGCCATTCTCTTCTTCAGCGGCCATGGCTTCTTCAACAAAGGTCCCCTTGCGGTCCTTCTTGGCGATGCGAGCACTGAAAAATTCGGTTGAACCTTGAATAATGGTACCAATCTGAGAATACTCTGGAAGCTTTGCTTTACCGCTCTCTTTCTTATAGTGCCGTTTTGGGTCAAGCACACTTCTCATGCGCAGCAGTTGGAGATCCCTTTTCAGCTCAGGGGTGAGGACCGTCCTGGGAAGGTCAAACCAGTCTGAACCAGCAGTGGGTTTTTCTTTACACTAATATACCTGTTAGCGAAGCTCGATAGATTTTTTATCGGCATCTAGGATATAGCAAAGGTTGAATGCATTGACGATGTTCAGAGTAACTATGATTAAAAAGAAACCATCATGGAAGCAGACTAATCCAAAACGGATTAGGGGACCTGCATCAAGAAAAAGTTTGGGATTTGATTTCCTCATAACATCCAAAATAGCATGAGACTGCAAAGGGAAGAACAAAACAAACCTTTTCTACCAATTTCGGTTGCTCGACAGCTCGTGTTGTGTTTGAAAGCTTTTTCAGCCGATCGGGAACAGCTCGTGCTTCATCAAGTGATGCCACACCGTTGACTTCACGCACATATGGAGCCACAAAACGCTCTACCTTCAAGGTTGGGATACTATTTCGATGTAGAATATTAGCCAAACAGAACGATCAGATAAAAGAGAAATAACATCCAGGAAACCTACCGTACTCGCGCTTCAACTTTCGGTTCTTCAAGGAGTCTGAGCTGGTCTTCCCCTTCAGCTTCGGCTTTGTTATTCTCTGCGGCTTGCTTTAGAAGTCGCTGTTCGGCTTCGAGCAGAAGAGCTTGAATCTTTTCTTCAGAAAGAATTTCTTCTGCGTCTCCGGGATGCAGACATTCTTGCATGGGTGAATCCACAGCAACCATTGCGCCTAGATAGAATTGCGCATAAAAACCTATCGAGGACTTTGGACCATCTGGGATTGATGCCGGCTTAGGAGACCATCCTGAAAGTGTTGGGTTGGATTCTCTGTGGGAGAAATTTTGTGGTGCGACTTTTCGAGAGCTCCGAACTTTAAAAAGTGAACCGCCGCCAAGCCTCACGTGAGTCGCATCGGCTCTCTAAACCGGAGGTGGTGATTATCCGCCCCGGTTTCTCTGGGCGTTCCGGCCAAGAGCACTTCGCACGTCAGGGGAAGAGATAAAATGGTTGAATGATGCGTGTAGCAGTCAAAATAGGGTCATATTGGGCATAAGGAATGCCATTCTGCTGGCATATATTCCTGATATTTGGAATATGTTGAGTGACCCTGATCTTCAATACACCTCTAGAAGGCATCTCCTGCTTCCCTTCCATACTGACCAGAGTTACGCGACCTACAAATGGCCATTGCCCGGTAAGAGATCCATGGCAATAGCTAATATGATAATTGCATTATATAAAGTGCAAAATATGTTATGATTCGTGGCTTGAGGTTTAAGCACCTCAACTTCACCCAGCAAGAAGAAGTTCGAAATGGATTTCATGGAAACATTGGGACCCCTCATCCTTGAAGAAATCAACGGATCTGCAGGATGAGAGGGATGAACTCTGCATAGTCTCCATAGTTGGGCGCTCTCCGCCTTGGCCCAATGATACGTCAAATCGTCTAAGTTACTCCCAATGCTCTGCCGCCCTTTAGGGGCTAGGGAGCAATTGGATTGGCTCCTGATACCCCAGAGTGCCAACGAAGCATTCTTGGTCAGTGGTCACTTAACTTTATCACCCAGAAGTTGTCTAGACTAACGTTAGCAATGTATTCTGTACCAGGCGAATGAATCTGTGTGTAAGCGATTGAACCCCGCGGAATGAAATAACGTAAAGATACCAGGACCATGGGAATATCCTGTAAGAAGACATATAAAGATGGATATCCGCAAGAGCATCCGCAGTACGGGGCGTTTGATCAGGGATAAAAAGCGAGGGTTCATCTAGAGCCCTTTTCCCGAGGCTTCTCCGGAGAGAACCAGTGACGACTCCATACATGTCTTGATGTAGCGGAAGATAAACACCGGGTCCTAGCGTTCCAAGTGACAAGATAACGGAAGACCTACCTGTTCAGGGATTGCAAGCTCCGGAATTGCCTTGGAATATAGGCGTGCCTTTTTGCCCAGAAACTTTCGCCAAAGTAGGACACGACAACAAGCAGCTCGCGTGCCAACACAGCTGTTTAGTGTCTCTTTGAGAGCAAGAGTACTCGGAAAGCCGATAATCCACGTAGTCTTCACGGAACTCTGATCCCGAGAAATTAAGTGAAATCTTAGGAACCTTTGTCCTGTATATCGTTCCGGTGCTCCTGCGTCCGGAGTCTGTATGTGCCTCTGGTATGTTGCTTTTCTCGAGAGAAGAATGCACCTCCTCCACTCAAACAAGGTTTTGCCTTGATTCCAATGGAAGATTGGAACGAAAACCAAAAAAGCAATAGTCGCGGTGCTTGAAGCAATTCGGCGATATCATTGGAACTCGCCCCATACCTTGTCTGGAGTAACTCCAAGCTCATTGGTCTCTATCAGGCGATCAAGGGGAACTGACCCTATTAGCTGCGAGAATTTCGGTCACTGAACGCCTTGAAACTCTTGCCTCACCATGCAGTGACAGGGAACGAGAGAATTGGGCAAGGTTGGAGGCATGTAACCACCTGGTTGGCACGAGCGGGTGTGCAGGCTGGGGCCTGCATTGAAGACTGTTCGAGGTTTCGAGAATATCCACAATGTCCCTGTACAGGTCATGGAGTGACACAAAACAATGTGATTATTTTTGTAGAGAAGGAAAAGGGGATGTAAAGAGTGAAATCTCATGCTCCGTAATTGGGCGACAACTGTTTGTGGGAGCTGAGTGCGGCCTAATTCATGCTCACTACTCCGTAGTTAGTGAACCTTGTCTGGTAGAAGCATCGTCCCATGCATCATCTCGTCACATCCACATCCACACTCAACCTGGTTGTTCCTCCAAGCCGCCCAATCTTTCTTCCCTTAATGCTCAACTTTTATTCCTGATCGGGTCCTCTCTTCTGGTTCTCCAATCTCCCTTTTATCCCTCCCTACCATTTCCAAGCAACCTACCCAAACGCGTCCTACAATCGCCCAATCTCACTTGCGCGGTCAGTTAGGCGCGCCGCTGCCCTCACGCCGCATTCCCCGCCGACCAAGACCCTCAATCCTCAATCGCAACGAGTTTTTTTTAGTTGCTTTTTACTGGCCGGGCGTGATAGGAAATAAGTCACGAGTAATAACCTTTTAGAGTCCCCCAAATGGAACCGGCACAAGCAGGCGCCGCCGGAGGCGCTGGTGCTCAATCCGCTGCCTCACGTCAACGACATCACCACCATCAGCCACAGGATACCCAGGGCCAAGGTGGACAGCAGGGCGGTCAGCAGCAACAACAACCCGTGTATGATATTCGAAATGGTGGACACTACGGTGCGTTGTTTTGCTCCTACTGTGCTAGTCTTGGGAGACTGGAATAAACCTGATTGCTTTCTTTCACGGAGCTTGTGGGCTAACTTCTCCACGAATTTTCGGTTAGGATTAAAGGCGCCAGTGCAGCGGTACGGACCTCATAAGTTTGATTTTATGGCGATGGTCGTCGCGCTAATAGATCTACAGCTCTCAGCACAAGGCTATGCACCGGTACCAGAGCTATACACAGGCACATGGGCAAATGTATGTCTCTCCGCGGGGACCACGCTACACTCTCTACCTTGTTATCTCAATGATGGAAGCTAATTTCAATCGAAATATGAATATATAGGTCAATCAAGGGCTAACAGGCCAAGCACGCGATGTTCTAACCACTTACTGGCAACACATGATCAACCATCTCGAATCCGACAACCACGACTACAAAATCCACCAATTGCCTCTTGCCAGAATCAAGAAAGTTATGAAAGCCGACCCCGAAGTTAAGATGATTTCCGCAGAAGCACCCATCCTCTTTGCCAAAGGGTGCGATATCTTCATCACCGAGTTGACCATGCGCGCCTGGATCCATGCAGAGGATAACAAGCGGCGTACTCTACAACGGTCGGATATTGCTGCAGCTCTGGCCAAGTCGGATATGTTCGACTTCTTAATTGACATTGTGCCCCGGGAAGAGGCAACATCTCATACGAAACGATCTGCACCCAGTGCGCCGCCACAGCATGCAAACGCTGGACAGATGCCACCTCAACAACCTGGTGTGCAGCAGCCACACCATATGGGCCCCCCGGATTATGGATCACTAGGCCAACCGCCTATGGGTCAAGAGCAAGATTATAGGCAGCAACCGGCCATGTATGGCGGAGCCGTCCAATCCGACCCTGCATACGGCCAACCCCAGCCTCAGATGTTCGAGGGGATGTACGGATATTCGCATTTGCCCACCCAGCAGGTTCGTCTTTGCGTTCCATATCCCTCTTAAAGTAACACGCAATAGAAGCACACATTGAAACTAACTGATTTGGCAATAGTGACGATAAAACTCGTTGGTGTTTGTGGGAGAAAAGGAGATATCAAGAGCGAGAATAGGAATATGGAGTTTGGTCAAATAATTTTTTGGAGATCGTTCACGATTCTAAATCGGGCATATGATTGTATTCCGCCCCCTGTCAACTAAATTTACTTGACATCGGCTGTGGTCCCATAGTACCATTTATTTACCATTTGTTTCCGGCGACAACCCAATACGTTCTATGATAGGAAAATTACCAGGTTTGCGATATTGGCTTTTCTCGATTCAATGCTGTTGGGGTTATCTGTACATGTCAATCGTAGCTTCAAGATGACTTCATTCCAAATCGACTCGAGAGAGAGCCGAATTTATCCGTCTTTGCCGGTGGACTTTGTAATATTTTCGTGAGCCTGTCGAAGAGGTCAGCCTATCTGTGGTATAAAGCAGCATATTACTTGCAGCCCATAGAATCGAGCATACTTTTCAATTAATATTGGCCCGTTCATCGCATCGACACGGCCATATTTTTTATTCCGAATTGAAATATCGTAGAATTCTTCTGTGTTGTCGGACATCATCAATTGTACGGTTTGCTGCAGTTCGTCGAGATTCTCGAGGAGAATAGGGACGCCCAGTCCCTCTACGAATTTGGTGAGGTAATCCACGTCTCGTGCGAGAGCGGCAACTCCGTTTGGGTTAATCTTTTTGACGTCTGGGGAGAGTGGGAGCGCCTATGCGACTTGTCAGAAGAGGCAAAATGACCAAGGGCGAAGGAGAAAGGGGCCTCACCAGAACCATATTTGCGGCATGGCTCAGGGCGTCGAAATATATAAGTTCCTTGATTTCGGTCGGCAAACCAAGGAGGGTGGAGTTCATGATATTAGACAGAAACCGGGTCAGAGTCTGCATATAGTTACTCGGCTCCATCTGCAAGCTTGGTGCATTCCAGTCGTATTCAGCGGTTTCGATGAGATCGTCGATTTTAGAATTGACGAGCTCGAAAATTCGCTTTTCAGCAACCTTCTTGTTATTCCGGAACTTCTCTGTTGCAGCAAGGCTCACTGCTCCATCGCCAGATGATGGTGATCGTGCTGCAGCTAGGAGCAGTTCAAGCTCTTGGCATGCTATTTCGAAGTACTCGAGGTTGATGAGAATTTGGACAATTTGGCCTAGGTATTGAGCGCTGAGCCGTTCGACAAGCGTCTCACAGACTTTGTCGGAGAGCAGTTCGTCCAAAGACTATGAATATAATTAGTCGTATACCGAATAGGAGTGCTTGAAGCCGCGTACGTTCTTAAGGGTTTCGTCGATAATATTCGGGTGCTGAAAATCATCGTTCGAAAAGAAGTAAAACTGATTCAAGAAATTCCGAATATCGATACAACAAAGTGGATACATCTGCGAAAAGGGCAGGACGCAAGGGAAGCTATTGATCATTAGCGGTGGTGCTATAGTTGGCGCAGGTAATTTAAGGCTCACATCTGTTCTTCTCTGGGCTTCTCTGGAGTATACCAGCTCACATTGAGAACCTTATCGTATTCTTCTTCATTTTGTATTGCCATTGGCATGTAATCGTCGGATTGGACGATCTATTGTCACTCGTGAGCGACGTGTCGGATCAGTCTTTTCCAATCGGGGGGATGCGTACCTCTTGGAAGTCATCGCTGAACCTCCGTTTCAACAGTTCAGCATACCTGTCAAATAACTCTAGTAAAAACCTATCAAAAGCTCCTACTGGAAAACCCCATGTCTGTCGGACTTGTCAGTGGAATGACTCACGACAAGGAGATCACAACTCACATCCATTGTTTGCATGAACAAGGCAATTAGGTTCTTGATTTTTAGTAGGTTTTCTGCATTATCCACCGACGGCAGCGCCTTTTTCATCAGGCCGACTGCGGTCTGGCACATCGAATCCCAGAGCTCGTCGACCTAATCCCGGTCAATTATATCTTGGGGGCTTGAAACTGAGGGAACAGCATACATCAACTGGCGACCTTAGATCCGGTATCTTTTTCATCGTTGTTCGCTCAACGATAGCGAACCCAGCGATCTCCTCGAGGAGAGTGTGCAGACAAGCACCCTCTTCGTCGAGAAGATTAATTGTAGGAGGCAGTAATAGTTCCTTCTGCCGCCTTCTGGTAGTGGCATATTCGACACGGAACTTATCCATCTGCCCAAGGGACTGATGGATATGCAAACATTCAAACAGAGGAGTGAAATCGACTTGAAGGTCATCGTTCTGTAACAGGTCAAACTCTTCATGCTCATCCGAAATCAGTTCAATTGCCGAGTTCAGCTTGAAATGCTCGAGATATGGTGTTTTCTCAGCACGCTCTTTCAGTCTGGCTCGACGCAGATCTGTGTGATAAAGAGATATTTCCCCAAGGTATTGTGACATCTCTCTGATACGGTAGAGCCATGTGTTGAGGTCTGCCATCACAGCATCTGCAATTGCCTTCTGAGTAATTGGAACGGAACGCTGAATTACTTCCGCAATTTTATATTGAGTCACTCCCTTTAAATGAACATTCTGCAGTTCATCCAGAGCCCGCAGGGCCGCATAATGGTTCTTCCTCGCTAATAGATCATAGACCTGATTTGCCAGGAGCAGTACCTCCAGACAGTCCTGCAACGCCTTCGAGGTGTCATCAATATTCTGTCGGTGGCTCCGGGACTCAACCAAGGCTTTCTTCTGTTCCGCTAACCTCTTTGTGCTGGCCTGGATTGACTGATTGAGGTCTAGGATCTCCGACGTCAGGTTGACAGTGCCCTCTCGGATGTCCAGCAGCTGGTTGATAGAGGTCACAAATTCCTGATGTGTAGAAGTACATATACTTTCGATCTGGGCTTCACGATCGTTCGCGAATTTGGTGAGGGATTGCAGGAGCTGAGAGGTTCGATTGCCATGGCTATATTCTCGGATTGAGGGAATAAGCTGGTCTAAGTAGTCTGTGTCCGAGGAAGAATTGACTATCTATATTGTTTCCGGACTTCTGTTACTATGGAATGCTGAGGTGGAACGTGTCCATTCTAACTTACATGGTTAAGGAGGTAGGAGAGCTCGCTGCGGGAGTTTGTCGGCCCCGGCATATTTGTTCCAAACCAGTTCTCTGGTCGCAATCCGGGAAAACCACAAAGAGAGGACAACTTTTAAGTAGAAGGAACGAGCTTATACTTCAACTCTACTATATTTTTCATTGGGAATTGCCTGCTGTTTACCATGCCGCATATTGCTGGGGCCTGACGCTGTTGATACTGGTCACAGGACACTCCGGGGATGATTGGTTGGTTAGATAACGTAATCCACAAGCGAGCGAGCAGCTAAATCACCATATTTTCCATTTCCTAACCCATCCAGTTCAACGCGCAATTATGCCACCAATTCGCAAGAAAAATGCTAGAAACTCTATAGAGATAGAGGGAAGACTTGAGCTTGCAATATCTGCTATTAAAAAGCAAGGAATACCCTTAATTTCTGAAGCTGCATGCCTCTTCAATGTGCCACACTCTACTCTAGGTTATAGACTTAGTGGCCAGTCTTCCAGGGTGAATTTACACACAAATTCACATAAATTGACTGAACCTGAAGAGAACCAGCTAGTTTAATAGATTCTAGACCTGGATAAACAAGGATTACCCCCCTGGCCAGCATTTGTTGAGAATATGGCTAATCATCTTCTCTCATTACAGAATCCCTGTGAGGATCATACTTTGTGGATCAGTGTGACAATGGATCTCTAGTAGGAATTGTATATGGAAAGGAATACACAAGAGCAAAAGTCTTATATTTTTCTAGCAACTGTATACAACTGTAGACAAGATTATCACTGACCTTCATTAAGAGATTCATACAGTGGCTGTCTTTTATGTGTACTTGTGAGCATATGACCCAGTGTCTTGTGAAGTACACATTCACTCTTAATAGTTATCTTATAAGCAGCTCTCAGTTCTTACAAATATTGTTTGTCTGTATAAGAGATTTGCAGATAAATTCTTACAGATTTCTCTCTCTTATAAAGTCTTGATTTCTCAAGATAGCTGTCTTATTAAAAATCTTCATGAGTAGAAAACAAAAAAATCTCTTGAGAAAATAAAAATTTTCTTATAAGAAAAGGAGTATTTTTTGTGCTGGTTAGCAGGGCGCTGAGCCTGTCGCGCCCAACCACCATTGGTCCACCTTGTGCACCATGCCTGTTGCAGTATCACTGTTGCTGCTTCAGAGATGGTGTCTGCCTTGCTGCTTTTGCAGTCATCTTACATCACCTCAACATCACCACCCAATCTATAGAAACCCATCTCTTAAATGATGATATACTGGAGCGGGGTATGATGGGGTGCCTCGTCAAGGTAGGCGAATTGGTTGAGATGGTGAAAGCGCAGGAAAGATGAACATCAACAGCAGAGTAGTCAAAGGCCGAGTAGTAAGAACAGTTATAGGCATGCCCTAATGGACGCCTAAGCTGATAAGGGATAAGAGTACTAGGGAGCCCTGTACTAACACAGGCAGCTCTAGAGAAGAACAGTAGCAAGCTTCATGAACAAGAGATCTTCACATTCTCTCACTAACAAACTAACTAATAAGAATGAACAAGTATGTAGTGTAAGTGTAAAGATGCGTGAAGATGTTAGGCAAGATGTAGGGGCTATGGGTGGTTTATATAGCTCAGAGAGAGTAGCTTTGTGGGAGGGTTGTGCCTCAGACCAGAACAATCTTTGTTCTAAATCAGAATCCCCACTACATTTTCTCCTGACCTCCAGTGTTGGCATCCCCTGACAACAAGCACCATATAAAGCAAAGCAAAAGCAACAAATGTAAGCAATTTAATAAGAAAAATAAGAGAATAAGAATTAGCAATTGGTAATCTGGTAAGAAAAGACATAGGAAATAAGAATAAAGAGAGTGATGTTAGCAATCTCTAATAGTGATCACCATGATTCTCTTCTTCCACCACATTCTCAGGAGAAGGAGAAGATCAAACAGACACTGGATTAATGTTGTTGTGCCACATACAATATCAATAGGATTTGTTACCAAAAGCTCTCTTTTTAATTTGGTATATCTTGACAATAGCATTCAGGGCAATTTATGTGGTCTTTAGATATCAGTTATTAATGAAGTTCTGGGTCTTCTTCTCATCTGGGCCAAAGAGGGTATCCAGTTCCTCAATTACTATAGGGTTGTCCCATCTAACTCAGCCTACCAATGCATCCAATATAGCTGCTAAGTCTTGTAATTGAATGGCTGTAGGGAATCAATATGGAACTGATGTGTAACAGTTGGCCAGATGGTGACAATGGCCCTGGAACTAGGTCTTTATATGCAGCAGAGAGCTGGGACCAGGTACTGGCTTTGTTGACCTCTAGATGTTCATGGTCCTCGTGGATTGCCACATACCAGGGTAGCATAGTGCAGCAGACCTTTTTGCATGGACCATAGGTCCTATGGGGTAGCAGAGGGCTTGAAATTCAAACATCACTAGGCTTGCAAATAACATCAGTCCACTTGATACCAAATCTCTTCTCATTGTCTTTGGTATACATAGTATCCTTAATGCAGTGGACATAGCCATCAGTGGATAAGCCCTGTTCTTCAACCAGTCCCCACCAATCTTCTAGATGGTTATGCATTCCTGGTAAGACTTCTGTGCAGTCTCTGGGCTCTTCTGCAGTTAAAGTCAAGGATCCTTGTATCATGTTAACGCCCCTTCCAGTAGTAATAGCATCTGGAACATTGAAATCGATATGGCGAAACCCAGTTTTATCCCCTGGCTTTGCATACTTGGCGTAACACGACGACGAAGAACCGGAGGCGAACTATGGAGTCAAAACTACCCCAAGAGATATGGCGCTGCTCAGCTCGTCGGCCGATGCCGCAAAGAAGAAGCGAAATGAGAACCGGGATAATGCAGCCAAAAGTGCCTTGAAGACCCGTGGGACTTCGAAGCGCGAGAGAATACCAGAATGTTCCCAGTTCCCAACCTTGATTCATGACCATTGACAGACGATGCTGCTGGGCGCCCGCCTCGTTTGGGCCAAGCAGCTTTGCTTCTTCCGCTGCAAGTGTATCTACTAGTTCCTGTCTGAGTCGACCATACTCTTCAGGCTGTTCGGCAATCTCATCCACAGCTTCGTCTGTCAGCCATGGGGGAATGCGGCACATCTCAATAGGCAATGAGCACATCCACTCCAGATCCACAATACAGGTCACATTCCAGTCTTCATCGACAAAAAAGTTGCTCTGATTGAAATCGGTAAACGTCAATATAAAAGGGCCGCGACGCAGGCCCGGGTCAAAGAAGGATGGCAAAGCCGCTCGTAGGATTGTCAGAGCTGCTGCCTGGGCACCGTAGTCACCAAGATTGTTGATTCCATTGGGCTGATGAAGGAGACGATTGTCATGAATCCTTAGAACATCAAGGATATAGGAGTCGACTGTCGAGTAGGTGTAATTGCGAGGCATGTCGGTCGGAATGTTTTCATTCTCCAGCGCCTGGATCTCAAGTGATAGTGGCCGGTTGGTGAGTTGCAGATAACCGTTATTATCAATTACAAACGATCCAATGCATGGTAACGGGGTTCGTGTGATGCTCAACAAGATTTGAGAAAGTGAGCGAAAGAGGTTCCCACGTAACCGGTCATCATGCCTTTTTTCACTCCATGTATTAGAAAGCATCCGGCCGGCCGATTCCTCGATGTACTCAATCAGAAGGTAACCAATATCCGTGGCTTGACTTTGTGGCTGATGGGGAACGTAGCGCGAAGGCAGCGGACAACCAAGCAATGACAGGGCTAGGCACCGAAGTTTAAAAAACCGCCGCTTCCAGAATGACAAGCAGGTGGCCGTGGTGAACTGAAAATGCACAAAAATCAACTGAGTCATCAACAAAACGGGAGGGATACATACTGTCTCTCCAGTTGATACAGCAAACCCATACATGTGTGGGATGGGCACATCTGCGGCATTCTGCTGAAGCCACGCATAGGTCCCAGCTTCACATCGAAGTTTCTCGTCGCTATTTCCCGGGCAAAAGTGGTCACCGACACGATATGGAAGTGGAAACCGGAGCATCAGCCTTTGCCTTTTCCTCCTCCAACTTGAGGAGACAGTGACCGGAATACAGACATTGAAGCTGCCATAGATCCAGTCCCCAGGGCCAGCCACATAGCATGCATCGGGAGATGCGCCAAGGTGGTGGGCAACGATTGATCTCATCCAGGCGCGCTTGTGGTGCAAGACATCAAAGAACTTTGCGCGTTGCTTGACGTATCCTAGGCGATGGAGGATGTTGATCTCCTCGTCTTTGGCGAAGGAGTATGTGATCTCCCCATGAAGAAGGCTGCGGGTCTTTTTGGCCATTGTTCGTCGAGCGAGTCAACAATTGTTTGTAGAGACCCAAAGCCCGCCTCCAATGGGGCCTGGAAGCTTAAGAGTACTAACCCTAAAAGGCTTAGCCCACATGCCTTTATGGGGTCGCTCGATGTTGCTGGGCACTCCGTAGTCTCACTAGAGATATAATATCAACATAACTCTAATCTGAATAACACAACAGAGCTCAATAACATAATAATATATAGAGAGTCTCTATTGTTCTCACTAGCTCTGTATTATTATTAGATAATGAAAGCTAGCTTAAGAGAAAGCTTTTTCTTACTTTCTCTTTCTCTTTTTTTTTTTTTTTTCTTTCTTCTCTAGTCTCTTTCATCTTTATCAAGATAAGTGAACTCTCTAAGCACTGCTTTGTGTGGGAGGCAGACTGTTGTGGAAATCCCGAGACTGAAAGGTATCAGGGCCGCGGGAAGGTCAACAGATTGGGGGAGTGATCAATAATCCAATGGTGCTCCAGTTGAGTAAGCAGTCTTGCTCTGATGACAAAGGGTTTCTGTACAGGTATATCAGAGTCAGGGCAAGGCTAAGGTGCTTTCTCAAGAGTAGCAGATTCAGGTACAATTTTACAGTATCACAAGACTTCAATGGTATGGAAAGTAATCAAGGTATGAATGTAACTGAGTTAAAGATATCTGGTCAAAGTCAATATCTGTCTCCAGCGACATCTAGGCCCATAAAATCGAAAAAGGCGCGTAAGAAGGTGTCCTGCGATAATTCAGAACGTGAGTACTCATAAGTATAGCGGACGAGGAACGGGCGGCTGTAGGCAACATCAGATGCCTCCAGTGCTGGTCTGAAATGTTTGATGATGCTGTAAAATCTCTGTTTTGCCCGGGCGTGCTGATCCGCTGGTAAGGATTCAGGTCCGGAAAAGTCGATGATGCCCTCGACTGAGGCCTGATGGCGATGCCGGGCCATTGTAGTGATTAAAAAGTATCAGGAATCTTGTAAATGATCGTCTGGGATCACCATTGTCAATCTCATGAAGGGGTGCTGGGTAGTCCCAAGCACCCTGCAGGACCATGGCACCCACAAATTCTGCTGGGGCAGGGGGAACAGCAACCACAATCTAGAGAAGATTAACCATGAACTGAAATGTGATAGAGAATACTCACATTACCAGCCAGAGCCAGCAGAACAACAATCACAGGAAGAAGAGAAGGCACAACAGAACTCTAATGTAAGGGGTTCGCGGGCGAATCCTTACACTCAAGCTGTAAGTGCCTTGCACAAGCTGACATTGGTTTGCATGCTGAACACTTGTGAGGGCTGGGAGCCGCTCGCGAGCACACATAAATAAAAGGCAGTCACTGCACAAACCCCTTAATGGAGGCCAGTGGCAATCTTGTCTAGAGTCATACACAGTTGCTAGAAGAATATAAGGCTTTTACCCTCATGTATTCCTTTCCACACACAATTCCTACTAGAGATCCATTGTCGTGCTGATCCGCGAAGTACAATCCTCACAGATAAGAAGATGATTAGCCATATTCTCAATAAATGCTGGCTGAGAAGGTATTCCACATTTATCCGGATCCAGCACCTATTGAAGTAGCTGATCTTCTTCAGCCTTAGTAAATTTGGTTAAATTTGTGTGTAAATTCACTCTTGAAGACCTGCCCCTGAACTGATCCTGCAGAGTAGTGCAAGGCACCTCAAACAGACATGCAGTCTCATGAATTGAGGCTAATTCTTGCTTTTTAATAGCATTTATTGCAAGTTCAAGCTTCCTCTCTATGTCTATAGAGTTTCTTGTGTTTTTATTGCGAATTGGTGGCATAATTGCACGTTGAAGTGGCTTGATTAGAAAATTGAAGATGTTTTGAATTTGGTGGCCGACTCGTTTGGGTGGGTAGTATGTGGATTACGTTAATTCATTAATCGGCTTACTAACCTGCCACTCAGCCCTACTCGTCGGCTGGCTTGGCATCAACTTCACTCCTTCATGCCACTCAAAACAGCGACTTGCAAAGGGTAACGGGTGGCCCTGTTCTCCCTTAGGGGCTTGGAGTTATGCTCCAAGCGAAAAGCCCTATTGATACCTTTGCTTCAGCACATATCAAATCTTTCGGATTGCCGTTTCTTCGTGAATGTATAAAGGACCTCACTGACAGATATCAAACATTCAGCAAATTTTCAAATGTACAGCACCGCCTGTACATGGTTTCAAGTGACTTTCCGGAAATTTCTTTCTCTGGGAAAATTTTTATTGAGAGGGGCTGGTATGGCCGAGCCCCAATTGTCAGGGCTGATGACTTGATATTTTCTTTGTTAACCCCGTGTTATACACGGGAAGACCCGTTCGAGGCATTCCATGGAGATGGGAGTGCTTGTCAACGATGGCTACCATCACTGGTTGGACACCGTCTTGTTCAAGAGAGGAGGGAATTCAAAGCTGTTCCGTCGAGTCCATTTGGAGCAGCTCACACAAAGCTCTATCTAGATATCCTATCAGGCAAGCTCGCATCAAAGAGACCACCTAGCTTCTTGAGGACACGGCCGGGATGATACTGGGCCTATGTATATACATATAATCTATATACCCACATCATTCATGCATCGCATCATATATGCCTCTGTTTCCAGGTGTGGCGCAAGTCCCGTTGAGTCGCCGGCGCCGGCTTCGAGGCCTTCCCAAAGCGGCAGCGCCCCCTTTCAGGAATCTCTAAAACCTAGCGCATGTGATATCGGCTGTTGGAAGAGAAGACGATCACCGAGAAGGTAGGTGGTGCCGTTCGCTGCGTATTAGACGCCCAGCTGCCCAACAGTCCAGAGCAGCACTGCCAGCACCCCTCACTCCCCTTGCCTAATCGGGACATGTTGGGCCAGGTGCTTATCTCGTTCCCCGCGCCCGCTCTATCCTGAACAGGCTGTGGCTCGTTATCGTTGCGAGGCCGTGTTGTGCTACCCCTCTTTTCGCTATCTGCTGCTCTGTGTTATGGGTGGCTGGCGGGGGGTTGTCAGCACGCATCCTCACTCTGTTGCTGTGACTGCACCTGATATGCCGCCATTCTACCTCTTTGACAGTGGGCTCTCATCTCGACATTGCTGTCCTCCCAGCCACCCCGTTCTTTGGTGCCTGAAAATTTTCACTCAAGGAGATTCCCTCTCCTCCTTGCCACCCTCCCATCCTAGTCTCCTTTCCGTCCCCTCTCCTCCATCTTCCCCTCTCTATCTCTCTCTCTCTCTCTTTCATTTTCTTCATCCCATCCATCTCTCATCTACCACAGATCAAATCGTATCGAGCCTTCTCTCCATCACGATTTCCACTTAGCTTTGCTCTCCTCATTCAATTCATCTTTACCTCATTCGTCCACTTCTGCTGCTCCGGCAGTTTACATCCTTACATCTTTTTGACTTCTCTACCAAGTCTTCTGCGACTTGCTCATCATGATTCGTGGAAACGGATCTCCTGGCGCAGCCAGTAGCAACCGTTCCTCCGACGAGGCTGCTTCTCACAATGGCTCTCCTGAGACCAAGCTCACTGCATTCTCCCCGGAGGATGCCCGCATAAAGTCCCTTTTGGACAATTCAGGTGCCATTGGCCTTCACAGACACGAAACCATGACTTTTACATCTGTGTAAGCTTCCGCCTTCTCCCAGGCTCCTGTGGGGTCCCAGCAATTCTAACCGCTCTGCTTATAGCCATAAGCCGGGAATTGGCCAGGATGCATTCAGGACCATTTCGGGACCAAATGCACGAATCCAGCTCTCTCCCACGGCAAGCCCTTTCACTCCAGCCAGCTATATCCAGGGTAGATTTACTGGAAATGAGAGTGTCTCGGCCTTTTTGAAACAGAACGATGTTTCCCCAGCCACAATCAGCTACTTGGCAGCGAATTCTGACCCGGAAACCCCATTCACTCCAAATGGCTCTTTCGCTCGAAACTCCCCTCCACGTTTCGGCCCGATTGCTCCCGGTGGTCCTGTTCATTTGACTTACCCCAAGCAGGATGAAGCAGCTCGCTCGAAGATGAGCTACTTGACAGCCACCTCTGAACTGGAAATTCCGTTTACTCCGAACGGGTCACTTGCTCGCAACTCGCCTCCACGTTTCGGTACCATTGGTCACCCTTACGTGGCTCCGACACCCATTCATATGGCGTATTGCCAGTTTGGTACTTTTGACAAGATCAACCGCAGTCGTGCATTTACCATTGAAGGCGCACCGACGGACTTAGCCCACTTGACCATTGTTAGCCTTTTTGATGTAAGTGATGTCTCATCCGAAGTCAAAGTGCTTTCTGTATTGATTGACGTTCTTGCAGCGCCATGAGTTCAGCACTCTCAAGGGGCCTATCCTTACTGAACTGGGCACTCATGGAAAAATTTATGTCGGTTTTACCGATAGCCGCGATGCCAAAGCTGCTTTTGATAAAGTCAAAAAGCAGTATCCCGCCTGGTATTTGCAGGCCTTGACTGCCAAAGAGTTTACTGGAAAACACGATGCGACTTATGTGGGTGCAACTTCTGACTATGAAGGTTACATCTTTGCTTCGGTTTATTTCAATGGCAACAATCCAGCTGCGGATGGATGCGTGATCTCCCACAATTTCAAGAACATTCTCGAGAAGTTCGGCGACATCAAAGCCTTCTGCACTATTCCCACCGAGCAGAGGCATGTCGTTGACTTTATGGTCGAGTTCTTCGACACTCGTGCCGCCGAAAACGTCGCTTCCACTTTGAACGGCAGTTCAGTTGATGTAGGTTGGCCTCCTCAATTAGTCACCCCTCTTAACCTTTCTCTAACTAACTAGGGACATTATAGGAATGTATTCTCGAGATCAACCTCTACAGGCCCGATGTTGTAGAGAATCATTACATTGATTTTGAACACAAGGATGCCTCCGATGCAGTTACAAAGCAGTCGGTCGGACGCCGCGATAGCTTTGGACAACCATATGTCAAACTCAGTCCGACCGGTCGCTCAACTATTCCCGTCGGCGATCCTGCCAGTGAATTTGGTTGGCTTCGCAAGGCTGAAAACAATTTGTCCTATCGTCATCGTCACGAAGTTGGACGGCGTCAGGATTCTCGTCCCAATAACCAGAATTATGTTGATATCGAGAAGATTCGACTTGGTCTCGATGTCCGCACTACTGTGAGTTACGACCGAACTACCCATTTGAACATTTGCTTACTAGTTATAGATTATGTTGCGCAATATTCCCAACAAGATTGACCAAGTAATGCTAAAGAACATTGTTGACGAGACCAGTTTCGGCAAGTATGACTTTATGTATTTGCGTATCGGTAAGTGGATAAAATAACGACCGTTTAAACTCGCTCGTTGACAACAATCTAGATTTCGCCAACAATTGCAAGTTAGTTTTATTCTACTACAAGTTCCTGTTTAACCACTTGCTTACCTATATACAGTGTGGGCTATGCCTTCATCAACTTCGAGGATGTAAGATACCTTCTACCCTGAACACGACGTTATTCTCGCTAACATCGATTCAGCCCATCGATATTATTGACGTGAGCTCACTATATACATTAAAGAAACCGATTGACTGACCTTGCTTAGTTTGCCAACGCTCGTGCTGGTCGTACATGGTAAGTTAATCGCCAAATCCATATGAATTTGCAATTAACATTTGAGCCAGGAATTGCTTCAACAGCGATAAGGTCGCAGAGATCTCGTATGCCAGTGAGTGATCACGCCTCGTAATCCATGTTGACTACTTGCTGATTTGACCGCAGCCATTCAAGGAAGAGATTGTCTCGTTCAAAAGTTCCGCAACAGCTCCGTCATGTTGGAGCATCCATCCTTCCGTCCTAAAGTATTTTCACACAATAAATGTGCTTCAATTCACTCTTTCTAATTCTTTACAGTTGTTCTATACTGGCAGTGGGCCACTGGCTGGTACAGAAGAGCCTTTCCCCGGCCCTGACAATCCATCGAAGATGCGACGCAGCGTCGAAAATGCCGAACACGTTGGCATGTATAAACTCGTGAAGACCTCCGTACCGAAACCGGGTCTGTACTAATGTATCAGCAGGTCTCTTTGCGCCCAGAGTTGGTCAACAGTACCGTGATGAACAGCGTCGCCGTCGGTCCCAATACGATCGTGGAACCACTGCCGCAGAGCGCGAGACTTACTGCCCCCGCCACTATTATCCTCGCCGTAATAGCAACAGTTTTGCTCCAACATCACGCTGGTGCGAATTTCAGTATCAGAACTGAATTTTTCAAATTTGCAACGACGACATCCGATGACTATGAACGTTTTCCAACAAGAAGTGTTTGGAATGTGATTCGCGATGTCCGATTTGCTTTTTGCTCTTCTTTTCCTTTGCCCCCCACCATCGATTACTACTCTTTATCTTCTACTTTCATAATGCTTAAAGGAGTCAGGGTAACTCGTCAGCAATTTGGGGACGCTGCTAACTGTATTCAAGGGAACAAGGAAGTATCCATTATCAGCGCCTGTTCACGTTTATCTTTGGGCTGCTTGGGTATGGTGCACCGGATTTCCCTCTCGAAGTTTTCCGCATTTGGTTGCGAAAATTCCAAGGTTGGAAGCCTACACCTCCTTCTTACATATTTTCGACAGGTAGCGGTTCCCCTCCTATACCTTACCCCCTTTATTAGCTTGCTGTGGACTACGATTGATAGCTTTTGCTTTATCGTTGTTATTCCTTTCTGCAGTTGCAGTTTCACACGGCTTACAGTTCTTTTAACCTTGATGATTCGGTGAATGCGCCTCGACGTTGACAGATATTTTCGCAGATGGATGTTGCACATGTAAGATAATTTCGGTGCGTTGTTCTTGTGCTGATGCTTTGCTCTCGCTGGGAATCTTATGAAAAAGACAAAAAAAAAAAAAATATTTTTTTCTCTTTGTACTTAAGAGGAGCGAAGGCTACCTATCTAATTATTGTGGAATACGACCATCGGTCTCCCACGCTCAAATCTCCAGCAGATGAGAAGTTAGTGACTAACAGGCAATATTGGACCTGATTTCTTCATCTAGGCCTTAGTCGGCGAGACGGTTCATAGTGCTATTGAGTATCATACACGTAGTACCATCACGAAAAATCAGGTCAGGTCACAATATGGTATGTGACAATAGACATAAGGACTTCAAAGTAAGTTCCCTTCTCAATTCCCCCAATATAATTGCAAATTTTATGGAAGAACGACCATGTGTTTGAGGCTGGCGTAACTGAATCCCCCTTTTGACGCTAAGCGTAAGGTTAGCATTTACAGTTAGTATACTTTTGTAGAGCACATACGGAGTACATTGGAGGGCAAATTGGACAGCTTTGTTTGTTTTTATTTTACTCTATTTTAGTCCGTACTTCATGCAGATTTTAGTGTTTCTACAGTACGTACGGAGTCAAGGCAATTAATCCGTTCTCCGTAAGTAACTAGGTAAGTATTCCAAGCGGCCTACGGGGAAAGCCTTGCGTCCGCCGTTACAGGAAGGAGTTGGAAATGTAACATCACGGCGTGATCCGTGTTCCCAGCGGAAGCCAAGGCCCAACTCGCTCCACTTTCCGCTCCGTCCCGCTAACACCTGCATGATTCCACTACCTACCCTCGAACATATGAACGGTCATTGTTCAAGGGTGTGATTTGGGGGCGCCGGCCCTTGTACTCTACCCGCACTCTTTGTTTTAAGGCTATCTTCAGAGCCTGAATCATATTCGATACTTGTTAAGTGTCAAGTCAGTCACTTCAACTGTCAGATGTGTAACACTTTTATAACCTCATCAGTACTCTGCTAAAGCATCAGATGGCTTATTACATACTGAGATTTCCATTCCCAAGTTCCTTTTGTCGACTTCAAATTTCACTGGCCTTTCTCTCGCTCTCTAAAACCTACCAACTGCCCGACCCACTTCTCGCTACCCCTTGCCAGGTCTTCCGCAATAAAGTCAGCAATGTGCTCCAATTTAGTTGTATAGCCAGCCATGTTCATGATGATTTCCAAGCTTGTGCCAATCCAAGGGATCCGAGCCACCCATCTACGTGGCCACGCAGGCGGAATGTCAGCAGTGGTGAGTAAGTTATGGGGATCCGGCTCTGAGAGAAGCTCGATTCCTTCGTGCAGCGGTAGCATGATGGCGATGCAAACGAGAGTCCAGCGAAGGTCGGAGAGGGGAATAGCGTTTATGATCGCTCGGGTTTCACGATGCTGTTCAACAGCGAAGTTCGGGAGGCTATGTTGATGTTTAGCATGGTGGCATTCCAAGATAAGCAACCGCAAGAGACATGCCAAAATGAATCAGGAAGCACAGAATACTCACTAGCTACCAATTGTACGTCTCGGCTGTTCCACGTTTGGCGGAGATGTGGAGGCCTTTCCTTGTTGAGACTTCTCATCGCTAGGTAGCGGATACTCCAGCTCACCGAGTCCACAGATGAACAAGGCTCGCATCGGAACTCCTCGCTCCCTGCCAATATCTACCGCAGCTTGCGAGGCAGCCCTCGCAATTTTCTGGAGCTGATGCTCTTTCCACGGCCAGACTTGGTTTCCCGCAGTGTCCACCATGGCGTCGCAATGGTGTTCGCGGATGGCCGTCTTGAGGCCCTCCGCGTCTGTGGCATCCCCGTGAAAAACTGTGACCCGGGAACGAACGCCCTCAGGGGCCATATTGGCAAACTTCTGGGGAGAACGGACGTAGACCACAACTTGATGGCCATGGGCGAGGAGCGCCGCAACTAGGCGAATGCCTAGATTGCCTGTTGCGCCGAGGAGAATGACGCGCATTTTGATGGAAAGAAACAGAACACGGAGTCAAAAGCATGAAATAGCGGAGCAGACCGCTCAAAGCTGGAGATGCTAAACGAAGGGTATTTAAAGCTCCAAGGGCATCATGTAGGTTCAATTCCAGGACACAACTTCCAGTTACTTATTTCTAATAAGGTACTGTACGGAGTAGCAACACGCGCATGCGCAATGACGATGACGTGCCCAAGCCTCCATCGGAGCGGCGACCAACTCAAACTTCTTGATAAATAATGCTTTTTGCTCGCCCATTCCGGGCGCCATCTTTGCCGTCAACAGCCATCGATGATGTCGTACACTAAAAGGGGGGAAGTCGCCAAGCCGGACGGGTAGGTACCTGCTCTCGGCGCCCGGGTCCAAGAATCTCCGAAGAGCCGCGCACACAACAGCCTTGTCCCGAGCCGCGATCCGCCAGCCGCACCCCCGGGGTTCGCACAGCCAAGGCCCAAGAGAAGCACAATCACGTCGAGAACCGTCCCTCTCTTCACGGGCTGCCAGGTCGCCCGTCTCTCCCGCTCCTCGACCACTTTCCCAATGCCCAACTCGCGCTTGCCGTCTCCACCCTCAGCTCAGATCCCCTCTGCCTCGTCGCTCTCCACGGTCTCCGATACGCTCCATCTTCTTTATCACCATAACAAAAACCAACACCGGAGCGCCAAATGGTTTAAATGGCTGGGGATCTTGAAGCGATGGACGAATAGGTTAACCCTCGAGCTTCAGGTTGCTGAAGCTCAAGGCCATCTGGATTTGGCCTTTGATGATGAGGAGGCTGGTGGTATCCGGAGTGTGATGGCCCACATGGGACGGAATATCGTTCCCCGATGTTATGGGTGCGTGCATATCTTATTGTCTATTATTCTCGTTTCCAACTCGAGGACACAACCCAGTCCACCCTGACCACGGTCGAGCACTGATTCCTCTTATGCCAGTGCGTTCTCCACCATAATCGCCGACAAACAGTTCTCCGCCCTGGGCGTGGTACTTCTATCCGCGTTGGCGGAGATAGCTGGCTTGATAAAAATGCCAGGTTTGGAAGGCGGCTTCCTCCCAGCAGAAGCAGTGGCTTCGCGATTGGATATCTCTGCGGCAGCAACTATTGATGACCCCAGCGTGCCGATACATGGGCCAGAAAATGAGAGCCGCGGTCAAGAGGATATCGGAGAAGTGATCGGTCGTTCTGAAATCGCTGAAGGTTCACTGCCTAGACGTTCAGAAAAAGAGGAATCCGAGAGTCAACCAAATGTCTTTGGAGAACCCTTAGAAACCAGGACTAAAAAGGGTAAGAAAAGAAGATTGGAACGAGACGAAAACCTTTCGGAGGAAGATGTCTCCGCGAAATCACAAAGGCATGTGAAGGACATACAGGCTCCTAGCCTGGTCAAAGTGAAAGAGAAAGAGAGGAAGAAGAAAAAGAAGAAAGGCAATGCAATTGATGATATTTTTGGTGATCTGGCATGAACTAGGCCATGTACTTTTGAAGTTTGCGATACCCCTGTACATATATACATTTATTTCATGAGGTCTATGATACATCTAATTCTAAGCTAAGGGAACTATTGTTATACACAAAACAACCGCATAGCAAGTGAAAGTCTTTGAACCAGAAAATCTTTTCAGTGAGCCCAGCAAACCAACAGAAGAAACAACAAAAACTCATTAATTATAGAGCAGCCTCAAAAGGCCCTCCCCGAACAAAATATTAACCACGACATGGTGCCCCAATGCCCATGCTGCACTGTAAAGGAATTTGGGTGAGAATACGGTCCAGATGAACAAATGTGCTCTGAGAACTGTACATGCTACCATCACAGCTAACAAACTTGTAGCTGTAAATAAAGTCCACAGTTGAAGGTGAATGTCTCCGGGTGTCTTCAAATTTTGATTCTTCGTTCGAAGCATGCACTGCGTGGCAGATACCCACCAGATAGGGCCGGCCCAATTGCCGACGAATGTGAGGATTCCAACCAAAATGACATTGTAGCTGCCGATCCCGTTGTAGGCGTTTGATAGATCAATAGATGATATAGCATTGGAACCACCAAGAGCAAAAAACGCAGTGTATTGCATCAAAAGAGACGTGATGGCGATTTCGGAGTGGGATAGGCTCATAGATAAGAGGAGGTCGTATTGAAGTTGGAAGATTCCAAAGAGAGGGACATTGGTCGCCCGGGACTGGGAGAGAAGGAAAAGACTCAGTATAGCGTGGAATGTAGACGACCAATCTAACATTATGTTAGTCTTTTTCAGATGAGAGGGACCCACAAGCTTACCTGCTCGCCTTCGATATTGCAAGCCCCGGCTTGCTTTAAATTTTGCAAAGGCACCATAAAGCAGTGCCCCGCATAGCCCAGCAAAAATGAATCGGGCTTGGAAAAGAAGAGAAAGGCTTTGCACACTTCCCACCAAAGATGAAAGGAGCGGAGTGTGGCGGATTAGTTCTGGTGCATCCGCTGAGGTAAACGCGGCCTTGAATATGAAAGCAAAACTTGTCAATGGAAGATAAAGTGCCGATGCAATATTGACTTTGCGGCCTTCCAAACCTAAAGGTTTAAGTCGCTGGTAAACATCGGTATACGTAAAAAGAGCCAATATCCATAGAATATTAGGATGGTTGGAAAAGAATGTTGTGGCAATGTCGGGTTCGGCAGCGAACTTTTGGCCTGTTTGATTCCAGCGTCTGGCAATTCGGGATAAAGCCGCCAGGCACAAAGCACTACCGAATTGAAAGCTGCTAGTTGCTCGACGGCACCTAAGAATGAATTAGTTTCTTTTATTAATACGCCTGAAGGAGTCATAGCATACGTCCTGAGATATAAGTAGCATATCCATCCAGTTAACGCCCAGTACCAAAACTGTTGCTCTTCTTCCACGTAGCTGCTGGCAAACATCAAAGAAGAATAACCGGCGACCACAAGTAAAAAGTATTTCACGTCTCGCGTTAATTTCAATGAAAACTTGAAATTTGAAATGAGAGACAATAGAACCGCCATAAATGCTACCGCTGTGCCTTGATATAGCCTGGTCACAGTATAGTTACTCGAAGCATTGCTCATAATGCGTTGAGCTGTGCGACAAAACTCAATAAGCGACGTTTCTGCATCGGGGAGAAGGGTCAAATCGGCTTTGGCTTCCTGAAAGAGCTGAGACGCCTTCTGCCATTGGCACTCAAGGTTAGATAAATCTGTCGCTAAAGTCCTTTCACCACAGTACAGCGCGGAGTGCTCATTAAACTTGGGATAGGTGGCTTTAACAACATTGAGGATTTGTCTACCATTGTCCAGAAGAAGCTGTAATCTCTCCAAGCCTATCAGAACATCAGCAGACGGAGCCTATGACCTTAGCGATTGGCGTAAAACCCACCTTGCGGCCATAGAGAAAGAAACTCTGGTATAAAAACACCTAAATTATTCAAGGGTATTGGGAATCCAAGTAAGCCTGCCAAGGTTGGTGCAATATCCGACTGCTCAACAACATCATAAAAATTTAGGTCCTCAGACGCCACACTGGGGGATATTTTACCAGGCTGGGTTTGGCGGAATTTTGGGGATATAAAGGTAAGCGCCGCGGAGGTTTCTCCAGGAGATGCTCCTCCGTGATTTCCAGCATCGTTCATTCCATGGTCACCACACAAAACCAGGACTGTCGACGCAAGGTGATCCTGTTTTTCCATTGCAGTGTATATTTGCTTCACAATTGAATCCATTTCCCGTTGTTTGGGTATCATATATGGACTGGCTCTCATCAGGCTGCAAGTCCACTTAGCCAAGTTCTATTTGGTTACATACCTGAATGGGCCAGCCTTGTGGCCAATATGATCAAGGCCAAGATAATGCAAGATCATTGCCGACCAATCGTCATTTTGTAACTCTTCAGGCACATGACGCGTAACATTATTATCCACTTCGACAAAATCCTAACACAGGTCAGCTTCCTTGTCTTGTCTTTTTTTCAAGGCAAAGGCTTTCAGGTTATACGAACGGAGACAAAGAAGCTGGTAGTCCCGTCATGCCTGTCAAACATTCCGGGAAAGAGCTTTAGCCACGTATCATCGCCATACATAATTAGCCGCCCACCAGGACGGCGTTTGATTTGCGCCAGCCATGTGTCTTGATGAGCTAGGGTGGATGTTGTGTCAGATTCTGCAAAGTTGAGGATTACATCTAGAAACGACGGCACTGATCCGGTCGTAATAGCTTTCACTCGTGGCATCGTAATTGTTGGAGAGCTTGCATGGGCAGTGAAAGGCAATGCGGCGCCATTTCTTATCAATCTGTGTGGTGTCAAAATACTCCTGTCCAATGCATTGCAGCTTCACTGACCCCTGTGTGAATTCAAACCCTGAATTGTTTGAATATACAAAATCACTATCCAGACATGTAAGGAAATGCATAGAAATAAGATATCGGGTTCATTTGTAGTATACCTGCGCAGGGCATCAACGACCATAAATATGGCCCTATCAAAGACCGGAGAAGGCCGTGAGCCATCTTCGTTAAAGGCAGCAAGACCAGGAAGAAATGGCTTATAAGGAAAAAAGCCACTGGCAAATAGCACAAGAGAAATAGGAAAGATGAGAACCGACACCAATGCCGCGATTGTCTTTGAAGTGTTAGTTGTCATCTTCACAAATTGCATGGAAGGGTGATGGCAGTTGCAATTGCAGGCAAGACTTCATCCCATTCCTCAGAATGTCCTTGAACCCCAAACATCATCTCAGGACCAATGGACATGGGATTAATCAACAACAGTCCGCAGAGATGACGCCCAAGCTTATGTCCAACATCGCATTCCTTGCATGGATGTTTTGCAACTAGTGTTGGCCCGAGCCCCTTTTTGACTCACCTGATTTGCCGATATTCACCGCCTATTAAGATAAAGCATATCGCTCTCTGTGCTCCGAAGTACCACTCATATTTACTCTTCGGACGCACCTTCACGGAGAATACATGCTTGGCCGACCGCTATCAGATGAAAATATAAATGAATCATTGCATTTTGACTTCAGAGTTTCTACTATTGAAGTACTGGGAAGTCGATCTCGATTCGCTAATCCCTAAGAAAAATTATATTGAACATAGCTGAACGCTTTTGATATTCCCTCCGTTATCCAAAACTCCATTAAAACCAAATGCCTCTAGTATTCGTAAGCGCGATCAAAGAATCGAGAGAGCACCATAACCGGTTTATACATCGTCATTTCTTTTTAGACGACCTCTTCACCTTGCCAGGGTGTGGTTTAAACGTAATTGAAGGCCGTGTCTTTCTGCGGACTCTTTTTTGGATTCGGCCCGTACCACTGGACTCTGGCTTGGAATCACCAGAATTCTCATCAATGTCCATATCTGTTTACGAGCGAACTGGTATTAGTCGCAGTTATAAATGAAGGTTGATAGCGGGGTACTCACTAGTTGAAGCGTGATCTAGCTTTTCTAAACAGCAACAAAATGTCAAATTTTGCTTCTAGACTATACGGATAGAAAGCGTAGGAACGAACCGATCAGAGTAAAATCTGCATCTGCCATATCTGTATCCTTCACAGAAGTCTTGGAGGCCAATTCTTGAAGCTTCGCCGAAAGTCTTTCTGTTCTTTGGTCCGCAACAGGCCCAAACACTTTGGCTCGTAGGTTTGCCTTATTACGCTTTTTAACGCTTGACCGAGCGCCTTTTGCCATGGTGCTTCGGCTGTAGGACGGATGGATTGGCTTTCGCGCGAGTAACGGGTTCACGGAGGGTTCGAAAAAGAGGTTGGCTATGGATTAGGCAGCAGGCAAGTAGGGTAAATCCCAATCTATAAATTAAATATTTGCTTCAAAAATAAGTATTGTAGAGGAAGAGGTTTGCTGTTCCGCGATCTTTTCATGCACCCCGTCTTCATGCCGCCGTGCTTTTTTTTGATCAGCGGAAAAGTAACGATGATTATATAATCACAATAGGCCGCTCTTATGTCATCCATCCTTCACGCTCGCAGGCTGAATGTCTTCATAGAAGCTTCCGGCGTGAAGAATAGGCTAGCAAAATTCACAGCGCCTGGGGGACACTGGATCTAACTGTGGGAATTCCTTACGGTTGTATATCTATTCCCACCATGCTCTTGTGCACCCTCTTTGCATTTCGTCCTGTTCTCGTGGAAGGTGTTTGATCTCCAGGAGCTCCACATCCACCTTCTGGACTTTGCAACCTATCCGGATCTCCTGGGTTTCCCTTTGATCACGAGGAGGAGCAGCTGTTATTTTAAAAATGCCTGGAGTTTCTGAAGCAGAAATACAGACTGTGACTGGTCTTATTAAGTCTCTACTCAATGCGCAGCTTAAATCTATCTTGCGACACGAGCACCTTGCTGTATCTGGGGTGAAAAATGTCCTTCAGTTCAGGATACTTAACCGTGAGTTCCCGGTCATCCCAGGTTTAGGCTTTAGGCCTATAATAACACTTGAGAGGAACATAGATCTGCACAGAATGTCCCAAAACCCAGTAGAGTTTGATCGAATCAGGAGATATATTTACTATGTTGCCCAACACCCGATGCCGACCGCCCCTACGCCCTCTCCATCATCGTTCACACAACCTCCTCATTCCGCTCCTCAACCCTTACCAGCCCATAGACCTCCTTATTCTACAACTATGACTCCATCTCATGGCGTGGCAATTGGTAGTACCTGTTACCCCCTTACGAGATATAGAAAACCGGTTAACCATGAGCCAGGGCGCTTGAGTTTCAAGGAGAGTCCTTTTTTCACGATACTTGAAACATTGACACCTGTTGTGGAGTGCAAAAGTAGGGGGAATATTGTCCCATTATCCTGTATTAGCCCACTAATTGCTACTTAGTTCGTGAAAGCACAAGGGAGACTGTTGAACTTAAGGTCAATTTCAGTGAAATGATGGCCTCTCGATTACAGAGTGAGCCTGACTTGCGAGTCATGGTTTACTGCGCGGGAGACAACGGTTTAAATCACTACTCCCGATCAGATATCGCATTTCCGCACCAGGTTGAACTCAAGGTTAACCTTGATGATGTAAAGATAAACTTGCGAGGCTTGAAGAATAAACCTGGGACAACTAGGCCGGCAGATATCACGAATTTCATCCGCAAAAAGCCGGGCTATACAAACTACGTCTCTATGACTTATGCTCTTACACAAAAGGCAAGTTACTAGAAATTTTGGCATTAAGGGTTGCTTATAGTAACTGTGTCGCAGAAGTTTTTTGTTGTTGTTAACCTAGTTAAGAAGCATTCGGTCGATGAACTCGTCGAGAGACTTAAAAGGAGGACGATTATCACCGCCGAACAGGTAATCCGGGAAAGTAAGAGGACCCTTGGTCTTAACGGGCTCGTATGCTGTTGATTCCTGACGGATTTTTAGTGAAAAACAAAGCTGCGGATACCGATATTGTGGCAACATCAAGCGTTATGTCCTTAAAATGCCCCTTGTCGACTCTACGTATCACGGTTCCTTGTCGCACTGTGCTCTGTACTCACAACCAGTGCTTTGATGCTACATCTTTTCTGCAGCTGCAAGAGCAGGCCCCCACTTGGACTTGTCCTGTCTGCAATAAGTCCACGTCATTTGAAGGCCTTCAAATTGATCAGTTAGCCTCCCTTATATCTGATCCGCTAGGATTTAACTGATCAATATTCAGATATGTTGATAACATCCTCAAAGCCACATCCTCTGACACGGATCAAGTCACTATCGAACCCAACGGCAATTGGTCCAACCCTGAAGATAAAACAATTGAAACCCAAGGTCCCACTCCCGCTGATGACGGAGACGATGATCTGGTCGAAATCCGCGATTCTCGCGTCTTAACTCTCAAGCAAGAACCTACTCCATACTCACTTCCGTTCCAGTCTTCAGTCACCCCAACTCGCTCCTCACGTGAACCGTCATCGGTCTCATCGGCACCGCGCCCATCAACTAACAAGCGTCCTGCAAGTCAGGTTATTGATCTGACAGGAAGCGACGACGAAGAGCCACCCCGCCCATCAAAACGACCTGCTTACAATCATAACCCATCTCTCAACGGATTTCGTCGGCAGAGCTATGACTACCGTGCGGGCGGTAATTACGGAAATACACAATCTCCTCTTTCAAACTCTTACAGCAGCTATTGATTCGAGTCAAAAAACATCGACATCGCGTCCACTGTTGATCTGCGAACCAGCAGCTTGTTCGACTTTATCCCAGTTCATTTGCAGGTTTTCACCCGAGGAGTTTCAAGGAGGGCCTTCTATTCTGGCCTACAAGCCGCCTAGCGGCGTGTAAATAGGATATTGAAGGGAGTTATGTGGGTAACTAGGTTTTTTCTGGGTGATATCCATTTTGTTCAAGGATAGGAAATGGATATTGTTGCATTTCAGAGTGCGGTATGGCTTTTCCGACATGGTGGTGGCGTTGATTATATGTACATACACACATAAAGTAGCTACTTCAGGCTATAATATTCTACGAGACTAAATTTCTAGAGTTTCGGCTTTATTTACGTTACCTCTTCTATCTCAAGTCTCGAGTCGCTGTTGGGTGTGAGAAGTTGGGTTATGCGAAGCTTCTAGGATGCTGACCAGTAATTAGTTAACTAGAGACCGAAATTAGGGCGGAAATTCAGGAACCTAAACGTCGTCACTGGGCATTACCACCGGTTTGATGCTCCCCACGGGCTTCAATTAAAGATATCGAGCTTTGCATTCCGATGCTCTCCTGCAATTCTCACACTCTACAGAGTATTAAACGACAAGTTCCATAACCAGTCCAACATACAAGTTATTGTATACCCTGGGCTACTCCACCCCTTGCTCCGTTCATTCACGACTTCCCTGCAGCGGACCTCCACCTTCCTCTTCCACCTCCACTTCCACTTCTCGCGCCTTTAAACGAATCTCGGCTTCACAATGTCCTTCGACACCACTCCTACGCCCTCTTTTAGCGCCTCCGATCCTCACGCCCGCTTCCTCAATTCCTCATGTCTCGATCTGCTCCTCATCGAGCTCGTGCCCATGGCAGAGCGGCTAGTTCAAGAGCTGGAAGCTAACAATGCTCCGGACGGAGCGAATGGCGCAAAAGTACTAGAAGAAGAGGAGCTGCGCGAAGCTACGTTTTATAGATTGGAAAGTCTGGGATACAGGGTTGGACTGGGGCTGGCGGAACGGTGAGTTCGTTCTCCCCATATCCTTGGACGAAACCCAACGATCGGTGCGGGAAACAGGAGGAACTGGGCTTGTAACTGAGCAAGCAAATCTCTACGAGTTATGAGGTGTTGCAACTAGTCTCTCAAAAACTTGACGTGATTTTCCGCCCCTGGTCAGCGGAAGTATTCGTCCGCATTGGCTAGGTAGAAACAGAGCTATTGTCGACGCTTCTGACTCCTGTCCTCTCTCACGCTCACTCCTATCCCATATATCCTTTTGATCTGCTTTAAATTATATAGTCCATCACTGATTCATTGTCTCTAGATTCTCCCGCGATCGCCCCCGCTTCACTGATAACCTAGATGTAATCAAGTTCCTCTGCAAGGACATGTGGACAATCCTCTTCAGAAAGCAGGTAGACAATCTCAAGACGAACCATAGAGTATGGCCAACAACTCTCCTCATCTGTTCATTTCTATTAACATAATTTGAATTATACAGGGTGTCTATGTTCTCACAGATAATTCTTTTAAACCATTCCAGCGCATGAGTATGGCTGTTAGGAGCGAAGCAGTTACAAGAGCGCAATCAGTATGTTTCGCTACACCCATCTACATATAATATTTTGCCTGCTAACTTTACATGCAGTATCTCTGGTTTCCATGCGGTATAATTCGCGGGGTATTAGCGAGCCTAGGTATTAGTGCTACAGTTCAAGCCGAATCGGCAGACTTACCAGGCGCGACGTTTCAGATCAAGACGACGCAACTGAAGTCATGAAGACCATGGTGAAGACATTTACGCTGCAAGTTCCGGAGATGATACCCCAATCTTAAACTTTCTACTTCGCCTACCACGATCGAGACATGTACATGACCTAGAGGGTACCCTGAAGGTAAAGTTTCGAGAGTTATTACAATTTTATTCATTTGCTTGCGGTATATCTACCTACACGATGACCCCGCCGTCGATTCGAGAACGCCATTCATCCAGTTTGTTACCTTCGATTTACAACCTATCAAAAAGTCAGCAATTAGCAAAGTATTCTCACTTGGCGCAACGACGACTGCCCATTAGAAATAATGGGTGGAAATGGGCCGATGGGTTGCACAAACGGTAGTGGTCAATCGGACTACATAGTCTCAACCAAGGCGGCAGGTAGTTTACTTTTGTGGAGGGTTCTTGACAAAGTCAATTCCTTTCTCGATGTTGCCCTTGAGGCCCTTGTAGCAGACGTCTAGAAGCTGCTTCTCCTTCTCCGTTGCGCCATCGAGGATATCGATAGCCTTCTCGGCACCAGAGGCCTGGATATATTGTCAGAAATCCACGAAATATCAAATAATTCTACTGGACTCACTCCAAGCTCAACTGGGGTTGAGAAGAATTCTAATCCGGTCTTCTTGATGATAGAATCACCACCCTGAACTCCCGGAAGATAGACGAAAGTAGATTCGACGATGCCCTTCTGGCCCTTAACAGCCTTGATGACACTCTCCGCAAATCTATTTGGGTCAATAATGATTCTCACCCGCACATACATAGTTTGGTACTCCAAACGTACCGGAATCCTGCCCATGCCATAGACAGAGTGGCCGATCCGGCGCCACTCTTTGCCTTGACGACCTCGTCTCCACCAAATTGAATACCTATTCCGAGGTTCAGCGATTTTCTATTGCATTCGTATCGTAACCATGCACTCACGGTTCACAAGGGCATCATATCTGTCTGCTGGGACGGTGAACGCAGGCTTGGCCTGGCTAAACATTGGGACAATGGTCTCGCCAGAATGACCGCCGATAACAGGGATCACGGTGTCAGCGGGGTTCTTCTGGCCGTTGAACTCCTGAGAGAAGGTTTCAGCACGGACGACATCCAAGGTGGTGACACCGAAGAGTTTCTTGGGGTCGAAGACGCCCGCCGCCTTCAGGACCTCGGCGGCAATCGGAACGGTAGAGTTGACAGGATTAGAGATGATAAGAACGAAAGCCTTGGGGCAGTAATCGGCGACGCCCTGGACCAATTCCTTGACGATACCAGCATTGATCTTGAAAAGATCATCACGAGTCATACCAGGCTTGCCTGCGGGGAAGCATCAGTAACAACTTGGTGATCGCCATAGGGGCGGAGAACATACGGGGGATTCCAGCAGGAATAACGACAAGGTCGGTCCCAGTAAGGGCTTTCTTCAAGCCATCATCATCTTTGAGAAATCCAGACGTTTTCTGTATGACTTTGTGAGCAATTCTATGACCCCTCGTGTTACCCCGCATCCCAGGTATTTACTCACAGCAACGGAGGAAATGTGAGACAAATCGGCAGTAACGCCAGGAGTGTTAACAACATCAAAAAGAGCAAGTTCATCAACCAAAGGGCAAATCTTCAAGAGGAGGGAAAGGGGCTAGATGAATGTATCATATCAGTCGAGAGGTCCTAAGCCGCGGAACTATGGATAACCGACTCACCTGGCCAATGCCGCCAGAAGCACCAAGAACAGCTAGATTAATGTTAGAAATGCATTTCCGATGCCATCCACAACAATTTGGTGTTCTTAATCAATCTCACCAGCCTTCATTGTTGTTGTGTTAGAGAGCAAAGGGGTGCGGGGTATATCGGAGTGAGATAATGTTGTTAGAGCTCCCAAAACCTGTTAGAAGAAGATTGATAAGAACACAGAACTACGGCTAGCAGAACCAAGTGGTGCACTCACTAGAGGAGGGTGGAATTGAAGGTGAGAATAACAGAGAAATAGATGGAGTGGGACAAAGAGGAGAACCGGAAGTTTGGGGTTTAAAGCAAAGGGAGTTGGATCGGGAGGAAGTTTCCAAGTCACATGTTCTGGGCCAAGGAGGGGCTCTCAAGCTGATAACTGAAGCAGATCGCTGCTGGGTGGGGGGGAAGAGGCACTATCGGGAAGCCAATTCTGCCCTGGAATGCGGGCTTCTGTGCAGCACTATGACATACATGGTCGCCCGTTGTTTTCGAGGGCCTGGAATATAGCCGAGCCTGAATCCGCTTCCGATATTTTCCCCTAGCCTTTTAATCATTGCGTCTTGCCTGAGGATTAATCCTTAACCGGGATTTCCAATTCACTTCCACCCCAAAATATGACGGCAGAGCTTTGCTTTACGCTGTCAAATAAATTAGGTCCTGACCACCTTGGTAGCTTAATGTGTTCTTCACTGGATCGTAAGACGAACTCGCTACCAAACATGTAAGACATCCTCCGTACAGTAGTTCGGATACGCCCCTTTACAGTCTATAGAACACAAACAAACACAGAACGTAGAAAATGAAATCATTGCAATTTGAAGACATGCAATGCCTAAATTGATTCGAGAAAATCCATCACGGGAACAGCTACGTCCCCCTTGAGCAATGTCTACCATACAATCCTTTCCAGGTCCATCTCCAACTAACCAGGAGATAATATTTTGCACCAAAACATCATAGAAGCCCCCGGGTGTCAAATGCCGGCACCGTTCCTCCAGGTGAAAAAAAACTCCCTGTCCATAAGCAATGCTTTCATGGTGCAAACAAAAAGAAAAAAGAAGTGAGGACCCTTTTCTCCGCGCTGTATCGGATAGATGTGATTTCTCTCGTTTCATTCATTCAAGATTTCTTCAAATTTACTCCGCCTTCTCAGCAGCCTTGCGGGCCTTTGCGCCTCTTGGCTTCCTCTCTGGAGCATCCTTCTTTGGGCGCTGGCTTTGTCTGATAGCGCTGGCGCGGGCAACAGCCTCAGCACGGAGATCTGGACGATAGCCGCCCAACACGACGCGGTTGGCAACACCCTTGTAGACTCTGCAGCAGTGAAAGGGAATCGGGCATCAGCATCGTGCTCTTCCAAACGCGATCTATTTCCTCCCTCTAGTTCTCGCTGGGCAATTCTGGATGCTTACTTGCGGTTGTGGCTGGTGCCGGAGATAGGTGTGTTCACAACATTCTTAGCTGGCTGGTTGGGGTTGCCAGGCCTCTTCGTGGAAACGGTGAGGCCGTTGTTCTCAGCAGCTTGGATTCCGACAGCCTGAATTGGGACTTCTGTGAGTACCGATACTTCGCAATCCCACCAGGAATTCAACTACCAACCTTGTTGCTGGAGAAGCCGGAATACTGGATCACATAATGTCAGCTGTTTTCAAACCCCGCAGGAGCCACTGATTAAAACTGACCTTGCGAGTGTGAACGTTGGTCAAGTTCAGAGGGTCACGAGTAAACCTGGCACCACCCCCAGACTTGCGGTTGACCAAGAAAGAGTTCTGGGAGCCTGTCATACGAAACAGAACCGTTAGAATCTCGCCAAAGTGCCTGCTTGAGCCAAAATTGGAGTCCTTCATCCCGTGG